CCTAATCATGCATGTACATACTGGCAAACCAGCACCTTGCATGGTCATGAAAATATCCTTGAAAGCAAAAGCCACAAGTCCCGTCAAGACAAGCTACATTTTAAAGCCAATCGATACCACTCACATGTTTAAAACACAACGACAGTATCCGGGGGGTGCCAAAAGTTATCCCCAACCAATCGTTGGCGACGTCAGGCATTTGATCAGCTCTTGCCAAACTCGAGTGCTGGGTGCCAAAAGCCTTCGTGAAAAAATTTGCATATAATACCATGCACCAATTGTAGTGTTGACGGGAACAAGACGTTGTTATGTACAACCACACTCATCAAGTAACATAATTCTTAATTCAATACTCTCCAAATAATCGGAAAACAGTCAACTTAGCAGTTAAGGAGTAGGGATGTACGTCACTAAACAACAACTTGGCTGATATCGATGACCACTGGGGCTCTCAGTTTGCCCTGGAGCAGAAATCGGGTCCCGTCCTTGCTAGCTCGAGGAAAGTGACACATGACAGGCGTTTTCTCATCCCGGAACAGCAGATCACCGTACCAGGGTTTATTCTCGCTGGAGGGATTCACATTTGTAAAGACTGGGAGGTACTTGAATTCGACAATGAGTTCGACTTGTCCATTAAAGAAGACCGAAGGTATCGAGAATGTAGATGGGATAGAAAGAAATGGGACCCGCCCTATCGCTGAGGAATAGGCAGAGGCTTTATCGTGCCCATCCAACCTGGTCATGTTTGGCGAGAGGTCATAAAAAGGGCATTTCAGCCAGGATTCGTCTGAGTTGTGTCTTGAATCTGGCTCGGAACTTTGTACATGGGTTGCACCCACTTCCAGGGTCAAATGAATGGCGTGGTCACCAAATACCGGTGTAGGAATGAGATACGGGAGAGGAGGAACATAACCGGGATTGAAAATCCAGAATTCAGATTTGTGCACACAATATTGAGCAACCAACTCGGATGTATCCGTTGACCAGACGAAAGCGCAGTTTGCATCGAAAGCGCCTACATATCGGCCTCCAGGAGAGAATCCAACTGTGTGACGTTGAGGAGTAGATGGAAGTTGAGGATCAGAAGCAGTGAAAGGAGCCAAAGGAGATACAAGGAGCCGAATGGATGGCTCTCCCGAAAAATATAGGAGTGCCACGTTGCTGTACCAATTCTGAGTTGGAGGAACTCGGACGATAAAGTATCCATTGCTCGACAATGCAGTTAGAACAGGGTGATGACCACTAGTAAGAGCGCCACATGGCACCAAACGTGTGCCGTGACTGAGAACGGAGATGTTTCCATCAGTGTCCTCGGTGACAATCTGAGCATTGGCACCAAGGATAAACTCTATCCAAACTGGATGGTTGAAAGAATCGGATTGGAAGCGAGAGATTGTACGCTGATGGTTGATGTCTGCAACTTCGATGACCCCATTTCCGAAACCGAGTGCGACATGAGAACCATCTTGAGATATCGCTGCACAGGTCACAACCCCATTGCGAACGTCATGTGCTGTGAATTCGGCTTCATAATTAATTACTTCCTCGCCATATTCATCAAACTCCTTTGGCAGGTTGCTCAGTTTTGCCTTGGCAACCTCCTGAGCATTACGTGCATCCTCGCTCAAAGGAATAAAGCGACCGGAAAACTCGCCAGATATGGAGAACACTTGAACTGGATCGGAGAGATGACCATACAGTTCATAGAGTGACGAGGTGAATGGAAGGAATGATCGATAAACATGCCAAAGATCGTATTCGGAACTATGCCACAAAAGAGATGCCACAGCTTCGTTCACCAGCTTCATTGATTTGTGATTCTATGGAGCGTCGTGTGATGTCATATCTTTCTAATACATGAAATATACGCGGAAACTTACGGAGAATTCATCCAAATCATCCCACATATCCCAAACCGCCCATTTCACCCACAGCCCAGAAACTGCCAAGAATGGTGGCAAGTTTTGTGTCAGGAGTCGTTCAAACTCCCTTCGCAATTCATTAGACTCTTCTGAAAAGAGTGACAAAGGATCCAAGTGGGAAAACAACCAGGTGAATGAATACTGGATGTAGTCGGGTGGCCTTTCCGCCGGAAAATTATCCCATTTCTTTCTATCTCCCAAAGGGAGTTCAGTGGGAAACCCAACCTCGTTCCTTTGAATAACACCATTCACAAACCGAAGGAGTTGTAATCCGAGAAAATATCCTTTTGGATCATCAATGAAGAACATCTTGTCTTCTTCCTTGCCGATAGGGTCTCTCATAATAAATTCCTTCGCCGTCGCATGATAGAATTTGACGTTTGTATTGTTTGAGGGGACGTCAATGATCGAGCTGATAGGATTCAATATTGCATAGATCTCATCCTCCGCAATTCCCAAGAGATGCGACATGCTGTAAACACTGAGTGGTTCTTGCGCAGCAACGACCATCCCAACTATTTGGCGATAATTATTCACTACATGTGAAGGGATGCTTGCCACGTTGGGCCTAAAGGCTCGCCGCATTATTCGCAAGTACTCCTCATTGAGATCCTTGGGTGCATCTTGGAGGTCGAGGAAGTATCGAAACTCTACTCTGAGGACAGAACCCCTTTGAGTCCGAAGCTCAACTTCCCGTATCCGGATCGAGGCCATCACAGGTAAACCACGGCAAGCCAGGGTGAAGGCATCAAGATCGTCCGTCGATGGTTTCCACTGTGACTCCCCGATGCAACCCCTAAGCCCATCTGTTACCATAATCCGGATCGTATCGAAAGTCTCGTCTGGTGCAACCTTATCCATGTCTTCACATGGGATGACACGGCCCCGATTCCGAGATTTATCCCAAGCCGAAACAACTTGAGATTCAGGGCGAGAACTGACCAGTATGGAAAACGTTGAAGGCAGCTCCTCAAGCACAAGTACGAGGCTCATCAAAGTCCTAAGTGCCACTGAATCCCCACATTCATCTAAACCATCCAAGACGATGGTGAAGCGTTTCTTGCTCGCAGACAATATGCCCTTGAGACCATTCATCGGCTCCAGAATCAAAGTCCTCATTTGTTTCTCCAGAGGAAGACTGAGAACCAACTCCGAATTCGGCTGTCGAAGGCGTTTCACAAGCGAGACCTTGAAGTCCCCATTGAAGATCGCAAGTTGACGTGCCAGTGTAGAAGGAAATTTCTCCAGAGAATCGAGGCCCGTCCCCTTTTGATTTTTGTCCCAAAAGAAAGAGGCTGCAAGAGTACCCTCCTTCTCAAGTATCGATGCGATGCTCATAGATACCGCGGTCTTCCCGGTGCCAGGAGACCCACGAAGCCAGACCAATCGGTTTCCGGCCCCCTTCAGATGATTGAGAAGGGATGTTTGTATTTGAACTCGTGTGCTTGGAAGACACTCCGACTTGCTCTTCACATAGGTGTGCTCGGCCGCAACTCGAGGAAGTTGATCAAGTTGTGCTGAAAGATGTAGCGTTGATGAAAGAGCCCAATATTGGAGAGAGCGAAATAACATACATTTCACCGATGCTTCAATTGTGCGAAGAAGCGTTAAAGTAGTTGCCTGCGTCTATTGCAAAACGCACATCAACCAGTCAAATCAAGGGGTCGGGGGCTCTGATGGGGACAAACCGCAAACGAGTTAAGGGCATCATTTATACACGCCTTCACACCGTTTATCCTCTTGGCAATTTCACGCGCTAAGAATATCCTCTTTGCCCGATTTTGACTTTTGAGTAATTCGATCTCGTTTATCTGCTTTTTCAGGGCCCTGTCGATAGGAGTCTTGGATTGGAAGGGCAGCGGCTGTGGGAGTAGGCGGACGTACAAGTGAAACCTTTTGATCAACTGAACTACCTCGCGAGGGATTTGGTCCGTCAACAGCTCGAGTGGCTGCAGAATGGTCACATAGGCTCTTTGGATGTCCTCATCCAATCCTTTGAGATCATCATCGTTTCCACCGACAGTCTGCACAGATCATGCACAATGATGCAAACATGAGATCGAGTGAATGATATGTCCTCTTCTATCACGGAAACAGAAAGGTTAGCTAACCTCGTAAACCTGGAGCCATGTCAGAAGTAAATTCGGAATTGCATCAAGACCCGGAACCGGGGCCAACTTAAGAGCTTCGGCTGCAGTTTGTAGAACCAGCGTTATACCGCTAATGATTACTTTTTTTCGATCACTCTTTAAGCTAGCCGATGGTGTGATCGTGAGTTCCGATAGGCCAGAAACGTTGATACCCTCAGAATCTAACTGTGCGTGATGACTGCTGGGCGTGGCATGCGTCCCAGACGCCTCGAGGAGATCATCAATATTGTCAGCAGGGGCGAGGGGAGATGGAGGAGGCACTCTATTATCGGCGGATGGCTGGAGGAAGGGTGTGGATGGTCTCGACTGTCCAACAAGATCGGGAGTGCTCGGCTTGCTAGGATTGGGAGAAAATTTGCGCCCGATCTTCCTCGATCCGCGGCCCGTGGAAGACGATGGTTCCTTCGGATCACTGCGGCGACTATCGGAAGCAGTCACTGCAGGCTCAAGATATGAAGGTCTTGCCGACCCTCTGAACTGATCGCGATGGGTGTTGTCGTGATCAGAGGATACATCGGGCCTAGTGACATGGACCTGCGGAACAGGAGACTCCGAAGGGGTCAAGGGATGCGATGCTTGCGAAGATGAGCCGGGAGCGGGACGCTTTCCTTTGTTGCGGGGACGAATAATCTTGGATGTATTTTTTTCAGACACTGCGCCAGTACAATAACGCTCGCGTGGAAGGGTGAACGAAGGACAGATACTAGCGCAATTGCGCGCCGCATGCACATGATGCGTATGAAAATGCTTTCATAGAAGGAAGCTGGTTCAATCATAAATCAATTGGTTGCACAGGACTCAATAAAGCAAGTGCTGTCAAACTTACTTCGTTTGGGAAATTGTAGAGCCGCAACGTCCGAAAGTTCGCTCGGTGCATTGACTTGCTCTTTCCCGCTTTACAGGCCCCTATTGCGTAGAGGCGCTTGACATGCGTAGCTTGTGTTCTTTGAACACTTCCAGAAATGGAGTACGGTAGAAACATTAAAAAGGCGCGGTTGAAAGGATTCCTTAAGTTGGAGCTGAAAAACGATGTCTTGTTGGCGATGCAAATTCAGGGAATATCAAGTGGTTAGTGCATACTGTGAGAGGCGGAGAGTGCGATGGTGACCAACATCATGATTGAGACATCTTAGCGTTAAGGTTAGTGGCATAGTGGGCCCGGGACGTGTTGCTGCCGAGTCCATTCATCATCCCGACGGAAACGCTTGTAACAAAGGACGACAGGCATTGTGAGTGTCCCGAAAAGACTTGTGAGCGTGTAAATGGTTTAAGCAGCATTCATACTTGGCATTCCCGACGAAAGTGTCACTGAAGCGGTTCTTCCAGGGGCCCTTTATGATGTGGACCATGGCGGACGAGCTAGCATATAAGCAGACAAAGTCCCGTATTTGCACTGACACGCGAAAAAGGCATAGCCGACCATATTTACGGATTGAGTCCTCGACAGATACAATCCTGATTAAATGATACTCCAGACCTCTCTGTAACCAGTGAGGAGTGGAAAGATGGTCAAGATAGGCGGGGAATCGGACGACATGAATGAGAAGACTGCGAGATTGAAATCTCGACTTGCGCGAAGTTCGGAGTTCCAGACTGGCGTCCTTCTCCTGTACAATATCCGGGGTCGATATTTTCATTTGGGGACACTAACTACGCACAATGATTAGTTCGATGATTCCTTCTCTTCATTGCCGAGTTTACCACTTCCCTTGCCCAGATCAGCTCACAGTAAATGTAATAACAACCCCAGGCTGGACACCTCTCTCCATCATCGCTTCCTTCAAAGGCTCCTGCCAAATATATATACTAGATGATACTCCTTCATCATGTATTTGTCAGCACCCGGACCTGCTTGCATCCCAAGCCATGACGGAGCTGTAGAACAAGCCCACCTGTCGGTATTGCCACCAGATAGGGAAAGAGCCAGTTCAGCCTCGGCATGCCGTTATCTTGATGTACCCGTGTGCTAGCTACTCTGAAATTTATCATGCAAGGAGCTAGACCTGCACAAGACCTACAAGGTGTTGGAATTTGCACGTGGTCTTTTAGGGAAACCTAAAAGTTGGACATACTGGGAATCGAACTCCAGTCTTCTGGATCGCGAACTCAGTGTGCACAGCCATTACACCATACGCCCCATTAGGCTGAGGTGGTTATTTCAACACAAGGATCCAACAGGATGACAAAAATGAGCTCAGAATGTTCCCAAGCGAGACCTCAATACAGTACGATTTGCTTCGGCCAACTCCGCGCAGCGAGTGAACTGAAGTAAATGTAATAACAACCCCAGGCTGGATGGCGCAAGGGCATGTGAGATATCAAAAAAAGAATTTTTGATTTCGAAACCAACTAGAGAATTTTTTACCGCGAAAATATCGGGGAAGAGTGGAGACCCTTAACTCCCTGAATCACGTGCGGCCGTTACTCCCCGAGTTTGAATTGATATTAACGCTTTATAGAGAAATAAATTTGCACTGTGGTATTGGTGTCACTGGTTGCCTAGTGGCTAAATTGTTGTTCGATGTTTGGAGCATTGAATGTGCCGGAGTTCGATTTTCTGCAGTGGAGTTATACTTTCTTTTGCCTGCCTGCAGTTCACAAGTTGAAGTTAAACCATGACGATGCAGACTCCTTCCCAGTCGCTCACATGATTTCTCCGAGGTTTAGCCGCAACTTACGTTGCCTCCGAAATCTGTCAAGCGACTGGTACAACTTGCAACACGTGATGTTCCCACGCTAAGTTGTAATGAGTTGTACATAGGTTATGGAATATAATTTTTAGTATTTACGCATGTGGTCATTGTACCCAACCCAACCCATGGAGACTAAGGGAGCACATCCAAGGTTGTGGGGTTAATATCCGGGTGTGCGCGAAGTTTAAGAGTTTATATATTACTTAGTTGCTAGTCACTTGTTTGTGCCCGGTGGCATAAGTGGTGTAGCGCTAGCTGAGGCTATGCAGTTTTTTTTAAGTGGCACATGTTCGATTCTCACTTAGGAAACTTTTTTTTTTCATACCCTCCACTCCTTAGTGCACAGAAAACAACCATTTCACACAATTATTCCATGGGAGGGCCCGAAAAAAGTTTCCTAAGTGAGAATCGAACATGTGCCACTTAAAAAAACTGCATAGCCTCAGCTAGCGCTACACCACTTATGCCACCGGGCACAAACAAGTGACTAGCAACTAAGTAATATATAAACTCTTAAACTTCGCGCACACCCGGATATTAACCCCACAACCTTGGATGTGCTCCCTTAGTCTCCATGGGTTGGGTTGGGTACAATGACCACATGCGTAAATACTAAAAATTATATTCCATAACCTATGTACAACTCATTACAACTTAGCGTGGGAACATCACGTGTTGCAAGTTGTACCAGTCGCTTGACAGATTTCGGAGGCAACGTAAGTTGCGGCTAAACCTCGGAGAAATCATGTGAGCGACTGGGAAGGAGTCTGCATCGTCATGGTTTAACTTCAACTTGTGAACTGCAGGCAGGCAAAAGAAAGTATAACTCCACTGCAGAAAATCGAACTCCGGCACATTCAATGCTCCAAACATCGAACAACAATTTAGCCACTAGGCAACCAGTGACACCAATACCACAGTGCAAATTTATTTCTCTATAAAGCGTTAATATCAATTCAAACTCGGGGAGTAACGGCCGCACGTGATTCAGGGAGTTAAGGGTCTCCACTCTTCCCCGATATTTTCGCGGTAAAAAATTCTCTAGTTGGTTTCGAAATCAAAAATTCTTTTTTTGATATCTCACATGCCCTTGCGCCATCCAGCCTGGGGTTGTTATTACATTTACTTCAGTTCACTCGCTGCGCGGAGTTGGCCGAAGCAAATCGTACTGTATTGAGGTCTCGCTTGGGAACATTCTGAGCTCATTTTTGTCATCCTGTTGGATCCTTGTGTTGAAATAACCACCTCAGCCTAATGGGGCGTATGGTGTAATGGCTGTGCACACTGAGTTCGCGATCCAGAAGACTGGAGTTCGATTCCCAGTATGTCCAACTTTTAGGTTTCCCTAAAAGACCACGTGCAAATTCCAACACCTTGTAGGTCTTGTGCAGGTCTAGCTCCTTGCATGATAAATTTCAGAGTAGCTAGCACACGGGTACATCAAGATAACGGCATGCCGAGGCTGAACTGGCTCTTTCCCTATCTGGTGGCAATACCGACAGGTGGGCTTGTTCTACAGCTCCGTCATGGCTTGGGATGCAAGCAGGTCCGGGTGCTGACAAATACATGATGAAGGAGTATCATCTAGTATATATATTTGGCAGGAGCCTTTGAAGGAAGCGATGATGGAGAGAGGTGAGTTCCACAATTCCTACTGATTTGCCGGCAACTAACAGGACCGGAATATGCTGATTCCACTCGCGAGGTAGGGAAGGTGGGAGAGCCGACAATTATAGAGAGACCAGCCCATATTAAGTCCAAGGAGGAAAATTCTGGGAGTATTGAGGCCATAGAGCCGAAAGCGAACAACGGAAGCATGGTCCCCCGAAAGGAGAAGTAGGCATAGTATTTTATATCGCTTCTTACAGTAAGTACCAAATCCTGGAGTCCCAGGAGAGCAGAGTTCGCGATCTCCTTAGGCTTAAAGGAGGGAGGATGCTGAAATTATTTCAATAGAATTCTGGTGTCCTGAAGTCGCAACGCATTTTTTGCTGATTTCAACGGTTGTCCACTTTAACGTGGACAGATTGTGTACTGAGACGTGGGATGAAAGTGCACCTGCGAAGGCTGGATTAATTTTCAATATGTGCGTGCACACTGTTGTAAGTCATCAATCCAAACGTCCTTAACATGCACCCGGCAAGTCCACTCTCAAGGAACGTATTGCTGCGCTGCAAGCCAACAGTGGACTTACGCCTCCTGGGAACGGATCGTCACGATTTTCGACTCCATCTCCAGGCCCGCAGCGCTCGCCGTCGGAAAAGGTGCCTACGAATCGCTTGAGCGACAAAATAGCGCGTTTCGACAAACTTGGCAGGGCACCTGTGCCGAGAAGTGGCTTTGGATTAGGATCTCCGCCTCCTCCCGTGCCAATTCCGTGAAATACGAGTCATTCAAGCAATTTATGGAGTAAACAGTTAGCCACTGATGCCAAGCTGACTCGGAGCACATCAAACCGCTTTTCAAGGGAACCATCTGAAGAACAACCCACTTCTCCATCTGAGCCGCGTCCCTTTGAAACGATAAAAGCTCGTCCACCGTCGGTTCCTTCCGCACGTAGTCATTTGGAACGCGGACTGATATCTCCGGAGAACCGCTTAGTCTCCCAAGGAGATCACAATCATTGCGCCCTGAATCCCCTACACCATTGCCCAAAAGCCTAGTTTCTTCTGTTGAGGAAACTAGGCTATGCTGACGACCGCTGCGGTGTCTAATTTGCCAGCTTCTCCGACCCTGCGCCCGACGGATGCCACGAGCTCAGTCGCTACTGAAATAGACGTGCCAAGTGAGAGAGCGGGACTTACCCCCTTGACTACGCCTAACTTCTCGAGACCTGTGTCCGCTATGTCATCGAAATTCTGCTGGCCCTTTCTTCTGTAACCTCTACTCGTGCGGTGTCGAGGATCGCATCCAGGGATGTTGTATCCTTAGAAAGCACTCCAGTGAAGGCCCGATCAGAGAGCTCGTCCCCCAAAGATATTTCTCCGAAGACCGAATCGACCTCGCCGCCAGCGTCGATATCGTCTTCACCAGCACAACCATTGATGCCTGCTCTGGCAGGCACCCCCGTCGAAAGTGGGCCCCGGCCATCCACACCTTCCTATCGCGCTCAAGCGGCAGCGTATTTTCCGCCTGCCCGAAATCCAAACCGTCAGAGCCGCATTTTCCGGGTCCCCTCGTCTATACACTCTTTCTCCAACTCCTCTCGTGAGCCGAGTATTTCATCCCCGTCACGTTCCGCTGCCTCTGAACCGCCGAAAAGGATTTTGGAGACCAATGCGTCAAGGTGCTGGATTGGATACAGAACCATCAAGCTTATTACCCCCTTCAACGAGGTACGCCCCCAATGCTTGTCGGTTTAATGCGCCAAGGTTTACTCTAACATGCAATAAAGCCTCTATATCTAGCATTGATGGGATATTTATTAGGAATCTGACCCCATTTTCGAGGAGAGATAGGGTCATTTCTAGACCTCTTCCCAGCTACCTTTTGCGGAATGACGGCCATGGACTTGGCGATCTGGATATCGCTCTGGCACGCCGTCATACCAGACGTGTGTCATCAGCATCTGCAGTGTCTTTCAGGACTGTGCCCTCTGATGGTGCCGTCACAGACGCGATTGGGGAAGAGGTGCCCCACAAAGCAGGCTTCGTCAATGACCAGCTCCCGCTCACTGCATCGCACAAGAGAGGTCGAGCTGCATCCTCTCTTTGTTCCTCAAACTTGAATCCCGTTTCGTCTTTGTCAACGCAGAGTGATTTGGAAGCTATTTTTTCATCTCGCTTGTTCGAGACCCTCCTGACCATTTTCTCGCTGCCACGAATGAAACTGAGGCAAGTACCCGTCAGTCTCAGGGCACACCTAAGCGTCCCACCCGTCGAAGTGCACGTAACACGATATCTAGGCTTTCCTCATCCTCTTCCCATAGTCTAACGAGGCCTGGATTCCCTCGGCCGAGCCTCAGCCTCGGTCGCGGAGGAGCTCGCTCGAGCTCCCTGCATTCGTCCTCGTTCCCTTCCTCATCCGCTCGGAGTGAGGATATGACAAAATTCCAAACTTCATTTCATCCATTCATCCATCGTCGACCAACCCATCATTGATACTCAAGGACGAGTTTTCTGCCGGCGCGAATCTCAGCGCAACCAGATTTGAAGTGGCTGTTTGGGGTCGTCGGACGTCTGGTCGCCACGGAAGGACCTTCTGGGATCCTCTCGCCACGTGGCGTGTTGACCTCCAGCGTTTGAAGCCTTTTGCCCCGGATGTACACTTCTGATGTTCATGAGATTTTGCATCGCGCTGAAATTTGCCCTCCATTTTCAGTCGACTCTGCTGCCTAACTCTCTAGTGTTTAGCCTGGGTGCTACCGGAAAACTGTACCTTGGGTCGTCAAGTGACATCACTCCTGAATGCTCGCCGTCTCTAGAACACCAGAAAGTTTCGGACAGTGGAATTGATGCTCTGGGACCAACGGTCATTAATCGCCGGGTGCATCATAGATCTAGACACAGCGACGTAGAACCGAATGCGGGGGGTGTCAAGCGTGGGGAGAGGCTAAGGCGAAGCATGGCGCGTCTCTTGCAGATACGTTAAAGTACTTTCCGTTTCGTATGCTATTGGGATTGCAAATTGATATATCCTAGACTCATTGACGCAAATTACTCGATGGATGTAGAATTAAGATCTTTGTGCAACGTGATGGATATAGTGAATTTTATGCTTCCTGGGGATAGCACGATCACCAAGGTAGATACTATACTTGTAACCAAGGTCCCTTCACTAATGCGACTGGTAGGCACGGTTTTTCAATTCCAACTTGACGAGTACATGAGTCAACAGTCATTGATTTGCCTGGGAGTGTCGGAAAGTGAGTCCAATTGACGTGAGCGCGAAATTAAACATGAAACTCCCACCCTGCCATCATCCTCAGCCCGTTCAACCATCCAAGGCCGCCGTAAGCAGTTAGACAACGAAGAACCAGTCTTCGTGCCGTGCAAGCGATACTTTCTTCGAACAGGGACCTTCTTGCTGAACTGGATTTCCTTGCAAGAGTACGCACAGCTATCGCTTGAAAACTGGACGCTGTTCTTCTAGGGTGCGCTTTTCATCCCAGGAGGCAATGCTTCAGGCCAGACGGGCAACTGTCGTGCGGTCGCTGGAGTGTATCTTCCCCTCCAACAGATCTTTTGTTCACCATAGTAGACGTACCATTACCAATTCCCTCTAGCCCAGCTGACACTGTTCCACCTTTCCATGTCCTAAAATGCCCAGATGTAAACGAAGACACTACGGCAATTGCGTTAGGCTACGCCGCACAGGTGGTCAGCCTCCTAGCCTTCTATTGGGGTCATATGCTGTCACATCCAACAACACGTACTGGGGTCGTAGCCTGATTAAAGACCCAATTCCTAGCTTGCATGGGCCTCGGATGTGTGCTATACCCAATTTCCATGATTAACTTTTACTCACCACCTACCCCAACGATAGGTTCCCTCTCTTTTCCAAAGGTGTGGACATGTATAGATTGAATAGGCCGTGTTCCTTCTCAACAAGGACATTGAAAGGTAAAGTTCGTCAGGTTCAAGCTGTGAATACGTTATCGACCTCAGCTGGCAAGCTCATGACAGAGCACAACTTGCAAGCCCTGAACATGCGACACACGCTGCCAAATCTCAAAAACCTTCTTTTGGCCCTCACCACTACCACCAACGCTGGGGAAGGCGACTCCACTCTGCAGACAGTGTGCGTGCTCGAGCTTTCGTTGCATATATCATTCCTTCTCATAGCAACGTTTTTAGAAGGCAGCAAACGGGACCATCGCGAAATTTACGGTCGATACAAGCAACAGCTGGAAGCATCGACGTCAGCAACCCTGTCCCTGCATCAACATCATATGGAGCTGAATCCCCTACACCAAGACGGACATTCTTTCCCCCAATCACCCTCCCCGGATTTTGGCAAACCCGCAATGTGCGGCCAGTACCGGCGTTTGTCAAGTCCACTCTACCTGCCATGTCAGAAGACGTGGACATACCTGCAGACGTGGGGTGCGACAGTGCGACAGTGCGCTCACTGCACCTCTCGAAAGTCCAAACGGGGAATGCCGTTAATCATGGGCAGTCATCTTCTGGTGAATTGGATCATGTTGATAGACACCCGCCAGAGCCTTCTGGAGTACAGTCGACGGACACAGGTCCGGATGCCTCTGAAGGTGCGACCGTGGAAACTGAGCGGTTTCCTGAGTCAATGCCTCCGCCTCCTGATGGCTTGGCAGATGTTGTGATTGCATCCGCTTCAACGCATGAGCAAGAGCCGACATTGGAGTCTCTGAAGGAGCAGAGCAGCAATTGGCTCACAACTGGTCTGAGTGCCAGTGTCGGTGGCTTCGGGAAGCACCTTCGTTCGGGAGGTACCCGAGAGTTATTTGGTGGCGGGTCACCTGCGAAAAGCAATCGGAGAGGCCCTGGAAGACCACCGACCGTCCCCAAGTCCGGTCCCAACTCCAATGGGCATGGTAACAGCCAAGCCAAGGAGACTACTATCCACACAGACCTACCACTCATGGACGCGAACCTTTAGTCCATCCCCGCTTCACAATGATGTTGTTGATATCTTAATTCATGCACTCTAATCGATCAGCCTGACACAATTTCATAACAATCGAAACGGAACGAAGGGTTTCCCGTCCCCACACCCTGATTTTGCACATTCGATTAAGTATCCTCGATGTGCGAAGAGTCATTGAGAACGAATGGACTCACTCCGAGTAAATCGGGCAAATTGAATCCCATGGTCTCGATTCAGACTCGATCTATTGTTTTTTTTTACTAGGAGGAATATATACTAATGATCCCTATCACAATAATGTATTGAAGACAGTTTGCGCCACCCGCAGCTACACTCAGTACGCCGTCGTGTTGATGACACTATCCGTCCTATTGCAAAGTGCTTTTCGTCCTGCTGCCACACTTCAGCCACTGACGCCTTTTTTTGAGATCAGTCTTCCGGTACCAGGGCGAAGCAGGAACGTCGACTCATCAACATTGTTGTGAGTGGCAGCCCAAAAGTCCTGATAATGACAACGCGACTAATGAGTTGAACTCTAACAGTGGCTGCCATGCATGGACTCCGAACTCACACTTATGTCAAAAGCTGTCGACAACCCAAGCTATGAACAGTGGAATTAATTCATTAATCCCAGAAGAAGTTAACTCACGGCTCTAAAATTCGGGCCACAAAGAAAGAAAGATTGGACTATAAGGATACGATGCTACTGTTGCAGTAACTTGATATGAGGGGAAAATCCTCTGAGAAGCGCGTTGAGTTGGGGGAGGAGAGCCGTCGCTTGATCATGTACATACGTACCAAACCAGCGCCTTGCATGGTCAAAATTCCTAAAAGCGATAAAAAAAAAACCACAGGTTCCATCAAGACAAACTACATTTTTAAAGCCAACCAAGGCATGCCACTCACACCGTTGCAAATATCCCCTAATCTTGCAGTCGCTCGAAATGCATGCGCACATACTTTATATACGAAGAGGAAACGAACATACCGAGAGAAATCCTCAACCAATCGTTGGTGACGTCAGGCATGTGATCAGCTCTTGTCAAACTCGAGTGCTGGGTGCCAGAAGCCTTCGTGAAAAAATTTGCATATGATACCATGCACCAATTGTAGTGTTGATGGGAACAAGACGTTAGAGCGTTTTCTTACATGACGTTGTTATGTACAACCACACTCATCAAGTAACATACAGTAATTCTTAATTCCGATACTCTCCAAATAATCGGAAAACAGTCAACTTAGCAGTTAAGAAGTAGGGATGTACATCACTAAATGACAACTTGGCTGATATCGACGACCACCGGGGCTCTCAGTTTGCCCTGGAGCAGGAATCGGGTCCCGTCCTTGCTAGCCCGGGGAAGGTGATATTGGATAGGTGTGCTCTCATCCCGGAACAGCAGATCACCGTACCAGGGGTTATTCTCGGTGGGGGAGGGATTCACGTTTGTAAAGACTGGGCGGTACTTGGATTCGACAATGAGTTCGACTTGTCCATTAAAGAAGACCAGAAGTATCGAGAGTCGAGACCCGATAGAAAGGAATGGAACCCGTCCTATCGCTGAGGAATAGGCAGAGGCTTTATCGCGCTCACCCAACCTGGTCATGGTTGGCGAGAGGTCATAAAAAGGGCATTTCAGCCAGGATTCGTCTGTTTTGTGTCTTGAATCTGGCTCAGAACTTTGTACATGGGTTGCACCCTCTTCCAGGGTCAAATGAATGGCGTGGTCACCAAATACCGGTGTAGGAATGAGATACGGGAGAGGAGGAACATAACCGGGATTGAAAATCCAGGATTCAGATTTGTGCACACAATATTGAGCAACCAACTCGGATGTATCCGTTGACCAGACGAAAGCGCAGTTTGCATCGAAAGCGCCTACATATCGGCCTCCAGGAGAGAATCCAACTGTGTGACGTTGAGGAGTAGATGGACGTTGAAGATCGGAAGCAGTGAAAGGAGCCGAAGGAGATGCGAGGAGCCGAATGGATGGCTCTTCTGAAAAGTGTAGGAGTGCCACGTTTCTGTACCAATTCTCATCAAGAGTTCGAGGGACTCGGATAATAAAGCATCCATTGCTCGACAATGCAGTTAGAGCAGGGTGTTGACCACTAGGAAGAGTGCCACATGGCACCGAACGTGTGCCACGACTGAGAACGGAGATGTTTCCATGAATGTCCTCAGTGGCAATCTGAGCATTGGCGCCAAGGATAAACTCTATCCAAACTGGATGGTTGGGAGGGTCGGATTGGAAGCATGAGATTGTACACTGATGGTTGATGTCCGCAATTTCGATGTTCCCATTTCCGAAACCGAGGGCAACGTGAGAGCCGTCTTGAGATATCGCCGCACAGGTCACAATCCCATTACAAATATCATGTTCAGTGAACTCGGCTTCGTAATTAGTTGCTTCGAGGCCTTGTTCACTAAACTTCTTTGGTAGGTTGCTCAGTTTTGCCTCGGCAACCACCTGAGCATTCCGTGCATCCTCACTCAAAGGAATAAAGCCACCGGAAAACTCGCCGGATATGGAAAACACTTGAACGGGATCGGAGAGATGCCCATACAATTCATAGAGTGACGATGAGGCGAATGGAAGGAATGATCGATAAATATGCCAAAGATCGAATCTAGGATTACGCCACAAAGTAGATCCGAAAGCTTCCTTCACCAGCTTCATTGATTTGTAATTCTATAGAGCGTCGAGTGATGTCATATCATTCAACTACATGAAATATACGTGGAAACTCACGGAGAATTTAATTGAACGTCGCCACTTATGCCAAGCTGCCTTGTTCATCCACCCTTCAGAAACTGCCAAGAATGAAAACAAGTTTTGTGTCAGGAGTCGTTCAAACTCTCTTTGCGATTCTTTAGACTCTTCTGAAAAGAGTGATGAAGGATCCAAGTGGTCAAACAACCTGTTGAATGAATACTGGATGTGGTCAGGTAGCCTTTTCGCCGAAAAATTATCCCACTTCTTTCTATCTCCCAAAGGGAGTTCAGTGGGAATCCCAACCTCGTTCCTTTGAATGACACCATTCACAAATCGAAGGAGTTGTAATCCAAGAAAATATCCTTTTGGATCATCAATAAAGAACACCCTGTCTTCTTCCTCGCCAATGGGGTCTCCCATGATAAATTCCTTTGCTGTTGCATGATAGAATTTGACATTTGCATTGTTTGAGGGGACGTCAATGATCGAGCTGATAGGATTCAATATTGCATAGATCTCATCCTCCGCAATTGCCAAGAGACGCGACATGCTGTAAACACTGAGTGGATCTTGCGCAACAACGACCATCCCAACTACTTGGCGATAATTATTCACTACATGTGAAGGGATGCTTGCCATGTTGGGCCTAAAGGCTCGCCGCGTTATTCGCAGATACTCCTCATTGAGATCTTTGGGCGCATCTTGGAGGTCGAGGAAGTATTGAAACTCTAATTTGAGGACGGAACCCCCTTGAGTCCGAAACCGAACTTCCCGTATCCGGATCGAGGCTATGACAGGCAAACCACGGCAAGCCAGAGTGAAGGCATCAAGGTCGTCCATCAATGGTTTCCAGTGTGACTTTCTGATGCAGTCCTTAAGCCCATCCGTTACCATAAGCCGGATCATGTGAAAAGTCTCGTCTTGTGCAACCTTATCCATGTCTTCACATGGGATGACAAAGCCCTGATCCCGAGATTCATCCCAAGCTGAAACAACTTGAGATTCCGGACGAGAACTGACCAGTATGGAAAATGCTGATGGCAGCTCGTCAAGCACAAGCACAAGGTTCATCAGAGTCCCAAGTGTCACTGAATCCCCACATTCATCTAAACCATCCAAGATGATGGTAAAACGTTTCTCGCTTGCAGACAATATGCCCTTGAGACCATTCATCGGCTCGAGAATTAAAATCCTCATTTGCTTCTCCAGAGGAAGGCTTAGAACCAACTCCGAATTCGGCTCTCGAAGGCGTTTGACGAGCGAAACCTTGAAGTCCACATTGAAAATCGCAAGTTGACGTGCCAGTGTAGAAGGAAATTTCTCTAGAGAATCGAGGCCCGTCCCCTTTTGATTTTTGTCCCAAAAGAAGGAGGCTGCAAGAGTACCTTCCTTCTCAAGCATCGATGCGATGCTCATAGATACCGCCGTCTTCCCAGTGCCAGGAGACCCACGGAGCCATACAAATCGGTTTCCGGCCCCCTTCAAATGATTGAGAAGGAATGTTTGTATTTGAACTCGTGTGCTCGGAAGACATTCTGACTTGTTCTTCACGTAAGTTTGCTCGGCCGCAACTCGTGGAAGCTGCTCAAGTTTTGCTGAAAGATGTAGCATTGATGAAAGATCCGAATATTGGAGAGAGCGAAATAACATACATTGCACTGATGCTTCAATTGTGCGAAGAAGCGTTAAAGTAGTTGCTTGCGTCTGTTGCAAAATGTACATTAGCCAGTCAAATCGAGGGCTTGGGAGTTCTGATGGGGACAAACCGCAAACGAGTTAAGAGCGTCATTTATGCACGCCTTCACACCGTTTATCCTCCTGGAAATTTCACGCGCTAAAAACATCCTCTTCACCCGATTTTGATTCTTGAGCAACTCGATCTCCTTTATCTGCTTTTTCAGGGCCCTGATGATAGGATTCTTGGATTGGAAGAGCAGCGGCTGTGGGAGTAGGTGGACGTACAAGTGAAACCTTTTGATCAACTGAACTACCTCGCGAGGGATTTGGTCCGTCAACAGCTCGAGCGGCTGCAGAATGGTCACATAAGCTCTTTGGATGTCCTCATCCAATCCTTTGAGATCATCATCGTTTCCACCGACAGTCTGCACAAATCATGCACAATGATACAAACATGAGATCGAGTGAATGGCATATCCTCTTCTATCCCGGAAGAAAAATTAGCTAACCTCGTAAACCTGGAGCCACGTCAGAAGTAAATTCGGAATTGCGTCAAGACCCGGAACCGGGGCCAACTTAAGAGCTTCGGCTGCAGTTTGTAGAACCAGCGTTATACCGCCAATGATTACTTTTTTTCGATCACTCTTTGAGCTGGCCGATGGCGTGATCGTGAGTTCCGATAGGCCAGAAACATTGATACCCTCAGAATCCAACTGTGCGTGATGACTGCTGGGCGTGGCATGCGTCCCAGACGCCTCGAGGAGATCATCAATATTGTCAGCAGGGGCGAGGGGAGATGGAGGAAGCACTCTATTATCGGCGGATGGCTGGAGGGAGGAAGTGGATGGTCTCGACTGTCCAACAAGATCGGAAGTGCTCGGCTTGCTACGATTGGGAGAAAATTTGCGCCAGATCTTCCTCGATCTGCGGCCCGTGGAAGACGATGGTTCCGTCGGATCAGCGCGGCGACCACCAGAAGGTACAGGCTGAGCAGCCACTGCAGGCTCAAGATAAGGTCCTGCCGGCACTCTGAACTGATTGCGATGGGTGCTGTCATGATCAGAGGATACCTTGGGACCAGTGACATGGACATGCGGAACAGGGGATTCCGAAGGGGTCAAGGGATCGGACGCTTGCGACGATGAGCCGGGAGCGGGACGCTTTCCTTTGTTGCGGGGACGAATAATCTTGGATGTATTTTTTTCAGACATTGCGCCAGTACGATAACTGGAGATGATGCTCGCGTGGAAGAGTGAACAGAGGACACTAGCGCAATTGTGCACCGCATTCACATGATGCGTATGAAAATGCTTTCGTAGAAGGAAGCTGGCTCACTCGCCGCGCGGAGTTGGCCGAAGCGATCGTATTGTATTGAGGTCTCGCTTGGGAAGATTCTAAGCTCATTTTTGGGCAGTTGATCATCCTGTCGGATCCTTGTAGGTCTTGTGCAGGTCTAGCTCCCTGTGTGATAAATTTCAGAATCTTATAGAGCAGCTAGCAGCCTAGCACACGGGTACATCAAGATAACGGAATGCCGAGGCTGAGCCGGCTCTTTCCCTATCTGGTGGCAATAACGACAGGTGCGCTTGTTCTTCATGGCTTGAGACGCGAGCAGGTCCCGATGCTGACAAATACACAATGAAGGAGTGTCATCTGGTATATATATTTGGCAGGAGCCTTTGAAAGAAGCGATGATCGAGAGAGGTGAGCTCCACAATTCCTACCGATTTTCCAGCAAACTAACAGGACCGGAATCCGCTGGTTCCACTCGCGAAAAACGACACGTAGGGAAGGTGGGAGAGTCAATAGCGAGACCAGCCCATATTAAGTCCGAGGAAAATTCAGGTAGTGTTGAGGCCATAGAGAACAACGGAAGTACGGTTCCCCGCAAGGAGAAATAGGCATAGTATTTTATATCGCTTCTTACATAAGTAACAAATCCTGGAGTCCCCTCAGGAGCAATCTCCTTAGGGCAGGGTGACGGATGATGCCGAAATTATTTCAATAGAATTCTGGTGTCCTGAAGTCGCAACGCATTTTTTGCTGATTTCAACGGTTGTCCACTTTAACGCGGACAGATTGTGTAACTGAGACGTGAGACGAAAGTGCTCCTGCGAAGGCTGGGTTAGATTTCAATATGTGCGTGCACACTGTTGTAAGTCATCAATCTAAACGTCCTTAACACGCACCCGTCAGGTCCACTCTCAAGGAACGTATTGCTGCGCTGCAAGCCAACAGTGGACTTACACCTCCTGGGAACGGGTCGTCACGGTCTTCGACTCCGTCTCCAGGCCCGCAGCGCTCGCCGTCGGAAAAGGTGCCTGCGAATCGCTTGAGCGACAAAATAGCGCGTTTCGACAAACTTGGCGGGGCGCCTGTGCCGAGAAGTGGCTTTGGATTAGGATCTCCGCCCCCTCCCGTGTCAATTCCCCGAAATACGAGTCATTCAAGCGATTTATGGAGCAAACAGTTAGCTACTGATGCCAAGCTGACTCGGAGCACATCAAACCGCTTTTCAAGGGAACCATCTGAAGAACAACCCACTTCTCCGACTGAGCCGCGTCCCTTTGAAACGATAAAAGCTCGTCCACCGTCGGTTCTCTCCGCACGTAGTCATTTGGAACGCGGACTGATATCTCCTCAAATAACTGGAGAACCACTTGGTCTCCCAAGGAGATCACAATCGTTGCGCCCTGAATCCCCTACACCATTGCCCAAAAGCCTAGTTTCTTCTGTTGAGGAACCTATGGCTATGCTGACGACCGCTGCCGTGTCTAACTTGCCAGCTTCTCCGACCCTGCGTTCGACGGATGCCACGAGCTCAGTTGCTACTGAAATAGACGTGTCAAGTGAGAGAGCGGGACTTACCCCCTTGACTACGCCTAACTTCTCGAGACCTGTGTCCGCTATGTCGTCTCCAGCAATTGAAGTTCCGCTGGCCCTTTCTTCTGTAACGTCTACTCGTGCGGTGTCGAGGATCGCATCCAGGGATGTTGTATCCTTAGAAAGCACTCCAATGAAGGCTCGACCGGAGAGCTTGCCCCCCAAAGATACACCTCCGAAGACCGAATCGACCTCGCCGCCAGCGTCGATATCGTCTTCACCAGCACAACCCTTGATACCTGCTCTGACAGGCACCTCCATCGAAAGTGGGCCTCGGCCATCCACACCTTCCTATCTCGCGCAAGCGGCAGCGTATTTTCCGCCTGCCCGAAATCCAAACCGTCAGAGCTCCATTTTCCAGGTTCCCTCTTCTATACGCTCTCTTTCTCCAACTCCTCGCACTCCTCCCCGTGAACCGAGTATTTTATCCCTGACGTCGTCACGTTCTGCCGCCTCCGAATCGCCGAAAAGGGCACCTTCGACCGCTAGCGCTGGACAAAAAGCATCACCAGCAAACCCCAGCCTGGCTTTGACTCCCGAATCGGATTCGATCCGGACGTCAGTGGATACTGCTTATTTCAGTGTAGCAGAAAATGAGAATGAGGATTTTATATTTCTTGCTAGTGCAGTTGATGAAGGTGAGCCCCGCAATGCACAACTAGATACGGATAATACCACGGCGGCCCCAAAAGTACGTAGACCTCTTCGTTACTTTTCCCGTTCTAACGAAAGGGACTTAGACGCCCACCTCCAGCACTAACAATTTGATCTCATCTCAAGTGACAGTCGCTCGCACCTCATCAATCTCGACGCCATCTCAACTGCAGCCTCCAAGGGTTTCTCCCCGTCCTCCACCTGAACCTTCCACTGCCAGCCGTGCCGCATCTTTGAGCTCCATTCAGGCCAAGCTTGGCCTCCTTCCCTCAGCCAAGAAAACAGCAGCAGGAGGATCCATAAGAAACTCTGGGTCCAGACGGAGATCAGCCCTTCTAATACCAGGCAAATGGATTGAGTCCGATGACGAAGATGATTGTGACGAGGCCGAGGAGGGAGGGATGGGATGGGCCAGAATTGTCGTTGCCGGTGGCCAGGCCAAGTGATCTATTTTCACAATTCTCAAGAAAGAGTCATATCGATTGGCCGGGGTGTTTAGTTTTACTGATTGAAGATTGGATTTTGGGATACACCGACTTTCTTACGCTACCCCTTTCTGCTTTATTTTGTCCATCTTGATTTTCAGATAGTGCATTATATGACCGGTTTTACGGGATTGGAATACATTAATGTCGAATCGTCCGACTTTGCAACAAACACGCCTCGTCTTATAACTGGAGACTACATTCCATCACTTGAGAGCTAATCCTCATTCCAAACAACCTTCCCTACAGTCCACTGATCGCCCCAAATCTTCCGCTTATGAAATTGTTTTCTCGCTTCCCGAAACTCCTTGACGAAATCGTCGATATCTTTTTCTATGGGTGTGCTGGTGCCAGTTTCGAGGGAAGTGGGTGTGGGTATGGGTATGGATCTGGTGCTGGTGGCGGCAGAATGCCGTATGAACGATGAAGCGATGGATTCCGAATGTTCATCTTGGGCCGTCGTAGCGTGTCGGAGGCGTAATAGGAGGAAAGAAGGATCGTATCGCTGTTTTTTTGTTTTTTAGTCAATGGGGAAAGGAAGTAAGGAGTTAACATCATCATCATCATTCAGAAGGTGTAAGGGACATTTTTACGGACTTGATATAACTCCTTTTGTTCGCGCTCGAGTTCCTTTGCACGAGATTGTAACCGTTTGGCTTGATCGAACGCTTCTTGCGTTTCGGATCGTAATCGGTAGAGGTCATCCTGAAATTCAAGGTTATGGTCTTTGGTGGGTCACATTCATTTGGGGGGGGGGGGGAGGGATTGCATCGAAGCGCGTCCAGTCAAGTAGAAAAAGCGCAAGCAAGTCGCCGTTGCAATGCGGGCCGTGAAATCGGTACCCCCAGATCGTTAGTTCAAGGACTATTAAAAAGGAAGCGAGTTTGAAGGCGCACTCACTGGCCAAAGACTGATTAGCCATTCCCACTTCCAATTGCGCCTGGAATAAAGCCCTGACAGGCGATAAGGAGTGGAAGACCGCTTCAAAGTACGCAGGATTGGAAAGTAGATCTTCAAGGTCTTCCCGCCTAAAATTGAAAAGAGAAAAAAAAAAAAAAAAAAACGTTTGGCTTAAGTCACTCCCTGCGCAAAGCTACGAAAGTGGGAGTGTTGGGAAAACTTGCGATAATGATGCCAGCTCGGGAAAGTCTACGAAGAGTTGCGATTGAGGTCCCATATTCATATTGGGTAACCGCGTATTCGTTCTCGATGTCCCAGGAAATCGGCCAAACTGTCAACAGCGACGGCGGGCGGGATAACAAATAATAAGACACGATAAAGTCCTTTGGCCTTGTCACTTTCGATCACATGCACAAGATCGAAAACCTAGCCATGCAGCGCGAAGAAATCATAAATCTCGCTGCGGGTCCCTCTACACTCCCTCAGTCCGTTCTCCAAGAAGCGGCTCAAGGGCTTCTGAACTATGAAGGCACAGGCATCGGCCTAACGGAGCTTTCACATCGATCGCCTGACTTCACTAAACTCACCACCGATCTCGAGAACATCTTGCGCAAACATCTGAACGTTCCCCAGACTCATCGAGTATTGTTTACGCAAGGCGGTGGATCGCTTCAGTTCAGTGCTGTCGTGATGAACTTGCTTTCTCGTCATCGCAGATTATACCCCGACTTACCCGAGAAGGATCGTGTTATGGATTACGTCGTCACTGGCAATTGGAGTTCTAAAGCCATAGAGGAAGCCAAGAAATTAGCTGGCCCGTGTACTGTACATACCGTCTTCGATGGACGAGAACATTCGGCCGACAGAAAATTCCAAGCCATTTCGGCCGCTGAGAATTGGAAAATTTCCAATAATCCTGCATTTGTATATTACTGCGACAACGAAACCGTAGATGGCGTCCAGTTCGATGGGTACCTCTCCAAGGAAGGGGAGAACAACGAACGAATCCGATTCCCCTTCCACGCCCTTCCTCGTGATCCATCCAATCCCACCAACCTTGTACCCATAGTTGCAGATTATTCCTCTTCGTTCTTCACCCGACCGATTCCGCAGATCGAAGACCACGCAGTCGTGTTCGCCGGCGCACAAAAGAACGTCGGACCCGCAGGGCTCACCATTCTTCTCGTCCGTCAGGATGTCCTAGTCCCTCAACCGACGAATTCATTGTACCCGATTCCAACGACACTCGAGTATGCCACATTGGCCAAATCAGGTTCTCTCTATAATACGCCGCCGATGTTTAGCATGTATGTGTCCCTCTTGATCATGAGGCACTACGAATCAAAAGGAGGGCTATCAGCTGTTGTGGCGGAAAGCAAAATCAAAGTGGAAAAGTTATATAGGTCTCTGGAAGTTGGAGAGAAGAAAGGGGTATTCAAGCTGCGAGTAAAGGATGGGAGCCGCAGTTATATGAATGTTACGTTCGAGGTTCTTGGGGAGGGCAACGAGGCAAAGTTCTTGAAGGAGGCCACCGAAAAGGGACTAAGAGGGGTGAAAGGCCATCGGTAAGTGCTAGAGTTCAGTAAGGAATCGACATAATGACTAATGCGTGATCATTCAAGTTCGGTGGGTGGAATACGGATTTCACTGTATAACGGGGTGACGATAGAGCAAGTTGACAAAGTCGTCCAATTTGTGCTCGAGTTCGTTGAGAAAAATGCCAGCTAGAAACCAGGCTACCCGACCGGCCCAGCATACTTGCGAATGTAGCGAGAACAGCCGTTTACGGGCGGGTCTGCGACGCATTAAATGTCATTCGATATTCAATAAACTCGTAAACAGAGAATGGGTGAAGATCGAAGGTGCAAAGTTAGATACGCACTCGTATCGAAATCAAAAGTATTAGTCTGATAACTTGCAGTACGCGAATGCATCGGAACCTCAGTGCAGACGATGTGACGTTTAAAGTGGGGCCCAAGCAGGCTCGTACCCAGTCAGAGGAGCTCGTGGAAAGCTGATTACATATAATTGCACAAGAAATGAATTCCCGCTGCGTGCGTCCACGAGCACCTCTGAATCGGTACGAGTCTGGGTCGCACTTTTCCTCAATAAATCGATCCCAGCTGTAAGAAAGCGCCCCTGAATGCATGTGCTCCGTTGTTCACTCTAGTACCCCGCAACTCCCCGCCTCAAGGGGAATTCAATCTGGGATAAAGTGGTTGTGCTCTCACGGGAATGTGCCCGGACAAATATACGTCATGGAATGCAAGTGTAAGCGATCATTGGCTTAACGTGACAACGTGCTCATACAGCGTCGAATTCTGAGACTAGTGGATGTTTGCTGCGCTGACCAGGACTTCTACCATGGCCATAGGAATATGCGTAACTGCGGTAGTGCAGCCTAGCTAGCCCTCTGCAGGTGCGAGGGCGAGGTGAGGGATTGAGGGGCGGTGCACAAGAGGTTCTCTGTAGACCCCAGATGGGAGCTGGCCCTGGGTTTGCCAATACCCGATTTTTTCGGAATGACGAGTGCTTCACAGACATGATCACTCTTGCACCAATATCACGACACGCTCGGTCATTCAGCTTGAGAGGAGCCTAATATGAACACTAGGCTGGTTCAACTGTTCTGCCCGAGCAACAATGAAAGCTCCTTTGCAGCCTTCCTCCCTTGCATGACACAATCACCCAGACTGACACCCCCAACACCGCTGCCAATAACCCACATCCTACCCTTCCATTCTCCTCTGTTATCCTGCAAGATTTCCCTCAATTCCGCCATCCGATCTAGGTGTCCGGGTGCATACGTGGGGATGCAATTTCTTTGAAGAGTCATATTTGCATGCAGAGGCAGGGGGAGAGAGGATATCGAAAGCGTTGCCGAGAGAGATTGGAGGAGGGGCTGAAGAAGGGAGGAGAGAGGGGGGAGTTGGGGTGGAAGGGGGTGCGGTCCTCCGAGCATTAGCGTGAATCGTGTTAGGTTTTGGGGTTGGTTCAATGTTTGAGAGAGAGGTGGGAGAAAGGGTGGAGGCGAATGGGAATGAGAATGGGGGGACGGCATAGCTGAATCAAATATGACGCCTAAGAGGGAAGGTGAGATGTCTATATGACCCGAATTCGATAAAGGAAAGGAAGAGGCGTAGTCGGATGGAGGTCGAGGAACGAGGTATCCGAAGCCATCTGGGTGGTGTGGTTTTCCTGTAGGTGAGGGAGGGAAGATGAGGTTGATTACAAGAACTGTTGAGGAAGGATTGGCAGTTAAGTGTGGGACAGGGTGGGAGGGATGTAGAGCTTTGTGCAAGACGGGTAGGGGGAGTGCAGAGATGACGTGTGATGCGGTTAATGTTGACGAGTCAGATAAGGTGAGCTGGCACGAAGGTGGAATGCATTAACGATCTCCTGCGAGCCACATCGAGGGTGGGAAAGAGAGCACCTACTTCTATGCCTGTTAATGTTGGTTTTATGGAAGACACGCCTGTGGACGTCCTTATTTCCACGTTGCTCCGGGTAGAGAGCCAGTTCGCTAACGCCCCGGGCAATGTCCTCATGCCATCCTTGAACGTAAACATACTCACATTCTTCATGGTGTCCTTAACGCTTCCTAGCTCAAATCCCTCATCTTCTTCCGCCTTCACGCCCTTCCTGGGAGTGAACATGCTCTTCAGGATCCCCTTCAGGATGCTTCCATTCCCGCGAGTCTCAGCTTCCCAGAGAAAGGGGAAAGTAGCACGAACAGAGAGTGAACGTGCATCTGCGGCATAGATACCATGTACAATAGCACTGAGATAATTCCTAGCAAACTCTTCACCAAAACGACGCTCTACGAGTGAATGCACGGATTCATCACGGATCCCTGTGGGTCTATTTGGTGGGCGTCCTAATTCCGAGAGAACAGAAGGGAGAAGAGCCTGCAGGACAGGATTCGTACTGAATCGTGAGCGGAGAACGGAGGGGATGGAGGAAGGAAGGAGGGTAAGCGGAGGGAAGGAGATGTATCTCGCTTTAGAAGCAGGATGAGATTGAGATACCGTGAGTAAGGAAGTTGTTAGGTCAAGTAGGTTGACCTATGAAGCAGAATCACGGAAAGGGGAAGCCCGTGAGTTTTTGTTTTTGTCATCACCACACCCTTGGGAAATGAAACGAGAGACTTGATATGGTATATTCCGGTCGCTTACCAGTTCTAATAGGGCCAGGTTGTTGGGACGCAGTGTCCTGGGGCCAGTCTCCAGGAGAACGTTTTGTTCAATCCCCACGGTATTGGTTAAAGCATCTGCCCGGAGAAGAGATTTTTGGGAATTGATCCAACCCCCTATCGTGTTCCTTTGTTCTAAAAGGGTGATGCGTGAGGATCCGGGAAGGAAACGTGCTAAATGGAATGCGGTAGAGAGGCCTGTGATGCCTGCACCCAGCACGGTGATGGTGTGGGTTGGCATTTGTCGAGTGAATTGGACAAAGAGTGTTGGTTTCTGTTTGCTTCTTCTCTTCGACTAGATAGAAGATATCTCGCGTAGGGTGAATCTGAGAGTAAGTACTTGTTATAAATCTTGTGTAACAAACTGCCAAAGATGAGATAGAGGCACTTACATATTGATGGCAGTTTGTAATTTGCTGATCGATTTTTGTTCGTGTTACGTAGCATAATCCATTGAAAACGGTGATGATAGTGACTGAACTAGACTTTCGTGTTGTTGCGCCTGTGTATGGTATAGGCGAATCTGGCGAGGATCTAGCCCTTTACTTAATGCATAACAACCACTTGGGCCTTCTTCGATTCTGGATGGGAGAAGATAAAGTCGAATATATATATAAAGCGAAGAATATGGAGTGGAAAGGGAAGCGATTTATTATCAATTGTTCCTATGAGAGGGGAAGATACAATGAGGGGATAACCGTTAGAGACGGCGTCTGATAAGGCTTTGGGCGTCAGAGGTGAGGACTGGAATGTGACACAGAGGGTAATTTTTTGGTGGTTTTTGTGGATGTCCTTGTGGCTGCGGGCCATGTGTACGTTGCCGTGATGGCTGCTTAAGTAATCGCCACTTGTGTGAGTTTTCCCTCAGTTGTTGTTACTTGTCTAGACTCCCGTTAATCGTCGCGGTCCAGACTCAAAGGGGCTTTTCATCTCTCGACGACAGCGCCCTATACACTTGTCATTCATCGGCGTTCTGGACATTAGGATACAATTCTAAACGCTGATGGAGGCTCATCATCACAGCCATCATCGACATCTCCCGCCCCCGACATCCCGACCTCCTCCTCCCCCTCCTCCCCCCCCTCTTCAGCCTTCCTACTCTCCCACTTCACCTGTACAACATTCCCCGACTTACCACCACCATCTCAGTCACTTAGTTCACGCTCCTCATCACCAGCAGCGCTGGGATCATCACCCTCAATCTTCATCGCACCACCATCTGCCCATTCAACCTCCGCCATCTGCTCGCCTGCCGATCAACGACTCCCCTCCTCTCCTTTCCCGGCAGCCCCCGCCACGTCTAGACACCAAACAGAGGGCATCGCACCAACACCAACCTCCCCCGCCGCCGCCGTCTCAATCACAGACGCAGCAGCACCCGAAATTCCCTCAGCCCCAGCAGTACGTGAAGCATGAGCCCCAGCAGCAGCACTCTTTACGAGCACTCCCCGCGCATCATACTTCTTCGTCTACGGCAGCCCCTCCAGTGCTTAGAGAAAAACGACCCCTCCCTGATCGAGATAACGACGACGGAATGCCTCCCACCAGCGATTTCGTAAAGAAGCTATATAGGTCAGTAGCAGCTGTCGGTCATTGATCGCAGATCCGCCCATCTCTCCTCCAATAGAATGCTGGAAGATAACCAGGATGAGGATGTCGTCTCCTGGGGTCCCACTGGCGACTGCTTCATTGTCAAAGACATGAATGAATTCACGCGCATTATCCTCCCTCGCATGTTCAAGCACTCCAACTTCGCCTCCTTCGTCAGACAGCTCAACAAGTATGATTTTCACAAGATCAAGAACATCGTCGAGGACCCTAACCCGGACATGCAGGTCAGTGTCAGGGTCCAAGTCCTCCTTTTGACTGCTCACCGCTGAAATATTCAATCCAATACACTTGCGGGAATATCTTCGGAATTTTTTTTTTGTTCAGAGCTGGACGTTTCAACATCCAGATTTTCAGGCGAATAATCCTGCTGCCCTAGAGAACATCAAGCGCAAAGTCCCTAATGGCCGTAAGCCAACTGGCTCGTCTGCCGGCAAAGGTGCTTCGGTCGGTACATCGGCCCCCATGTCCGCGGTCTCACCGTCTTCAGCACCTTCGCCGGGAGGGGCGAACCTTCCTTCCATATCTTCCGTCAATGCTTCAGTCGTCCCAGCCTCGCCGGAGCTGGCGCCGCTCTCGAATCCGCACCTCGTCGCTCAACAGATCCAAGATGTGCATGATGCCTTCAACAGACGTTTCAGCTCACTCGAGGCAAGGTTCGATGAGTTGTCGAGGAGGTATGAGGACTTGGCTCGGGTGCATGATGATTTGATGACCAAGCATCGAGTCACTCTTAACGAGCTTGGCGATCTTCGACGGAATGCTAATCATCAGGACGGAGTACTGCAACAATTACTGGGTTATTTCGTCCAAGGGCAACACAGTGAGTTTTGACACTTTTTTGACTGATTCAGCTGACAACCGCATGACCCCATTTTTGGTGACACGCGATGGTCAGTGAGGAACACGAATCCCATGAATGGTGGGGCTCCAGCTCCAGCTCCCACAGCTCCCGTTGGGGGTGCCCCTATTGCCGACGAAGGGCAGCAGTATGTCTATCAGCCCCATTTCGTTCATGGTGAGGAAGCGAAAGGGATCATGCTTGCGAACTACACGGAGCAGGAAATTGCTCAGGTTGCATTCGATTCGATGAATGAGATGTCTCGGAGGGCGCAAGAAGCTGGGATGACTTTCGGAAGGACGAGCCCTAGACAGATCACAGCGGGTCCAATGGTTGGGGATGGGTCGGTTCCTCAGGCCGTACCACCACAACAGCCTCCAATGCTCGTAGGGCTCTCCGAGGAGGCAGCTATGCAGAGATTGACCGAGCTTCAAAAAGCTCGAGCTGCGACCCAGCCTGTCCCGAAGATGGTTAGCGTCAATCCGATGGGCATGTATGCACCCCCACCCCATCCCCCACCAGGTGTGGCTCCTCTAGTTAACGGCACCGCTGAGCAAGCGCAGGCTGGATCTCACGTACCTAGTGGAGGCGTTTTTGCTCCTCAAACTCAAGTTGGGGGACCGCTTGGTTATGGCCCGCCGCCCGGTATTGATCCAGGAACCGCAATGACGAGCGGTGATATCAATATGGAACTTCAGAGATATCCGTCTCCTTCCGATCATGCAGGTTTGTCCGTCCTGACGCTTGGCCATCTCGTCCCGCGCGCGTCGTATGAGACGCCTTCCCCCCAAGTAAGGATAGTAATCGGATTATCGAAGTCCCAAGCGACACGCCTGTTCCCCTTCGCACCTCTGCCGTTCCACCCACCGTGAATGGCTTGGCGGCATCAGGTTCAGGTCCAAGGCCAGAGTGGAACTATGGACCTGGTGCGGCAAATGTTGATGTGCCGATGCGTTCTGGGTCGCCTATTATCCCTCCTGCTTCACCTCCCTCGCTCAGCTCGACGGATCCCCGTCCGATCGTTAATTTGGATCACACCTACCCCACACAACCACCCCCGCCACCTCGTTCCACGCGTCCAGCGTCGTCTACTTCACCCGTCACGAAATCTCCGACGTCATCTAGTGGTAAAGACAAGAAGAATACGTTGAGAGTACGGAGGAGTACGTATGTGCCTGGATGGGCTGTTCCTCCTAGGGTGTTACTGGTAGAGGACGACTTGGTGAGCAGGAGGCTGAGTAGCAAGTTCTTGCAGGTGAGCGGATGCACAATTGACGTTGCTGTGGATGGGATTGGTGCCGTGAACAAGATGAATTTGGAGAAGTATGATCTCGTGTTGATGGTGAGTTGCAGTGTCTCTTGGTTGCTCGAATTTGGTGGATTGATGTTTTTTGCCAAGGACATCGTTATGCCCAAGTTGGATGGTATTTCGGCGACAAGCTTGATCAGACAGTTCGATCATATGACGCCGATTATCTCGATGACGAGTAACTCGAAGCCGTCTGAGATCATGACATATTATTCGAGCGGTACGTAGAGCGAAGGAGGAATTTTTCACTCCCTCGTTTTCTTTCCGTCCCTCCGGTGGTGGTGGCTGAGCAGAGGGGGCTCGTTTAGGTATGAACGATATTCTTCCCAAGCCCTTCACTCGTGACGGATTGACACATATCCTTGATGTAAGTGTCAACTTGGAATGACTGGGTTGCAGTGCAAAATGACGCTTCTGCCTCTAGAAACACTTGACGCATCTCAAGCTAATCAAGAATCTTACGACGAGCATTCCTCGCTCGCTTAGCGATAATGAGACTGTCATCTCTGCAACGCTCACTGTACCTCCTGGCTTCACCTCATCTCCCCCATCTCCGTCCGCCATCATGGCTGCCTCTACTCCTCAAGAGACCGTACAGCCCTCTCTCCCGATCGCCACGCTTACCACCACAAACAGTCTTTCACACATTGCTCCACACAGCGCCGTGATGGGTACGGGACAAATTAATCCACTCGAAGGACTCGGTATTGATCCTCAGCAATACCCGGGCATGCTGCAGAAGTTAATTGGGATGACGAGTGATGTGCTCGATGCAATTCCCGGTGAGATGGATTATGGTTCGTTAGGTATGGGGGGGATGAGCGCACCGTTGGATGGGATGGCAATGGCGGCTGATATGGGCACCGTTCCTTCGCCCTCCGTTCTGAAGAGGGAACGAGAAGATGATGATATGAGGAGCGTGAAAAGGAGTCGGTTTGAGGTTATTGAGTGAAGTCTGGACTCTCCCCGCGAACGAAACTCGGAAAACGGAAAAAGAAAGGTTCAAGAGTGTCGTTATCTCTGCGGTGACCGCCATGGTCTCGTGCTTGGATTCCTTTGATGCTATATACCCAGCTTCGCATTTCCCTGCCGATTCGATTCGATTCTGGCCCGATACTGGATCCATTTCGTTGCCCCCCTTAGCATTGATCCGGTTTAATTCCTCTCCGCTCTTTGGTTACTCTCTGCGATCGTGACTCTTTTTCTTGATTGCTGGGCGCGCGCACTGCCTTGTCACTCCACGCCGCTTCGTCTCGCTGTCTGCCCTTGGCCACTGATCGCCAGCTGTGGATCTTTTGCGGATTTGTTACATAGATATATGCGATATCTCCTCACCCTTTGCCGATCTACCCTCACGTATAATTTAGCATCCACTTGCCTTTTTGATTGCTTCATGCTCCTCTTTCTTGTACTTGGAAATATTCCAACTTTTCTACTTTTCTATTCCAATTCTGCGGTTGCCTCCTACCATTGTTTTTCACTTTTCGGATTTTTCAAATTCCACTGTATGTTCTCATGCCCACTGGCTCCATGCCCATGTCCACGTTTACGCACTGCCCTGCCATGTTTACGCTGCTCTCTCGACTTGTCTGTGTGCTCTCATCTTGTCTTCTTTTCCTTGGCGCATGCGCACATTCCTGTTGTTGTCACGTCGGATATATGATACCCACTCCAAATGTTACAAGCTTCAGGTTCTTCCTATTTGTTATCCGAACCGGTCCTTGCCTGCTTTTGCATTCTGTAATACGAATGTACATCCCACACTAGCTTGATACTCTTTCTGGATAACGAGGGCTACGTCAAACTTTGCATTCAGTGGCCTATAAAGGACACGCTGATTGTGATAGATCGAGAGTTATTGTGTCATACGAAGTACATAGTGAGAATTAATTTGAGTCGAGCAATCGAGATTTGAACTCAAAGAAACTTTGCAGCCTTGAAGAGTCTTGAGTTACCGCGGATAACGTACGTTAGTCGTTTTAACTTACAAGGTTGACGACGGACCCTTCAACCCCACCGCCCCCAATACCCAACGTACTCTTCAATTTCGCCTACAGAGACGATAATGTTAAAAGGTCTGATCGAAGGGTCGAAAAATCAAACAATGATGTACCTGAAAAAGAAACTTCGAGACTGTTAAAGCAGCACTGTTGACAGCATCTTGCTTGCTTCCTTCATTAGACCCTTGAGAATCGAACAAATTGGCAGCCTCGCTCATAGCGAATCCGACCAGTTGAGATTGCGAAGATCCGCTTCCACCACCTCCAGTAAAGACCTTCAAAGCTTGAACGGCGGCGGCAGAGCCAAGGGAGGACGCGTCGAGAGAAGCACTCTTCTGGCCATACGCTTGATTATGAGTTTCTTTTACAGCATCCTCGTCTAGAGGTTGTTTGTGTTCGTCCTGTTGGATGTTAGCCAGCACAGTGGGCACCACTCAGCTGCAATGACAAACCGTCGATTGACCCTTCACGAAGTGCAATGCGGCTGAGAATAGTCCCGTGTCTCCCGAATTTCTGGAATTGGTTTGAGCTGTAGAGACAGCACTCGTATGATCATCTGGTTCAGGAAGATAAGGGTTCAAAGTAAAGACGAGATAAGGGTGTTCTAAACCTTACATGAAGGTCGGGCCTCCTCGTCTGTGTGTTGAATGAAAATCTGAGCAAGGGATTCTTCCAACTAGAGGTCCCATCGAACACTCACCGTTTCCCAGAAAAGCACCGATACCCTGCGTTATGAAATCCTGATAATGATGCCCAACAACTCGTCAGAAAACGGAGGAAATGTCAGAGCAGGACGATACGCTACGGTGCTCTTGGTTAGTGGCAAGCCTATGGTGTTTGGAAGGGAACGTACTACGGCCATGATCGTTCTCCCGTCAATGAAGGTCCTTATCTGACCTTAACACCGATAACAATGCGGTCATGACCACCTTATATAATAAGAATGTAACAATATTATTGGCTGGACTCTGGATCCGTCTGTTGGGCGTTGGTGTCCACACATGCAAACAGGGGCACATGCGATGTGCATTGAAACATCGGTGAGATGAATCGCACATCCGGTATTACAGCATTGTCAAAGTCAGGACCTCAAGTCCGTGAGGCTCGATTGCACTTACCACATCCTAATTTCACTCCTCCCTGTGCTTCATTCGGCCACTCGCATTGGTAGCTTTCGGGATGGTGGCCTTCGCGGCCCCGCCCCTTCGGTGGGGAAGGGGAACTGCCATGCCGCCTCTTGTTCATCAAGGCACCTGTCTGGCTCGCCGGTATGCAGCCTCACACCAACGCCACCCCCAATAGCGTCGTGTTTCTGGGATCGAATATGCAGCTACCTGCGTACGGTAGGAGGTTGTGTTACACCGCGCGCAAGACATTCACCCACAGCACCTTCACTAGTTTACGGCAAATATAACTTGGTTATATTGCGGCATCAACGCGAAGTGAATTAGTGATGAGTCTTTGTTACGTGGTTATCGCATTTCCGGTCAGAAGATATCAAAACTTTTCAACGTTCTTAGGACCCTCGATCCTCCTGCCAAATCTATACTCAGATTTAAGCACCGATGAGTTCCCAGATAAAAGCGCAGAACAATTTTCATGTCTCACCCCAAAGAATCTTCGACGATCCATGAGTGGTATCCCCCTGCAAGAGGTGAGATCCAAAGTGTTCAAAAGTGGGCATGCATCAATGATTTCCTTCAAGGCATCGCCTGCGGAAAGCAGTTAGTCACACCAAGCAAAGTCGGGGGGCTGTAATCTCACTAGATATCTTCGTCTTTGATATGTTGAGGGACCTCAGCCGTCTGCAAGACGAGATGAACGGGACTGCTCCGTCATCTACAGATGTACTGGCCAAATTCAGATGTTCGAGGCATGAGGTGTTGTCATCCCATTCTTCCGGATAGGCATCATTTTCGCTAGCGATCCGTGCATGAGGGGGTGGAGTATCCGGCTGAGGCAACAGTCCTTCTAAGGTATCAGACGTAACTCCCTTAAGAGATGCAAGGTTGAGTTCCTGCAGTTACCTATTCGTCAGACTGAGATTGCAGGTCGACTGTCCACGTACTCGACAGTATCGTCCAAGCTTCCTCACGAAATACTGCAAGGCTGGCCCCTCAAGGCGGCTATTCCCCGCCAGATTCACGTTCTCTAACGGAACGCGTACAGGTGGCCACGCGTTACTGGATTCACCGGAGAGTCGTGAGGTAAGGAGCGCGAGATCACGATCCCTCAAGATAGTAGGGTTTTCCTGGCCCCCTATTCCACCAATCGATAACGTACGAAGGGAAGGAAAGTTGGCAACGAAATGCACCAAGCCTGCAGATCCGGGTTTCAACGGGATCGCTGTCAAGTTCAACTTCTCCAAATCCGGTAGCGAAAGCGGCCGAATTGGATGCTCTAAAAAGCGACTGGGAGACAATGACGTCACTTTAGTGAATGATGCGTCCAATCGACGAAGGGCTGGAAAATGCCCTAACAGTGAAATGAGTGGAAGATCCGGAGTCGCGATGTAACGGAGCTTTAAAGATGTGAGACAGGTTGAAACAATGCCCGGTTCGCTTCTAGCGAGGGAGGCAAGAAACTGAGGAGTCTGAAAAAGCCGCCAGTCATCATATATCAAGAACCGATTCGGCAAATCACTTGCAATTTTAGGAACTGCAGCAATCTTAAACACTTCCAGTTTCTTACACGAGACAAGTAATCGACCAAGAGATGCAGCGGTGGGCGTCGTGTGATTCAAATTTACAACACGGAGCTGATGACACGATTTTGTGATAGCACCAACCGTTCGCTCGCCGACTTTAGTGCACCCCCTGGCAAGCGTGCACAAAATGAGTTCGATCATGGGGTAGAGGAAAGGAGTTAGACACCGACTTCAAGACTAACGTCTCTAAGCATGGCAAACTTGGAAAAATAGACGCGAAAGTCGCGTCAGAAAACTTGTCGAAACCGCGCAAACTAAGTGAAGTAAGCTGGCTTCCGGCCCTTTGAATGCCCGTTATTGTGTGTTTGTTCACGCCCGTCAAAGTGCTATCCAGTGCGACGGAGGGCGGCCTAAGAAAATACTAAATTGCAGGCAATTTCGTATTAGCCTTGATGAGGTTGTGTGGGACAAGTTGAACCAACGGACGGCAGAAATAAATCCGTTGCTCATGAATGTGGGTCGGTACTTCTTCAAATCATCAACGAGGCGCGCGAGAATGGTGTCTGGGAGGATTCGCAGATACTGTGCGGCATGCCTCTGGTTTTCTTCACTCCCTAAGAGTGTTGAGAAATAGAAGGCAAAGCGTTTCGACGCTAGGCTAGCTAAAGAAGGCGTCGCAGCGCGCCTTCTCTGGGGTGGACGAGTTGACACTGAAGTCGCATTGATAATGGAGTCCGTGGCGGGGGCTTGGGAGTTCGCAACGTCATACTCTGGGTTGAACGCAGCAAAATCCCCTGCAAGGCGCCTCCGCTTCTTTGAAGGGACGGACAAGTAGCCTGATGAGCTTCGTTTGGGCATTTGTGCGTAATTTGAGACTGCTTGGGTATGTGTTTTATACAAGTCACGAGCGAGTTAATGCGGTTCCGAGAGAGAAAGCGTGGGAACTGACGCTGGAAACCTGCGAGTCACGGTTCCGGGATGTCACTGTGCCTAACTTACATAACTCTTCGCCCCAAACCAATTGCGAGCTCCTGCAATGAGTGCAGCGATCCCCATACACGACATTCCAACCAGCACTCCCGCCAGGTCTATTTCGCGATCCAGTTCCTTGGTACGCCGTGGCTCCCCGCTTGCACGTTCCTTCGATCCATCCGAATTAGACGACACCGCGACCGACGAGTCACACGAAAATGCATCACCCCATCGAAGGACCGCTTTTCTTCCCGGCCATCATCGTCACCACTCTGCTGGCCTTCTCGATGCCTCCTATATATCTTCTTCTCCTCCGCTGACCGGCTCCTACCTCACCTCGCTTCTCAACGGACGCATAGCCTCTTCAAGCAACCATACAACCACATTCAAACTTCATCTTTCAGCTTCTGCTTCTCTTGAAGCAACCAAGCATAAAGCAAAGCCCAAACCCCTCCAACTCATATTCCACTCGATATGGTACGACATAACTGGGCCTTACACCGCTACCATAGACGTCTCAGAACACCTTCGGGAGCAAAATGAAACAAACAGCTCCGCAGAGACCTCCAATGATCCTACTGTCGGCGATTACCTCCTCCCTTCGTCGAAGGGTCAGATTCAGCTAATCATTTCCAACGAAATGGGGACCCTAATTAAGATGTTCACCATTTCATACGACTTCACTTCCATAAAGAAATCTGGAACTCAAATGATTCGCCGGCAAGTTTGGTGCACACGGGTAAAGCGCTCGTCACCAGTCCCAACTGACAAGGACACCGAACGGAATGGGGTCTCTACACCGCCCAGCGGACAACCGTTACAGGATACAATCCGGTACGCCGCCCAACTGCATTTTGCTTGCCGGGCCTTTCCCGCTCCACGCCGCAACCCGAGAGCTTCCGATGCGATAGAAAGTCCTTCTGGTCACGTTCAGCTAGAAGGGACCTCGGCCGAGACTTCCACAAGTGTGTTCCCCGTTGACATGGAGGTAGAGGATACGAACAACATGGTGCCCGCCCAGGCATTATCAACGGGACCAGCTTTGTCATCGCTGCCAGCCAAATCGAAACCAGGCCGGAGCAGGGTCAGGAAGTTTTACCTTACGGGAACCATCCGACTTGTTTTCAATTCTCGACCACCCGAGGATGACGAGGAGTTGGTAATGACGACGGACAGCACCGACATTTTCGCTCCATAGAACGTAGTCCCAGCCTCTACTTCTACACGAACAACCCCATATTAATCGGCGTTACGCATTGCATCCCCAGCTCCATCGCAAATCACAATGCCATATGAAGACCATCCATAATGTAGAGTCTATCTTCCCATTTACTGTGCCAGTTCAAGATCTACTTCAATGCGAGGCGCATGTACCTATACGTTTCTATTAATTAGGAGTTGCCATTGTGAGCGTTGATTGGTAATTTGTCGATTCTTAAGTGAACTCGCCGCCATGTCAATTTTCTCCATTCCTGTCCTCATTTACCGAGATGGTCTCGTCGCCAACATCTTCGGCTGAAGCCACAGCTTGAATAGTCTTACCCTCGCTTTTCTTTTGTTTCTTGAGTTGTTCCTCCTTTCCGAATGGGGTGAAATCTTCTCCAAACACGCGCAGGCACAATGCGCTACGGACAAAAAAAAACACGAACAATAAGAACTGTTCAGTAAGAATCGATCGATACACAAAACAAGGATCGACGAAGCATCACACCTTTTTGTATGTTTATCAGCCATGAGCGCTGTTGACTTCGGCGAGATCCACAAAGGAAGCAGCAGTGGGTGACGAAGACTGGACGGAAATGAAGAAAGGAACAAATGTTAAGATGCGAATACACTCACGAATGACCTGACCATTCGCCTGGGAGAAATCGGACAAGATAGCTGCCTGTTGCTGAGCAGGAGATGAGTCTCATCATTGAGCCACCAGATGCCCTGTAATAACCTTTGGATTTAACACGTTCGCGAAACTCCTCGTCATAGCTATTGATCAGTGGATAATAGCTCCGAAGCATAGCCTCAAGCTCCTTTAATCCCGCATCCACACTCCCTTCCGTCTCGTCGACGAATGGCAAAACGGTCTGGATGCCGTCGCTGACGAATCGATATGGACTTTTCGTCTGTCCATCTTCACCATCCTTCTCACTTGCTCGAGAACCAACTTCCTGTCGCACAAATAGCTTGACGCCAGCGTTGATAAGCCTCAATCGTTTGTAGTCATTATTCTCGATGATATCCTTCACTAAAGCGTTGGAAAAGTACAACGACTTCGGTCGCTCAGATGCTAGCTCAGCGGTAGCGCTTCTCGCGAAGAGTTGGGAGGAAGGGAAGATTGAGGGGTTGATGTGTGTGACGGAACTAAAGAGATGGAATGGTGAGTAGTAGATAGTGTTATTCAATCTAAGTAAAGGAGACTCACAGGCATTTTTGTATGTGTTCGTTGTCTGCTTGTAAATACGTGTAAGGCACCTCGTTGAAACTTCTCCCACCATCATTGGGCTTGGTGGCCTTTTCTTCCCCGTCATCCCCTATCATTCTGACGGGTTCCCTAAGGGTGTCTACGCCGACTTCAGGCAGGATTTCATCGAACTCAACATCCACTTCCTCTCCCTGCAGAGGTGGCTCCGGTAACGCAATCGGCTGGAGTTCAACCCCCAATACTGAGGGAATCCCAGCAGTCTTGGCTTTTTTCTGGCTATCGACAGCCACTACGGTGGATAAGTTGCTAACTGTTCGTTTGAGCGGATTGGGATTTAGAAGCGAATCTCCTGCCGATGCATTCTTCCTCGCAAGGATAGCTACAAAGAACCCCCCAGAATCCTGGAGGTGAGGATATATCCTGATACTGGTAATTTACGAATCACTATCAGTGGGAGTCTCTGGAATCCTCCCAAGGACAAAAAGTACTAACCAATTTTGTAATCCCAAATCCTTCGCATTCGGGGGGGTAAACATCGTTTGCGAGTGCTTTGCGTGCCCTTTGGCCTTCTCCTCATCAGTCCAGTATGCTTGATATTCCTCCCAAGTTTTTGCGAAATTAGTCAGGCTCTTATCAATGGCGACATTCCATTGAAGCATTCCCGGTCTGCGTTCGAGTCCTGGGAGCCATAACGAGACGTCTAGAATCTCGAACTCGCCAGGATATTGATTTAGCGCTGCTGCCAAGACTGCTTCGTTCTCAATTGGATTCAGTGAACAGGTCGAGTACACAAGGCGGCCGGAAGGAGCGAGGAGCCGCATGCCCCGAAGTAAAATTCTCAGCTGAAGGCTAGGTTAGAGATCAGTGGGATCGCGACGTTCGAAACACAAAGTCTCGACATACACGTGAAGCCCCATTGCATTATTAGTCTGCCACCCATTCCAAATCTGCAAATTCTTTCTTATGGTCCCATCCCCACTACATGGTACGTCACATAGTATTCTGTCGAAGAGCAATACGTTCGCTCTACCTTTCCCTTTCCCGAGAGTTGGGATAGTGCCGAAGGCAGGGTCTTTTTGGGCTTTTAGTCGGGATGACGAAGGGGGTAGCTTTAAAGATGGGAATAGTGAGGCATCCAAGTTGGTGACCATCAAAGAAGGCGACGGCAAGCGGGAGGACTGATGCACGAGCATGTGCGACCTTTTGTTGTCACTATCGTTAGCGATGACGACTCCAGAAGGCATGTCCGTGCCGGAATGGAGTGCTTCCAGCAATTGGGCAGTCTAAATATTCAACAAATCAACAATCACACAACGCTGTTTCTAGCAAAAGGACGCACCTTGGAACCAGGTGCCGCACACATATCGAGGACCTAAAGCTTCATTAGTCGGGACTTTGAGTCAGTGATCCCTCTAAATCCTTACAGTATGATGCGGCTCGACGTCGAGAAGAAGGGTGGAATCATGCTGACAGCTTCCTGCCTTGATATGTTACCCTATGTACAATCATTCAGACAAACCCTACCCGCGGGCAAACCAACTTCCTCACATACCGACTGAGTTTCGTAAACAAGAAAGTTTTGAAACTTCCTGAATTCAGGGGACTTGCGGACTACAGCTTTCGTGACATTCAGCTGCCAGGCGAAACGATCGGGATACCTAAGAAGCACTTTGTCAGAATTTCCGAGTAACAGGTGCTTATAACTTAGTGAAGATGCACCAAGGAAGCTGAGTGGGCGCAGGGACAGGCTGATCTTCCCAGGTGATACCAGTCAACTGAGGAACGTATGTTTGTCTAATCACATCGTTAAGCTCGCGTGCTGTCCTATGTAACCATTCGATCTGAATCACTTGTTTAACACACGGCTGCCACGTACGTTCGGTTCCCAGTCAGTCTGAAAGTGGTAGGAAGTGGTTCTCTCAATGAGCTCATGAACGCGCCCCATTCCCATTCAGGTATAATCTGTTGGATCTGCAAGGGAAAAACTAAATCAGCCAATCCATCCATTGCTCATTCACACAGTGCGCCTTACTTTATAATAAATCTCAAACCTTTCGTTCGTCTTCTCGACAACAAACTTTTCTCGATCGTGATACTTTGGCTTGCCATCATTCTCCTGAGCGGGCCCTCCCCTGTCCTTGCCTCTCTGCTAACTCAACTTCATAAGCATCCCGGGAAAGATTCCCCATGGACATGATTCTACCTTGCGCCCTCTGGCCATCGCTATCCTACGGAAATGAGTGGACGCAGACTGCCGATGGGTAGAATTACGTCATGCAGCATGCGTGAACCATTTCTCGCTTTCTTATTCTGATGCGTCTTCAACCACAATGATTGCACTCGTCTGCAAACAGCGCTCAGGCAAACAGGAGCACGGCGTCGCGCGTTGCGAAGCTAAGTATCCAGACCAGCCAGCTTCCCTCGGAGATTAGAATTGTTAGTAGCTTGGAGGCGCCCGAGATCACCATGTTGTTTTCGTCCTTTAGTTTGGGTAGCGGCGTGGCCATTACATGAGAGGTGTTCATGTCTTGGGGCCATTCTTTTCGTGCACATTTCCTCGATGGCTTGCCAGATTTCCCTTCCTCTGTTGTGGGGGCACTCGAACAGGATGTGATTCATTGATTCTACGACTCCACATCCAGTGCATCTTGCTCTCAGTTCATAACCTGGTTTCTTCTCCCGGAATTGTCGGATTTGTGCGTATTATGGATCATTTCCATATGAAGACTCTGGGCTTGGGGTTTTCTATTCCACGTAGTTCTGCTCTCGCATGATACTGAAATATAACCTTGCCTCAAAGGTCATCTCATGAAGTGAGGGTGTGCCCGTGGTGGTTGGACCTTTAAGGGTCCGGTGGGTGACCAGGAATGTCTGTCTACGCCCCGCCTCCTATGCTCAAGAAGACGCCGTGGCTCATGTTTCCCCCACTTCGGGACCTGAAGCTTTATGATCATCGACGCTGCGACAGTCGAGAATGATGACATGGAAAATTGCCTGGCTACTGCACATTTTGGACACGATCGTGAATGGCAGGTAATGCTTGTGCATCTAGTTTAAATGTTGGAGCTTACAGTGTAAGGCTCTTTCTCCGATGGTCACTTTGTTCCATGTTCGTCATTTTACCACGAAAAGCTCAAATTCGAGCTTCTGGCGCAGGTTCCAACTTCGATGGGCAGGTTAAATGAATGCGAGATCCCGCCGATCATTCTCACTGGCTCATTGAGAACATCCCGTACCTGGGGGCACTACCCTCTAATTCAGCTGTAGCGGAAGATTCCTCTTAAGTGTAAATATGTGTTCGGCAGTGCTGCGGGCGAGTCTCGCGCTAAGAAGCGTGCTATCGCGAATTCCGTTGGCTCCCCGGGTGCAGACGGTCCTTCCACAGTTCCCAGAACGATGGGGTTTTTGCGCGGACTCTTCTTCGGGTTCTAATTATGACGAGCCTGCGGCTACTGATGGAAAAGAATTGGCGACTCACCTGCCTCTGCGGGGGGACAAAGATGATAGGAAACGAAAACGAAAAAAGAGCAATCGTCTGAAGGTCCAAGTGTTAGAATTCTTGGTATTATGGTGTTCGCTATGACCAACTCACGTTTGGTGATGTTGAGTCGTGTGGCGTTTAGATTTACACCTATTGCCTTTCTTGGTGGCGTCCGTGCCAAAGTCAGTGCGCATTCATAGCGCCTGACTATAAAAGAACAATTTTTCACAACCCAACCTTTCCTCAGTTCACGTACAACGGGACTGAGGTGTGTTGGTTATCTCTTGTTCATCGTCCATAAAACGTGTATCTAATATTCGTACACCAGCGACAACATCGCTAGTGATTACTCTAATATACATTTAGTTCACGCATAGCGGACTGAGCGACAACATCGCTAGTCCAACATTTCGTCTTATACCAAGAATAAGTTTTTTGCAGTCTCCTGCCCCTATATCTCTATGCCATGGATTCACAAGGCGGTGGGGGAGTTGTGTTGTACAGGATCGCATGTATTTCTGATTGTGTTGTCTGTCGTGCGTCAATCAAGTGAGCCTGGGATTAGCTACTTCAGAGGTCGCGGCGTGGCCGGGTGGCATGACTAGCCGAAGGCTCGTCGACATACGATGAATATCTGGGAGCAAATGGGCGAACTAACGAACTACTGACTTTAACTGGCAATGCTAGCACAATTCCACCGTGCCCAACCCTGCATTCTCAGTAGCTGCGTTGTTGGGTGAGGAGCGACCACCACTGCTCCGATATCACGATGATGGGAAGAAAACTGAGTGAGCCCTTGATTCTTTCAGATGTTTCAACACTCGGTTCGGAACTTATTTGTCCGAAATAACAAGATTACATCATATCTCATCAAAGGTCATCAGCTAATGACAAGCGTTGGCCCTCAAACTAATATTGTGTCATGCATGGTAAGCGATTGACCACTAGGATCAGAGAATAAGCGGTTTAGTTCGAAAATGACCAGCGTGCATGCGAGTGGGCTTCTTTCGTGCCTTTCTCGCGCGTCAGTGCAGATACGGGACTTTGTGCTCGTCCGCCATGGACCGCAGCATAAAGGGCCCCTGGAAGAATTTCTTCGGTGGCACTTTCGTCGGGAATGGACGCTGCTTAAACCAAGTCATTTACACGCTCACAAGTTTTTTCGGGATGCCCACAATGCCTGTCATCCTTTGTTACAAGCGTTTCCGTCAGGATGATGAATGGACTCGGCGTGAACCCGCAATCAACAATCAGTGCCTGGAGTCTGCCACCTAACCTTAACTTCGAACTGCCTCAAGATGTCTCAACCATGATGTTGGTCACCATCGCACTCTCCACCTCTCGCGCTATGCACTAACCAGTTGAGATGCCCTGCATTTGTATCGCCGAACAGCAACAACACTCCGTTTTGCAGCTCCAAGGAATCCTCTCAACCGCGCCCTTCTGCCATATTTCATGTCTAAAAGTGTTTAAAGAGCACACGCTACGCATGTCAGGTGTCTCTACGCAGTAGGGGCCTGTGAAGTGGGAAAGTGCGTGTCAATAAACCGAGTCGGACATTGCGGCTCTGCAATTTCCCAAACGAAGTTCGACAGGAGTACTTGCTTTACATATTGAGTCCTGTGTAACCAATTGATTTATGATTCATCCAGCTTCCTTCTAGCATTTTCATACACATCATGTGCATGCGGCGCGCAAATTCACTACCAGTGTCCCCTGTTCACCCTTCCACACGAGCATCATCTCCAGTTACCGCACTGGCGCAATGTCTGAAAAAAATACACTCAAGATTATTCGTCCTCGCAACAAAGGAAAGCGTCTCGCTCCCGGCTCATCTTCGCAAACATCACGTCCCTTGACCCCTTCGGAGTCCCCTGTTCCGCATGTCACTGGTCCCGAGATATCCTCTGATCATGACAACACCCACCGCGATCAGTTCAGAGTGCCGGCAGGGCCTTCTTGTCTCGAGCCTGCAGTAGCTGCTCAGACTGTACAGGCTTCCGGCGGTCACCGCAGCGATCCAAGGGAACCAGCGTCTTCCACGGGCCGCAGATCGAGGAAGATCGGCCGAAAATTTACTCCAAATCGTAGCAAGCCTAGCACTCCCGATCTTGTTGAACAGTCGAGACCATCCACACCCTCCCTCCGACCATCCGCTGATGATACAGTGCTTCCTTCATCTCCTCTCACCCCTACCGGAAATATTGATGACCTTCTTGAGGCATCTGGGATGCATGCCACGCCCCGCAGCCACCCGAACGTTCACGCACAGTTGGACTGTGAGGGTATCAGCGTTTCTGGCCTATCTAAACTCACGATCACACCATCGGCTAGCTTAGGGAGTGATCGAAAAAACGTAATCATTGGCGCGATAACGCTGGTTCTGCAAACTGCAGCCGAGGCTCTTAAGTTGGCCCCGGTTCCGGGTCTTGACGCAATTCCGAGTTTACTTCTAACGTGGCTTCAGGTTTACGAGGTTAGCTAGTCTTTCTGTTTCCGTGATAGAAGAGGACATATCATTCCCTCGATCTCATGTGCGCAGACTGTTGGTGGGAACGATGATGATCTTCAAGGATTGAATAACGACATTCAAAGGGCTTATGTCACCATTCTGCAGCCACTCGAGCTGTCAACGGATCAAATCCCTCGCGAGGTAGTTCAGTTAATTAAAAGATTTCACTTGTAGGTTCACATACTCCCACAACCGCTGCTCTTTTAATCCGGGAATCCTATCGGCAGGGCTCTGAAAAAGCAGATAAACGAGATCGAGTTGCTCAAAAGTCAAAATCGGGTGAAGAGAATGTTCTTAGCGCGTGAAATTGTCAAGAGGATAAACGGTGTGAAGGCATGTATAAATGACGCCCTTAACTCGTTTGCAGTTCGTCTTCATCAGAGCTCCCAAGCCGTTAATTTGACTGACTGATATGCGCTGTGCAATAGACGCAGGCAACTACTTTAACGCTACTTCGCACAATTGAAGCATCGGTGAAATGTATGTTATTTCGCTCTTTCCAATATTGGGCTCTTTCATCAATGCTACAATCTTTCAGCAAAACTTGAGCAGCTTCCACGGGTTGCGGCCGAGCACACCTACGTGAAGAGCAAGTCAAAGTGTTTTCCAAGTACACGAGTCCAAATACAAACATCCCTTCTCAATCATCTGAAGGGGGCCGGAAATCGATTTGTCTGGCTCCGTGGGTCTCCGGGAACCGGGAAGACGGCGGTATCTATGAGCATCGCATCGATGCTTGAGAAGGAAGGCACTCTTGCAGCCTCTTTCTTTTGGGACAAAAATCAAAGAGGGACGGGCCTCGATTCTCTGGAGAAGTTCCCTTCTACACTGGCACGTCAACTTGCGATCTTCAATGGAGACTTCAAGGTCTCGCTCGTCAAACGCCTTCGAGAGCCGAATTCGGAGTTGGTTCTGAGTCTTCTTCTGGAGGACCAAATGAGGACTTTGATTCTTGAGCCGATGAATGATCTCAAGGGCATATTGTCTGTAGGTGAAAAACGCTTCGCCATCGTCTTGGATGGTTTAGATGAATGTGGAGATCCAGTGGCACTTGGGACTCTAATGAACCTTGTACTTGTGCTTGACGAGCTGCCTTCAGCGTTTTCCATACTGGTCAGTTCTCGTCCTGAACCTCAAGTTGTTTCAGCTTGGGATGAATCTCAGGCTCGGGGCCATGTCATCCCATGTGAAGACATGGATAAGGTTGCAACAGATGAGACTTTTGACACGATCCGGCTTATGGTAACGGATGGACTTAACGACTGCATCAGAAAGTCGCGGTGGAAACCATCGATGGACGATCTTGATGCCTTCGCTCTGGCTTGCCGTGGTTTGCCTGTCATGGCCTCGATCCGGATACGGGAAGTTCGGTCTCGGACTCAAAGAGGTTCTGTCCTCAAATTAGAGTTTCAATACCTTCTCAACCTCCGAGACGCACCCAAGGATCTCAATGAGGAGTACTTGCGAATAATGCGACGGGCCTTTAGGCCTGACTCGTCAAGTATGCTTCCACATGTAGTGAAGAATTACCGTCAAGTAGTTGGGATGGTCATTGCTGCGCAAGATCCGCTTAGTGTTTACAGCATGTCGCATCTCTTGGGAATTTCGGACGATGAGATCTATGCAATACTGGATCCTATCAGCTCGATAATTGACATCCACGCAAATGTCAGATTCTATCATGCGACGGCGAAGGAATTTATCATGGGAAACCCCATAGGCGAGGAAGAAGACAAGGTGTTCTTTATCGATGATCCAAACGGATATTTTCCTGGATTACAACTCCTTCGATTTGTGAATGGTGTCATTCAAAGGAACGAGGTTGGGTTTCCCACTGAACGCCCTTTGGGAGATAGAAAGAAGTGGGATAATTTTTCGGTGGAAAGGCTACCTGAACACATCCAGTATTCGTTTAACAGGTTGTTTTCCCACTTGGATCCTTTGTCACTCTTTTCAGAAGAGTCTAGTGAATTGCAAAGAGAGTTTGAACGACTCCTGACACAAAACTTGTTGCCACTTTTAGCAATTTCTAAGTGGTGGATGAAAGCGGCGGTTAGGGAAAGGTGGCGTGGTTTGGATGAATTCTCCGTGAGTTTCTACGCATATTTCATGTGTTTGCATCACTCGATGCTCTATAGAATCGCAAATCAATGAAGCTGGTGAACGAAGCTGTAGCATCTCTTTTGTGGCGTAGTCCCGAATACGATCTTTGGCATGTTTATCGATCATTCCTTCCATTCACCTCGTCACTCTATGAACTGTATGGTCATCTCTCCGATCCAGTTCAAGTGTTCACCATATCCAGGGAGTTTTCTGGTCGCTTTATTCCTTTGAGCGAGGATGCACGGAATGCTCAGGAGGTTGCCGAGGCAAAACTGAGCGACCTGCCAAAGAAGTTTGATAAACATGGCTTCGAAGTAACTAATTACGAAACCGAGTTCACTGAACATGATGTTCGTAATGGGGTTGTGACCTGTGCGGCGATATCTCAAGATGGTTCTCATGTCGCCCTCGGTTTCGGAAATGGGTCCATCGAAGTTGCGGACATCAACCATCAGCATACAATCTCTCGCTTCCAATCCGATTCTTTCAACCATCCAGTTTGGATAGAGTTTATCCTAGGTGCCAATGCTCAGATCGCCACCGAGGACACTGATGGAAACATCTCCGTTCTCAGTCACGGCACACATTTGGTGCCATGTGGCGCTCTTCCTAGTGGTCATCACCCTGCTATAACCGCATTGTCGAGAAATGGATACTTTATTGTCCGAGTCCCTCGAACTCTTGATGAGAATTGGTACAGAAATGTCGCACTCCTATATTTTTCAGGAGAACCATCCATTCGGCTCCTTGTATCTCCTTTGGCTCCTTCCACTGCTCCTCAACGTTCATCTACTCCTCAACATCACACAGTTGGATTCTCTCCTGGAGGCCGATATGTAGGTGCTTACGATGCGAACTGCGCTTTCGTCTGGTCAACGGATACATCTGAGTTGGTTGCTCAATATCATGTGCAAAATTCTGCATTCTGGGTTTTTAATCCCGGTCATGTTCTTCCCCTCTCATATCCCATTCCTACGCCTATATTTGGCGCCCACGCCGTTCATTTGGCCCCGGAAGAGGGTGCAGCCCATATACAAAGTTCCGAGCCAGATTCAAGTCATGACGCGGACGAATCCTGGGTGAAACGCCCTTTTTATGACCTCTCGTCAAGCATGGAGAGAAAGACTATGGCTGGAGAGCGTGATAAAGCCAATGAGCGCGATACAGCCTCTGCCCACTCCTCAGCGATAGGGCGGATACCATTTCTTCGCAATGACATCGGTTCCGCGAATTTACTGGTCTTCTTTAATGGACAAGTCGAACTCATTGTCCAACCCAAGTTCCGCCCAGCCTTTACATACGCGTATCTTTCCTCCAGCGAGAATAAACCCTGGTACGGTGACCTGGTGTTCCAGGATCAGAGCATACCTTCCCCATATCACTTTCCTCGGGCTAGCAAGGACGGGACTCGATTTCTGCTCCAGGGCCGAATGAGAACCCCGGTGGTCGTCGATATCAGCCAAGTTGTTGTTTAGTACCTCAAAATGCACGTCCCCCTCCTTGGGTTGACTGTTTTGGAGAGTACTTGATGGTTATGGTTGTACGTACATAACGATGTCATGTAAGAAAACGCTCCAAGTTAACGTCTCGTCCCGTCAACGCCAGGATTGGTATTATATGCAAAATTCACAAAGGCTTCTGGCATCCACCACTCGACTTTTACAGCTGATCAAGCGCCTGACGTCGCCAAGAGTTGGTTGAGATTCCTCTTGGTTCGTTCCCACGTTTCGAGGGACTGGAAGATCGACCGCGGTTGTATTTGAAACGTGTGAGCGGCATTGGTTGGCTTGAAAATGTAGTTCGTCTCGATGGGACTTGTGGTTTTTAGATATTTTGATGACCATGCAAGGCGCTAGTTTGGTATGTACATATTCTCCATGAGCCCCAACTCAACGCGTTTCTCCGGGAGACTCTCATATCAAATTGCTGCAACAATAACATCCTATTACTTATAATCCTATCTTCCTTTGTGGCCCACATTTTGGAGACGTTAGCATGAGTCCTCCTGGGAATTCATGTCTGTTCGTAGTTAAAGTTAAATTCTGACATAGTAATTGATTAAGTGTGAGTCCGGAGTCGTGTCCATGCATACCGCCACTGTCTAGAGTTCTCATTAGTCGCGTTGTCATTATCAGCACTTTCATCCGTGTCGTCGTGCCTAACGATCGTCCCATTTCGATTTGATAATGACATGCCACATACTCTTCGATGAAGCTCGCGCCCACAAGTAGTGGATGCGGATAGCTACAGTTTGGCTGGCGACACAAGTGTGTATAACTTTCATCTTCATCGGCTCTCCCTATGTAAAACTGCCATGCCCGCGGCTTATTGGTGTGGCATACCCGAGGTTTAGAGTGCGATATCAGATATCGAGACAGCCAAATTCTAACGTGTGTGGTGTCGCGCCATTGGTGACGTGTACAACTTCATGCTCTGCGAGCTTTGTGCGACACAAGCCAATCTCGCATTTCTTCTCATCCATGTCGTCTGATTCCCCGCCTGTCTTGACCATCTTTCCAGTCCTCACACTTTACTGCCGTCAGATTCTGAATTTGATCTGTGCTCATTCAATCGGCCGCGAAATACTCCATGATCGAACTCTCACCCGAGCGAGGACTCAATCTGTAAATATGGCCAGCGTGCGAATGAGCTTCTTTTGTGCCTCTCTCGCGCATCAGCGCAAATACGGGACTTGTCTATACGCTCGTTCGCCATGGTCCGCATCATAAAGGGCTCTTGGGAGAACCATTTCGGTTAGGTGGCAGGACTCCAGTCTCTATGGCTTCGTGATATTAAATAGACACTTCGGGAATTCCATGTATGGATGCTACTTACACCATGCCATTTACAAGTCTTTTCAGGATACTCACAATAATGCCGGTCGTCCGTTATTATGAGTGTTCGATGATTACACGTGTCTGCACTGCCACCTAGCCTTGCCCCTAAAAGTGTTGGTCACCATCGCTCTCCCCTTATGCACTAACCACTTGATATTCCCTGCATTTGCATCGCCAAACAACAACAGCACTCCGTTTTTCAGCTCCAAGGAATTCTCTTATACTCAAATCACGTTGTTGTTGTACTTTATTTTGTTACTTCAGTGAGTGCGGCTGTCCCGTCAAACTACATCTGGGTGTACATGAGGAGATCGTCAATCCGTTGTAAGAGTATCTGGTTGGTGTTGTCGGTATCCTCTGGGCTGTGCTGTCGGGGCGTCTGGCTGTACTAGGTGAATGTATGAAACATGACGGTGTTGCTCATCTACAATTCACTGCCTCCTTCGCGTGCCTCCCGGCTGATGTGTTCTCCTACCATACTCCATTCCCGGAAGTGTTTAAGCTGCGGATATCGATACACCAAGCGAACTTCCGGACGCTGCGACTCTCTATAATTTCACAAACGAAGTTCGGCAGCACTTGCTTGATTGAGTCCTGTGCAACCAATTGATTTATGATTAAACCCTCGGCATTCAGCTTCCTTCTACAAAAGCATTTCCATACGCATCATGTGCATGCGGCGGTTGCATTAGTGTCCTCTGTTCACACCCTTCCAAGCGAGCATCGTCTCTAGTTATCGTACCGGCGCAATGTCTGAAAAAAACACATCCAAGATTATTCATCCCCGCAACAAAGGAAAGCGTCCCACTCCCGGCTCATCTTCGCAAGCATCGCATCCCTTGACCCCTTCGGAGTCCCCTGTTCCGCAGGTCCATGTCACTGGTCCCAATATATCCTCTGATCACGACAACACTCGCCGCAATCAGTTCAGAGTGCCAGCAGGACCTTCTTATCTTGAGCCTGCAGTGGCCGCTCAGCTTGTACCTTCCGGTGCTCGCCGCAGTGATCCAAAGGAATCAGCGTCTTCCACGGGCCGCAGATCAAGGAAGATCAGGGGAAATTTTTCTCCCAATCGTAGCAAGCCGAGCACTCCCGATCTTGTTGAACAGTCGAGACCATCCACACCCTTCCTCCAGCCATCCGCTGATAATACAGTGCTATCATCTCATCTCACCCCTACCGGCAATATTGATGATCTCCTCGAGGCGCCTGGGGCCCATGCCATGCCCAGCAGTTATCACGCACAGTTGGATTGTGAGGGTATCGACGTTTCTGGCCTATCGGAACTCACGATCACGCCATCGGCCGGCTTAAAGAGTGATCGAAAAAAAGTAATCGTTGGCGGCATAACACTAGTTCTACAAACTGCAGCCGAAGCTCTTAAGTTGGCCCCGGTTCCGGGTCTTGACGCAATTCCGAATTTACTTCTGACGTGGCTCCAGGTTTACGAGGTTAGCTAATTTTTCTTCCATGATAGAAGAGGACATATCATTCACTCGATCTCATGTTTGTATCATTGTGCATGATCTGTGCAGACTGTCGGTGGAAACGACGATGATCTCAAAGGATTGGATGAGGACATCCAAAGAGCTTATGTGACCATTCTGCAGCCGCTCGAGCTGTTGACGGACCAGATCCCTCGCGAGGTGGTTCAGTTGATCAAAAGATTTCACTTGTTCGTCCACATAATCCCACAACCGCTGCTCTTCTAATCCAAGAATCCTATGATAGGGCCCTGAAAAAGCAGATAAACGAGATGGAGTTGCTCAAAAGTCAAAATCGGGTGAAGAGGATGTTCTTAGCGCGTGAAATTGCCAAGAGGATAAACGGTGTGAAGGCGTGTATAAATGATGCCCTTAATTCGTTTGCGGTTCGTCTCCATCGGAGTTCCCAAGCCCTCGATTTGACTGGCTAATGTACATTTTGCAACAGACGCAAGCAACTACTTTAACGCTTCTTCGCACAATTGAAGCATCGGTGCAATGTATGTTATTTCGCTCTCTCCAATATTCGGATCTTTCATCACCGCTACATCTTTCAGCAAAGCTTGAGCAGCTTCCACGAGTTGCGGCCGAGCAAACTTACGTGAAGAACAAGTCAGAGTGTCTTCCGAGCACACGAGTTCAAATACAAACATCCCTTCTCAATCATCTGAAGGGGGCTGGAAACCGATTCGTATGGCTCCGTGGGTCTCCTGGAACCGGGAAGACCGCGGTATCTATGAGCATCGCATCGATACTTGAGAAGGAAGGTACTCTTGCAGCCTCCTTCTTTTGGGACAAAAATCAAAAGGGGACGGGCCTCGATTCTCTGGAGAAATTCCCTTCTACACTGGCACGTCAACTTGCGAACTTCAATGGGGACTTCAAGGTCTCGCTTGTCAAATGCCTTCGACAGCCGAATTCGGAGTTGATTCTGAGTCTTCCTCTGGAGAAGCAAATGAGGACTTTGATTCTCGAGCCAATGAATAGTCTCAAGGGCATATTGTCTGCAGGCAAGAAACGCTTCATCATCTTGGATGGTTTAGATGAATGTGGGGATTCAGTGGCACTTGGGACTTTGATGAGCCTCGTACTTGTGCTTGAGGAGCTGCCTTCAACGTTTTCCATACTGGTCAGTTCTCGTCCTGAATCTCAAGTTGTTTCGGCTTGGGATAAATCTCGGAATCGGGGCCGTGTCATCCCACGTGAAGACATGGATAAGGTTGCACCAGACGAGACTTTCGACACGATCCGGCTTATGGTAACAGATGGGCTTAGGGGTTGCATTGGGGAGTCACAGTGGAAACCATCGATGGACAATTTTGATGCCTTCACCCTGGCTTGCCGTGGTTTGCCTGTGATGGCTTCGATCCGGATACGGGAGGTTCAGCTTCGGACTCAAAGGGGTTCTGTCCTCAAATTAGAGTTTCAATACTTCCTCGACCTCCAAGATGCGCCCAAAGATCTCAATGAGGAGTACTTGCGAATAGTGCGACGGGCCTTTAGGCCTGACTTATCAAGTATCCCTTCACATGTAGTGGAGAATTATCGCCAAGTAGTTGGGATGATCATTGCTGCACGGGGTCTGCTCAGTGTTTACAGCATGTCGCATCTCTTGGGAATTACGGAGGATGAGATCTATGCAATACTGAACCCTATCAGCTCGATGGTTGACGTCTCTTCAAACAATGTAAACGTCGAATTCTATCATGCGACGGCGAATGAATTTATCAGGGGAGACCCTATCGGCGAGGAAGAAGACAAGATGTTCTTTATTGATGATCCAAGTGGATGTTTTCTTGGATTACGACTCCTTCGACTTGTGAATGGTGTCATTGAAAGGAACGAGGTTGGGATTCCCACAGAACTCCCTTTGGGAGATGGAACGAAGTGGGATAATTTTTCGGCGGAAAGGCTACCCGAACACATCCAGTATTCATTCGACTGGTTGTTTTTCCACTTGAATCCTTCATCACTCTTTTCAGAGGAGTCCAATGAATTGCAAAGAGAGTTTGAACAACTCTTGACACAAAACTTTTTTTCATTCTTGGCAGTTTTTAAGCGGTGGTCCGGATTGATGGTTTGGAGATGGTGGCTTGGTTTGGATGAACTCTCAGTGAGTTCCCGCGTATATTTCATGTACTTGAATGATATGACATCACTTGATAGAATCACAAAACAATGAAGCTGATGAAGGAAACTTTCGGATCTACTTTGTGGCGTAGTCCCGAATGTGATCCTTGGCATCTTTATCGATCATTCCTTCCGTTCACTCCGTCGTCGTCACTCTATGAATTGTATGGGCATCTCTCTGATCCCGTTCAAGTGTTCTCCATATCCGGCGAGTTTTCCGGTCGCTTTATTCCATTGAGCGAGGATGCACGGAATGCTCAGGAGGTTGCCGAGGCAAAACTGAGCGACCTGCCAAAGAAGTTTGATAAACATGGCTTCGAAGTAACTAATTACGAAACCGAGTTCACTGAACATGATGTTCGTAATGGGGTTGTGACCTGTGCGGCGATATCTCAAGATGGTTCTCATGTCGCCCTCGGTTTCGGAAATGGGTCCATCGAAGTTGCGGACATCAACCATCAGCGTACAATCTCTCGCTTTCAATCAGACCCTCCCAGCCATCCAGTTTGGATAGAGTTTGTCCTTGGTGCCAATGGTCAGATTGCCACCGAGGACACCGATGGAACCATCTCCATTCTCAGTCATGGCCGTTTGGTGCCATGTGGCACTCTTCCTAGTGGTCATCACCCTGCTATCACTGTATTGTCGAGCGATGGATGCTTTCTTATCCGAGTTCCTCAAACTCTTGGCGAGAACTGGTACAGAAACGTGGCACTCCTGTATTTTTCAGGAGAGCCATCCATTCAGCTCCTCGCATCTCCTGCGGCTCTTTCCGATCTTCAACGTCCATCTACTCCTCTACGTCACAGAGTCAAATTCTCTCCTGAAGGCCGATATGTAGGCGCTTTCGATGCAAACTGCGCTTTCGTCTGGTCAACGGATACATCCGAGTTGGTTGCTCAATATCGTGTGCAAAATTCCGAATTCTGGATTTTCAATCCCGGTCATGTTCTTCCCCTCTCATATCTCATTCCTACACCTGTATTTGGTGACCAGGCCATTCATTTGGCCCTGGAAGAGGGTGCAGCCCATGTACAAAGTCTCGAGCCAGATTCAAGACACAACGCGGACGAATCCTGGGTGAAACGCCCTTTTTATGACCTCTCGCAATCCTGGGTGAAACACCCTTCTTATGACCTCTCGCCAAACATGGGGAGAAATGGAAATGAAGCCTATTCCTCAGTGATAGGGCGGGTCCCATTTCTTCGCGATGACACCAGTTCCTCGCCTTTCCCGGTCTTCTTTAATGGACAAGTCGAACTCATTGTCCCACGCGAGTACGGCCGAGTCGCACATCCCTCCTCTAGCGAGAATGAAGCCTGGTACGGTGATATGGTGTTCCGGGATCAAACAGCACCTTCCCCATATCACTTTCCTCGGGCTAGCAAGGACGGAACTCGATTTCTGCTCCAGGGAAAATTGAGAACCCCGGTGGTCATCGATATCAGCCGAGTTGTTGTTTAGTGCCTCAAAATGTACGTCCCTATCATTTTCTCTCCTTAACCGCTAGGTTGACTGTTTTCCGACTATTTGCAGAGTATTGAAATTGAGAATTACCCTACGTGATGATTGCGGTTGTACATAGCAATAATATAGCATTATAACGTCCCGTCCTGTCAACGCCAAGATTGGTGGTATTATGCAAATTTTTTCATGAGCTTCTGACATCCATCCAGCACTCGAGTTTGACAAGCGCTGATCAAGCGCCTGATGTTGCCAACAATTGGGGATTTCTCTTGGTCCGTTCCCTTCTTGTATATAGTACAATTCAAGCGACTGATAATTAACTTCGGCACCCCCAGCACCACTAGGCGATATTGTCGTTGTATTTGCAAACGTGTGAGTGCCATCGGTTAGCTTTGAATGTAGCTTGCCTTGATGGGACCTGTGGTTTTTAAATCATACTTTCATGACCATGCAAAGCGGTTTGGTATGTACACATTCTGCCAGCGCACTGACATTGGGCATGAGCATCTTCGGGGAGGCATCATGCATGTGCCGCAGTCAACCGCGATGCGAGCCTTACGCATCCTGCGAGGCAGGCACGGGACCATATACCCCTTCAGCAGGGAGGATGTCAGGAGAGTCTAGCTCCAGTCATCTTTCAAGATATTGTCTGTGGAGGGTAATGCAAAGCGTCAAAACACTCTCAATTAACCGTCATCTCTACAGCCGAGAAGCGTCGCACTGCCATAGCCAACCGTGACCGCCCGCTTACAAGCTAGTATTCCAAAATAATCTCCGGCCGCGTAGATCGTGTGTGAATATCTTTCCAACATAGTAGCTTAGAGGACGACTTGATGTGGAATGAATGGCAATGTTAGCTGCGCTTATCACTCCATATCGCCGGCAATCAGTCCTATTTTTCAATAGAGAGCCCAAGAAGGTAGACCACGGCGCCGAATACAGGTCCTCGTGGAGAAATACATGCTCACAGCACAGAACGACCCAATCCAAGATAAGTAGTTCCTTTAAATTTCAAATACGCTTATTAGCTTTCAATGGTATTTGGAGCGCCGCCTGAACTCTTTTCGTAGTCTGGGCGCTCGTTGTCCAATTTGTGCCGTGCACTGGGTTCAACGTGAGGCTACTAGTGCACATGCTATGTAGCTAGGCGGCGTAATCTTTTCATATTGAGGATCCATCGAGTGGTATGAGTGGCACTCACTCATTCCTTAATCCTCCTTTGGACGATGAGCCGCGCGATGATCCTTAGCGATCGCGCATCAGACCAATTAACCTCCCACCAATCTCTCAGCTTCCAAAGCAGGAGGGCCTCGCTTTGCAATGGCGCACTATTAGGCACCCAGATCGGCGAGTTTCGGTCTTAGGTACTAGCGCTATTTGCTTGGTATACGTATAAAAACCAGTCATTCCTCTCATAATTCTTCGCGCCTCTAATCAGCGTACACCATGGCTACCAAACGCTCAAAACTTGGTTCCCCCCTCTTGAAAGACAATTTTGACTTGCGTGCCGGCCTTCTTGTGAGCCCCATTTGGTTGATTACTTTACCTGCTATCTGACCTCCTCCGGAGCTGATAGCTGAAGCTGGCCTAATGTCTTTTGTTCTTACATCTTCACTCCTCGTTTACTCTCTGGTGAGCCCTCGGCAGTTGGACCCGCCACTGAGGCACATCAGTAATGGTTTCTTCATGACACTCGATAGAGACAAGTATACAAGAAATACCGTCGTCGCAGGAACAGCGCGTCAAACCCTAGCGTTGAACCTGAGCTCCAGCCTATATCAATTTTGTTTTTGTGGAGTATTTTCGCAGACGCAATGTAAGTCCCCATATAAACAAGTCATTCACCACTCACTGCACTGTCACTCGTCCGATCATCTGCCAGCTGTGGACTAGGGCATATCCTATCCACCAGGTGGGTGCTCGCAGGCGAAATCACCGAAGGCCCGTACTGTACAGGGCAGGCGACCTTAAAGCAGATCGGGAATAACGGCGTCGGTATGCCGACCTATGCTATATTTCCATTGAACGTACGCTAATGTCTAAAAAAAAAACTGCTGATCGCCAGCATGGTTTAGCATGGCAATTGCGGTATTGACGTACCTTCAGGTGATCCATTCAACCTGGTTAGGCAAAAGAGGAGCAAGGATTTTTGCAATGGGATCCATTTGTTTTATAACCGTATTCATCTTGTTGATCGTTACGGTTCCTGCTTCGACTATTCATCCATATTATGGCAAAGCTGGGTGAGCATTACATCCGATCTCTTATATGATCTAAGCCCACATATCTCAGATTGTGGTGCTGGATTGGCGGCAGTAATGCCAGCCGCCAGAGGCTACGATTTGGTAAGTCTAGTAGGATAGTTCAGTGGCTGCTGGATCTGAAATCTGGATTGCAGCCACACAATATGCGTGGATCTGGCTTGCGATATTGGTATCGATTGTCACGTATGGCAGGGTAGCATACAGGTGGTTACATCAAGCACCTCTTCATCCCGACTGTGACCTGAAACTGGCCGCGATTACCATGGGATGGTATCCTATTAGTGGGTGGAACCATTCATATAGATCACCTTAGAGTGCTTATCTCCTGTATTTTCAGCCTATCTTCTCGTCTCCGCGCCTACATCCGTGGTTCGTTTCCGTCAATTCCATGGCTATCGACCAAACACTGCCGAGCAGATCTTTCCTTCTGCCCTTTCTGCCGCACACGGAGCCATCAACGTCATTCTGTGGCTTTCGACGGGCAGACGATTCGGATTCTCACCAAAGAAACGGGATTTTTTTCTTGTCCCGAAGCTCCCAAGTTCCCCTGAGGAGGTTGAGACTCCGACCACGGACGATGGTGCCGGAGCTTGCTACTCAACCGTGACCATCCCAGTTACCCTGACGTCTGAGCGCCCCATGAATGGCAGCGGCCCCGAGACTGCTCAAGTTCCCTCGCCTTCCAACCCCAGCGGAGGCCGTATTTTTATACCTCCGAGGTCTCTTTCCCCCGTCCCCGATTCACCAAGCAGTGACCGAACGATTACTATAGGTAATACAAATTAATTGATTCGTGCATGGCCTTTCCCATCCATTCCGTTAATCATCACAAATGAACCGCCATAATGACCTCAGTCCAGAGCTTGAGCTTGGATCGATGTATGTTTAACACTACCCAACAAATCTTAATTCTATATAGTCTACGTCCTAATTGCATCTCGCAGCAAATTCTCGCTCAATCGGAGTTGCTGGATATGTAATTACTGTTCAAGACCAGATCGAAGGGAACGATGTGCCATGTGTCCATGCCCATGAAAGGGCGGCGCGAAGTAAACTTAGCAGATATGAAGACATTTTCCCGTTACATATGTATTTTTTTACAACAATGCAAGCAATCCGACGCGAAAGGATAAATGCACACCTCGAACACTTGGTACGTACAGGACGAGGGATGCCAGAGGCTTCAGAGAAACTTTCCCGCAAGACCCGCTAACTGACCAAGTCCTCCACTATTCGAACCACCTATCGCATGGCTGAACTTGGATTTAATCAAGAGTTTCAATACTGTGGTAGCAGCACCATTGACAGCATCCTGCTTTCCACCGCTAGCAGCTCCCCCAGACTTCTCGAACAACTTGGACGCTTCAGCCATGGCCAAACCGACAAGTTTGCTTTGGGTACTACCACTACCTCCGCCTCCGCCTCCACCTGATTTATGCCCACTACTAGAAGAATGATCATCGGATGAAACGAATTGTTTGAAAGCTTGTAATGCTGCAGCAGAACCGAGGGAGGAAGCGTCAAGAGATGTATTCCCCTTGTTGTAAACTTCATCGTGGTGCTTGATGAGACGCTCTTCGTCTATATCGTGATTATTGCCTCCCTGCTGATTCTTTTTTTGGAGCGCAAAAAATTGATGAGGAAATAGGAGGGGGGAAGCGACACGGTATATATATAGTCTTACCAATTGAGTCTTGACAAAGGCCAAACCCTTCGAGAACAGATCAGATTCTCCTGATCCATGTGCAGCAGCAGTATTGACAACGTGGTCATCGTCGACTAGGAATGGTTTAGAGGGTAGGATTAATGTTTGTCGCTTCCAGCGACTTCTCGCAACACTTTAAAAAGGCAAGGAAATTACATACTGTCTGGAATCGTACCGTGTCCTTGTCCATGTGGACGTCCACCACCCGAGTGATCGGGACTGTTGAATTCCTCCCCTCCAGTCTTCGTAACCCCGCCTTCATGGTGTTTGTTCTCATCACCTGGGGAGATGGCAAAAACGGTGAACGACAAGTGCTACTCTTTTGCGAGGATGATCGCGATCCTGGCAATGCTTTACCTTTTTGTTGAGATTCCTGGTACTTTTCCAGTCCCTGCTTAGCGAGGTTTAAGATGGAGTCCTGGAAAACGGGATCGAAAAAACGTGTCAGAACAACCGACGCGACGATCGGGGCGGCGTCGATCCGAGCCAATCCAAAAATGATGTTGCAATCAACATCGATTGACAGAGAGAGGTGCCACTACCACTGCCTCTCCATCTGATCTGGATTGTACTTGCGAGCTTACCATTTGTGCCCCTAACTAACTGGTGAAACTGTTGATGTTGATCGTAGACTGAGGTGAAAGTGTTAACATTGTGAAATGTATAACTACGATATCACGTAATCAAATCAAACAAACTCTTTGCGCCACTTTGGCGAAACATGGACAGCCTTTCGGCTTAATTCTTCACTCATCTTACATATCTGGGGAAGGCACGTTACATTACTGGCGTAAAAGATATGCATTTAATCAATTTACATGATTTTGAGCGGCGGATCTGAAATTTCCTCGTTCTGGTATTGGGGCCCCAGTTACAAACAATACATTTTTTTTTTACTTAGTATATCTATCTTTCCACATTGCACATTGGAGGGGGTACAAGCCACATGTCCGCGGTCAGGAGACAGGAAGAATATGACGGAATGAAGAGGGGAATGGGGGTGGGGGGAACTTGATCAATGACTTAGTAGTTGTTATCATCGTTGTTGCCGCGACCCGACCCAGCTATCCGAAGGTGGTTTAGACAAACAATGCTCGCACTTTTGGGTAAACAGGAAAAAATCCAGAAAAGACTTACAATTGTTGTTCCCGCTACCGTACGAGTCATCGTTCGAGCTGCTGTAGCTGTTGTTCTCGTTCTTGCGGCTACCAACCAAATCATTATTATTGGAGCTACCATAGCTGTTGTCGTTCTCGTTGGCGCGGCTACCGTACGAATCATTATTGGAGCTACCGTAGCTGTTGTTGTTGTCATTGCGGCTGCCGAACGAATCATTATTATTGGAGCTGCCATAGCTGTTGTTGTTGTCGTTGCGGCTACTGTACGAATCGGTATTGGAGCTGCCATAATTGTCGTTGTTGTTGTTGTTGTTGTTGTTGCGGCTACCGTACGAATCGTTATTGGCACTGTCATTGTTGTTGTTGCGGCTGCCATACGAATCGTTGTTCAAGTTGGAGCTGCCGTAGCTATTATCGTTATCTTTGCGGCTACCATAAGAATCGTTATTGGAGCTGCCATAGTTGTCGTTGTTGCTCGACCCGTAGTTGTTGCTATTATTACCACTGGCGTCGGTGTTCTGGTTCCCCTGACCAGTGGACTGTTGATAAGCGCTGTACCCATCCTTGGCAAGTTTGGTGAAATCGCCCTTGAGGAGTTGTGAAACGTTAGAAAGGCAAGAACGATCATGGCATTATGCACAACGAAGCAGGGACTATAAGTCCAATCTTACGGTATTTCCACCTCCCTTCAAAACATTTTGAGCATCGCTGACGAGCTGGTCCTGCTATCGATGGTCAAAAAAGAAGGACACATTAGAGGAGGGGGGGGAATAAGGCGTACAGTGTTTCCCTTGCTCAGGAAGTCTTTAGCTTGGCCAAACAATCCACTCTGGAAATGATCATGAAGACACGTCAGGAATCGTGATAATCGACGAAGATAAGGAAGTCGAGATCAACGTCCCCACGGGGCCGACGATCGCCACTTACCATGACTGAATTATGATAAAACTCGGGGTTATATTCGTGGATAGTGGACTCGAAGTGTTAGGACTCGTTCGCTGAGAAGAGAGAGAGAGAGAGCGAGGGGGGATTCCGAGGAAAGATGGCGTGTTTTATAGAGTTGAGACATCGGGGAGGAGGGGTTGATATCATGCGAGAGATTGTCTCATCTGACATTATTGGGGAATGTTTACTTCGCCCTCGGAATCTGTAATTGGAACCTGAGATAACTTGATGAATTATTCAATAGATGGAACGTGCATGTTTTCCTTTTTTCTCGTTCTGATATGACCATGTATGTACAGTTATCCTGCACAGCGTTCGCTAAATGTAGACGCATGAGTAATCCCGAAGATATAGATCGTGACACTTTTCAGGCTCACTCTCCACGGAAACGGAGACGGAATGATCCCACATGTACATCCTAAAGCGGTAGGGCATGCCCAAGCCCCCCGCTGATGGATCTCGAGAAGAACCCCCGCTCGGAGACATCCCCATCATGAGAACCCCACATTTGGGAGTACTTACTGTCAAACAATTCTACGGCTGAAATCGTCATTTGGACTTGATTACGAGCAGAACGAGCTCTCGACGTGAAGCGATTATCCCGACGATCATAACAATAGTTTGCTGGAGAGAGGACGTCAAGAAGGCGATGTCAAACTAGTTAGTGACATGATTACGTGATCCTGAGACCGGTGTTCGTTGTAGGTGTGCGACATACGTAATTGCATTATCTGTTTCAACGGAGAATGAAAATACATACATGGCCGCGAGCTAATACATGCATATGCACGGCAATGCTCATTGCATGAGGAAAGTTGGACCAAAATCACAATCAACAGTAGTACTGCGAAAGCGGCTCAAGGATTCCGTCTCCTATACGTCATTTTTTCGAAGCGGAGGGAGCAAAGACAGAGGAGCGGAATGCATGTGTCCACATGATCACGCTTGCATCTATTTGTGCAATCGTCTAAACCGGGCTAAAGCTGCGCGTGATATATATGCTTCCGTCCCCGATAGGAGCCGCTGCTCCGGGGTGGAGGGTTAGACAGCCACCAAAAGCCAGCTCCACTGCCCCTTCGGATTGATGGCCCTCTCGCGGTCTCCGGAGACACGAATCACCTCGAGACAGCAGGGCAGCCTTTGCCTTAGCTGGAGGTGTCAGTATTGCAACTCGGGCAATCGAAGTAGGGGGGGGGGGACACGGATCAGATACTTTGAGCACTGATTCTTTCCTCGACTTTTCGCCATCTAATCGGTGGGGTTCCCCAAAAAAGTGTGGGCATGGTCCATCAAAACCAGTAGTAGCGTGAGGTTTGCACGGGCCAACGATGTGAGCGGTACAAGAGTAAGGACGACGATGATGGAAAAAATGACAATTAAGACGTATACCGAATTCGAGCTCAGAACCGACGCGAAACAAATTCTAGGTTCCAAAGCGTGAAGACGGTGAACGTGCAGGCGCGAGAGTGAGAACTGCGTTGCGACTCGTGTAAAGTTCACAGGCCAAGCGAATGAACTCACGCAAGCACGCGCCATGAACAAACAGTGGTAGTTTAGTTGCGAGCAACTTCGCGCAGACCAAGTAAGCCTAGGACGCCCACGCAAGTTACGGGTTCCTCCCCCTCCCCCCTTCACACTGAGTAATTTTAACGGTCCACCGAGGGCGCTGGCCAAACGAAGTGGATGAGGCAAAAGATGTGCATTTAGTCCTATCCACGGAAGCGATCAAGAAAGCGATCCAAAAAGCGGGGCGTTAACTCTGACTCACAGCCTGCAACTTCTGACTCAGGAGGTCGTGTCGCCTATGATAGCTCCCTCAGCAGAGCCAGGCGGCCTCCCATGAGCCGCGCGTGCCAACACGATCGTCAGGCAAAGTAGGATATTAACCCAGAGTAACAGCCAATACTAAGACAATTGACTCACTCCTAGCAGAGAGAGTTGAAAGACGACTCAAAAGGATTGCATGTTGACTGAGAGCCGGTATGAATGATTGGAATCCCTAATCTAGCTACAGTCGTACAAGCCCCGCAACTGAACTGCGATCCTCTCACACATCAGCTGGGGCTAAAAATCATAACTGCAAAGACAAGGCCCCATTCGGTTCACCGACTCGGCTTCTGATAGAAAGTGGGATGATGAATGGTCGGTCTTAGAGGTCTGTTAACTCGTTTGGCGGATTTAGGACGGCTGACGTTCCGAAACAAGAGAGCGATGGCAATAGGTCGGTTTGACAACACAAGGTCAAGGGGTCAACAATTGAATTGAGATGGGACTAGTCGGTGATTGTCCTTCACCCTTTCCTTTTTGAGGCACTTCGTCTGACCACACCGCTCGCCTCATTATCTCTTCGCCAGCTCTGGCCATGTTCTCTCCATATTTCTGCGTTGGGAGTTGTGAGGGAATACAAGCACACGTTGCTAGCTGCTGCCCTCAAATTTTTCTGGTATTTTCTTGTTCATTGAACACCGAGATATATGGAATTCTTGTGCAAAACTATAGCCGCGCTACCCGCCAATCGCCACGCTATTGTCACCCTTCCTGGCTGCAATGGGTGGTATCCTCACGACTATTTAGCTGAGAGCTTTCTATCCCCCTGGACTCCACTCTAGCACTTCCTCCAGTCGCATCTTGACTCGCCGCAATCAGCGCAAGTTATCACCCTCAAGTAGCAGCCAAGCAACTTTTTAAAGTCATCTCTCTTTCACTCAAACTCGCATCTACTCCAATGCCTTTCTCCAAGTCACATTCGGAAACCCAACGCCCAGCTGCCCTTGGTGGCTTTGACGCACACGTGCAGCGCGTGCGGGAACAGCGTGAGCGTGAACGCGCCGCCGCTCTCGCTGAAGTCTTCCCCGGCCTCATCATGGCCCCTGCGTCGCCTCTCCCTCCGCAAGTGAAGGTAGTTGGTCTCTCTCCTTATAACAACAACAACAACAACAAAAGTGCGAGCACTACACCCCACCCTGCTGCTTCTTCTCTGGACTCACGCTCAACCCACGATAAGTTCCGATTCGTCGCTGAAGCTTCATCTTCGGATGAGGAGGAGGACGAAGACTTTCCCCGGTTAGCGTCTCCGAGGAAAGAGAAGAAGAGCAAGGGCCAGAAGGAACCCAACACCTTGTCAAGGATGTTATTCCGATTTGGATTCCGTAGGTATATATATATATATGCATTTGTTTCTTGGCTGCGATTTGGCTGACTTGATTTTTTATTTTTATTTTTTTACAGTAATGCCCGTGTTCTGGCTTCTCGGTGCATTAATCCTCGTCCTTCCTCTTAAACACCATCCACTTCCTCGCGCCAACTCCATATCCCTCCCCATCGAAGAGGCTCCGACGTCCGAAGATATCGAAGCGCACCTGAATCGTATTCGACGAGCGGAACTAAAATGGGCTTGGCGCTCGCTCTATGCCCTTGTTGTCGTGGTTGTGACATTGCTCTTTGTCATATGCGTCTGGCTTGGTCTGAGCGGGCGCTGGAATGGGTTCTGATGTTATGCGCTTTTTTTCTTTCTTTCTTGCATCATTTGGAGTGCGTAGCCCCCCACAGCCCACCCCTCCAACTTATCTTTATTCAGCATCGTAAAGTTATTATCGTCGATCAACCATATTGTACAACTTTGAACTTGATTGTCGAAGCCTACGCTGTATACATCATGTCGTTCGCTGCTCGCTTTCATTGTTATATATACCTTGCCGTATGGCAACACACTCTCCTTAACAGTTTTCTTTTGTGTTACCTGACATAATATACGCCTGATATGCGCAGCATTGGACTTTGGGTCTCAGTGAGCTTGGAGATGAGGAATAAAATCAAAGAATGCTGGGCGAGGATTTCTCCTCAGGCGAGCGGGGATACAACAAGTGATGTAACTCTCGGGTTGAGGAATGAGCGGTGACCTTCCACGGAAGCTCAGCAGTATTATTCGGGAACATTAAGACGTATTTCACAAACACGACCCAGTGAACAAATAGAGAGGAAAGGGAAAGGAGTATTATGCGCCTCCACTGAAAAAGGAAATGGTTCAGCCGGGGCAAGAAAAAGGAGAATGTAGTTCAAAAGTGGACACGTACACCAAGATGTTATTACTGCATGCGAGAGCAAAGGAATATTTGCGTGAGCGAAAAAGGTAAGGGGGGAAGGGTAACATTTCGTAGCCGAAAACACTTACATTGGGATGTGTATTAGCTTCACGAAGTAGCCTAAGAATCCCATGACAGCGAAACCGATAGCAACGGCCTTGCAAATTTGCGCAAACTCTGCAGCCGTCAGAGGAGAGAAGGAAAAAAAAGAAGAGGTGAGAATTTTCCACGTCAATGGATACAATTATTACACCCTAATGACCTTTCCGCGATGGCTTGGCACACCGTCTGATGAACTGCAGAATTTCGATGTGTTTGTAGAGTGAGCGTTAGTGAAAGATAGATATAAAACACGCACCAAAGTACCCTCCTTATACCACTGTTTTGGTATTTCAGCAAGCTCCTTTGCTTTGTCGGACATAATAACGAGCGGTGAGATGTGGGGGGGAGCTAAATGTTGTCGAAGTCCTTAGAGGAGGATTAATGAGGTGGCGGCCACGTGACGTGACGAGTCTAATTGAATTGATTCTTTCGCTTGGAAGTTCGAACAATTGATATTGTCGCCCGCAAACGTGAGTCTTGTTCTTTCCTAATTTTTTTAAATCTCGGGACATTCATAGTCTTCCAGTAGCGCTTATAGCACTCTTTTGGGCCGATGCTCCTAAGGGTCAAGCAACATGACAAAACCCTTAATATAGCCCCAATAGTAGTCACGGGCCGCGGGACGTTCCTCACATCGAGCCCACGGCCCCATCGACCATTGCCGTCGTTAACGAATACGAGGAGACGTCCATCAAGATTCACTTCAAGCTCCACCACAGTATGGGACTCGTGGAAATGGCTCACTTTCCTTCCTGGGGCCACAATGCATACTCCAAGTTTGGACTCTCTTGTACGCGCACTCCACGATGCACTGTCAAAGCGTGACGTGCGGTATATAGAGCAAACATACAACGCCCTGGTAGAGCATTTGTCTTCAGAGAGATATAAAGGTTCCCCTCCGACGCAGCGTTCCTCCGGAATTACACCCGAACTTCTCTATCAAATGACCCGAGTCATTATTAAAAACCCATTCACCAAGGCGTCTTTTAAAGTGCACTTGTATAACTCTGGCCGTCGGTTTGCACTTGCACAAAGGATTTACAAGGATGTGAAGGATGTGTTTGGTCTCACACCGATGGAACGACATACAGAGCTCGTTTTTCGGGCTCACTCTGTCGAGGATCCCCATGGCGCTTTGGAATGGCTCTCTGGAAAGGGTGGGATTACGCCCAACATTTCTCACTTTGAAATTTCCATGCGAGGGCTCGCCCATAAGCGTGATGTGGAAGGCATGAAAGAACTTATCTCAACTGTCAAAAACATTCCTGGTATTCATCTCACATCCGATTTGTATGCGCCACTGGTGCTTTCCTCTTTCCCGCCCATTCATGAATCTGGAGATATCTTCACCCCCAAGAATCCGCCTCCACACATCAGTCTATCAACACGCACGCCGTTAGAGGAGATGGAGAGGGAGGGTGTGACACCCTCCGTGAAACTGATCGCCGAGCTTATCTTTCAATATCATGCCTTCGGCTCACATGAAGATGTCCAATCTCTAGCTGAGGATCTCAAAGGAATTCTGACAGATCAAGCACAAACACTTTTGCACAACGACGAGAAAGATGCTGTGGCTGCCCTTATTGCGGCCGCTGCTACCACAGCGCAGCCAGAGGGAGATGAGTCGCCATACTCGTGTGCCATTCGCGAGGCTGAGAACTTCCACTCACGGGGGTTCCAGCTTGGATCACGAGCGCTTGTTGTTCTTCTCGGCCTCCAGGGCGCACCCATGTTCGATGCCGAAGGTATCATCACCCTCGCCACCGGCTTGGGAATCGCACACGAGCTCCGCAATGTTGTCATATGGTCAGTCGCTATTCGTCAAGCTGTCAAGCGGGATCGAGTTGGTCTTGGCGATGGTTTTGGACTGGACAGGGCTCTGGGCATGTACAAGGAGGCGCTAAACAGGGGAATTATCCCCAATTCGGCCCTCCTTGACCCATTAATTCACGCTCTGTGCACTAGAAAGTCACCGCCGGACCCCGACGACGTGGACAAAGCGCTACAGCTGTATTACGACCTCAGAGATTCAGAAGGCATGGGTCCGTTTGCGAGGACCCGCACTGGGAGAAGATTTGGACCTGACCAGGGTATTTTCATAACACTTCTGAGTTCGATTTCGCGTATCCAACTGGATGAACATTCATCTGGCCCCTCCACATCCGATATCATTATTCAACTTCTAATTGACATGCGCGATTCGAGACTCGCCGAACCCCTTCCTCCTTCGTTTGTCCGCGACATTTTCACTCGCTTGCTGCTCCACGCACCTTCGCATGATGCCTCTTTCAAGTTATACTCATACCTACGAGAAATTGACCCGACTCTGCTGGATCGGACCGGTTATGAACAGATCTTGCTGCAGTTTACGAAGTTGAGCTTTGAGGATGATCCACTCCCCGACCAAGCTCATTATATGGATATCGTGAAGGATATGCGTGATGCTGGCATCCCCATGACATCGTTCGTATACAACGTGTTGCTCACGCGATATGCTGCACTTGCCAAATCATCCGCCGAGGGTGCGTTCAACTCGATCTCGTCAGCAGGGAACCTGGCTCCCGAACAGGAACGTGCGAAGAAACTGCGTGGGCGACTGCTTCAAGCAACTCAAAAGTTGCATCGGACCCTCAAGTTAGATGCCAGCGTTAATCCTGATATAATAACCTTCAACGCCCTTATGAATGCGTACAATCATCTCGGAGCTTTCGGTGACGCTTTTGAGATCTGGGGACAGTTAACGCTTGGCTTCCCAGTCCCATACGACAATTCGTCTATTAGCATCATCCTCGACATATGCGGATACACTCGTAGTGCCAACGCTGTTGATGCTGTGTGGAACCTAGTCACTTCCAAGACCATGAATTCTCATCGTGTGCGCCCGAATGCGAACAATTGGGCTTCAAGAATGGAATGTTACGCTCGGATGGGTGATTTCGATCGCGTTATTGGGATATTTAAGGAGATGTGTACTGGCTCAAAGCAAGGACCTGATGTGCCGGCGCCCAACCAAGCCATAACCCAGTTATTAATCAAGTTTGGACGTGTATTTAAGAGAGAGGAAGAGGTGGTTACACTGTTGAAAGCGGAGGTACCCGATCTGTATTCATCTATGACACCAATACCAACGCAGGCTGCGCGAGGGTGAACGTGAAACTGGAGGATGTGATAAACGAAGACGAAGACTTCATCGCATTGATAACAAGTGAGATAGTAAATATATCTGGTTGAGCAGATTAACGATTTGGAAGAAACTCTAGGATCGCTCTAAGCGGCGGATGGTGAATACGCTATCCAAGGGTGGGTTGAAAATTACGCTTCTCCGAGCTCCTCGACACTTGGGCACTCGCACTAAGCCGTTAAGAATCTTAGTAGTGTGCTTACTCAGAACATTGGTGTCACCTACGATGAGGTTGAGATCCCCGTACGCTACAAAAAGAGATGGGTAAATTGCAGGGCATTACGAACGTGCAGCGGAAAAAACCTACCATCATCTATCCTTGCCACTGAGGGCCAAAATTTGCGAGTTCGCAAATAAGGCAGAGGGTAAACAGCGGTTTCGCGATCATACGGTCTTACACACAAGGAATCAATCAGAGCACAAGATCATAATGAGGGGGCCAACCTATTCCAATCCTTTTCTGATTGCGTTACAACAGAGATTGGATGGGGCGCATTTTTCAACAGATTATTATCTCTTGGCTGCTTTCCAGAAGCAATATCATCCACTTCTCTCCTTATCTGGATCATTGCATCACAAAACCTAAAGACGGGTCGGATTACCCCAAAAAAAGTGATTAAGGGAAACGATATACCTATCTAATTCCTCCTTTGTTTCGGATTCGGTCGGCTCAATGAGCATTGCCGTCGTGATAGGCCATGAACAAGTTGGGGGGTGGAATCCATAATCCTAACGCGGAATAAGAGTGCATGAAAACTATATCACAGAATCCTTCTGACCTGCAAACGTTTGGCAAAATCAGGAACTTTAAGTCCCGCTGATTTTTCAAATTCCCCTAGGTCAACCAAGAGCTCGTGAGCGACACGTCCCATAGAATTCTTGTAACGAATCGTGTAATGGTCCCCGAGCCGATGTGCAATGTAGTTTGCATTGAGTAAGGCTAGGCGCGTTGCGTTGGATACACCCTTGCCGCCAAGCATCTTGATGTAAGCCCACGAAATGACAAGGATGGAGGCAGATCCGAATGGTGCGGAGGAGACAGCATCTATGGATTGAGGACCCCCTGTCTCGACAATAGGGTGGCTGGGTAAGAACGGTGCAAGGTGTTCAGCAACGCAGATTGGCCTTTCATTAACGTTAGCAATTAGCCCACATTGGATCTATCGATAACTCACCCCATCCCGGGACCACCGCCACCATGAGGACTGAGAACAGAATTAGTCATGACAGCATTTTGGAAAGAGAAAAAAGGTATACATCGCAAAGGTTTTATGGAGGTTCAAATGGCAGACATCTCCACCACACACAGCAGGATCCGTGAGGCCAATTTGGGCGTTGAGATTGGCACCTCGAGACACAGCATAAGTGTCAGATTTCAGAATGCCCCTCCATTTGAATCAGCTTACCGTCAAGGTAAACCTGCCCGCCGTTGGCATGAATGATGTCGCAAGCCTGTGCAAGGGGACAGAATCACTAAGTGTGCGTTGCAACAAGCAAATATACTGATAGCCAACCTTCTTGACGCCATCTTCAAACACTCCGAAAGTTGACGGATACGTTATCTATCATATCACACCGTTCAGTAGACCAGGAATAAATACATTCTCTTAACTGACCATAAATGCTGCCAAGTTATCCTTGTGTTTCTCCGCCTTGAACTTCAAATCCGCATGATCAAGACCTCCGTCAGGAAGACTCTTGATAGGGACGACCTTCAAACCGGCCATAACTGCGGACTAAGGGCGCATTAAAGAAACGAAGAGCGAGAGCGAGAACTATGCTTACTGCCGGATTGGTTCCATGAGCGCTGACGGGGATAAGGCAGACGTCCCGGTGTGATTCGCCACGGGATGCATGGTATGCACGAATGACCGATAATCCAGCGTATTCACCGGCGGCTCCACTGTTAGGCTGCAATGAGCAAGAATGGAATCCAGTGATCTTGCAAAGATCGCTCTCTAGTTCCTGATCTTTAATTGAGCAAAGACGGATGTGGTGAGACCTTAGCGGTACTCACTTTGATGAGAGTATGATAGCCCTTCGCTTGTTCGATGGGCGCGAAAGGATGTAGTTTGCTGAATCCTGGATAGGTGACAGGGATCATAGTGGCGGTGGCATTGAGTTTCATGGTGCAGCTGCCAAGAGGAATCATGCCATGCACAAGAGAAAGATCCTTTGACTGAAGATGATGGATGTACCGAAGCATTTCCGTCTCAGAATGATGCGTGTTGAAAAGCTGATGTTCAAGGAACTCCGAAGTACGAGCAAGTGATGAGGGGAAGGAAGGTGAAAATTCAGCGAAGGACGTGGCGTGAGTACTAAGAATGTATGGAAGAGTAACTTGGGGCTTGGAAACGTTCAGAGCGAATGCGTTGATGAGGGAAACAAGATCATCAGGAGTCACACTCTCATCAATGGTGACACCGACGTGTCTCCCGTCAATGCGACGAAGATTTATAAGGTGATCACCCGCCACTTGGTGAAGACGAGCAGCATCATCAGTTTCGATAGTCAAGGTGTCGAAGAATTCGCCATGATTTGTGATACAATAGCCCAGGGCCTCAAGTTGGCAAGCGAGTACCTGGGTGAAGAAATGAACTTGGGACGCAATCGCCTTCAAACCTTCGGCACCGTGATAAACAGCATACATGGCTGCCATGTTGGCAAGGAGGGCCTGGCTAGTGCAAATATTCGACGTCGCCTTCTCTCGGCGGATATGCTGTTCGCGAGCTATTTGAACCCCCCATCACACAATGTATAAGTATAAAAGAAGGTAGTTACGCACTCTGTAACGCGAGCCGATAAGCAGGTTTCCCAGTGGCATCTTTACTTAATCCAACGAGACGGCCGGGCATCTTTCGCTTCAACCTATCCGTGACAGAAAAAAAGGCTGCATGCGGTCCTCCATATCCAGGGGGGACGCCAAAGCGGGCAGAGTTACCCAAAGCAATATCGGCACCCCACTCTCCTGGTGGCTTGAGCAGCGTGAGAGCGAGTAAATCAGTAGCAACTGCAAGCAGGGCATTGTGCTTATGAAGCCGTTCAGCGATAGGTGCAAAATGCCGGATTCGTCCATCAACATCTGGGTACTGAACTAGAGCCCCAGAGACAGTGGATGCTACTTCGTCCTTCAATAATTCAGTTGTCGCGTCACCCTGAATAAGTTCTATGCCGAAGCCCTTCGCTCTAGTGCGAAGAACGGAGATTGTTTGCGGTAGAACATGACTGTCGATGAAAAATGTCTTCTTCTGGCCTGAGGATATATATGCCATGACCATAGCTTCAGCGGCCGCAGTTCCCTCATCAAGTAAGGAAGAATTCGATATGTCAAGACCGGTTAAGGATGTCACCATTGTTTGGAAATTAACCAAAGACTCTAATCGTCCTTGGGAAATTTCTGGTTGGTATGGGGTATATTGGGTATACCATGCTAATGAAACGTTTTTGAGAAATTGATGCTTGATGCGCGAGCGGAGTTGCTAACCTGGATTCTCCAAAATCTATTTACTCGAGGATTGAGTTCCCGAGTCCGAGCCCGAGGAAGAAAATTATACTGAAGCAACTCACATTTCGCAGAATGACTGGGGGCACGACAGCAGCATGATAGCCCATGCCGATGTAGCTCTTAAACACCTTGTTCTGTGCCGCCAGCTCTCCCGCTCGGTGGAGTAACTCTAATTCGCTCAATGGTGGGATTGACCTATCGCTCACATTGGCAGGGTTTGCACGAATATGTGAGGGCACGGCGTCATTGACAAAGCCCTCCATACACGTGTAGCCGAGCACATCAAGCATCTTATCCACTTCATACTTGTCAGGCCCTATGTGACGGCGAGCGAACGTATCAAGCGAGTCAAACAAGCTGGGCTCTTTCGCGCCAGTTGCCAGAAGCCTAGAGAGCCTTGGGGAACGCCTGAGTGCTCTATGAAGCGTCCCAAACGCACTCTGGCGGATTACGAACATTGCGCGAGAAAATCAAACGAGGCTCAAGAAATTTTCTAGCTGGCTCAGTGGAACAGGGTTTGATGGCCATTCAGGTCCGCTCGAATAACAAATTTCCCCCTCCCGCATACTTATACTGGCATCCCCGTGTCGGAGACTGTCAAATACGCTTCTTGGATGAGCTCCCAAATGCTGAGCAGAAAAATCGACGCTTCCGGGGGTCCACGTTAATTCAATTATGCTTAGCGCCAGGCGTCAATACCCAACGATAGCAACGTGATAAATGCACAGGGATTTTCGTACATGAGGATGGCAAAACAGCCTTGTATTACCGACATTTATCCAGAGACAATTGAAACACCGACCTCCACAGGAAATTCTGAGGTACAATGGCGAGGTGTGGGAACCGAAAACTCACAATCCAGCGGAGTCTGGCGGCGCCATGGTTTTGGGAACAGCTGAGTCCACAGCAAGGCAAAACCAAGATTATCGGAGCATACCGGGCAACATTGGCGGTGGTGGCGGCGGCGGCGGCGTGACCCTGATATCTGGCGGGGAGGCCATGCTTAAAGTCCCAATCAACCTAGGCGCCTAGGCGGCGTAGGTCAAGCGGCAGAGAAGATGCCAAACATAAATTTAGCAGTGGCTCCAAATTTAGTCGTATCCGTGAGGGAAGCAAGCAATTTCGCACTGGGCTCAGTCGTCCGCAGAATTCGCCTATCGATCGTGTTCCGAGGCGGTGTGTGCATGTAACGGTCTAGTCCGCTACTACCAAGCCTGGACGCGATCGAGATCCACGCGCACCAAAACCCCCACGTTCGTGGGGACCCACTGACACGCAATCTGAGGCGCATGGAGCAGATTCAATCATTTCTTTTCGATGCCTAGACCGCAGACCTCGTGGTTCGGATGGCCGGAAGCACCTACCGATCATCGAAACGTCATGCATAAACAATTGGGCAGGCATTCGCACGGTGCGATATGCGCTTTGCAAACTGGTGCACTTGAACGTTCGAGCCATCGGCTACGACCGCTCGGATTGAGTTGAGTTGCAACGGGCAAATCTGCGCGTGTTCTTCGTTTCGGAACACAGCTCCGTGACCAGAAGGGGGGAATTTCGTCCAGAAGCGAGTGGAAACGGGTCGCCCAATCACTGAGCCTCTAAGTTTGCGCTGGTTCGAGACACGATAAATAGCCTGAATGCAGCCCTTCAGCAGGAAATTGTTTTAGAATACACGCAGGGTCATCAAGGACGCAAAAACAGCCACACGTAGAATGAGCGTTAAATGCTGGGGGCCGGAGGAAGGGCGCAAGCTTGCTCACCGCCAACGTCTTGAACAACAGTCCACCAGATGCCAGATCAGCGCCCACACGAGAGAAGCAAATCCCACGTCATCGCTACGCATGCGGAACACCCATCCATCTGACGCCGATGGCATAGGAGTATAGTTAACTGGGCAGTGATCGAAGAACCGAGGCATCCGATTCGCCAGCAGGGAAATGGAAGTGCTTTACACAGAAAAGCTCTGGGCTCGAACCGGGTACTGTCATTTGTTGAAAGGGATTTCGAACAAATAATTGATGGGCTTGAATAAATGTCAGTCAAACAAACCATACACAGGCAGCCGAGTTCCACTTTGAGTATGGAGACGGACAACATCATGGAAGCTTGAGGGAACGTTTCGGATCAGATTGCGGCGGGACATGAGAACCAAATGACGAATAGCAGCCAGAGCCTTTCATGGATCCGTTCAAGGTGGCGGCAATGCAGCGCCCCTGACAAGTCAGGAGGTATGATGGGCTTGTGTTTGCGGCCAAGTGACTGAATGATGAAAGGCGAAGTTGGCAACAATGAGGACTGTGCGCCGTGGAGGAAGTCAGATCATTGTTCAGCAAGGCGGAAAGAGGCGTGTGGTTTTAAGCTGGTATTCCAGCATTTGAAGTTGTACCAATTCGCAGATGCGTACGAGGCATGCACTCGTTGATTTTTTTCATGGAGATACCTGATCCTTTGTCAGCATTGGCATCAAAATTAGCTTCAGTGTCGCGCCGCCGAAGGAGAGACAGACGGCGAACCTAAGGTGCAGTAAAACGTTACTCTGCACTGGATAGGCAAACGAGGCCGAAGGGGGGCAGAGTATTACAAACAGGGGGAATTGAATAAATGTCGAGTATCGGGGTCCAGATCGTTTACGGGCTCGCCCTTGGCTGTCCCATCAAACGGGGGAGACGCTGAAAAGGCCTTGCATCGACCGCTGCTGGAGGAAACGACACCAAATATTGCGGCTGAGGCTGGGGTGCTGATCATTGGCAAGCTCGCCAGTTGACCAAACTGGGCGAAAACTTGAAACCTTGACAAAATGGGCGCTACAGTCGCCACGCATCTTCAGGGCATGATCCTCCTGGTCATCCATCCAATCTGGACCCCAAAGGGAAAGGGGCTATGAAACGCACGAGTTGACCGTCTCGCTCTTGCACGAAAAGGACGGCCGAGGGGACCGAAGTAAAATTTGCCCTTCTGCTTTCCTGGTACCAGTCATAAATTGAAATCCATTCATTTACCCGCCTCTTCATAGTGCGAATCGTGCCCTTTATTTATTGTGAGTGGAAACGAGATGCCGTCATCAACGTATGGAGCTTTGCCGATTCTACAAATGTCGGTGCCAAAAAGTCAGAAGTTCGTTATATTCTACTTGCCAAATCAGCGCAACCCAAGGATCTTATGCCCCCAATTGTGGGTCCCAGATCGTGCAACCAATTACTCGGCAGACACCTTTGATGCTTCCTCTCATTGATGGGTTCATGAGTTGCAACCCCCTGGAAGATCAGTAAAACCAGGAGCACGCAGCCAGGAGATCATAATCGTGTAAAATATTTGAGTATGGACGTACCTACCTGGCGCCAGAGAATGACCCTCAATGCGCAATCTCCAGTCCCTGCAATAACGATGGCGGGAGGCGGTCATAGGCTCAACAAACTCCCAGGCTCGCCGCCCCTATCGGGTAAAAATAAAAAACTGATGACCAGGCCCAAGAAGACGGACAGAATTTGCGAAAAGAAAACAATATACCAATAAGCGAAAAAGAACACAGGGTGAAATAAATCTTTTGCAGAGAACTATGCAACGGAAACAGACATATGCGCGCACACACCCAAAACAAGGGACTATGATTTCCGCACGGGCTGGTCCGATTGCCCTCGCCTGGAAATAGCACAACGGCCGTTTTCAGTCAGCGTTGATGACCCTTTCTAGACTTAATCCTGATCTCTAACGTACCAAATAAAGCACGGAGCCCTCAGTACGAAGTACGCCACGAGGTTTGCCAAAAAAAAAAAAGAAGAAAACAACACAAAAAAGAGGCATCAATGTAAACCACGCAGCCTGGACTGCCCAGTGACATTGCTCTTCAAGCGATTGAACATTGAGGTCATCAAACCGAGCACGCATATGCCCCATTGCACCGACGATCATTTAGGGAAAGATGAGGGCTGAACGGGCGTTGCAATTGGCAAAGCCCGAGAAGGAAAACGGGCGCGATGGAAGGGGAAAGTAGAGCTACATTGAAAATCTTTCGATTACACACAATCAAACAAGCGAGGTCGACTTCATGCGCCTTCCGCAACGGCGGGGTCACCGATCTTTCCCCATTCCCTTTGATTTATGTGGCCTTTGTTGTCGTTTATGGCTTGGCCCTCGGCTCTATCCGGAAATGTTGCTTAGTAATCCATAGTTGACGTGAACTTGATGTCTGGATAACGCTCGGCATAGAATCCGTGCGCGTGTGCTAAAACGACGCCGACATTTATCCCCCATATTTTTCACACGTGTTGTACATATGGCGATCCATCAGTGCAGCAAGTGAGATGGTGTTGGTAAGTTGGAACAATGTTTCCATTTGACAGGCAGGTGTGGCTTCATATAGTGCTACAGACTATAGAGCTCCTCACAATAGGTTAGTAAATGTTGGGTCCACTCAACACACATTGTGGGTACAGGGAATTTCCTCCGTACAAGTTTCGACGGAACAAATTCAGAGCTGTGGATCATTGGCAACGGCTGAATCCAGATTCCACACCGTATTTTACACACGCTTACGCGTTGATTTGGACTTGGGGTCCTTCCTATCCTAGCATGTAAGCGTGGAATCAGGAGCCGCTGTTCGACAGGGGCCTGAGTCGTGTGATGACCAGCTTTCTGGTGCTCGTGGAGTCACTGACATGATGCAAAATGCCACGCTGGCGAGGCTATCGATCTTTTATGCACACTTGAACGGGAAGACAAACACGTACAGATGAATGCGTGTACCCGGGTGTTGCACTCGATCTGCGTATCGCCAAGGAGGCAGATACCGAGCCGGTTCGATGAAACCAGTCTTCCCGATTTAGACAACTACTTGTTTGTGAGCGGTGCTGCTGTTTCTCTCCGGCGCTATAACTATTGCGACTGCCGTATCACTATTGCCTGTAATACGGTGTTCGCTGGCTAAGTGCGCGAGGTACCAAGGAAACGTACGTCATTTCGATCCATTCAGCCTTGCATGCAATAAAGTAACTCCGTATGGATCAATGGGCCGATTCGGATAACAGGTTTCGATGGGCGACGGCAAGGCGCGGTGACGGGATCAGGGGGGACACACTGAAATATCGCACTGTACGTACCGTGTTCGATTCTGGGATTCGACCCGAATCGATCACTCGGGCCATTGTGCGTAATGCTTCCACGGCCAACTTGATCGGGCAGAAGCTCACGCATTGGGTACTTCCGTTCTACGATTACACAAGCATCATCTCAATGAGGCATCATTTGCATGCAAACTACGCACGATGATGCGCCAGCGAACCCGAACCCCTGTAATCCATTCAGAGTTGGGGAGCCTGGACTCACAATTCGAAAGGAGCACGGAAAGGCGGTTCACCATACTGAACCAAACTTCTTCAAGAATCGATCTCTTCTCCCTTTTCTTTCGCAGCGGCCTGAACTCCCACACAGCACGAACGTTCATTCAAAACCTTGAGCGTATCAATTCATTCGCCACCTCACCCGACACTTTACGGCCGCCGTAATCATCTGTATATTTGATAATACTAACCATTGCAAAGAAAAAGCGACCAAAAAGGTGTCAACCGACTGCCACAGCCCCGCCGACGATGAATTTTCACTCTTCTGGCTCTCTCGGACCTCATACGGGTCCGAGTTCTGACCGCCCCACACATGGCATATGCATATTGAACACAACTATGCTATGTCAGACCCCTATGATGAGTGCGCAATAACCACCATTGATACGCACAAACCATGCTCCTCATTCCGGTCGCGCCTTCCCCATCTATAGGATCTATAATGGAGGTGTCATGCGCACGAATCCCAAAAACCGAACTGCCTTAATCGTTCATGCCAACTGCAACGCTGCAAAACTCCACGCATGATTGACCATTCATTCTCAAAGGAAGGCATTAATGCGCGATAGAGCTAACAAGAAAAAAAAGCAAAGCCTTGCGTTTACAGCGAACTGCTGCGGGCCCAGCTGCCGAACGACCGCATCATTCGAACAGGCGATCACCGCGTAAAAAAGAAAAAAAGCCAACATATATGTATGTAGCTCCCATCAACCACCCAAAAAGGGAACCGCTGTCATTTTTTTTTATGCTAGGCCACCACTACAACATCGACAACCAATGTTTGAGTAAATCTTTTGCAGGAAAAACGAACACACCGCTGCTTATAGAGCAAGTACTAAACAGTATGTACTTACTGTTGCTAATGATCCCCCCCCCTCCCTTCCCCCCGCCAATCAAACAACATAAAAAGTACAAAAAAGGTGACCCCCTCGGTTCTATCGGCTCGTCGGTCCTTTGACCAAACTACATGGCTCCTCGGCGTTTGAAGGTCCCCCCCTTTTTTCCGCCCCCGATCCTCCCCTCCCCCCCCAAAAAAAAACAATACACAGAACACTCAGGAAACTTATTCCAATTGAAGTTCCTTGATCGCAGCATCGACTGCAAAGAAAAGGGTTCTCGGGCGGGTGCTAGGGGAAGAGGGAGGGAGGGCGGCTACCAAACCAGCTTGACGTTGAGTAACTGGACCAAGATTCTTTTTTTCTTTCTTTCTTTCTGAAACGCTAGTTCTGTGCGCAACGACGACGCCGGGCGAAGTCGCAATGATGATCTACCAGTAGATCGAATACAATTCCAATAATAATAATAACAACAACAACAAAACCAAAAAAATAAAAATAAAAAGCGAGTTCTAGCGGTTCGAAGTGCTTGCAATGGTACGGGGATACGGTACGGTGCGCGAGAAAATTTGTTGATCACGACCGCCCCCTTCCCCCCCCGTCCCGTACCCGCAGGAAAAAATATATATGTACACATTACATTTTACATAACGCTGCATGATCCGCTGTTACCATCGTTCGTCGTTTGTTGCGAGCCATCGGATGGAAGGGCAGTTGGGTACCTGCGGAAGCTCCCGGCCTGGCTATCTAGGCGAACAAAAAAGGCCAGGGACCATTTTTGTGTGTACGTGTACATAGGAGCTGCAAGGGCAGGGTAAGATCAAAGTCCCTCATCACCACCTAAAAGCCAATCACCCATCGAATATGCTGGTAGTACTGGTAAACTCGGGATCCCACCGATGAACCTGGTCGCGCGCACGCTCGGGGGCACGGTATAACGTTACGTGTACGAGAACCATCCTGAACTGACATTGAAATAGAATAAAATATCATACTTGGAGAAAGAAAAAGAAAAAAAGAGACCATGAGATGGAAGTGACCATGACAATAGAACATGTACGATGCATATAAAAAAAAAGAAATTCAATGCTTGTTTTGTTTCGGTCTTGATGACAGATGGGATATGGGAGGAATAGATAGATATAGGAAGGGGGGGGATGGATGAAAAAACGTTGCAAGTGATAAATGATCGCAATCCAACCGATGACAGCCGATTATAACAAAGGAGAGAAAAGACAGAGAGAAAAAAAAATATGGTACTTCAAACCAATCGAACCAAGCCGGCGGCCGCGGTGGCGGCGGGAGGGGGGGGGGGCCACTAGTTGCGGCAGCAGCAGCGTCGTTTTGCATTATGATATGCAGCAGGTCATTTTCCATTTCCGTTCGCGCCGTTTCTGTTCGTTAAAAAATGCAAAGCGGAGAGAGAGAGAGAGATAAAGTTCGCAAAAAAGAAGAAAAAGAAAAAGGAAAAAGGAGTCTAGTTTGTGATCGTGTTGCGCAAACGTTAGAGGTGAATCGACCATAAAATGGGTACCAAGATTATGGTCGGTCAGAGTCGCCAATAATGTTAGACGTCCTGTGCGAGGACAAGGAGATAGACGAATGGGATGAAAGAGGAAGCGGAATAGAGACAAGAATATACAAGGGGAAGGGGAGGGGGGGATAGCAGCAATGATGGCTCGGTCGTCGGCACGAGAGTTGCTGTCGAAAAAGAAGAGAATGTTTCATTCATGCAAGCAAAAAAAGGCTTAAGCCTCCACGCCTGCAACAACATTCCTCGACGATTCAACACCCAACTTCCTCCTCGCGACCTCCCTCTCGCCGATAGCGCTAGGGCTTCTCCTCTTCCCCAACACTTTCGCCAAACTCGAAGACATACCACCAGCAGCTGGTGAAGCAGGCGATGACGATCCCATCGAATCGCTATTCCCGCCACCGACATCACCACCATTGCTAGCAGGAGTGACAGCTGTCAAAGCGCCAGTGCTACCTGTAACAGCATCTGAATCCGCGAGCGTAGAAGACCCAGAATCTACCAAACCCTCCGTTGGACTCGTGCGCGATCCCCATCGAGGTTGTGAAAGTGATTGCGAATGAGGATGTGGGTGAACAGGGTGAGGATTCGAAAGAGAATGGATAGACCTTGGCGAAGTCTTAACAGTATTATGAGATGGAACGCTACGCTCCTCCATATCAACATCCCCCTCTTCCTCGCCATCCTCGTCGCCTCCTCTACCCCCTCGTCGGCCAGACTCAGCACTGACACTTCCACTCTCGCCATCCGACTCTGCTCTCCTCGTCTCCCTCTCACTTCCAATCCCATCTTCATCCTCATCACTATCCGACTCGGTGCCTCTCCTCCCTCTGCCCCTGAGGCCAGAAGGATTCCCCGAGACAGAACTCCTAAGAGGATGGGAACTCCTCTCCGAGCTGACTTTGACGGTAGTTGATCCACCATGATGACTTGCGTTGTGTTTCGACCATGAAGCAAGGAATGTGGGTGGGTTCCCACTCGTGGTCATCGCCTCGGTGGCCGAATTAGAAGGCCCTTTTGCAATAGACCTCCTTCCTCGCGTCGTCGAAGGCGATCTCGACCTACTTTCATCAACATCAATGACGGACCCCCTCTCGTCCAACTCGTCTCCATCTTCCTCTACACCTTCGCCTTCTACAGGAGTGTTGACAGCACTCGTGGCACTCGCCGACACAGGGGAAGGAGCAGTGGGAGCAACTTGAATGGGAGTAAGCGTAGGATTGGTCAAGTGAACATGAGGCGCAGGCTCGCGTGACAGCTGAGCCTCAATCAAGTTCCTCCGCTCGACACGTTTCATCCTCTTCCGGCATCTGCAGAAACACGGAAAAGGAAAACAAAGGTGACATGATGTTAACGACCAATAACGCAACACAAGGCACAGGAGGAAAGTGTACGAACCTGTCACAGACAGTTCCCGGTCCAGAGGGTCCAGGTCCCCATTTCTCAATACACCTCCCGTCCTTATAACGTCCAGGCTGTCCACACTGTTTACAGGTCCTCTGACCATGAGCATTGATCGTGATGGCAGACGCAGGTCTTCTGCCAGGGGTAGCGGGCGTAATGGGGGGACGAATGATGGAATGAACAAGCGTCCCATCAGGATTCGTTATGGGTCCTGGATGGAACCCATGAGGAGGTGGGTAGGGATGAGAGTGATGAAGATGTGGCGGTAACGCGTGCATGGGCTGTGGGGGATGATGAGAATCATAAGTAGGTGACGGAATACGACCTTGGGAAGGCACGGTGTGTGGATATCCAGGTGCTCCGGTAGGAAGAAGGTGAGGAGGTATATCTCGATGAGTAAAACGTGGATCATCTGGATGGCAGGCACTCCTGGTGGAGGCGGTGGGGGCGGTGGGCCATCGTGGGCAGGAGCAGATCCGGTTTTAGGTATGGGTAAAGGAAGAGGCCTTCGATGAACCATTGTGTCCCGTTGTTGACCATGCTGATTGGAATTATTCCTACCACCTTTCATACCTACAAAGTCTTCCCTTTCGCCTCGAGAATGCTCCATGTGGCGAGCTTCCATATCTTGTTGGTATCGTCGATAGTCAGCCTCCGCAGCTTTCCAAGTGTCCATCGTCTCAGGGGGAGGATGTGACATTTCTACATCATCAGGCCTGTTGTAGGGAGGTCGGGGTGGATATTCACTGCGACCAGCGCCACCTCGTGGAGCCTCCTCACGATGGGAAGGGGGTCTTGAACCTACTTCATCTTCGTGTTTTGCATAACCTTCTTCACGGTCGATAGTCGTAAAACGACTCGCAGTATTGGGTCCACCAACGCCATTGACGCTGGCACCAGGACCACGGGAATCGAAAGGAGGTTGGGAAAGGGTCGATTGTCTGGGAGATGGATCACCGTTCAAAGGGTATCGTCGTTGCGGAGAAGACATGCGAGGGGGAGGAAGATAAATTGGCTTTCGCGTTCCATCTCCATTCGCCCTTGCAGGAGAGAAAGGTAACGAAGGCGACGACTGAAGACGAGAATGGGCAAGGAAGGAAGGAAGAAAGGAAAGTGATTGGAAGAGCAAGGTCAGTTTCTTGGTTTCCCAATTTGAACCGGATGACGAAATGAATTGGGGGGGAAAAAAATTTCTGGCGCGCGACGTTCGGGAAACGACGGGCGCCCGCACCTTTCCCTTTTTTCGGCTTGACGCTCGCTGCTCGCTAGCCTTCCCCGCTGGCAAGTAACGCTCAAGTGACGGGGAAGGATTGGAGGGGAGGAGGGCTCGGTCGGACAACAGCGCTCCCGACTCAAGGCGCGTCGACGATAATGAAATTCGTCGTCGAGGGAGGAGGAACAAAGGCGCGTGTAGGGGGGGGAAAGAGAAAGAAAGAAAGTGATAGTGTGTAACTTACCGAGGAATCATTGAGGGGGGAGGGATCGGTTGAAGCCATTGGGACGTGCCATCGGTTAGAGAGCGATTTTGCGATGTTGACAGCAGTGAAGAGATGATGCTGAAGAGTAGCGAAAGCGTCTAGCTCGTCGGGTGTGGGAGTGGCCGCAGGTTGAGTGGAGGTCATTTGTGGATGAGTAGGGGGAGTGATGTGCAAGTTGCGCGCGTTGGTGAATAGATGAAATGGAGAGGAGGCGGGGGCGTCGGTGAAGGGGATTTGAAGAGTAGGATTTTATAAAGGTCGTAGGGCTATGAAGGACAACGAAGTAAAGTGGTGGTGGATGTCGACGTCGATGGTAATGACACTGGGGAGGAAGGAAGGGGGAAGAGATGAATGCCGACACAACCCAGAGGTGAAAAACATTGAGATTATAAGAGTAAAGAAAAACGAGAGAGTTGGGCGGAATAATATCAATGTCTTGAATTGAATTGGAAAGAGGTGAAGCTCGCTCTACTTTTTAAGTGTAAAAAATGATTATATTATATTATATTATATAAATATATTTTTAAAATTTAAATTGAATCCCAATTTGTATCGCGACGAGGGACACAAACGCCGCGGCTCTCAATTGATTCAATTCAATTCATATGTATCACTTTATTTTATTTTATTTTATGTGTTTATTTGGCTTCTTTTTATTTTTTTTTATAAAGTATTATTTTAAGGGAAAAAAATGAATGTATAGATTTATTTGGCCCTTTCGGTGCCCACCGATACAAACAACTTTTCAAAGTGGCGATTCTTATTCCAGATGTGGGAGTATGAATTATGCGAACGCGCTTGGGGGGAAGGGCAACGTAATCTGAAATGGGTTACTCGCTAAAGTGAATCTCACTCTTGACCCAGCGCAACGGGTCCATTTCCGCCACCACCACTAACTCACTCCCTTACACTACTAGGTCCATCCTTCAATGCCCGGGTCCCGCCTTCCATCTTGATATATTATATATATCCATATCACCGTCATCACCACCGCCAGCCACAAACTCTCAACAATCCCGCGCTCTCGACTCGGGCAGATCCCGTATCTGTTGTCTCACATTCCCAGATCTAGTCGAGCCCAACCTATTTCAGATGAATATCAAAATCAAAAAAGCAACCACTTCTGCGACGACAACTCATGACTTCTTTGCATCGCTGACTTGGACCATCTCATCTCTTCTCCTCACCCAAAGAGATGACCCCCCCGCGTAAACACACTCCAACCAATAGCCTTTCCTTTACAGAGTACGTCCCTCGTCCCTGCTTACGATATCCGGAACCATCCGATCCCTCGTCGGGTGTTTGCAATCCCTACTGGATTCAATTCCGTTTTCGCAGAGACTCCGTTTGCCCTTTCTCCCCTTTCCCTTCCCTTCCCTGTCCATTTCCCCTTTCCCAAACTCATCCCATTTCCCTTTCACCCGGCGCGACCCTCATGCCCACTCCCCCATTTCTTCTCACCCTTTCCCTCCCTCAGGCTCTTCCAGCCGCCGATTCATCCGGTTCATCACCTTGATCATTATGTTTCCCTCCCCCTCCCCTCCACTTACCTGGTCCACCCTTTCCACATCAAGCATCTATTCCCCCTCCCAAACCTTGTGTATTACATACCCTTGAAATCCTTTTTGTCGCCAACTCCAGCCATATGTAGTCTTGACAAATAACATAATATTTGTATTTCACCGATCTGGCGAGTCTCCCGCCCGACACCGGCGAGATCTCTCAGATCCGCCGTGCATATTGTCCCCGTTCCACTGTTACCTTACATGTCTCTCCCCTTCCCTCACCTCGCGACACATTGTTGATAATCCCTTTTCCGGTGCCCAACTTCCCCTCTTCACGCCTAACAAATCAACATGGGATGATGATACGTCCTTTGCACGGTGTCACTCACCAACAGCTCCCTGCATGGTTCGATGTCGACTCTCCCCTTACACTTCCTTTCCTTCTCCTTGAGCTGTTCTCCAGATCCAACCAATTGATTTTTACCTGACTAGGAACGACAAGCTTGACGACAACAAAGGCTCCCCTTCAGCTGTTGGCAGATCTGGCATTCCTCCCCCCTTGGCGTCCCTACCTGCTCACCTGCCTGCCTATGTGACCACCTGCCGCCGCCGCTCTACAGCCTTTTTTTCCTTGTCCTCCCATTCGGTTCTTCCTTTCTTGGCCTAGCTCGGGCTTCCCCTCCTCCTCCTTCCCTTAGAGATCAATGGATTTTCTCCTTCTCCCGCTTTCGACATAGTACGCGTGTCTCGACGCATATGAAAAAAAAAACGACATAGCCCCCAACCAACTCCTTTCTCTCAAGTTCACAATGGCTCCACTCCACTCCATACACACTCTCTCCTGAATCCCTTCCATCACCGGACCTAACGCACAACGAATCATACGACTCTTTTTATTTTATTTTATTTTATTTTCGCCGTTCTCAATTCAAGTTCTGGCAGAAAAACTCACGATGCGCTCGGACGCGGAACGGCTGATTCATATCCATGCGTGGATCCATCCATGATCGACTTTGCTAATATTCCTTCTCTTAAAGTACTTCCCCCCCCCTCCTCTTCCACCTTCATAATTCCACCTCATAATAACGACCCAAGATCAACAACGTACGTCCGGCGGTTCAACTCAACTCCGCTTGTGAACTCCCATATCATCACGGACCGGCTGTTATGCATGTGTCCGTGCAAGAGAACACACACATAACATACAGCTCCAAAAAAAATATTAACATGAACGCGTAGATCCCATTCCGACGATCACACACACGGGCGCCGCCTCCCCAAACACTCATACACCCACCCACCTTCGGTCCCGGCGCATCAATTCCCCAACTCCAACTCCCTCCACCTTACCTTATGTGATGGACTCTGTGTTTTTTCAAAAATGCGCGATCAGCATCATCAGAATCAAGAGAACCAGTTGCCGCAAAATGCTTACTTGAAGCGGGGGGATGTGGAGGGGGAAGGGGGTAAAGGCGCTTTTCCTATATGTCATATTAATTTCCGCATGAGAGAATTTCATCTTTTTTTGACTTTCAAGCCCGAAATGATATGACAAGCTTATAGGTTAACGCAAGCCGTAGTCGTACTACACATGGTACACATATACATATGGCCTCCCATGCATGCAACAAACAATTCGCTCGGGACGCAACAAATCTTAGGCTATCTAAGGTCAATATGACGTTACGTTCATTTTGACAGGTATGATGGATGGTACTTATGTATGATATGGATGAGAGAGACGGGACGGGTTACATAACGGTTAATCGTTGGATTGCGGTTTGACCTCGGGGGGCCGGCGGACAGCGGACAGTCCACTTTCGAATCATTCCAAGGCTATCTAGGACCACTTTCACTTTGACGTTACTCCCGGCCGAGCATCTTCTGTGACATGATCATGGAAGATCCATATGGATTAAGAGATGGAGATGATGATGATGATGATGAGTAATGGGTGGACATCGAGGTCCGTCCGGCCCAGGCCACTCTGAATGAAATAAAAAAATCATTTGTAAATATTGTGACCCCAATATTACCGATCTTGATCTTGAAAATATACTATAGCGCTGCGCCCCCCCTCCTTCTCCAGTCCGAAAGACTTCCTCTCTCTGGCCGCTTACTCATTCAACTTCAACTTCAACTCACTCGCTCAAATCCGAAAGAAGAAGTACATAGTTTCTTCCTGGATCCAGGGTGCTATGTAGCGGAATATATGATCAAGAAACAACTAATATATGCAGGGGGGGGCTCTCTTGACCAGTATGGAAAGTTAAACGCCCAATGGGAAGCTACTTGCAGATCCAATTCGTGATCTTCGTCTCCCTATTACACATACGGTTTCTTCTCTTGTTCGTACGCGATTGTGATTGATCAACTAAATGTATGGCATGTACTTGCACAGGAGTTTTGTTTTGTTTTTCTTTCATTCCTTGTTTGTTGCCCCGTGATACGGGTACCAATACATACATATACTACTACAAATCATCATTGAACATAACTGTATGGGTACAAACCCCTTGCTGTACTATGTGATCCCATTGTCAGTGAGAAAGGGCCGCGGAGTTAACAAACAAACACTGTGAGAGAGGAGGAAAGGAAGGAAGGAAGGGAGGTGGGGGGAATTGGAGCCTGGGACTTGGCGCAAATGCAATGGAAATGGCGACCTTGGAGCCGCCGTCGCCAGGTACGAACAAACGTATGAATACTATTGCTGTGGTTGCACTTATCCGACGCTCAACAGCCTTGCATGCAACACGGCCGGCCTTGAACCGTTTTCGACCGTGCCGGCCGGCTACATCCTGATATGATGATGTGGTTGCTGTTGGAGGGGGCTGGGGGGCTGGGGAGACGGCCGGCTACGCGGCACGACTTGGAGACTCGAACAAGAAAGCTAGGCCAGAGGATTCTTACTTGGGGCGTGTGTGGGATCACATATCATGCCAATGATCGATAGCGAACTAGATGCTGATGCATGGCTAGCTCAGCCGGCACATCGATGCGATATCGCATGTCACTTCCCTCCTTAGAAATCAAATCGAATGGGATGTGAAATGGGGGGGGAGGGGGGTTGGGGATAGGAATATATTACGACGGATTAGATGCCCGCCAGCTGCTGACGGAGGGGTCGGAGCGACAGGGGAGGAAGGGGGCAGTTTGAATGTACATGTGTGCGCAATATGATCAATCATTGATGGTTGATTATGATGGAAGGGAAGGAAGAGGGGGTTGGTTGGATAGATAGATAGATGGTAGTGCGACGACCGCTTTTGTTCGCTGGCAATTGAGTCGGGAGCGAGGGTTTGAACTTGGTCGATCCTGGGTCCGTACTATATAGTTACACACACGCGCGCGCGCAACAACTAGTATGTACGCGTACACGGTTGCCCGAGGCCTGGTGGCGCCTGCCGACCAGCTTGAATATATATAAAAATGCGCGAAACCCTCGCCGGTCGTCGTTCTTGCCATGATATTTCAATAGTGATGATCGTACGTTACTATACTTCTGAGGTTGATGAAAGGGTTCACCGTGTGTGTGTAAGTAACAACAACTAGGTACATACACCCCCAACACCCCCTTCCCCCATTCCATCCCTGGACTTCGACGATCCTTGATTCCCTTTACATAGGATTCATCCCATCGGATCGGAATCCCGATGTGCGCGGGTTTCCACTCGATCTGGCACGATGTCACAGCCCAACTTGGGGGGGCGCGGCAGGCAATCCATGATCCATGGTCGCAATAAAAAAAATTAACAATTGCCGACTGCGCAAGGATAGATGATGGTGATGATATCTGTCCATCTAACCACGAACATCTCTGTCTGACATGACTTGACTTGGAAAAAAGTCCCTCCGATAGAACACACACACACACACACACACACCAGATATCTGCGTGGCCAGCATCCCTCTTTGCCCATCGGCGCAACCCGACTCATGTTGTCTCACCTGCTCTATTTCCTCTTTTGTTCCCTCCCGCTCCCAGTGAACGGCAACAACAGCGCAGGAAGAAGAAGCCCAAAAGAGGACGAATGAGCACGCAGTTTTCTTTTTCTTTTCTTTTTTTTTTTACACGGATGTATTGCAATACGTATATCATACACACATCGCTCGCGTATCCAAGCAATGCCCTGCGGGCAATATCGACACCCGCGCACCCGCATAACCCCCCCTATATTACCTATAGAACCCAAAAGCCAAAAAGACGCCCCTACTTTCTCCGTCCCTAACCGTCCTTCCCACATCAATTAACAACAATACCCGACGCAGCCACGAGAAAACACCCGTTACGAATTTACTCTCAACCCAACCCAGATCGATTCCACAACCGACGTACAACCGCCTTGTGTCGTATTACCTTTATTCGTTGTTCCAAACGCGTACTCGCATCCCACCCACGTCACAAACATACCCACGCACATACACCCACTCCAAATACCGCCCCCACTACACCGCCCGGCCCCTCAATTGCCATTTACACACTCTCACTCCTCCTCTCCCGGGGCGGTGTGTTTCTGTACCCAATCAACCCTCGCCTCGCCTCACACCGCCTTGATCTCCCGATTCCTCGAACTAGTAACGACCCCTCCTCAAAAAAAAAAAAGAAATAATTGAAAAAATCAAGACATACCGCTTAATCTGTGTGTATGTGTGTATGTGTGTGCTCATATGGAAGAGAAGATGAACGTACGAGATAATTCTAGAGACAAAACAATGTGATGAACAACAATGATGGTATACACGTAGCGTCGGCGCCGGCTCCGGCAACAGTATATATATATATTGCGCCCCTACGCGCGACACCCTTTGAAACCAACCAAGTCAATAATAATTATGGATCATACGGTCTAACAAAACACATATATGGATTAAGTATATTAAGTAAGTAACCAGGCGGGTGGTTGTGTTTACACCATGCCACATCTCTTTCAATCCATCTCTCTCTGTGCTTTTTCTGATAATAATAAATATTCCCACGATGTGCCGTCGATTATTTGTATTGGTCCACCTTCCATATGTAGCATTTGGGTTTTTAGGGACAATACCAAAAGGGGGTTGATGATGAATGAGTCATGACTCATTTTTACTCATGCATCTGCTCACACGTGTTACGCGCTTATGCACAACGTTCGGGACGGCGGCGGGATGGATCAATGGCTCACACGGGTCGTGCTATCTCTTGTGGAAGGAAAAAAAAAAGGATAAAAAAAAAAAAACTAGGCTTCATGCGCTAAGATCAAGTATATATCCAACAGTGTCTCATCGGTTCCGTGAATGATCTGGGACGGGAACTAGTTGGCCGCTGCTTAGCGGCAACCCTCGTACGGTATAAACAATCGGGAACCCTGCTTGGACGTGAGTTTCCAGGGCTCTTGTCTGTCTATGTCGTGCGGGATTGGCAGCAGGATGATGGGTCAACTGACCGATCATTATCTTTTGCGAGTGCGAACGGAAGTGCTCGTCTCACTACTGCGTTTGAGGGCAAGTTTGAGAGTATTACTCTTCGACTCTCCTGTCACATTTCGGTCGTTCCTCCGCACGGATGCACCTTTTTGGGGAAGTACCTACTTTTCGTGGAGCGGATCACACTGGTTCCGCGGAACATGCCTACCTGCTAATATCTAGCTCATTTCTTATTGCATTCTCTGCTGCAAAGGTCCTGTTATGACCCTGAACAGGGTGGAGAACTACTAGTTTGAGCTGAGAAAACTTGGGCAATCATAGCTGTAGCTGCTCATGATGCCATCTATCCATTCGTCTCGCTGGTTCAGCACGTTCGTCTCACTTATAGACTGGCCAGGAATCTTGTAATATAGAACAAGTTCTCAATGACTTGTCTCGTTCCGTAACCCGTTGAGCTCGTGGCCCGCCGCTGTGATAGGCTATACCCGTGAGACATCGAACGCCGCCTCGCGACCGCCCCCTCCCCCATCGTCACACTCATTAAACTCCATCCTTTCACCGTTCCGTCTTCCGACCGCACAAGTGACTTACTTTACTAGCTTCTCTTGACATATACAATAGAAAGATGGCTCGCGTATCTCCGTAGCAAAACGATTCTTCCTCCTCGGGACACAAGTAAGTAAGTAAGTAAGTAACAATGACGATCAGGACGGGTAACGAACCCGCGAACCTCATAGAAGGCGCATGGGAGCCAGAGAAAGAAAATGACCGATCTATAAATCTCATACACAAATATTATCGTAGCAGCTCAAGGTCCCAACAAAAAAAAGGAAAGAGAAAACCACTTCTGGCAATAATATTTGCACAATTAGCTCAAATCTCAGCTTGTTGTGCATTACAGTATACAGTAAGTGATATATATATATATGCGTTGTGTATATATATATAAATCCTTCCACGCCGTTCCCCCGCCTAGACATAACGCCGATCTCAGCGTCAGTCCCTCAATGATTCTCAAATCTTGATTACTTACATATCAACGGTTCCAGCCCGTGGAGAAACAAAAAACACTTTACTAATCTTACAAATCTGAACGGCAGTTTTGGTCCGTTCAATCCAGCTAATCTATATCTATCCTATAATCCATAAGCATCATGTTAACACGCGTATGACTGCAAAAATAACTCGGCAAGAATGTGAGGCGATTTCTTTCTTTCTTTTCTTTTCTTTTCTTTTCTTTTTTGTTAGCCCAAATATTGCCACGCGTTGTGCGGGCAAGAGGGCAACAACGTCAAACTGGCATTGCGGGCGGCCATCGCACGGCGTACTTACACCACGGGTTCTATAGCCCCCCCTGCGGGTGCTGATCCCGCCCGGGCCCATTTCGCCAAGAGCCGTTGAACTACTAGTACTTGTGGCCGTGCAGCAGTTCTGGCCTTTCGCTCCTCCTCCTTCCTCCTCCTCTTTCCTTCCTTTTCGTCTCCATTCCGCTCATCCTTCCTTTCTCGGCAGTTTCCCCTTCGCATCTACCCCTTAGCCGTCTTCTCCAGCTTGAGCGTTGCGCGCGCGGAGGGGGAAGGGTAAGTAAGGGTGGGGAGCGATGATCATCTATTACATATATATTTTGCCACACCCTTACCTTGTTCGGTCCTATACAGCAAACCCCTTGCAGTAACCCTCCAACCCCACCTCGTGCAGCTGGTATCATACTCTCTGGCACCCGACTGACATAAAAGCACAAAAAAAGGAAAAAGGAAAAAGGAAAATAAATTGGGGGCGAGTCATATGCACCAGCAAATTTAGCAGAAATACTAGCGCTGAGAGCACAACCAGAACTAGAGTGGGGGTGCCACAAGCGGTGGTACCGCTGAGTGACGAGGCTGTGGGTGAATTCTAACTCTTTAATTCCGGTCCATTTGTATGATGATCTACTTAGATCGAACTTCATCTCTATGATCAAGGCAGTACGGTACGGGTACGGGTTCAAGTGCCAACACTATCATATATTATTTACTTATTTATATCGTGGCTCAGCTAGCCCCTAGCTAGAGAATTTACATAGAATTCTACTTAAACCGTGGTACGGGTACCATACGGCGGCTCAAACGAAGTGAGTATAAATGTAACTCCTCGGTCCCGTGTAGAAGTATGTACTTTTGGTTTTCCTTGATGCTGTCGAATCGATCTACTGATATATTATATGACATGATGCAGCGGCGGCGCGCACGTCAGGCGGCCCCCTGTCTTTTCTTAGCTCTCCGACCTTCCTTCTTTTTTCATTAGTTTACATATTGTGTCTAAGCTGCTGCTAGCTGCAAGGGTCGACACACTCTTTTTTTTTGGGTTCTTGATGCTATAGTAATTGATCGATGATCACTCTTTGGAAGAATTCGTAAGCCAGCCGCGCGTGGGTGGGTCGATTGGAAGTGTATTCCTTGAAGAGCCTCAAAAGAAAAAGGGGAAGGGGGGAAGGGGGATGTGTGGGGTGTGGCCGGTCGGATGAGCGTGCGAAATTAAAGGCGTGTTACACTAGTGCACATATACTGACAATGGGCAGGTGGGACACTTGTACTGTTGCGCATGATTTATTTGCAAGTCAGGGTTTCGTAGGCGCACTTGCACCGTTCTGGGAGTTACGTGGCGCCAAGGGATCAGCAACGCCGAGGGCATTGCCCGGGGAAAGAAACTTTTTTTGTTTTCTTACTTACTAAAAAAAAAAAGGGAGTAATCGCTTTAGATCTATACCTGACGGTCGGGTTTACTTACTTACTAGCTATGGGTACATGTTATGTATTGGTAATATTCTTCTTTTTTTTCTTGCCATGTTACCATTTCCCAGGTAATGCGGTTTTGCAGGTCAGACACGCACATGTTGTTCACAATCCCGAATATATATATATATTAAACCTCTCCCCAATGTGTTCAGTGAAGAGGCGCGCAACGCAACTCACCTACGTATACTCGCATACAGTGCGCAATATCCGCTCACCGTCTCCGCCACCACCCCTCCTCCCCCATTAATTCATCGTACAAGGCCGACCCCCAAAGGAAAAACTCCTCACCCAACCCTGCTTGACCCTTACCCTTGAGAAAAACCCTTACCTTCTCGCGCGCGAAGCGCTATTTCCCTTTCTCTCCCCCCATCCCCCATCCCTTCCCTTAGCTTTCATGAATCTGCAGGAGAAAGATTGCGTTGGTCAATTTGAAGGCAACTCCCGGAAACCTTACCGAGTATAACCCGTGTTCAAAGGCAATTTTTTCCACCAATAACACCAGGCACAAACCGTTCATGGGCGGTTCGATTTGGCGGTTATGGCTGGTGTGATTTGAACCGTTGGTATTGTGTTTTTTTTTTTTTTTTGTTATGAGTTGGCTTTGCAACCGTGTGGAATAAAAAAAAAAAAAAAAAGGCGGCTGCGGCGCGAGATTCCCCTCATTGCATTCCCTTTCGAATTCTTTCTCTATTCAAGTGACGGGTAAGTGTATACTGAGTAGTATGTAAGACCTAGATACGATCATCATCATCATCATCGAGGGCGCAGCGCGAGAGAAGAGGAGGGGGGGGGGCTTACTTAGCAACGAAAAGAACGGATCTCCGGTCCGTTATGTAGTGGGCCCGGGCTTCTCTCTTCGCGGTTGGGGTGCGGGTGTCCATCAGCAAAGAACGTTGCTGTTTTTGCTGCGCTGGCTGCTTTTTTCTTCTTGAACAGTCGGCCCCTCCTCTCTTCTCTGCCCTGCCCTGCCCGCCCCGCCGGCCGGGGGGCTCTAGACTGCTGCCCATGATTCTCTAGGCGTTGTCCGAAAGCAATTTGATCGTTTTCATTTGCGACCCTCTCCTTTTTTTTTTTCTTCCACAGTTTCCTCACTGCGACCGCACCTGCAGAAGTGCTGTGGTTCCCCCACCCTCGTTCCCTTCGTCGCGCCTGTGTGCTTTAGCTTCGCTCCACTGGCTCAAGAAAAAAAAGAAGTGCAAACTGCTGCTCAACTGCTGGCTTAGGATCACTCTGAATGAAACCCAACCTCCAGCCTAGCTTCTTCTTCTACCATAACGAACTGATCCTGAAATCGACCTTCTACGCTGATCGATTCACGGTTTACGGTAACTGGCTGCCGGTCCGGATCTACCTGGCCCCCTTTGCAATTGGTCCTCTGGCGGTTCGACGATGAGGAAACAGTTCCCTATTAATTCCAACTCAAGTTAGATCGTTCGATGTATCAAATGAGACGTAAGGTGCGTGGGTGCATGTTGATGATGGGACCTGACCTTGCATTTCCATGCACAACCCCCCCCCCCCTCTCCCCCCTGTCATCCCTTTTTCACCTCGTCAGCCGAATTTCCACAGCCCCATTTTTGGCCAGTTGCCTAGCCCAAAAGTCCAACTCTAACCCGCCCTCTCAATCTCCAACAACAACAACCCGCTTGCGCTTGCGCCTTCATTTCAAACGATCTCACCTCATCCAGCTAGATCTCTTGTCATGTCCGCTTTTTCGCTTACGTATATACAATGCCACGACGCAGAAACAACCCCCGGACCTCCGACTCTCACTTTCATCTCCCAAAAAAGGAGTCCCCAAGATCTCGTTCTCCAAATCGGCAAATCTAAAATGTTCAATTTGAGCAAATGCCGAACGGTACGGCAACCCTAACCCAGTTCGCGATCGTGATTTTTGTTATTGCACAATACAATGGTGTTCCCGTCGGCGGCGCTGGCGGGGGGCGACTGTTACGAGAACTCCACACACACCACCATTCAAGCAAATCTTGATTCAGTATTGCTTCAAAAACCAGTTGCCCCAATCTGCTGATCTGATAGCTGCATCGCCAATAATAATACCGTAATATCAGAGATGAACGATTCCGCAAAAGGCGACTGAGCGACATGCAGGTTCGATCGGGTACGAGTACCCGCACGGTTATTTGTAAAACGAGTCAGGACGTCGTCGGCTAGGTATGTGATGGCTTAGTACACACACTTGTACATGACCCTCCCTCCTCCCCCCCCCCTTTTTTTTCGGGGGCCAACGCATGGTTGCACCACAATACATTGCCGTAAGTTCATTTCTGATCCGCATGCAGGTAGATCATGATGATGGGCTGTTTGTTGGCCGGTACGCGGCCGGACGTGCCAGTGGAGGGGAGGCGGTGTTGCAAAAAGGCGGTGTTACATATGTACTGTAAGCGACGTGGGATTTCCCGAAGTGCGATGAGATGATGAGATGATGTTGGACTTTTCCGCTTTCCCTTTTTGCGTTGCTCTTTCCCCCCTTCTACATATGTACAGAGCGCCCAATTCGGATGAATGACCAAGTAGGTCATGTGATTTTCCTATTTTAGGAAAATGACGGTCGATCATGATTTAGTTACTACCATTTTTGGATGATTCTATGCACAATGTCATTCTTCCAAATCGGGCGGCACCGATTTTTGTTCAAAGTGGCTGTTCGACTGAATTGAGAACGTAATATTCGTGTTCAAGAGACGCTGGCACACGACACGCCCACATCGGCGAGTACTACCATCGTTTTGGAGAGCAGTCGGCTAGACGATAGCCTACATCCTCCAATCGTGCCCACATTTGGGCACATCCTGCCGGGCAGAGGACACCAGACCAGGCTTCCGATGCTCATGGAGGAACCAAAAGGCATCCTCAGGCTGGAGGAGCAGGAGCACACGAAGATAAAGGTGTATAAACACCCAAACACCCCGACCACATCAACCAGTCCCCCTTCCTTCACATTCAATTCGGGATAGTCGCACTGCCACGTATCGACGTAACAAAATAGAGTTCAACAACAACAACGACGACGACGACCCAGTTGTTTTGTACACATAAACAATTATAAATAGAATGGCTGGGTACGCGAGCCTAGAAGGGGAGGAGAAGGAGACGCAATAAGACACAACGTGGTTGACCGGCGGAGCACCCGCGACAAAATTTTATGACTAGAAATGGTAAGATGATTAATTTCAAATGTTGGGGCTCAAAACGCTTTCCCCGCACGAACAATCATCAACTTGTCCATATTTAGAAAGCGACAGGCGGCAAAGATGTCGGGGTGCGTCGGCAGGTGGGGAAGAACTCTTTCCCCCCAATCCTTTAGGGCGTTGTAAGTAAACATTATTATTAATGTTTGACGCATAAAAAAGAGAGGAGGCCATGTGTAAGGGGTGTTCTGGGACACGTGGTGAGACATGAAGAGGCCCCAGTACTTCCTCGAACGTGTCAGATGGGGTGAGTTGGAAACTTCTTTGCTATTACTACTCATGCTCATATGACCGAAGCACCATCATTGGGGCGTTTATGTCTATTGGTATGTACACCAGAAGGGGTTAACTTGTGACCCTCCCCCCCCCATATATGCATTATCCGAGCGCACCACTAGGCCCTTCATTCGTAAATCGATCGCGTAGTTGGAGAATCGAATTCAAGCCTTCAAAGTACGTACTACTCACTCGGCGACATGCGTGCCCAGGTTGATATATACGATTTACAAATATGTAAACTTTCTTCCTGGGACAATGCACCGAACTACAGGCGGTGTCCGGGGTGGAGGTTGAGGGAAAATGTACGAGAACTCACCCGATCGTCTCATCCTCTCTCGATCTTGAGCCTGTTCTTTCTCACTCCTTCGGGATCCCTCCCGCTGCTTCCTTGCACATCCCATCACATGGGTTCCTGGCTAACTGGGGCTCGGCATCACCCGTTTTGCCAATTGAAAGAGTAATAATTCGCATGACGCGCTCGCTACTATAGTACGGCTTCGATGGCGTGGGTGTGTGTAGTATGTGTTTGCTTTCTCATGGCATATTACTCCACTATGTAAGTCGCTCGTCCTGGGTAAAAAAACCACCATGCGCATGATGAATTCGCGGGTTCGCGAATCCCTCGGCTCGGCGCGCTCGTGCGCGCGGGCGCCATTTTCTTCCGAACTTTATGTAAACTCCAACTTCTTCGGTGGTCCCCGTACGGCCAATAGCGCAAGTGCTGCTTTGGATGAACTGGTTAGTTTTCGTCTTTCGTCCCTTTTCACCCAATTCGTGAGTACCTGCTTTGATGTGCTCTGAGTGGCTGATGTGTTCCCGGGTGGCTAAGCTAAGAGGAGGGCCCTGACCGGCCGGGGGAGGTTTTTTTTTTTTTTTTTTTCAAATTGACGCTTGACTCGCAAAGTGTACTAGTGCAATGCAGTAGTGGGGCCCCCGACCCGCGATCGGGGTCCGCCCACCGCTTGAGCTGTCTTACATTTGACTGATTGATCTATGCACGTTGCGTACGCGCGTTACGTCTGCATTCGCCCCCCCCCCCCCCCCTCGCTCTGCAGGCTCTTTTGTTTCTCTCTTCCCATTAATTTCCCAGCCGGAGTTCAAAGGTGAGGGCGCTTTGTAAACTTTAACTCTTTTTTTTTCAGCACCACCGGCAAATTAAGGTACGTTATCAATGGACCGGCCTGGGGCGCTGGTACGGGTGTTTTTTGATTGATGATCGATTGGGACGTACTAGCTCAATCATGGTTTTTTTTGAAATCCACAACCAAATCCCGCCTGTTATCGGGTACAAATGCTTTTTCGTTCATGAAACGAACTGTGCTATAGTAGTAGTAACCCCATATCAGTTCGATGGAGTTGCCACTCATGGTGTTTCTATATGAACGGTACGCGTACTATACCACAACGGTTGCAGCTTATTCATGTAATATCGCCGTTGTGGGGTGGTATCAGCAAATGACTTGGATAGGAGAGAGGAGCAGGGAAGATTCGATGTATGTAACGAACATCATCATCATCACATCATTACTTAGCTAGCAGCTTCTGCTACTACTACTACTACTAGTTGAAAGGGATTAATTCCCCGAATTCTAAGCCGCCAGCGAACGTTGCAAGCTCGGTACGGTATTATATGAATATTGTGCAACAAGATCATATCCGCAACCGCAACCGAGTCGGCTGATAACTCGCGCAAGACATTATATTATGTTATTGCAAACCGGCTCCTCCATCGGGCGCTCGCTGCATGCAACAAGTGTTCATGGTTATGATATCAAAAAGCTTCTAGCACGCTGCCGGTAGTGAAGCTGACACCGTACTGATGCATGCATCCATACTGTACGTCGCTGGGCTTGGTCCGTCCCTCATCTTTCATGTAACCTTTCGTATTTGTGATTCAGCAATTTGGAGCTTATATATATATATGGCAGACACATGAGGTGCATGCAGTAGTAATTGACATGACGCCTCCTATCAATTCCCCCAGCTGGTTCCATCAGACCGTACATGGATGTATCGTCGCTACTGGTGATTCCATAAACATCAACCTGCAGACCAACTACGCATCAACTCCATCCATCATGGGAACGAGCATTTCAATTGAGTGCATGGCTCAAATCGATGGGCATCACATTTTACATTCCGCGCGCCGTTTCCGCTCAGCCCTCCACCCAACCCCCGCCTAGGCTAACCTTATTCTACTGAATTGAGTCCCCTTTATGCTTCCTTATATACTCTTGAGTCTCCTGTGTGTGCAATTGTGCAAATATATTTATACGAGGTACGTATGTTGTGCACAAATGTGCATGTGGCGCTGAGCGCTGGTCGATCGTGGGATTAGTAGATAGAGGAGATCGACTACGTTCTCCCTTTTTCTAGTTTGGTTTAGTAATCCAAGGGTTACTCGTTATGATCTTTTGGGGTGGAAGGCGGATCCTGTTGAGATCACCGACTTTTGATGCTACTTTATGAGTGGCCAGTTGGGCTTGGCCAACTCCCCCGTGCGTGCGTGGCGCATGTACGTATGTTGGCATGTTTTTGATGTGATTATTCAGGTTCAAATGACTAGTAGTACTTGCGGTGTATTGTCTTGATCCGCTGATGAGTAAGTTACATACACAGGCATTAATTTTTTTGGGACTACAAAGTTCGCTGTTATCCAATGTGCATGTGTGCGCATGTCGCCGTCGGATCGCGCGTTAAGTATGTATGTATGGGGCGCCCGGAGCCTTGGATTGATATCTAATCAATTCTTTCTGCATCCCGACAGATGCGGATGTACAACACGAACATATTGATTGAAGCGCCACCGATACAACCTCTTCACCGTTAGCTTCGCTCCAACTCACTAACGCTTCAACGAAAGCGTTTTTCTTCCCAATTATAGTGCTGTACATAGTACATTATTTCACATCGATGTTATATATATGGCCGCTCGGAGTTTCTTTACGCTCACCGATGGCCGGCTCTATATATATAAGAATGACCTAGAACTGGACGACTTTTCCCAGTACCTTGTTTTTAATTTGACATCGGAGAGAGGGAATTCCCCGGGATAGGGGCCTGAGACAGTATGTGCCCGGAAATGGGCCAACTCCCAAAATTGAAAATCCAATACGCCAGTTTGGCACCAGAACCACTTGGTGATGCGCTAATCCAGTACGTAAAGATTATTTCATAGCGGCGGACCAACCCGGCGTTAATACTAGAAGTGAGTAGTAACATTTCATGTTGCGATATCCTGGTAGCGATCGATATCACCTCGGAAGTTCAGAGGATGATAGTGAGCCAATTGCGGTTGCGCTCATGGGTTTGCATTCGATTTATATTCTTATGTGTGAACTCTATACAGGAGTATTAGATTAGGTCTACGATTTGGAAAAGGGGGCTAGCTAAAGGGGGGGTTTGGTATAGCAACGGTAAGCGCAGCCGCCGAACGAATTGGGCCCTGTGGGTACCACCCATATTGTCAGTCCTTCTGCATACAGCCATAATACTTCGCCGCGGCTCATATTCACGTACGTACGCTAATATTGTTGGGGAAGTCATCTGCCAACTTGGTCTCAGTGTAAGTGTGTAACTGGGTGCAACTACTACTGACACAGCGCTGGCCAATCGCTTAATGTTTTGCTACTGAATGAACATCAATATGCGCCCGCCCGCCCGCCCCCGCCGCGATTATATTACATATCCATATCTGCCCACTACAACCAATGACATGCGTGGGCACGAATGTGCGTGTGTGATTGACACATTTACATATATATTTACGGATACACAGATGACCACACTCACTCCACGCCGACAAAAAAAGTAGCAATTTATATTGATTGTTCGATGGACGGCTCCCCTCGGAGTAAAAAAAAAAGGGTCTTCATTGTAAATGAATTGAGTCGTTGAAATTTGCGGGCTTAGAGCGAGTGAAAGAATAAGCGCCTTGTCGTATAGTCCCATAATTATAATTATATAAAGATTGTTAGGAGTGGGTGAGGGGAGCCGTGTTGGGCCCGATATTAATCAGCTGTTCCACTTTCCCCCCTGCGTACAACCATGCCCAGCCGGCCATGTCGGTGGGAGATAAACCAGAATGCAATATATAAAGGATGCGCCAACGAAAAAAAAAAAATGAATGTGAATCGAGTTTAGGGTTCGCATGTTTCCACAAGTTCGGCTTTCATCGGCCCTGAGTACGGGGGGCGAAGCCGAGAGTTTGTCAGTCAGTGCCTGGACTAGCTAGCCGCTAGCAAGGGGGACGTTCCGCGAGCTCGATTCCCGTGTGTGAATGTGAAGCTGATACTTAAGGCAATAGCCGGCAAGGCCACTGGCACTCACTGCGTTTAGAGCCAAACTATCCCGTGTACGATTCTGCACTGTAATAATGCACAAGCTGTGTTATCCTGTGCTATCCCCTGAAAAATCCCAAGTCTCTGAGCAGGCATCGGTTCGACTTACGAGATGTGCAAAAATCACGCCTGGGTATTTTCCAGGAATACAGCAGGGCTGAGCACGTACTACTGGCACTGGCACATGCATGAACGTTGTTAGTACGCGCGCTCCCAGGCATGAGAATGTCGTAGATCCTTCCTAATTATTGTCGTTCCTCTCATGCACGGATATGCGTGCGTACGTGTCCGTCAATATGAAAAAGCGCCCACGGATTAGAGCTTAATCAATGCGTAACAGCGTGTGTAATACATGCAGCAATGCCTTCCGATAGGCAATGGTCAATCAATTCGGCCAACTCCGGCCCAGGCCAAAAGCCGTTGAAGATGGAAAATCGGCTCGGCACGTTCAGCCGATCGTTCACGTGTTTATGTTTATGTAAGTATGTAATCAATTCAAGTCCTTTCAAGCGCCTTGTTATGGTGCAAACCCGGCTTGCTTGGCACCTTTCTCCGGCCCACGTCCAGATTATGTGCACCCGTTGGGTTTGAATGCAGCCATGACAAAGGCGCCAGATGGCTCTCGGTCTGATATGGGTGTTTTTTTCAGCACTGGGGCGGCACTCACTTATTGTCAGGGACCCCAGGCTGGACGTATCACAGCATGTTCTTCGACGACGGTATAACCCCCTCCTGCCTTTAGGGTATCTGCTACATTTCACCTGGAAGGCCGATGAACCCTTTCTAATCGGCAATAACTCATTACAAAGACTCGCCAAGTGCCAAAGAGGTTGCCAGGGCACATAATACTATAGCCATGGACTATGTGGGCGTGAGCACGGACAGGAACCTTTGGAAATTACCCACCCCACGCGGGAGAGCAGTTAGGGCATGACATTTGTAGTCGTGCTATAGATACGCCATACGGAAGTGTCCGGGCATTGTATGGCCCGTTGTTTTTTTTTCGTTCATTGAACATTACGGGAGCTTCTCCGTGCTCCTCGTTCGGAAACCGAGCTACCGAGGCTTTAGTTGCCGTTTGTTCTGTGGCGAGCGTCAGTTGCGCTTGATGCCCAGCGTAATGGCTGGCATGTCTTATTTTGTGTCGCAGTCGACCGGTTTTGCTAAGCATTAGTAGGGTCTCACGTCTGCGACGTGGACTCCAGTGGCAGGGTTCAGTGTAGCGCTCACCGGCGTAACTCAGATTAGGGGGGAACCTTCCGGAGATCGATCTTAACTTTCGATCCCCGGCGTTCCAGAATGAACCAGTATCGCACCATACTGCCCTCTATGGAGCGATCAGCTTCATTTCCGCCTTCTATATACCTGTCTATCGCTTTCCCTCAGTGACAGGCCTAGGCATGGCTAGTCGTGGTCTATATCCCGTAATGATAGGGGGGGTACAAAGTACACTCGCATCAAGGTGCAATGAAATTGCCAACCCTGGTGTTTGAATCCACGGAGGATAATCATTAGTGATGTGCATGTACATTCCTAGAGGCCGATCTCATTCCAGCTCCTCGGGATTATCTATATGCACACACACACTCTTTGCTTACACGGCATCCGCCGACACGCCTTGCGATTGGACGGCACCACCGCCGACATCATTATGGCCGCTCACCGTCAGCATTCAGTGCAGCAGCCATCTGAAATCAGGGGCGGCCCGTCCATTGCGTGATCGTAATACACTCTAATTATGTGGGTCTACTTAGGTTCTCCGAGGATCATACTGCATTTCGATCCTCGGTGCACCAGTGCGAACAGTGTTCGTTTCATTATCAGGGTCGAGCACATGCAAACGGACTGTAATCGTGCGGCACTTGGCGCATGTTCATATGCATTTTAACTGATAGTACTCGCACGTCTTTGTGTTCGATAGAGACTGGGCGCATTAATCTGATACTGTCTTCACATGCTTTCGAGTTTGACAGAAACTGGGTGATTGGCACCGCAATTCGATGCATGATCAAAGCATCTATATACCCACACACACTTTTGAAAATTAAAGACAGAGCCAGCCGTAGTTGCGCGTGTATTAATCGAAGAAGAACTCGGAGATCCCTGGCTCAAGTGCTGAGTACATCAGGGGGTACTCGTGCAACTATTGCCGTGAACAAGTGCCCCAAGACTGAACGATACCCAGCGGTCGAATATGCGTATAACATTTCAATTCGGTCATCCGATGGAAAAAATACACTGTATAGGCGGAGCATCACTCCACTGCCAGTTCGTATATATCAGGGGCACTTACGCAATTATAGCCTCGGACGATTACTGACCGATGCCCAAGTAGCGAAATATAGCAGGGGGACCGTGTCTCCTTATTTGCCTGGTATTTCAATATGGCCATCCCATAAGAAGTGCCTCCTGTGCACAATATACTAGCGTGTAGAATAAATAATGTGGACGAGCGAGTTATCTGCGCGGAGTGTCACTCCGCTGCCAGTTTGTATCGCCACAACAATCGAGGCCACACGAATCAGCAATATTCATGGAGCACATGGAGATTACTCCGTCCTATATAATAGTATCATCCTACGAGGAATTCTCCGAATGCGCAGACCCGGATGCATACTTTGACACTGTTCACCGTCCATAATGAACTGTGACAGCCAGGTGGTTGCTCAGCAGCTTCGAGTAGCGATGATAAGCGAATAATGGTGTCCCTTCGGGGGACCGCAAGAAGTATGTCAGCTGCTGGCTTGCATGATACACTATTGATTTGGATGGAGGTTGCGGCGTCGGGGAAGTGTCAGTGGTTCGCCCCTGACATGCATTTTCTCCGGATCATCGTATGTGTGAATGAGGCAATATATAGAATGGATATTCGATCGCCGGCCATGCTGTATCCAGCTGCAGGCCAGTCGTACACACCTGCGCATATGCGATTTCAACTATATGATCTATATGCCGTACTATAGTATTACAAGAAACTATCTTCCGGTCTTGCGGCCGCCTTGCGTGAAGGTTTTTGTTTCGGCTTAGACCTATTACCATGGCATGCGCAATGAATCAAAGTCATGGAATAGCGTTGGGAATTCCTTTGATTCAGTTGTTTTTTTTTTTTTTTTTTCACAAGAAGCCCTACAAAGCCGAGCTTCGAGTCCCATACGACTCGACCCTGCATTCAGCAAGCTATGTCGTCGGACCGTGGCCGCGATACCAACGCATGTACCCCTGCGTCGTACTATGCACAAGAACGTGCGAGGCGCGGCGGAGTACTACAGCTCCTAGTTATCCTTCCTGGGTCATATAGTACTGAATGGGTTTTTGAGGTGCTACCTGTCATGTTTCAGTTCAAAAATATGTTAGAGGCGAATAGCCTGAGACGTCCCTGCGTGGCACCGCCTGCACCTGGGATGTTGAATATCAATGGATTATATATCCCGCCATGAACGAAACCATGGCCAAATCATGCGTGGCTTAGGTATGCTGCGAATCATGAATCAGCCCCTAAGCTATACACAATAATCCATGTCCGCGGCGTGCATGAGGTCCGTCATCATTCCTTCTTTCGAATTCCATATTATATTCAACCCGAAAGTAGAACGAGGATGATGGCAAGATGAACGGCCTCTCTACCTTGTGTTACATGATCGTATGGTGGTGCAGTACATTTCCATTTTGATCAACTATGAGAGGGGCTCATGCATTTAAATTAGTCTAGCTAAGTATTGACCCACCTGTGTTCGCGCTTCGGTGATAAGATTCGGTTGAGGCCGCAAAATCATCTAACCACTTTACGATAGTATGTATAAGCACCACTATTGGAGCTTCACACAGAAACCCACGCACGGACAATTGCGAGATCTGAGAAGGGAATGCAATATGCAATATCACTGGCGATACGGCATGCATATACGGTGTGCCCGGTTCCATGCAGCGGTTCGATTAAGTTGTTCATATATGATTGGAAACACGTACTTTCCCAGCCAATGCGAACTCTATGGGTATGGTGGATCCCGCCGATCGCAAGCCCCATGCATATATGAAATGAACATTTTTACTATGCTTGTTCAGTTGTTGGCGCATGCACATGCACAAATGCGCATTGAATCCCCCACTTGAAATCAACAAGCCAAGAAGAGCAGCCTAAGCAACAGGAGACTCCGGCGTAATAGTAAAAAGCACACGTAAGAAATGATTTTCTTCCCACTCGTTTGAGAAAATCTCTCAGAACGGTTGGAGCTTTTAGGCGCTCGTGATGAATGCTTTCGGTTGGTATAGTAGCCGCAGTGTGTTTTTCTTTTTTGGGCACTCACGTTCGACGCGGCGGAAAAGATTTGATTCCTTTTCGCAATGCAACTTGAGAGAAGCAGCGGGGTCATGTTATGTTCGAATACTTTGCTGAAAGAATCCCCGCTCGCCTGCTGGCTAAGGAGTGCATTGCTCTGATCATTACGCGTTCAGATCGGGAAGGAATCAGATGTGGAATAGAGTCCCTACTATAAACCACTGCAGCAGGCCTGCATCCATGTGCATGCACAAATTCCCAGCACATACTATTCCCGCAGGCAGAATATTTGGTCCCTTTCCTACTTTTTCGAGGGTTAGGCCGCCCAAGTTCATACAACAAACGCAGAAGTCATGGTAGATCAGCGATGTCGTAGCTGATACCAGTTTTGTCCAAACCCCATTTCCATTCGTAAGAAAGTACTTTCAATTCGTCTTGCCTGAATCGTGGAAAGAAAGAAAGGGCTCATCTGCATGCATGACTTTTCGGTTCAACCTGTTATGAAGCTGGCGTAAGGGCGACGTAATCCGCATAGGAATCCTAATGATCCACACTAAACGAGAAAGGTAACGAGTCGAGGGTGTGCCGGGTTGCCCCGCCAGGCGTACGAAGGGAGGAAAAGTGCCATCAATTGCATGAATTGGTTGTAATTCGCTCATTGTTCTAGATCATGGAGCGGCGTCGCAGGATTACCGAATGTATAGAACGCGTTTTGGTTCAACTGGGACCGAACGAAGGTTATATTCAAAGGGTCGAGTGAGAAATGCCGCTTGGGCGATGACACGGAGGGGAGCTGAAAAGGTTGGGCCAGCAGCCGACGAAGTAGCAAGAGGCTTTCTATTGGACACGCGCCAGACATGAGCAGCCGCTGTGTGTATATGCGTTGTGGTGTACATATCATTTCGGCATTGTCCCGATCGTATTGTCTGATCATCTGCAAGAGTGTGCCCTTTGACAGAAGATGCGATGGATCCTAAGGATGAATTTTTTTTTGCTGGATATGGCCATTGCGAATCATAAAACCAATTCAACAAGAGACTTGGAGCCAACCCCAGGCCGCGCCCAAAGGGGTCTGTCAACGGCTGATACGGCGCGTTGCGAGTTCGGACGGAGATTGAAGGGGAATGGCGATCTGGGGATGTGGAACACTTCAGCATCGACGGCGCGTGTCCCTCGTGGGTGAAAAGAACCAACAGCAATTAGAGGCGCAAGCCTCGACTGCCCCGGGTCCGCTCTGGGTGAAGCTAACTACAACTGGCTCTAATCCCCCTATAGATGAAACCCCCGGTGGCGCAGGCCCCATGCTTTCGTCGTTTGAAGGTCTGAGTGGCCAAGGCATTCCTACTACCAGTCCTTTATCGTTGTTTACCAAATAGACACAAAGCGGAGATAGCCATGAGGCGTGTGATCAGCGAACTTCTCACAACTGTCGGAAGCCACATCTGAGATACGACCCGACTTCCATTTAAGAATGTCTGGATCTCACCGGCCCTTGGTATGTGCGCTTTGAGCATGTGCCTTCGCCGCACTCGTCTTAGGGCAAACACGAGGCATCCTAATCACAGCGCTCAGAGTTCGTTTATTTCCCTGCCAGACACGAAACACGAGCCGCCACCCGGCGCCGCGACATTACCATTTAGAGTCTACCAGATCTTGATCTGAAGAAAGCTGCCTCGTCAGATCGTGAAGCTGCTGATACAGCACTACATATGCATATCACCCAGGCCCAGAACGGATTTGCCGATGACGGACAGAAAATGACGTGTTGAAATGCTGATTATTCAAGGCATCGGGTAATACGGAAGTGTGGAACCAAATCGGCAGGCCAACCGCTGGGTTCGTCGTAGGAAAATGTCTTGTTTCTGTTCGGCCGACGTTCCCGATAACAACCTACCAACTGACAAGGGAAAACCGCCCCAGGAGGGAGATATGGCACATGTGTGGAGTGCTGGGGGGCGCCATCATTCAGTACGTTCAATCGTGATAAACCTCAATATGCTGGTGAGATTTCTGTCGCAAATCTGATGCTGAAAGAACCAAAGCGTAGAAGCAATCAGTGGGGCGTGTAGACATGGTCGGCAAGGACGAACGTAGCGCCTCGTGCAAAATCCGAATGAAAGAGAGAAAATGAGGATCCGACATGTGGGGGAAACACAAAAGAATTCTGATGTCCAGTGCAAGTGGTCCATAAGCAGTCGGCAGAGGGGAGAAACTCAAATTCAGATAGTCCGAACAGCATTTCGAGTATTTCCTAGTTCGCCAAATTCCTCAAGGCAGACACTAACCTCCGAAGCACAATCATGCCCTGCCGCGTCCAGGTTGGACAGAGAATTGTGTCACAATATAATATGATTCTGCATAACCCAGAGACTGGTTTTGGGGCGTTCAAATATTAAGAGGTGTGCAAGTTTCACGCTAAATTCGCTCTGCATTGGGTTGGTTCATGCTGAGATCAATCCGGGCGCATCAACATGCAGCATCAACCCAAGTGATTGCCGGAAAACGCACTGAGAAAATCCTGACAAACGTCATACCTCCTATAGGGATATTCGCGATGACGTTCAGGTCCAATCGTGGCATCAAGAGGATAGAGAGGAATGGTTGTCCCAATCACATCAAAAGCAGTCCTGTCCACTCATTCGGAACGATACAGCGTAGAAGGGCAGTGACTTCTGGGCTCCGAAGATAGTTGCCCATTATAGTAGTGACCTGGATGATTGGCCACACAACGAAGCCTAGCCTCAATTTATTCTAATCGGCCTGTCCAATGGGGATAGAAAGGGTCCAATCAAGGGACAGGGGACAGGGGAAAGCAACGCGTTTCAAGGGAAGATGATGCACCTCCATCCCATGCAGAGGCGTCACCTTCCAACAGGGCAGTGCTGCTGGAGGTTTTATGGGGATCTAGGCTTCGCACACGACTCGGAAAACCTCAAGCAATGGCCAACATTAGATCGGTGCGACCTGACGGTGGATAACTTGCCTTTCCTAGCAATATTCTTGCTGAGTCGTGGAGCTGACGGAACAAGCAGTAACGGTGAATCGGTACCGTTTTTCGGGTGGGCAGTGGGAAGACACCTGATGTCATCCACTCTATTAATAATCAGAAGAGCGGGTCTTCCCTGAGCATAACAAGGTTCCAGACTGTCTTACAGCCGAGCGAGCAAGGAACGCCTAGATCTATGGGGTGAGCATGCAGAAGCATGCAGCAGTCAGGCGCTGGAGCGTTTCCGGCTGTAGCATTAGCCGCCCTTAGCCGCCCGAGCCCTGCGTCTGGCGAAGCAGGGACGTTTCTGGAGACGAGAGTTGCGCACAAATTTGACGGTGATAACAAAAGCGCAAGCACACGTGCCCATCCCGAACTGCCATAACATTAATGCTGGCCTCGCGTTGTCGTTGAATCCAATCATATTTTGGCATAAGTACTGACTAGTCATGGTACACCACGCAGTAGTCGATGCTTTGAGAGGCCATGTCAGGCTTTAACATGTCAAGTGAGATGTGAGAGTAAACTACGGAGCCACAGAATACTTACGCATTTCATAGGCACTTGCAGGCCTGCGTTTGGCATGCAATATGGATTGGGTCACTATCAATCAATAACAACCGTATCCAGACCAGGGTAAGCATGAGATATTTGCACGTGATCCGGTGTCTGCCGCGTAACGACTTTCCTTCAAAGGTCACGGCATCAGAGACCTGAACTGTTTGGCGCTAAATCCCGCTATTTATGCGCGCCATGGACGCATCGTCGTCCGCCACCACAGTAGATGCCTTGGCTACCCAGAGTTCTCTGATGGGGGATTCAAAGATTCAGATGCTCTTGAAGGTATGGCACTTGTCTGCCTTTGTCATTCACCAGGTTTGACGCGGTCGTATTCTTTGCAGCGCGTCAAGACGCTTCGGTCTCAAGGGCACACCGAACAAACCTCTGTAGAGCTGCGTCAACTCGTACAGTTCATGACTATTCTTAGTCAAACCTCTCGACAACGTGGGTGGATCATGTGTTCCCCTTGTCATTTGTTGAAACCATGTTCCAATAGGCGCCACTCAAAACCCAGCGATAGCAAACTCTGAGACTCGACTCGATGCAGAGAGCGCGCGGACGCCAGATTCTCGCAAGGGGACTGTGGCTCGAGCGGACCAGGACCATGTCAATCTAACCCCTGCTCAAATGTCAGTTCTGAAGTCTCAGATAGCTGCGCTTGGGTACATTTCTCGTGGTCAAGCGGTTCCCTACAACATTCAACAAGCCATCCATGCTCTAGAACCTGCATCTAGCGATACGGCGAGCCTTGCAGATGTTTCACATGAGCCCTCAACTGATGGTGATGGAGCTGAAAATGGCCAGTCATCTATTGCTTATCCCGACGGCCCTCACCTCGAGAATGACACATCATCCGGAATTTACCCATATAATGCGTTTCGACCCCCCAATGATGTTCTTACTGCACATATCCGCAGTGGCAACACACATAAGTATATCATTCCAAGTCTAATGCCCGTCGGTTTGGACCCCTATCAGATTATGCTTGAGCGCCAAAGATACATGGAGGCCCGTATGGAGAACCGGATCCAAGAGTTGTCCCAACTCCCGAGCACCATCAGCGATGAGGGATTGGATGCCCACTCCCTTATTGCAGACGCATGGAGAAATCCAGAATCTTCTCTCAAGCTCCGAGGCCTCATCGAACTGAAGGCTCTTAAACTGCGCGAGAAGCAGCGCACTATGAGGATATCTCTTGTAAATCGCATGCAAGAAGCCTCTTCCCTCGCTACTGATCGAAAGGTCTTCCGCCGTACCCGTAAACCCACTCTTCGTGACGCAAGGCAAACCGAAACGATGGAGCGTCAGCAGCGCCTTGAACGCGAGCGCCGTGCGAAACAGAAACATTTGGATTACTTGGAGCATATTTGTGAGCACGGTCGGAACGTTATCAATGCTGGGCGTGCTACAGCATCCCGAGCGCTACGCCTCGGAAGGGCTGTGCAGAAATTCCACGGTGAGACAGAGAAAGAGGAGCAGAAACGCATCGAAAGGATTTCGAAAGAGCGTCTCAAGGCGCTCAAGGCCGATGATGAAGAAGCCTATATGAAACTCATTGACACCGCCAAGGACACCCGTATTACTCATTTGCTCAGACAGACAGATAGCTACCTCGAGTCCCTCGCGCAGTCTATTCGTACTCAGCAGAACGAGTATGGTGCTGTGGAAGTGTCGGATGATGCTCCCACCGACGAAAGCACCTTTGGGGCTTCGAAGCCTGAGGGAATGGAGGAAACCAAGATCGGCAAGGTTGATTACTACAGCGTGGCACATCGTATTTCGGAAAAGATTGTTCGACAACCCAAGCTTCTGGTCGGTGGCCAACTAAAAGATTATCAAATGAAAGGACTCCAGTGGATGGTTAGCTTGTACAACAATAAGCTCAACGGAATTTTGGCCGACGAAATGGTAACTTCTTTCAGCATCCATTTCCTTTAAGTCTGATCAATGCATTTCATCAAGGGTCTCGGCAAGACTATTCAGACTATCTCCTTGATTTGCTTCCTCATCGACGTGAAACGTGAACCAGGACCTTTCCTGGTGATCGTTCCACTTTCAACCTTGACAAACTGGACCCTTGAATTCAAGAAGTGGGCTCCGGGTGTCACAGCGCTCGTGTATAACGGTTCCCCTGCCTTCCGAAAATCCCTCCAACCTCAGCTTCGAATGGGTGGCTTTCAAGTCCTTCTCACAACGTACGAATATATCATCAGGGAAAAGGCAGCCCTATCTCGTCTTAGATGGGCGCACATGATCATCGATGAAGGGCATCGAATGAAGAACACTCAGAGTAAACTGTCTCAGACACTTACACAGTTTTACAGTACGCGGCATCGCCTTATCTTGACCGGAACACCGCTACAGGTACGTAGTACCGTGCATACGAAGCAGGCGACCGAGCTCACTGTTGGGTCATAGAATAATCTTCCTGAGCTTTGGTCCCTCCTCAATTTCGTCCTCCCAAAAATTTTCAACTCCGTGAAGTCGTTTGAAGAATGGTTCAACACACCGTTTGCAAACACTGGTGCACAAGACAAGTTGGAACTGAATGAAGAAGAAACGCTTCTTGTTCTTCGCCGTTTACATAAAGTGTTACGGCCATTTTTGCTCCGCCGTCTGAAGAAGGATGTCGAATCTGAGCTCCCTGATAAGGTCGAGAAGGTCATCAAGTGCAAGATGAGCGGATTGCAGCATCAGCTTTACCAGCAGATGAAAAAATATGGCATCCTTTTTGATGAAGAAGTGAAGGGGTAAGTTGGCTCCGGAAACGCGAACAAACAAGCATTTATCTTTGAGCCCAACAGAAAGCAAACAGGGATTAAGGGATTAAGCAATACTATCATGCAGTTCCGGAAGATTTGTCAACATCCATTCGTTTTCCCTCAAATAGAGGACCGCATCAATCCATCCCGTAATGTAAACTTAAGCATCATTCGTTCGGCGGGCAAGGTTGCCCTTCTAGACCAACTTCTTCCCAAACTATTTGCTACTGGCCATCGGGTATGTCGCTCCATCATTATTCTGTTTGTTCATCTCATCCTTGTTCTTCCAGGTCCTTATTTTCTTTCAAATGACACATGTCATGGATATCTTGGCGGATTACTTTAACTATCGGGGTTTTAAGCATTATCGCTTAGATGGATCAACAAAACCCGAGGACCGTGCGACTTTGCTCACCCAGTTCAACGATCCAAATACAGACACTCATTTGTTCATGCTCTCCACTCGTGCTGGTGGTCTTGGATTGAACTTGCAGACTGCAGATACCGTTATCATGTGAGGATCTCGCACGCTCTGATTGCTACGTACTGACAGTTCGTGACACGATCCAATAGCTACGATAGCGACTGGTCAGACTGTTCAGCTCCAAACGGCTGTATTATTATTAACCACCACCACCACATTTAGGAACCCCCATGCAGATCTGCAAGCCCAGGACCGAGCACATCGTATCGGCCAGAAAAAGGATGTCCGGATCTTCCGTTTCGTCACTGAAAAGAGCATCGAGGAGGTCATGCTCGCTCGTGCCAAATCAAAACTCGACATGGATGGAAAGGTTATTCAGGCCGGTCGCTTTGACAATAAGTCCACTGCCGAAGAACAAGAAGAGTATTTGGTATGTCTGAACAAGTGCGTCAGTGCCGATGCTAACATGCTCGATTAGCGTACGTTGCTAGACCAAGACCAAGAAGACGACACAGAAGAATCAGCTGGCATGGACGATGACGAAATTAATGACATTGTCGCTCGTTCGGACGGAGAACTTTCGCTTTTCCGTCAGATGGACTCGCAGCGTGTAATCCAAGACGCGAAAGAATGGCGCGAGTCTGGCAACACAGGCCCTGTGCCACCTCGTCTCATGCAAATCAGCGAGCTTCCTGAGGTCTACCAACGTGACGAGCCTGCCATTGTTGTCGAGTCAGAGGCTGAAGGATTCACCGGACGTGGTGCTCGAGTGCGCAACGTGGTGCGCTACACGGATGGTCTTACAGATGATCAGTGGGCGGAGGTATGTTGCTGCTCGCACCCTTCGACCCTGCGCTTAACTGTTTCTGGTAACCAGGCTCTTGAAGAGGGCACAATTGAGGAGGTTATCGAACGCAAGGCTGCGAGGAGCCGGGCTCGGGCCATCACTCGAATTGAGTCATCACCTGAAGTCAGCTCACCGCAGGACGATGATGAATGGGGTGCCTCAACGAAGAAGAAACGTGGCAAGGGTCGGAGTCGGCCCGCAGGTGACTCTTCACGTGCGTCTCCTGTGCCCCTGAAGCGGAAACGCGCAACTGCGAATGCCTCTGCCTCTGCCACACCGTCCATGCTCGACGAAGACGATGATTATCCTGAGAATGTGAGTCTTGGTCATAAGCGTGCTTGTGCGTACTGACGCCGCCTTTGTAAGCAAAAACGGAGGAAGACGGCAGCACCAAAAGTGGAAGCACCGATACCTGCCCGCGAGCGAATGAAGAAAGTCTTCAATACCTGCTTCCAAGCTGTCGCCAGTTGTGCGGACGAAGATGGTCGTAAACGGTGTGGACTGTTTAAGGAGCTCCCTAGCAAGAAGGTAAAATGATGTGCTTGTGATTACCGGAGTTCTGGTTACATATCTTCGGGCTATAGGAATATCCAGATTACTATGGTCAAATCACCAACCCTATTAGCATGGCGCAGATTCGCAAAAAGATAAATTACAATCAATACAAGACGGTTACAGCATTTGCCGAGGATTGGCGTCTTATGTTTGCGAATGCTCTGCAATACAACCAAGAAGGTTCTTGGGTCTATAATGATGCTGTTGAGCTGTCGAAGGAGTTCGAGTCTGTGTTATCCCGAGAGACCTCTGGAACCGACCTTCCAGGTGCTGGTGGTTCTTCGGGAACACAGTGGCAAGACTCCCAACCTCAAGCTACAACCTCCAAGCCGAAACGCAAGGGCGCTATTTGGAGTGACGATGACGATTATTTGAGCGATTGATGGTTCTACTGGAATGTATGCTCTTAGCCTTGTATTTGTAGATCGTGCATATTATACGAATACCGAGTTCGAATACCCTTGTATACCATACCGATCGTCATTGTCATCACATTGTCTTTCCGAGTGCGCACAAGCAGCTATTAAAGACAACTTCCACTTTCCTGAGGCAGTCACTAAAATCCCTGTAGTGAGCCGACAAGTATTAGGGTGCATTTGTATGGCGGATGTAGCTGTACAGTGATTCTCAAGTACATATCAACGAAGGCGATGGGGAAAGTGAGAGCAGAGAGCTTGTCATGAGTTCATTCCCTGACGAAAATAGCAGCTGCGCCCATGCCAGTTCCCATGCACATGCTTGTTACGAGAACCTGATTATTGATGCAATGAGCTCCTCGGCTGGACAGAATTGCGAATCGAGGGGCTACATACCTTCCCCTTCCGCTTCTCAAGTTCCGCCATACCAGTGGCAACTTGTCTTGCACCTGTTGCACCTAGCGGATGGCCCAAAGCAATTGCCCCACCATTAACATTGACTTTCTCGACATCCAATCCTAAGACTTTAATGCAGTACGCATACTGAGAGGCAAACGCCTCGTTAATTTCGTACAAATCCACATCTTCCTTCGTAATGCCGACCTGCCTCAACACTGCAGGAATAGCATAGACAGGGCCAACACCCATTATGCGAGGAGGTACACCGACGGTGGCCGTTCCGGCGTGTTTACCGAGGATCTTGAGCCCGAGTTCTTCCGCTTTCGAACGACGCATCAGAAGAACAGCAGCACCTCCATCCGAGTTTTGACTGGCGTTCCCGCCTGTCGTTTGACTGGGAGCCCATTGGGGGAATGCGCTACGGATCTTGAGAAGAGCTGGGAGAGTCGTACCATGCCGAATGACGTCGTCTGTCGTGACAAGGACTTTGCCCACCACCTCGCCAGTTTTGGGATCTCGCTTAGAAATTTCGATAGGGATAATTTCATCTTTGTAGATTCCCTCTTGCTGAGCTTTCGAAGCGCGAGTGTGGGAGAGGAAAGCGAATTTGTCCATTTCTTCACGAGAGATTTTGTAGTCGCCCGCAACATTTTCGGAAGTCCAACCCATGGGCTAGATACAAAACGAAACGGGAACGGGATTTAGGGGCCTTCAGACAGTGGTGCGAATCCTAGAAACCTACCATTGTTGAATCCGCAGCCTCTTGGCAACACATAGTCCCTTCGGTCATCTTACCTGGAGCTGAAGGCTTACTGTACACCCGAGTTAAGTTGACCTCCTCGTTGTCTCCCTATGAAAAAGGTGACACTCACGTTTGACTCATATGCTCGAAGCCAATTGCAAGACCGATATCTATCTCGCCCGCTCTAATCCTGTTGCTGATAGCACTGACGGCCATGAGACCACTTGAACAGAACCGGTCAACAGTTTGGATGGGTGTTTCGTGGGACATGCCAGCCGCAAGCATCGCAGCGCGACCGTAATAGTTAGGGCCATCCATCTGGACGTTGCCAATGATAACATCCTGGATTATTTTGGGATTCACTCCACTCTTGGCAATGGCGGCTTTGAATGTAGCAGTCAGAAGTTCGTCGATCCTGGTCCCACATAGACATAAAACATTCGAGACACAGAATTGCTAAGTGTCAAGGGGTAACTATCTCAGGAAATCGACTTACGGGACGTCCTTGAACTGTCCTTTGTACTGCCTTCCCAGGGGTGTTCGTGCGGCCATTGTGAAGACAACATCATCGGGGCTCTTTTGCGTGAGCGCTTCCAGGCCGCCCTTGGGAGGCGAGGATGACGATCCAGTGAGCTGAGAAGAAAGTTGCCTTAGGCGGTTCAAAGCCATAACTCTGCTGACGATAATGTTGGATGGGAGAGGGATTAAGAACGTCCAGTGCTCGATAATAGTTACAGGGAGGTGTTCACTCTATTTATGATGGGTAAGGTGTGATTTCCTCTGGTAGATGAATACTTCCTACCCGGAGCGGAGGACGGAATATGACAAACCCGCCGGCATCGGATGAACTCCACGATACGCTTCCACCTCTGAACTGATGTGACCAGGGGATCCCGGCCTAAAGCTGATCATTAGCTCGTATCCTCGTATCCCCGATGGCCAATATTGATACTGGCTACAATCAACTGCTGTTACCTACTGTTCTTGAGGGGAGAAGGAACACTCCCACTCTGCAGCCGGTACGTATGACTACTGTCACTTTGGTCTCGTTTGTCGTGGGGAATGTCGCTCGAAGCTCATCCGGGATGAGAAGAATTGATGCGAACTTACGCGACAATCCTGCTACTTCCTAACCTGACTAGGCTTACTTCACAAGCTCACTCTTCGTGGATCCTCTGCGACGAGACATCTCCAAATTGCTTCAAGCATTCCTCGATCGTGTCACAACCGAGGTCAAAAAATCGACGCCGACAGCGCACCATTCTCACCCTGGAAATAACGATGACAATTCATCTCCGCACCTTCCGCCCCACGGATCGCTTTCGCCTTTCCAATGGTTCAAAGAGATATGGAGGCACAGAAATGGGATTACCTCCATTTAAAAGTCCTAGAGCCCCGTGCAAGGCGTGTTTTCCTTGAGACGGTGATGAGGTTGTTTTTGGGTATGCATTATTGGCCGCAGTATGATAGCACGCGCGCTCACCCTATCATTCTTCAGAACGCATGGTTCCTCCCGAGCCCGTGCTAAATCAGATGACCGCATTCTTCGGACTGTACTCATTTTATAGTACCCAGCCTCCGAGTGAGATGGCATATCGTCAAACTTACATCCATATCCCCATTAGTAAGTCATAAGGCTTTCAACTTTATCCGCCCGGTTTCGCGCCACTCACCGAGATGAAATGGACAATGGAGTGCCCATCCTCTTGGATTAATATTTCGCCGAAATTCCTTATCATTATCCCTATTGTCTTTCATATTCACACCTCATCTCACACTCGTCCTTCTTCCCAATGTTCAAACGTCGAATGATCGCCGAACACTTCATCGTTCCATGACGCTTTTCCCCGACGAAACGCGATACCAATGAAAGACGTCTATGAATACCTGATGACCCTCCCTTCGATCCTTCCCAGTGGATTCGACCTCTATATCTCCTACATTTTACACACCTTTACTTCCAGCCACGCGTTTGCACTCATCCCCGCGGCACATTTGGGGCCTTATGATCCGTCTATTCTGCCACAGACACATATAGGGAGCGTAGGTGCGCTTGATGGACAGGTTGACACTGAGGGCGAGAAACAGCAATCAGGTGACGAAACCGAGTACGGGGCAAAGACAGGTGTCACAGAAGGGGCGATTCGAATGAAGTAGGACCTATGAAACCCAAACCTGGACGCCAGACTTCTGCTGACCAACAGAAAAGAGCAAGTCGTAGTGCTCTTGCTCTTGAGGACTGGGTGAACCGCATGGGCGACGGGAATATCAAGAGCGGTGAAGAGAATGGCAGGGGAAAACGGTCCGCACGAAACGGTCCTCCAAGCAACTCAGCGGTTGATGTGGAAAAAGAGGGTTCGGAAGAGCAGTCTGTAGAGGCATCGGAGTCTAAGGCAAAAGCAGAGGAAGAGTACTTTAGGTCTAAAGGAGACCTTTTGAAACTTGCTATGCTTTCCCCTCCCCATGCCACAATTCAAGACGAAGAGGACGACCATCAAATGGAAGTCGATTCCGTACTCCCTAGTACAACGAATCGCACACCCAAATCGCTTCGTGAGGCACTATCGGAAGCGGAGTCCCTTGCAGTCCAAGACATCCGGGAACTTGACGCCCTTGTTCGCTCGAGGGGTTGGAACATTCCTCTCGGCGCTTCCCTTTTGGAGAGGGCTGAAAGCCAATTGGGAACTGGGGATGGATTGGAGGGACGTGATGTAGAGATTGGTGGGCTGTTGAAGATGGTACACAGGAGTGAGGGTAATACAGGTGCTCCCGAAAACAAAGCTGGGACGAGTACATCCAGGCGAAAGAAGAATTAGATCAAGGAAGTGATTGAATTCAATTTGCTCACACTCATCTCTGGGGCTATGTAGTTTTTCATGGCACCGTTGACGTATCCAAATCGCCGGTTGGACACAAATTCGTCATCCCTACCAAATCGTTTCGGTTTCTACTTTGCTGAACCGTCATAGGCTGTCTTTGTGCCGTTTCTGCTTTTGCCTACCTGTGGTCCACTTGCTCATGTGGCTCCCGCGGTCGCATGGGGACGTTGACCTTGATGACACATGGCGCAGATCGAGGGACTTTGATCTTAATCTTCTCTAACATGTTCGCGAACGAAACTTTGACAAGCGCTTGTTTATTTGAAGCTATTCTGTAATCTGTTTAAGCGTTTAAGGGTGCCAACAAGTGGATCTTGCTCCCCGAGCTTCCTGTGTCTTCGTTTGTCTAAGATCTCCGACGTTCTACCTCCTTTCGGACATTTAAGGCCTTAAAACGGCCTACCCGCTCCTCTTCATTTTCGCTCGGAACTAGTGTCACACAATGTCCAGTGCCGCCTCAACAAGATGTCCTGACGCCACAAATACGACGAAGGCGCTCTGGGGGAGTGAACTTCGGGGTCATGTTATTGTGGCCAGGTTGTTCGAGGTTAAGGTCCCAGTAGTGCGCATCGTGCAATATCATGGTACGTACGTCGAGAAATATATCTGATGTCAACTCTGCACTTTCCCGTAGTCAGTAAGTAGCTGCTTTCAATGATTGCTACTCTACTTTTGTAATCGCTTATGTTAGCTGCGAACCCACTAGAGTTCGCCTTACTCGGCGATCGCACGCTCGTGCAGGAATTACCTCAAATTCAGATTTCCACGAAGACAGCACGCAGGGTGACGAACTACGTTCAGAGGGTGGCGCCGGGCGCCGAGTCGATTCACTCCTCAAGGTGCCTGTGATGGTTAGCGGAATCTATCTCCTCGATTGACGTGTGTGGATATTGTAGAGGTCTCGCCGGATTCGAACATTGCACCCATCCTCGACCCAAGGAGGATTAAAGGGAAGCAATTAAACAGACTGCTTACGGGTGGATATTTGGTTATTAAACCGTAACCATCCCCGATCCGGCCAGCTTACCGCAAAAGGGATCAAGATGCACTTATCGTTTGTGCAAAATTATGGGATGTGATTGTACCTATGATGTGATGCCTGACCAACTGTACCAGTCAAAGGTGTTTCTCGACGAAATCAGCCATTATGATCCGATCAGCTAACCGTGGAGCTACTACGGGTGAGCTCGAGCGACCTTTTCAACAAGGCGGGGTAGCATATCCCGCACAGGAGCTACGTTGTACGGATGCTCAAGATGATATGATTACAGCGAAATGTATTTTTTGCAATACACGAATAGCGCGATCGAGTCATTGCTTTTGTGGTCCTGTGGATATAGAGCCCCTGATTGAATGGGGAAAATGACAAGGTCCTCTGAAAATGCATTGAAGGGTAAGCTTGGGTCCTTTACCCCCGTCACATATACAGGGCCTAACCTAGCTGTTTCTCTCACCGCTCCCTCTCCCTAGCAATCATGCCTGCTACTTGGACGGTCTTGGATGTAAAGTTCATACGGAACCGAAGGAATTTTCAGCGCTGTTGAGTAGCGATTTCTGCCGCATCAGGCGTCGTCCACCAGTTATTTCTGCTAGTATGTGGCGCTAATTAAACTCGATTCGTGACACTGACAGGGGGTGTTTTTCAGATGAACCCCCAACTCCCGGCACTTCTTGGATGTGGAGGAGACCCCGGCGATATTCTCTAAACCTGAATGAGATCCAGATGGGCACTTCCGTAGGGCCATCCCTTCGCCTGCCAGTCAGAGGGATGTGGAATTTCTGATCGATGTGGGAGCGTTCGATCAGGAGGGTGTCGAAATTCCTCGTGAGATGCTGGAACTCACTTTTCAGGAAGGGTTGGCTGTGATTGGCACCGCTACATTGCATTTGTCAGTACACTGCACCGCATTGGAGTGTCGGCTTTCTTGCCCAACTGCTCACGGTTGTCAATTTAGTTCGCGTGCTCGTAATACCGATCGAGGTGAAATACGCTCGTTCAAATTCACTGGACTGGAATCCAGGTTGTGGGCCAAACGAACCTCGTTCGCTCTCTGGATTCCAGTCTAGTGAATTTGAAATGAACGTATTTCACCTCGACCGGTATTACGAGGTAACTATATATATTTCTGCTGAGCATTCATCCCCGTGCAGGAATATGTAAGCCGCGGGGTATGATTCCCTATAGCCTCTACCAGAGTAGAATTACGATCCCAGAGGCGTTGTTCCCCAGGACCCAACAACCTTTTGAATTGAGGCTGTCGACTTGTAAAGCCATGGCTAGTCCAAACCCAACAGACGGGATGCAAGAGCTTCCCCTGAAGCTTCTGGGATTCGGAGGGAACCAGGGCGGCGGAAAAACTGCCCATCGGGATGGACATCCAGTACGTATTGCAGTTCCAGAAGGTTATCTAGTATCAGGAGAATCATCTCAAAAGTATAACTGGTGGACACCGCCTGACGCGGCAGAACCCACTACTGTACTCCATCGCGTTCACAATTCATTCTGTTCCGACGTATGGACTTCACGTCCCAGCTCGTCCACTACCGTGTCTATCGATTCCCACCGAACAACCCCACGCATGGAAGCTTAAGGCAGACATGGTGAACCGTCGATCAGAAGTTAGGAATAGAATGCGAACTCCCCACCGGGGGGGCAGCATTACTACCCAACGTGGTGCGCTGTGTTCACAAATGCAATGTACCTGTGCTAATCACCGCTGATCCTTCTTGAAAACTGAATTCCAGCATATCCCGAGGAATTTCGACACCCTCCTGATCGAATGCTCCGACATCGATCAGAAATTCGACATCCCTCTGACTGGCAGGCGAATGGATGGCCCTACGGAAGTGTCCATCCGGATCCCATTCAGGCTTGGAGAATATCGTTGGAGTCACTTCCACATCCAAGGTAGAAGACCCGGGAGTTGAGAATTCATATGTGAAACCCCACCTTGTCAGTGTCACGAATCTCGATGAATTAATGCCACATACTATCGAATGCATCCACAAGGCTTATGTTTTTATTCTCCTTCGCGACAGGCATCCTGTTTTCTTTAAACATAGCATGTTGGAGATGAAAGCAAGGCACGTCGTTGTAGTCCAAGTAGTTCCAACCATATGAATTTCCACGACAGATTCTGCAAAGAACCAATGAATTGTCGCACTCCATCACAGTGAAAGTACTGATCATCTGTCCTGCCCCTCATTCACTCGAGCACAGAACCTTCGACATCCACACAAGGTTCAGCATCTGTCCACGCGGAAATTACTCCAACCATCTTTTCCCATCCACATTGGGATCCGGAGGGTCACTTCCATCGCGCCATTCCCTCGCCCGCAATGCAACAAGAATTGGAATACCTGGTCGGAGCGTGTGTGGAACGTGATCAACTGGAATTGTCGTTCGTGGAAGGGGTTGCAGTGATTGGAACGGCGTCCGTGCATTTGTGAGTTGGGTTCGCTCGAGCTTTCGAACCTCTCTTACCGTTCTTTGGTACAAAGGTGGCATTACCACGAATGGGAATTATGTAATGTGACGCAGATCTCACTGCGAGCGGTACTGACCGGTGTGGAAAGTGAGTACAGAAGGAGCAGGGTCAGTAGTAGGCATGATTACTGGGGAGAGCGGGGAGCTAGGCTACATGTGAGGGGGTTAAGGACCCTAGGTTGCCATTCAATGCATTTTCAGAGGACCCACTACAGAGTAGCGGCGCTCAGGGCTCGGAGCTACGATTCGGTCCCGACGGAGTTAATGGATTTTCTCCGGCACTAAGCGTGACAGTCGCAAAACACATCACACTCTTACCTGTCAGTTCAGGGCATAGGGCCTAGCCCTCCTGATTCCCTCAAAAAATATGTCAAAAACTCGAACCGATGATGGGTTCTCATCATCCCCCATACATCCACCCCACAGTCGCAATCCGTATACAAACGCCCGGAGTCAGCTCAGAAAGAGTCTCAAGCGATCGGTGGGGGCGGCAGCGCTTCCTTCCCCCCCGCAGAGCATGACAAAACACCGAGTGCAGAATGGTGCAAGCAAAAGGCATCGGGTCACCGTCCTCAAACCCCGCCCCCTCGGAGTTTGATGCCAGCCCAAGCCCCCGTTACGCCTCCCCTGACACGGAAACGTGCAAACAAGACATCCCATCCGGGACCTATCAGGGATAGTCCCAACAATCCGTTCCTTTCTACAAGCCCTCGATACCCTCGCGCCACTGGTCTCCCTCCTTTGGAGGAGCGAGAAACTATTGATTTTGTTTTGTGAGCCAAGTATCTTAATAGTTGAGTGTCGAAGAGTGAGGCTGATCTTATGTTTATGATCTATTTTCAGTCGAGGCGCTAAGACATCATTCCCTAATCCATTTAAGAAGCGGCCACTCGCTCCTGGTGAGGTCGATCCATCAACTCTGGATCCTGCGGACCTGAATTTCTCACCGGATACTGTGATTCAACCAAAATTGTTGTGGCCTTCGTCACCGTCATCACCGACGACTCGCTCCCAGACTACCACAGCCAGACTAAAATCATCGGGCCTTGGCTCTCCTACTCTTTCGCCACCAGGTAAGCCCTCGCGTCCTTCATCCTCAACAGATACTTTCCCTCCTGGGCCGCCTGTTTCTCGGTGGCTCTTCCCCGAGGCGCACGCCGCTGGCCCATTGCACCACGCCAAAATGGCCGAGATGAGGGAAGGCGTAAAGAAAGGGAGGATGTCGAGAACTCTGGTTATTGCGCAGGCGCATGGCCCGATACGACCTGGGAAGGAATGACTGGCTACTGTTGCACGATCTAGCTTGTCGCACGAGCCTAGTTATATTCCGAAATCTGTGAAGGTGAAGGCTCCTGAGCCTTTTGACTCGAAAACCATCCATTTCAGCCTCAGCGACTTTAGGACTCAAGAAACGCTCTGCTTCGTTGTCCAATGAGACGACGGATGTCGCTGCAGAGAGCGCATGAATGGGCTCGTTGCCGGAGTTGCCTGCGTTAGGCAGCACTCACTATTTGATGATCTATGTTTATATTTTCTACCTTTTTTCCTGCCACGACACTGTTGATTATTCTCTTTGTCATCGTTGTTATCCCATTCCACATGTTGTTTAAAACAGCATCAACGGCTCATCACTTATTGTATCATTTATCCTTCCCCAGTCAATTGTTTGGCTACTCCATGTTTTCGATATCACGTTGTCGTATCCTTCAGTTTGCATTGTGATCCCTCGCTGTATATAGTAGCATAGTATGTAGCTAGTAGTAGTACGTAGTACGTAGTATAGTTAGCTAGATAGCTTAGCATCCCGATAACAAACCCGTATACATAGTCGCCCCCGTTGCACATGTTGTTTCATCTTTCATGGTGGACGTCAGGAAATACTAGTGGATGCCCAGTGTATGGAGGGAAGAATGAAACCGTCATGATTTCAGCTCCGACGTGCGCATCGCCCCAGCCAGTCTTGAGGACATCGGTCATTACATGTGTGGGAATGGCTACCAAATTTGGTAAGAAGTTGCCGGTCCTGCTTTGAGGCAACTTTGGAATTCTACAGTTTACGCGCCCCTTCTTGCACGCTCACCCTCCTCTGAACACTACTTAGACTCAGCTGAGGGTGTGTCGTCGTGCTTTTGGGTCTGAACCGCGTTGGTCTAAGCTCCGGATTCGGTGATCATAATAAAAATACACAGTAGATCGTTCACTGCTCATGAGCGACCCTCCGTCATCATCTTTTGCACAACCGGAGTCTCCACCATTGGAAACTCCCTTTGATCCATCCAGACCCACTTTCCTCTCTCACCTGTCGAGTATCTACGCTCACAATGATTCTCCACCATTTACGGCCGTATTTACACATTCTATACCTGGGCCTGCACATGGCGTGCGATCAGACTGTTATTGGTATCCGCCAAGTATGCCTTTTCACGATGATACGCTTAGCGATGGTGGGGTCAACAGTGAGGACTCCACGGAGTGGAATAGTGTCCTTCGGGGAGATGTAGCAGGCGGAGCATTGCATTTCACTGCTGGGTTTGAACCAGCGGCAGGTACCGTTGATCCTGGAAATTCTCGTGACGCGGGTGAGCCTTATACGCACAGCCCGTCCGGAGGTGGGCAGAGCAGTATGAGGCCGAGGTTGCAGCTAGTGATTGATCCCGAGCGGAGTCCAAGCCGAATTGCCGTGCCCTCGAGCGTAAGACCGACCCCCGAGGTGACAATTTTGATCTTTGTCCCTGGTAAGCCTTGTTTCATTGCATTAAAATCGCAAAACAGCTCAATCTGGTACATTTACACCCATTCGTCTTAGGAAATCCGGGACTCGTTCAGTTTTATCTCCCCTTCCTCGATGCTATTCGGACTAGAGTCCCCGAAATTGGCATATTGGCAAAGTCACATTTAGGTCACTCACCCAGGTTAAACAACAAGGAGGAACCATGTGGCGCTGGAGACATTTCCGTCTCAGCTGCTGGTCTCGAGGTTCAAGTCGACAGCGTGATAGAAGTCGTAGATAGGGTATATGAGGAATATGAATCTATCCTTCGGTCCAGTGAGGAAGGGGCGAAGTTGAATATCGTGCTAATGGGTCATAGTGTCGGTACATGGATTATCACTGAGGTATGTTCTAGCGAAGAGTGTTCGCAAAACTCATTGGCTCACAATGGAGAGGGGCCTCAAGGTCTTGAAAGCGCGTCCGGACGTTATTGACGGGTCATTTCTCCTCTTCCCTGCATTGTGCGACCTTGCACTTACGCCGAACGGGAGACGACTCAAGGTACATTTATCCGTTTATCCATCCCCTTCATGTTGACTGACGGGATCAATTTATAGCTCCTCTTTACGCCCATATCTGCGTACATCTTCGCAGCCCTCGCCTTTGTCCTGTTCAGCGTTATTCTTCCCCCCAAGATCACGATTTCTCTCATAAAGATATTATTCTCTCAATGGCCACAACACCAGCAATTCGTTCTTCGTTCGCTCCTCCGTAGCCCTCGTGCCGTCTTCAGTTCGCTGAAGTTGGCCAGGGATGAGATGCGCATCATTCGTGCCTTAGCGGGTGCCGGGATTAGCTCCGGCGAAGGCGTGGAGGAGAGAGCCAGTAAAGCTGCGATAGGGATACAAACGACAAGGGATGTTCTAAGAGTTCACGCGAAAAGGATATGGGTTTATTATGCATTTGAAGGGGATGGATGGGTCGACGAGCGAGAGCGACTGGAAACCTTTAGGGCCCTAAGGGAGGGTGGTGGAGCGGCGAACTACGAGCGCCTAAAGGCGTCTTCCGGAGAGGGGATTGGAGAAGTTGTGTTTGGGGACGATGTCCCGCATGATTTCTGCATAAGTAAGCAGTACGACATGGTCATCATTCTTCGATCCCACTCATTGTCCTCGTTCTCAGATCATGAGCAGGTGGTTGCTGACCAGTGCGTGACTTGGTTAGTACGAGGGGGGTTCGCAAGCCACCACTAGCTGTTCTTAGGTATGGTTTGTTTGTTTATCTCGTTCTCTATACTTAGCCTGCGAATGTCAGGCTGCTCGTGAGAGCGCCAAGGGAAGAAGTCTTGGAATAAATCTCCCAGGCATGCATGGTGCAATTGGATCTCGCGCAAGATGCTGCGCTCTGTTATCTATACATCCTATAATACTCCTATCATTCACAGTAACTAGAAGGGATCGTGATGTGCCACAGTTGCCACCAGGATCAACCTGCACTTGCATAACACTCGAGCCACCCTCAAGCTAGTTCGTGAGAAAAGAAGGCATCTGTCCTATATAAATGAAGACTGCCCATCACCACTGCTCCTGAATCTATGCGGCTGTCCATCTAGCTGTCCATGAGAGTCCCCGCGCGGGGGATGGGCGTCATTGACTTCTGGTCGGTGTGCCCAGGATACGAGTACGAAGGCTGTGGCGGTTTTATCGCATATGAATGCTGGAGATTCCCACGGTAGGCTCTATACGTGGCTGACATATTGGCATTTGCGCAAAAAAATTTTTTGAGACATACAATTGCTGTTGAACCTGAGTACGAACTGATAGTCCGGATGGACTACATACCTTTATCATCCTGCTGCGTTTGGTGCCTCCCCTGAAGCCACAGACCCGTCTCCCAGCATCCCTGCTGTGTATTCTCCCCATTTCATTACCAATTCCACATCCGCCACCACATTCCCTGATTTACTGGGCCTGAAGCGTAACTCCATCATGTCACATATGGGCATGGGTGGCATGGACGGCGCGGGGATGTCGATGAAGCCCTATCTCCACTTTACACCGGGTGATATGCTCTGGTTCATGGCCTGGACCCCGTCCTCTTCAGGTGCCGTCTTCGGCGCTTGCTTTGGGCTTTTCCTTATCTCTATCAGCGAGCGGTTGCTCAATGCTATCCGGGTTATCATGGCGGTCGAATGGGAGAAACGGTGAGCTGCTCTTATACTTGTCCTCCTTCGGATTGAATGGGAAATTGAGATGGTTAATTTCGGTCTGTAGGGCTCGACTGGCGAAGTCAGTCAATGACAGTGCCGCGCCGTTACCCACTATAGCCCAAGCCCAACAAATCGAGCCGAAGCCATCTCCATCGCCTGACCCTAGTGCTCGCCCAGCACAGTCTGTTAGATCTATTAGAAACCACATACGTCAGTTGCCCTTCATTCCAGCGCACGACCTGTCTCGCGGGGTTCTGTTCGCCCTTCAAAGCACGTTTGTGTATTTGCTCATGCTGGCAGTTATGTATGCTACCTTTACACATGATTTATCCCTGCAGTCATCTCATGCTTACCCTCAGGACCTTTAATGCCCCCTTCATCCTCAGTATCGTGATAGGCTTAGGGGTAGGCGAAACATTATTTGGGAGATTCGCCGCAGTCGCACCGGGCGCGGGACATTGATTGATTCAGTGGTATGTCCGCTTTGTTGCATTGTAGCCTCCGGAATACTTAGCGAAGCTGTTCACCTTCGCAACAAATCATTATGACCTAGAGTTCACGAGCTATTCCACCGTTCGTAACATCCCCCAATCCCTCAGTCAGTCCATTGTCTTTCTGAGACTGCGCATAAGCACTGAGCGGATTGCATTGATAACTCATTTTTTGAACCTGCGCGTGGGATGGATGTCCTACGAATCCCCGATCACGAGTTCATTTTGAAGAGGGTTTGTCCAATGGTTTTCCGGACGAATGTGTTTACTCGCCCGTTGCTATGGGGTGCCTCCTTGTTGGATACCATTGTTTGACTTTTTGAGGATATAACGATACTCCGCATAATGAGGGACATGCATTTTAGGACCCGTTTAAGCCTGCTTGCGCTATTCAGCATCAAGCCTCCGCAGCCTGTGTCCACCCGAATCGAAAGTAATCACAAAGTGGATGGAACACTAGATCTGCTTTCACAAGGAGCCCGAAATATGCAGACCAAAAGGTGCAGAATAAAAACAGACGAACAAACAAGCGAAACACGCCGTGCCGTTCCAAAAGTGAATAGATTGACATGCAGCAGCTCGCGTTTGTTGTCCGTTTCCATGATCTGAATTCTCAACATCTCCTGACTATTTCAGACAAGTACGTGTTGAGCAGAGGCTGGGATCCTGCCTACGTGTTGATCAGGTTATATACAGTAATGCAAGGACCTCATGAACTCAGTCTAGAACAGGCCTAAGCTTGCCAACTCTTGTTAAGCTAGCGCTTCCATCCCGGCACCGTTTGCTCTAAGTTCGCTCTCTTCGCACTGGCTCATTTCGCCCGCGTAATCCAAAACAGAACCTTTCAAATCCATGGTAAGCCCGTTTCCCGGCGAATATCCCTTTTATGTTGCTTTCATCTGAGACAGAGGGACTGCATGTGAATCTGGTGTATGGAACACGCCAATGCAACTACTTGGGAATAAGAGACCTCTGTATTGGGGGGTGTCCAGTTGCGAAACATCAAGGTTGGAGGGCCCGGGAATCTCTTGGATCCCTCCAAGTTGTGCTTCTATCGCCATGGCTAACGAAGTAGATTCTGTTGCTATCTGTAAACTGCATTTCCTATCCTTCCGCCCTTGTGCCCAATGCATTTGCTTGGTCCTTTGTGATCAAAGATTCCTGTATCCGTAAGAGTGGACTAGTCGTTGTCTGAATATGTTCCACAGAATAGACTCTTCCAGTTGAGGTGAGACATCCTTGGCACAACGGTGGAACGATTGAACAAGTCCATGTCAAGGGGGATGTTGGGTCTACTCACTCGTCCACATCACTTTCGTTGGAGGAACGAATGGTGTTGAATGTTGGAGGACTTGGTGATTTCCGGGAAGACGCGCAACCGTGTGACTCACTTTCAGATCTCCATGTAAGACACCCTCGAAATGTAGATGTAATACCTCGCATCCATCCCTAGTTCTGTTCGTCGAGGAACGCTGGCCGGTTGGGTCGTTCTGTGCTGTGAGCATGTATTTCTCCACGAGGATCTGGATTCGGCGCCGTGGTCTGCCTTCTTTATTGGAAAATAGGACTGATTGCCGGCGATATGGAGTGATAGGCGCAGCTAACATTGCCAGTCATTCCACATCACTTGCTAGCTAGCCGTCCTCTAAGCTACTATGTTGGCAAGATATTCACACACGATCTACGCGGCCGGAGATTATTTTGGAATACTAGCCTGTAAGCGGGCGGTCACGGTTGGCTATGGCAGTGCGACGCTTCTCGGCTGCGGAGATGACGGTTAAATGAGAGTGTCTTGACGCTTTGCATTACCCTCCACAGAGACAGACTACAATATGTTGAAAGATGACTGGAGCGAGACTCTCTTGACATCCTCCCTACTGAAGGGGTATATGGTCCCGTGGTTGCAAATACAACGACAATGTCGCCTAGTGGGGCTGGGGGTGCCGAAGTTAATTATCAGTCGCTTGAATTGTACTATATACAAGGGAACAGACCAAGAGAAACCCCCAATTGTTGGCGACGTCAAACGCTCGATCCCTTGTCAAACTCGAGTGCTGGATAGATGTCAAAAGCTTGTGAAAAAAATTGCATATAATACCACCAATCTTAACGTTGACGGGACGGGAGGTTACAGTGTTATATTATTGTTGTGTACAACCACAATCATGAAGTAGCGTAATTCTCAATTCCAATACTCTGCAAATAATTGGGAACCAGTCAACCTGGCAGTTAAGGAAAGAAAATGATAGGGACATACATTTTGAGGTACTAAAGGACAACTTGGCTGATATCGACGACCACCGGAGTCCTCAATTCTCCCTGGAGCAGAAATCGAGTACCGTCCTTGCTAGCCCGAGGAAAGTGATATGGGCTCTGATCCTGATACACCAGATCACCGTACCAGGGTTCATTCTCCCTAGAGGAGGGATGTGTGTTTGTATAGACTGGGTCGTACTTGGGTTCGACAATGAGTTCGATTTGTCCATTAAAGAAGACCGGAGGTATCAAGAATCTGGACTGGGTAGAAAGAAATGGGACCCGCCCTATCGCTGAGGAATAGGCTTTGATGTGCTCTTCAGCTTGGGTGTTTCCCTTCATGCTTGGCGAGAGGTCATAAAAAGGGCGTTTCAGCCAGGATTCATCTACGTTGTGTGTTGAATCCGGCTTGGAACTCTGTACATGGGTTGCACCCTCTTCCAGGGTCAAATGAACGGCATGATCACCAAATACCGGTGTAGGAACGAGATACGAGAGAGGAAGACCATAACCGGGATTGAAAATCCAGAATTCAGGATTTTGCACACGATATTGAGCAACCAACTCGGATGTATCCGTTGACCAGACGAAAGCGCAGTTCGCATCGTAAGCGCCTACATATCGGCCTCCAGGAGAGAATCCAACTGTGTGACGTAGAGGAGTAGATGAAAGTCCAGGATCGGAAGGAATGAAAGGAGCCGAAGGAGATGTGAGGAGCCGAATGGATGGCTCTCCCGAAACACACAGGAGTGCCACGTTTCTGTACCAATTCTGGTCAAGAGTTCGAGGAACTCGGACAATCAAACATCCATTACTCGACAATACAGTTATAGCAGGGTGATGACCACTAGGAAGAGCGCCACATGGCACCAAACATGTGCCATGACTAAGGACGGAGATGTTTCCATCAGTGTCCTCGGTGGCAATCTGAGCATTGCCACCAAGGATAAACTCTATCCAAACTGGATGGTTGGGGGGATCGGACTGGAAGCGAGAGATTGTACGCTGATGGTTGATGTCCGCAACTTCGATGATCCCACTTGCAAAACCGAGGGCAACATGAGAACCATCTTGAGATATCGCCGCACAGGTCACAACCCCATTGCGAACATCATGTTCAGTGAACTCGGCTTCGTAATTAGTTGCTTGGACTCCATAGTTATCAAACTTCTTTGGCAAGTCGCTCAGCTTTGCCTCGGCAACCTCCTGAGCATTCCGTACATCCTCGCTCAAAGGAATAAAGCTACCGGAAAACTCGCCGGATATGGAGAACACTTGAACGGGATCAGAGAGATGCCCATACAATTCATAGAGTGAGGATGAAGCGAATGGAAGGAATGATCGATAAACATGCCAAGGATAGAATTCGGAACTACGCCACAAAATAGATCCGACAGCTTCCTTCACCAGCTTCATTGATCTGTGATTCTATAGAGCGTCGAGTGGTGTCATATCATTTGAGTATATGAAATATACGCGGAAACTCACGGAGAATTCATCCAAACCATGCCAGTTATCCCAAGCCGCCGCTTTCATCCACCACTTAGAAGCTGCCAAGAGCGGCAACAAGTTTTGTGTCAGGAGTCGTTCAAACTCTCTTTGCAATTCATTAGACTCTTCTGAAAAGAGTGACCAAGGATCCAAGTGCTCAAACAACCTGTTGAATGAATATTGGATGTGGTCGGGTTGCCTTTCCCTTTCTACCAAAAAATCATCCCACTTCTTTCTGTTCCCCAAAGGGAGTTCAGTGGGAATGCCAACCTCGTTCCGTTCAACGACACCATTCACAAGTCGAAGGAGTCGTAATCCAAGGAAATATCCTTTTGGATCATCAATAAAGAACACCTTGTCTTCTTCCTCGCCAATGGGGTCTCCCGTGATAAATTCCTTTGCCGTTGCATGATAGAATTCGACGGTTGCATTGTTTGAGGGGACATCAATTATCGAGCTGATAGGATTCAGTATTGCATAGATCTCATCCTCAGCAATTCCCAAGAGATGCGACATGCTGTAAACACGGAGTGGATATTGCGCAGCAACAACGATCCCAACTACTTGGCGATAATTCTCCACTACATGTGAAGGGATACTTGATGAGTCGGGCCTAAAGGCTCGTCGCATTATTCGCAAGTACTCCTCATTGAGATCCTTGGGTGCATCTCGGAGGTTGAGAAAGTATTGAAACTCTAATTTGAGAACAGAACCCCTTTGAGTCCGAGATCGAACTTCCCGTATCCGGATCGAGGCCATGACAGGCAAACCACGGCAAGCCAGAGTGAAGACGTCAAGATCGCCCGTCGACGGTTTCCACCGTGACTTTCTGATGCAATCCTTAAGCCCATCCATTACCATAAGCCGGATCGTGTCGAAAGTCTCGTCTGTTGCGACCTTATCCATATCCTCACATAGGATGCCCCGATCCCGAGATTCATCCCGAGATTCATCCCAAGCTGAAACAACTGGTGGTTCAGGACGAGAACTGACCAGTATGGAAAACACTGGAGGCAGCTTGTCAAGCAAGAGTACGAGGTTCATCAGGGACCCAAGTGTCTCTGAATCCCCACATTCATCTAAACCATCCAAGACGATGGTGAAGCGTTTCTCGCTCGCATACAATATTCCCTTGAGACCATTCATCGGCTCAAGAATCAAAGTCCTCATTTGGTCCTCCAGAGGGAGACTCAGAACCAGCTCCGAATTCGGCTGTCGAAGGCATTTGACGAGCGAAACCTTGAAGTCCCCATTAAAGATCCCAAGTTGACGTGCCAGTGTAGAAGGAAACTTCTCCAAAGAATCGAGGCCCGTTCCCTTTTGATTTTTATCCCAAAAGAAAGAGGCTGCAAGAGTACCTTCCTTCTCAAGCATCGATGCGACGCTCATAGATACCGCCGTCTTCCCGGTGCCCGGAGACCCACGGAGCCAGACAAATCGGTTTCCGGCTCGCTTCAGATGATTGACAAGGGATGTTTGTATTTGAACTCGTGTACTTGGAAGACACTCTGACTTGCTCTTCACGTAAGTGTGCTCGGCCGCAACTCGTGGAAGCTGCTCAAGTTTTGCTGAAAGAGATAGCGTTGATGAAAGAGCCCAATAGTATTGGAAAGAGGGAAATAACATACACTGCACCGATGCTTCAATTGTGCGAAGAAGCGTTAAAGTAGTTGCCTGCGTCTGTTGCAAAATGCACATCAGCCAGCCAAATCGAGGGCTTGGGAGCTTTGACGGGGACAAACCGCAAACGAGTTAAGGGCGTCATTTATACACGCCTTCACACCGTTTATCCTCTTGGCAAGTTCACGCGCTAAGAACATCCTCTTTACCCGATTTTGACTTTTGAGTAATTCAATCTCGTTTATCTGCTTTTTCAGGGCCCTGATGATAGGATTCTTGGATTGGAAGAGCAGCGACTGTGGGGTAGGTGGACGTACAAGTGAAATCTTTTAATCAACTGAACTACCTCGCGAGGGATTTGGTCCGTTAACAGCTCTAGCGGCTGCAGAATGGTCACATAAGCCCTTTGAATGTCGTCATCTAATCCTTTAAGATCATCATCGTTTCCACCGACAGTCTGCGCACATCACACAAACATAAGATCGAGTGAATGATATGTCCTCTTCTATCACGGAAACAGAAGGATTAGCTAACCTCGTAAACCTGGAGCCACGTCAGAAGTAAGTTCGGAATTGCGTCAAGACCTGGAACCGGGGCCAACCTAAGAGCCTCGGCTGCAATTTGTAGAACCAGCGTCATAGCGCCAATGATTAATTTTTTTCGATCACTCTCTAAGCTAGCCGATGGCGCATTCGCGAGCTCCGACAGGCCAGAAACGTTGATACCCTCACAATCCAACTGTGCGTGGTGACTGCTGGGCATGGCATGCATCCCAGATACCTCGAGGAGACCATCAATATTGCCGGTAGGGGCGGGGGGAGATGGAGGAAGCACTGTATCATCAGTGAATGGTCGGAGGAAGGGTGTGGATGGTCTCGACTGTTCAACAAGATCGGGAGTGCTAGGCTTGCTACGATTGAGAGCAAATTTTCCGCTGGTCTCCCTCGATCTGCGGCCGGTGGAAGAGGCTGGTTCCTTTGGGTCACTGCGGCGAGCACCGGAAGGTACAGGTTGAGCAGCCACTGCAGGCTCGGGATAAGAAGGTCGTTCCGGCACGCTGAACTGATCGCGACGGGTGTTGTTGTGATTAGAGGATATGTTGGGACCAGTGACGTGGACCTGCGGAACAGGAGTCCCAGAAGGGGTCAAGGAATGGGATGCTTGCGAAGATGAGCCTGGAGCGGGACGGTTCCCTTTGTTGCGGGGACGAATAATCTTGAATGTGTTTTTTTCAGACATTGCGCGAGTACGATAACTGAAGATGATGCTCGCGTGGTAGGGCGAACAGAGGACACTAACGCAATCACCGCATGCACACAGCTTGTGCTCTTTAAACACTTCCAGAAATGATGTATGGTAGGAGAACGTATCAGCAGGGAGGCGCGCGAAGGAGGGAGTAGATTAGACGAGCAACACAGCCATGTCTTATACATTCACCCAGTACAGCCAGACACCCTGACAACACAGCCCAGAGGATACCGTCACACAGACAACACCAATCAGATACTCTTACCATGGATTGACAATCTCAGGCACACCCACATGTAGTTTGATGGGATAGCTGCACTTCACCGAAGTAACAAAATAAACACAACAAGTGGTTAGTGCATAACGGGAGAGGCGGAGAGTGCGATGGTGACCAACATGATGCTTGAGGCAAGACTAGGTGGCAGTGCAGACACGGTTCTATGAGACACAGCCTCGACTAGCACGCGATTGCAAATGTCGGAAGAGTTCGCGTCCCATGGAAAATATCGTCGGAACCCGTTGGGAAATATACCCCGGAAATTTGTTGGACGCCCAAAATTGGAGGGCAAAAACGCGGAAAATCACGACTCCTACCGAAGCTTCCGGCTACCACCCGCTGAAGAGAGGCTGGTCACCTACGGCTACCGTTCGCTCTATATGTAGTTGACATTTTGGCATTTACTCGAAGAGTGTTTTTTGAGCAAATGCAATCGTTGCGTGTTGGGGCGGATTGCTGTTATCATTTTGGCAACTGGCGATCTCCACTGAAGCCCTATATCTATATCTATCCTCCGACATCTTCCCCCCCATTTTACCATTCAATTCCGCATACTCTGGTTTAGACCTATATAAAGCGTAACTCGATTGTTCATCTCATGTCACATATGGACATGGGTGGTATGGACGGTGTAGACGGCATGGGGGCTATGGATGGCATGAAAGGGATGTCGATGATGAAGCCCTACTTTCACTTTACAATGGGTGATATCCTTTGGTTCAAGGCATGGGCCCCGTCATCTGCAGGTACCGTCTTCGCCGCTTGCTTTGGGCTTTTCCTCCTTTCTGTCAGCGAGCGGTTCCTCAATGCTATTCGGGCTATCATGGCAATCAAATGGGAGGAACGGTGAGCTAGTCCTACAGTTTCTCTGAACCGAGACTTAACGAGGAATTGAAACTTGGGCATCCTGGCTGGTTTCGTTCTACAGCGCTCGGCGGGTGGAGCTGGTCAATCATACTCCCACACCATTGCCCACTCTCGCCCGCGCCCAACAATCCGAGCCAAAGTTTGCTCCATCGCCCGACCCTAACGCACACCCAGAGTCCACGTGGGGTCGCATGCGTCGGTTGCCCTCCACTCCTGCGCATGACCTCTCTCGTGGGCTTCTGTTCGCTCTCCAAAGTGCGCTTGGATATTTGCTTATGCTGGCAGTCATGTATGCTACTACTCCACTATAACTCATCTCTGCAGTCGTCTCATGATTCTCAGGACCTTTAACGTCTTCTTTATCATTAGTATTTTGACGGGGTTAGGGGTAGGCGAAACGATATTTGGGAGGGTGGCTGCAATCACACCGAGCATCGGCCATTGATTAATTTGATGGTATGTCCATTATAGCCTGGAATACGTAGGGAAGTTTGCCCTTAGCTTCTCTTGGCTCCTCCAATTGCTACCCTCTGGCTTTATGATCGTTATGAGCGATGGGTTGTTCTGAGGTCGTTCGTCAGCTCGGTGCATTATCTTTCATCCTGGGGCTGCGCATAATTGTACAGGAACAGAGCGGATTTCGCTGATGACCCGTTTATTGAGCCTGCCTGTAGGATGGGTGTCTCTCAGATATCCTCAATGCCCCATATCACGAATTCATGAGATGAGTGTTTGGGAAGATGGATCCAATCGTTTTCCGGACGAAATTGTTTCTTCGCACGCTCTCCAGGAGCCCATTCCCGGGATTCCTTGACCTTGGAAACCTTCTGGGAATAGATCCATACTCTGCATAATGATGGGCGATGTCCTGATGGTCGGAACCTTTTTTTTGCGCTGTTCCACACTGAGCTTCTGAGTTGCGCGGGTGCTGCGTCGACAGAACAACTACTAAAGGATTGAACGCTTCAATCTGCTCTCACAGGGTCCAGCCCGAATATTCAAGGCGAAACAGACACACCAGTAAACAAATGAGATACTATCCGATGTATTTCGTTTAATTATGGAGCACTGTCACGTCAAGTCGCTCCTTCGGTTGGCTAAGCATGAGCCTCTTATGAGCGAATCTGTTGATTCTTCCGGTGTTCTACGAATCTCCAATACCCGTACCCCCTTGTTGAACGCCAATAATGCCAAGTATACGACAAACCCTGCACATGCACTGCTCCCAGCTCTCCATGATCTGAATTCTCAGATCTCCTGACTATTTAGACAAGTGTTGATCAACACAAGGGCCAGTTCTGACTGGAACATGACTGTCGACGGCCCTCATCTTGCCGGTACCTAAATGGCACGTTTCGTCGTAGCCCCATTCGGGCATGACGCTTTCGAGGCCCGCGCTCCGGTTGCTTGAATGATGAATCGGACCTAGTATCCCATCCGACCGGGCTTCAACTGCCCCAGGATTTTATCTCTCTCCCTAATACTCAAACACAGAATGGTCACTAACTGCCATATCTCATTTTGCTTCCCGCACTGGCTCATTTTACCCGCGAGGCAGGTCAAGTGAAACTTCCGAATCCTTAACAAGCACCTTTCCCCGCCTTTCAATTTTGCCGCATAAAATAGATACACTAGTACTCAAGCCACATACGAGTTCTCCAATATGTGACTCCTCTATGGTAATGGCGCAGTGGTATGTGAGTGGAAAGTTTTGATTAGCACCTAAATGTTCAATGGTTCACGAGTAAAGAGCAAATAAATAGGATCCTGGTGTAGGGTTTAGTTTTGGCAGTTTGCAAGATGTAAAAAACCTATGTCATGACGAGGCCATAACATCGCACCTGGAACATGTTCACCAATCTCTTGGATCCCTCCAAGTCGTGCTTCTAGTGGCATGGTCAACGAAGTAGATTCTTGAATTGTCACTCGTGATCCGCATTTCCCATCCTGCCGGTATTGGGCCCAATGCTCTTACTTGGTCGATTGTGAACCGAGATTCGATACCGCTTCTGTTCTGTACCCGTAAGGAGCCGGAGCCAAGGCGTGGGTCTCTCCAAGATGTTGTCCGAGCATTATGATCTACAAAATAGGGTCTTCCGGTTTCAGTGAAGCGCTGCTCCCATCCACTTGGTAGAGACATCCTTGGCACAACAATGCAACATTGAATAAGTTCATATCAGGTGGGACAGTTGTGTCTAACTTACTCCCCAAAATAAGGTTCGTTAACAGATGGTGATGTTTGGGATGTGAATGTCGGCGGACTTGAAGGGGATGGAGAGGGACCTCGACTAGCTGTATTGGCAAGGTCGAGCCTAGATAGGGAAAGAGCCATCTCGTGGTCTCGAGCCTCCATTTCCTTCCGCTTACGCTCCAGTTCCTCGGCTCCATCGGCCTGGCCAATGAATTGATTCCCGGCAGCAACATCCCAGACTTCAATGGGCGTCGGCTCGGTTGCAACGGCAGGAGAGGGTGTGAGTATTGAGAAAGAAGCCGTGGGAGTGACTGGCGACTGCGCAGGAAGGGACCAGCGGGTGTTACTGGATGGATTGGTTTTTGCACTGTCTACTTGCGTCGAAGGCGGATTGTGGGAAGGGACGCTGGCAGTGGTGGATGCTCGGTTTCTTCTGCATATTTCATCACAGTCTTCAAGGATGGAAGCGAAGTCAGGTCGGCTTTCGGGATTCTGGGCCCAGCAGCGCTCCATCAGTTCCCACACTTCATTAGTGAGGTCGGGGAGACTGTTTTTGGGTCGTTTTGGCCGCATCCCTTCGCGAACCGTGCGGACGATCTGATTCTCATTTATAAAACCAAACGGCACTTCATCCGTCATGATCTAGAAAAATAGCTTAGCCATCGTACAACGCCCTTGGCCGTCAGAATGTACCTCCTGAAATGAAAGTCGTCAGCATCCACGTATGGCAAGAGAGCGCATTACACTCACAAAGCATGTCATTGCGTAGGCATACACATCCACCTGTGAAGACTTCAGAAATACACTACGAGCCTGGGATGGTATCACCCTACCTCACGGGTAAGTCCACCGTTGTCCAATCTCTCAGGCGCCTGCAGGTCACCACGATCAGCGATCTGACTGCGGGAGGTATCCTGCCCACATACCATCCATCGAAGCGTCCCCTCGGCTTTCTCATTCTGGCGGACCGCTGTGGTGCGACTGGATTCCATTTTGATGAACGCCATGCCAAAATCGCTGGAATAAACGCAAAATCTGTTCGGAACGCGACACCAACAAGCAAAACAAAGGGAAATACCTTATACATGCCCCTCCCCGATCGTCTATTAGTACATTAAGCGCCTAGATCGGTAGCCATGCAAGCATATGTTTAGAGTCCATATTGTGTAATTGCGTAACTCACTTTCAGATCTCCATGTAAGACGCTCTCGGAATGCAGATATTTCATTCCAGAAGCAATTCCCCGCATCTATCCCTAATTAATTGGAAATGCCGGTCGTCGATGAATACGAAACGTACCACCTCTGCCCGATTTGCGTCGGGATGTTTGGATAAGTAGTTCAGTGCATCCCCGTTGGGATAGTACGCTGACACTAATATTGGCCTGTTAGGGTTGGCGCAAGCCCGGTAAAAACGGTGGATGCGAGGATGGTCAAGTCGACTCCAAGTTTCTGCCTCTTTCATCAGGGCCTGGTATGACTACGTCAATGGCTGAAAACAAGACCATTCATATCAAATACTCGCCTTCTCGGAGGTACCTTCGGTAAGCACTTTTACTGCGATCTCTTCGCCATTCCATTTTCCTTTGTGAACTCGGCTAAAACCCCCAGACCCGATTTCTGCGGGAAAATTTGAGCAAACTCTACGCCTAAGTCCAAAAATGTTCACACCTTCCTCAATGTCAACTTCAAGGTAACTGATCATCCAAAGTCGTGTTTCTTCATCGCCTCTCCCTGACAGAGAAACCATCTTCCGATGTGCTGCTTTGTAAAACTTGGCTTCTACAGAGCCGGGAGGAGCAGCACGACCAAGTCTCGATGTCAAGTGCATGACTTCCTTCACTTCGCCCAAATCAGGTGCGCCACGAGCATCTTTTTGAATGAGGTCCGCCAGTGCTTGTTGGTTAGAAGCTATTTTCATGAGCAGTTCATTCATATTTTGGGCATCAGCTTGCCGTGCTTTGCGATCTCGATCGGCCCATGTAGTGGCATCGATTTCCGCTTCAAGCTGTGTGCTGTCATTAGTCGATGCCAAACATCAACGTAGACTATTGACAGACCTGGAATATCTGGAGATAAACCACCACAGAATGTTGGTGTCGAGTGAGAACGGAGGCCATCCGGTCCTTTTTGAGCAACCGCCTCCAGAAGTTCTTCTGAGTAAGATTATTGAACTCTTCCTGAACCTCCATCAGAGTTCTGAAAGCGGCATAAGATGGGCGAATTGTTAAGCGCGCAGGCGACGCACTGTTCCAGCCTATTGATGTTCTCTAGCATCACTTCTGGGACCTCCAACCCAAACTCCTTTAGGCTGGACAACTTCTTGTTCACGGAAAGTAGCACCATCGCTATTAGATCAACTATCGCAAGCGCTTGCTCTTTTTGACCTTGTATAAACTGCACCTGATCAATGGTTGTCTTGAAGATGGAAGCAGCGAAGGACAGAATGGGTATATGAGTTAGACCGCACGCCTGAACAGCCACAGCGCTAACGCCTTGCACAAAGCTTAGGACACTATCCGCCTGAGGCATGGCTGAGAGATCGAGCTGTTGTCACTTGTGCTGAGGAAATTTAATTGAGCCGTTGAACGTCGGGCAGTTGTGCCGGTCCCGAGGCGAAGTTCCCACACAAAAGGACAAATTGGCAGGCGCTCTCAAAATTGAAGGACAATTCGGCAAGTGCTGTAGGTGAATGCTCGAATCCATGAAGCGAACTGCGTGCTTGGATAGCTTTCAATTAGAGGGTAATTCAAGCTTATGGCGAAGCGACGCACTGAACGAAGCGATGGCAGCAGTCAGACGGTTCGGGAGCTCGAAACTGCACGTTCAACATTGGCAAAGGTAGACTAGATATAGCTCGATCTAGCGCACGATTGGAATGTGCTACCTAATTGGGCGGGGTTGTCTAACACCCCCAGACCCATTTCGAACGATACTGGCAATTATATAAACGGAAGACCCAATGAATTATCCATAGAATGATATCAACAGAGGGGGGGAAAAGCGGTCAACATTAGGTATCCGCGCCGCGCTCATTCTCTAAAGAAGTCGCTTCACCAGCTGGAGGGGCCGTCAACGAGCTTGTCCCATTGGCGGCGTGGCCCCTGTTTTTGGTGCTGTTGTGGCTGCTGATGCGGAAGCCAGACGCTGGTCCAGAGCCTTGAGGCCATTGCCCTTGCGATTATATGCCAACATAAGATGTATCGTCATGCACTACGAGAGAATTGATACTGACCTTCGTCGCTCAGCTTCTGCGCGGGCTCCACCTGGCAGGGAGGACAAATTGCCACCAGCCGGTAAAGGCTCATAGTCATCACTTCCATACGCTTTAACAATACCTATTCGGGTACAAATCTTGTAGACCAGGTCCGAAATCAAGGAGATTGGTTTGCTGCGAATAATTAATTAAGCACACGGCTCGCAAAGTGAGCAGTCATTGCACTCACTGGAGTATTGGAGGGAACCAATGGACGAACGCGAACGTTTCTGAACGATCCCCCCACGTCTCCGCTCCGCCCAGGATGTCCCCCCAGTGCGTTTGTAGAAACGCAGGTAAATCCAAGACGTAAGCCAGCCGAACTGAATCAAAATGTATGGTGATTGGAAGCCAAGGATGCACATTATGGTAGAGAAGGTGACATATAACATAGGTAAACGCTGGACATCCGGTCAGCGAGGATAATCCAAAGAATCAAAGGAATTACCTTGACGCGGATACCCAGAGCACCAAAAAGAAGAATCTGATGCTCAGGAATGGCCTGAGTAAGAGCAACAAGAATGCCCGCTTGGAGCGCCATCAATCCTCGATATGACATCCATCTGCCACAATTAGGTGATCAGGACGAAGAGAGACGGACGGATTGAACGCTAACTGACAAAAAATGCCCTTCAGACCAATTAAAAAATGCTGGAGGACGTTGACAAACACAGCAATGATGTTGGAGATGACGACAGTAATGAGAACGAATTTCGTTGTCTCCAGTGGACCCCATAGCCTCTCGAAATAGCGCAAGGAGATAGGTAGAAAGAGAAGCGATATTACTAGCTATATTTCTGCTTTAGCGCCTTGAACAAGGATCAGAAGGAATACACACTTCAATCAACCCAAGCTCAACAAATGGCGAAGTCACGAGGGTCCAAGGGTGCCATAACACGAGGGCTGGGATTAGTGTGAGGTCAGATGTGCGAGTGCCTATATGAATGAGAGAGCAAGGAGGTGGCGGTAAAGGCTCGAGCGGTACGGGGGATGGACCCGATAAATTGCAAAGTGTATTAAATGGCATAATCCTAATAGTTTGCGCTATTGGGATTCGAGGGTCAGGGCTTCCCGGAAAGCTTGAGGCTGCTTAGGGCGTCTACGAGAAGTATGAAAGGGCTTGCCAAGTGGTATCTGATGAAGTAGGTAGTCTAGCTCGCCGCAATGAGCGCAGTGGTTCTGAATCTCTTGATCTCCGAATACAGGCCGGTGATCTCTCCCTATATTGATCTGCACGCACTAGAAATAGTCGACGTCAATGTCGAGCACCAGCAAAATGAGGCGGACGCAACCGGAAGGCGATCACGTGTATCAAACTCGACATTGGAACAGCCCCATCCGATGTCGGCCTACGACTTCACTCCTGGTGGTTCGCTGAAGCTGAAGGGGGGTGATGTTTCCAAGAAGTAGGTCGGCACGAGTGTCTCGCGCCATCATTATCTGAATGGTTCCTACTGCATAGGAAGAAAAAATCGAAATCAAAGTCTGAACGTGATAATGTCAAGGATAGTGTGAAGGCTGAAATGCTGCGCAAGAACAGCCAGCTTCGCGGATCATTCAGTCCTAGTGGCTCTCCGGGGCCCTCTACGTCGATCGGTCATCAGATTGACAATAAGACGCAAGCCAGCGGAGATTTGAAGAGGCGCAACGCAACAGAGTAGGTTGAGCTTAGTACTCCTGGTACCGCATTCTTAGTGGGGAACGTTTAGCGTGCCGAACGAGTAGCAAAACTAGCGACGAAGACCCACAAAGATCGCGTGCAAGAGTTTAACGAGAAGCTCGACGCGCTGAGCGAGCATCATGATATTCCGAAGGTGTGTGCTCTCAATAGACCTGTTCAACATGCATCAAATTCTTGTGTATGTCTAGGTCGGTCCAGGGTAAAAATTTCGACCTCTCTGCCATGCACCCATGTGTCGCCTCGCATATCCATGTACCTGTTGCACCAATTCAAGAATGTTTGTTTTGCTCACGGTCGAATCGCTTCCCCTCAGCATCCACACTCTAACCTATTATATGACTTAAGAATACCCCATCACCAACCAGGGCGCCCTGGCGCTGGGACGATGACTGCCCAATACTAAGATACATCAGCCAATAGTGGAATGCACTGTGTTACTCAGGTGTATTGCCTTCTTTCATCGAAAACCTCTCAGCGGCACGCAATCGGGCGGCTTCCGCACCGCTGAAAGATTGCTCCTTCGCAAATTCCGTGGCGCTCGCCCTGGCGATCAGCCAAGGAAATTAATTCCCTCATGATATGAATTGTTTAGTATGTAGTACACTCGGTGTGTACAAGCAGGAATACCGAATGACACATTCTGGGAACATCAGAGGATGTGCCAGATCAAATCAGGACAAGAACGCCCAGATAATGAAAAAATTCGATGTAAATTCTCAAGTAATCGGCGTCGGTATCGACCGATGGAAAAGGATAATTGAATCGAAACAATCACAAGTCGCACGTTGCTAGGCAGGACCCCAGCCTGCATAGTAGCGCGTTGCTCGTAGTGCCGCGCAGAAGTTTGGATCCCTGCGGGGCCTCAGCGAGCCCTCCTTTGCGATTGCAATGTAGTCCTGCATTCTGGCGCTGTGAAGATGCAACTCGTTGGCGCATTAGGCATATTGTTAGAATAAATACTGTGAGGGGGAAACACCGCGGGTGCGAGGGCATTGCTATTCAATTGCGCGGGGTACGATGGGCTGGCCAGAGCGGCCGCCAAGTAGACGCTGGTGTGAAGACCCGAGGTTCCATCGTGTAAGGCGGTGGCGCGCCCGCCAAGCTGGGGGTGAAAATGCTGCTGTATGCAGAAGCAGGAGGAATGCCTGCTATTGTTGGCGATACGCTCGTGCCAAGCTCAGACGTGCCACGGATATCATATCTAAAAATGTAAGAATTTTCAGCGAGCCCAAGAACGAAAATGAAGTCAACGTGCTGACGATTGACGGGGGCTTGCTCAGTGGGTGCACCACCGATTGGTTCAGCTGTGGGGAGGCTCGTTGGGAATCCATTGTTCACTATTTGCTGGACAAACGCGAGAAGCTGTGGCAAAATTAAGGGGCAGCGAAATAAATTTGAGAATTTATAGATGGCCGAGTGTCTAGCTTTGAGTGCTTCCCCAGGCACTGGGAGGAGTTGGTTAGCCTCAAGAGTCCCCCCCCCCCCCCCCCCACCTCTGTGCGCATTGGTAGGATTACGCTCAGTCCCGTAGTAGGTGAACTAAATGATGTTACTACGCTAGGATACGTGTAGTACGTACGTGAACTGGTGAGCGTGAAATTTTTTGCTTTATAAGCAGGCGCTCTTGAATGGCGCACTGATTTGGCCACAACCTAAGTCGATCTCCTAGAAATCATACATGCATCGTTCATGCTGCAACCCGGAAAGCCACTTAGGGGAAAGGGGCAAGGATTTTAACGCCGGATATCCAGAAATTAAGTAGAGACTTGCAGCGCTTGGGATTACGAGAAACGCTAGGGGTGGCGACCGGATCTTTTGATAATCGCGTTTTCACGCTGGAATGGGGCCTCATAAACGTGGCTGCGGAAATTGCTTCATTATTGTGAAACCAGGTGGAGAGTGACACTGTTCTGCAGGTAACTAAGGTACCAATCCAGAGCCTAGCTAGAGGGTGAGCAAATTACCATATCAGCGGCACGCTGCTTCTGCTAGATCCATGCATGGCGCTTGACGAGGCGGCTAAGAGTGACTCGACGCTGAGGATATATCCTAGCCTAAAGATGTATGCTCAGAGCCGGTAGACATCCGTCTGCCAGTCTCCGATTGTTGAACGTTTACAATCATAAGCGCCAAGCGTGTACATGTCTCGTGAGGCGAATCTTGCTTGTTCAGTATTAATCCTGTTGTGATCGCGATCGCAACAGTCGAAGTTGCTACAGACTACAAGTTAGGAACTGCACAAAACCACATTCATGATTGAACTCGTGGCATTTGAATACTTACATAACTGGCTGCATTTTTTCATGGCGCATTCCGCACACCTTCTCTGATTTCCGCGCGGTATCCTTACTGCACCCACCTTATTCCTCTGGCGCGCGGCTCAGCGCGCGGATCCTCGCGACCTACGATATAAAAGTCCAAGTTTCCTCCTAGCTACCAGTTTGAAGCTCGGAATAGGAGATGGCTTCGCGGTAAGTCAGCCGTCCGGCTTCACCAATCCCCATCTTAGTATGTCTGTGCAGTGCAAAAAACTCCACCTCGCCGGTTGGACCAAAGGCTCGACGAAGGACTGATCCATATTCCCCGGTCACTCGGCGTTCAAATTCCCAGAATCAGTCGAACGTTGAAAATCCGGTATGTCCGCTTACAAAGACCCAGTGTGCCCGGAACTCACCCTAGTGGAGGACACACCTTCTGCGATCTTTGTTCCATATGTGCCGCGCTGGAATCGTCACCTACCCGATACAGATCTCAACCCAAGTGAACACACCATCATCCTTGGCGCCTATTTTTCTCAATCCTGCAGCTGGAACATGATGGTGAATCCCACCTGTTTCGTTCGCGATTACAGTAAAGCATTGTCGCAGGACGTCTGCGGGGAAGTAGCCCACTACTCCCCAATGCTTCATAACGCGATTCTGGCTTTCGCATTGGCGTTCTCGTCAAATCCAGTGCACCAATCTGTGGAGTTCCGCCGGCGGTTCGCCACTCAAGCGAAAATTTACATTGATACTGAGTGTCAAGCCCCGACCCTGAGCACTGTTCAAGCGCTTGCGATCCTCTCTTGTTACTATAGCGGAGTTGCCGAATTGGGTATGTACCCTTCCTGAGAACATACTTACTATTTCGCGCAACCTTACGCTCTGATTCAACAAACAGTCCTCAGCTTTACATACCTAGGTTCGTGTTCCATCGGGCACCGAGTGATTCCAAAGAATTTAAGTCCTCACTTCCATAGGCACGGCTATGCGAGTTTCCCAAGCTCGTAAGTCATTTCAGCAACCCATTAAGTTGTAACTAAAATATCCCGTGCAGTCAATCTGGAAAATGTGAAAGTGGGAATTACGCCGAGTGATATTGATTATCAGCGCGCTTGCGTCTTCTGGAGCCTATATTCGATGGTATGTGCCTCCACCACGGCCACTAATGCCACTTCATCAGTTCTGCTTTGCAGGATAAATGCTGCAGTTTGTATGTTGGTCGACCCCAAACCCTCATTCCTTCCTTCGAAGGCACATATCAACCTTCAGGCATCCCCCCGATTGACTATGGTGTGGACTTTGGCATGGAGTGCTTGCAACCCCCAGCATCTCATGTTTCAGGACCACCCAATATTGCATTTATTTGGCACATCAAAATGATGCGTATCATTCAAGTTGCCATGAAGCTGCTGTATGGCAAAAACGGTGTTTGCAACTCTGTGATTGATATTCGCCACATTGAGTACATAAGGTATGATGGCATTCGCGTGGTTCCGAATCACCCTGATGTTGGCGGGCGGAATAGTGGGCAGTTAGAGCGATGGAAACGAGATCTCCCCGGCTCTCTTCGCGTCGATGACAAAGACCCCAATCTTCTAGTCACTCCCGAAGTGACAATGGTTAATCTCATGTGTGAATGGATCCACATCCTTCTGTATCAGCCATTTTACCAAGATCGCTCCAGCATCCGTTACATCACCAATCCCACGCACCAGATCGGTTTCTCTGATCAGGATTGCACCCGTGTCTCGCAACATCGCGATCGCGCATATAAGACCGCCACACCTGCCGCTGAGCGGATTCTTTTTTTGTTGGAAAGATTCGACTCTCAACATGGTCTCGACAAGATGGACAATACCTCTGTCCAGATAGCTTATGTTGCAGGAAAAGTTCATTATTTGGGGATTCTGGATGGTACTTGCACTATCTATGGAACCATCTCGCCCAAGGACGGCATGATGAAAGCCATTCAACTCCTGAGGAGGATGGGGACCATTTGGAAATCTGCTGTGGCGTCGGCGAACAGACTTGAGGAATTGTTCACAGCTGCTTGTGGAAATGCGTTGGGGGAAAACTCGGCATCGTAGAGTGTCTGGCATCCTTCGTGCTGCGAACTTGGCTTATCTGGTCTTTATTATTCCACAGCTCGTCATCCGTGGGACTCGCTCTAACAATAAAGAGTGAATCCCCCACACCCAAGGAGGAGCACATAAGCGGCTAAGTGCACGAGGATCCCAGACCATGGACGATTCGAGTCATCTCCCGCAATGTCCTCCCAGTGATTGCCTCCTGGAATTCTGTCCACATTCACCTCGCCAATTCAAGGTTTCCCGATTGAGAAGTATCGCCGATAGTTCAACAATTTTTCACGGTTTCACGATCCTTCACGATAATGATTACGACAGCACCTCATCTCGCTGAGCTTTGATGTATCCACCCTCCTGTGAGTCGATCGGAAATGGTCTTCTGATTTGTATATACTGGCATGCCAACACTGAACGTTCAGAGCTTCAGGAACTGATACTGATCTTGATGCCTGTGAATAAATACCGTAAATTAGTCTGCAGGAGTCTAGGCTCCGGTGCGTTTGAACTCGACCAGCATGTTTAACACGACCTTATTCGCAGTGGCGTTAACATGCCCCTCCAAGGTGACATCATGAAAAGGATTATATCTAGCAAGCAATTTCAGAGAAATGAAGGCATCGAGTGGCTATCAAGGGTCAACAGTGAAGGGAAGAGGCGCAAACGTCGTATCCTCGCTGACTCTTCAGGGATGTGGCTGCACCGTCGATATATAGCTCCTGAGAACTCTCTCAGTTCAATGGGGGGTCCGGATCTGTGGCGTGCAGAGTCGGCAGCGATACCTTGTTGGGGCCGCCCTGTCGAAGTGATTCCTAGAGCACTTCTTAGGGCAATGGAATCGTATGTGCCTCTGCACTCGCGTATTCTCTTAATTGAGATGATTGTACCCTTTCAGTGTCATGTTCGTGGAGAGTCAGAGCTTGAGCCAGAGGTACGCAGGTACTGAATTGTAATTTGAGGCGACATGCTGACCACCCATATCACATGCCGTTAACTCCAGTCCGTTCCAACCATTTTGATTTTTCTTTGGATCTCTGAAAAATCCCCTCAGCCGGCTTCTTATTTCTCGCTCCGCAGCTATCCACTGTCGAATTGAAGCTTTCGAGAACGGAAAGCCGATTCTCATGTTATCAGAAAGTCCACTTAATAAATCATGGACATTCGTGTCCTGCTTGGCTTGGTTGGTCCGTCGTCGAGGTGACAAAGCTCAACTGTAGCAACCGGATTTAGGGTGGTGCGAAAGCAAGTGGTTCTCGCGGATAGCGCGCCACCTTTAACTGATTGAATCGCAGGAAGATGCATTTGCTCGAATGTTCCAATGATGCAAGCATAGCTGCGGACGGCGACACCTTAAACGGATGGAGCACACGTCCATGACATCCTGATAAACTCGTTTCAGAAAGTCACTACGTGAGTGTCCGAGAAACCAGAACAATCAACCTAGCTGGCCCAAGCTGAAAGCTGATTGATGTAGGGGAGCCCCCCTTAATGGAAACACCACACACAAGAGATAAGGCAGATATCTTATGCAAACGCATGCCAAAAACACCGCCACTCCTCTCAGCGTCAACTTAGATGATGGAATTTAAAATCGAATTCACAAATGCCCATAACATTTGAAGGTGCCCAATCCGTCTGTCTCCCATATTCTCGATCTAGATGGGTTTGCTGAGGACTAATTTTGAAATGAAGACTCCTGCGCCCCCACTTAACTCCGGTCTAGTTCCTCTTCAAATCAGGCGCGATGCTTGGGCTCTTCGCACTGAGGATTGTGGCGACCAATAAAAATGCTTGTTTTTCTCTTGAAGATGGCTCCTCCCCTCCGCCACTTCAACAGTATGCGCAGATATCCTTCGGAATTTGGATCCGAGAATCGCGGCCCAAATGCATATGTTTGGTAGTGAAAGTATGTAACTCGCCACCCACGGCGATGAAGGGAGGTCAGAATCTAACATCCTCGTTTAATCCAGTAAGTGCGAATGTGATAGGAAATGGGACTCCAGCAGGAAATGTTCGTTATGTTGAATCCGGCTTCAACAGCCATACTCACCCATCGAAAGTGCACTCCATAAATCCCGAAGATCGATGAGCCAGGGGGTTACCCCACCGTTCTTGCAGTCCTACAGGTTGACCTGCATTCAGGTGTGGCGGCCGATCACTCAACTTTTCGAAAACCTGCGGATCCATGGTCAGCAGGAAATGTACTCATGATCAGAATTTGATTTGGACAATCCCCTGCGCACAATGTGCCGCAGAAGGCCCCGACCATTGACTAGGCAAGCCTCTTTCCAGGCGTTTTTGCTCCAAGCAGTGTTCCTGGCTTCCTGGAGACGTGGGCAATGACCGCAACATTTCGGTGGTTTGCTCCTTGGCCTCCTTGAGCTCTGGCAAGGACATTGAGGGGAGGCCAAGAATGGAAATCAAGCCTTAGAAATTACAAGTGGCGCCGTCAAGGTAAATTGTACGTATTGACAAGCACACGTTTACTGGCATCGTACAATGGGATATTTGTATACACCACGTTATCGATGAACAAAGATAATTGGAAGCATTACATGAAATACATCCGCTAAAGTCAAGTCCATCAATTCGAGTCCACATACAAGGTGCCTCTGGGCTGTTATGGCTCACCTTAAGGAGCGGTTTGGCGACACGGCTGAAATGTTGCTTCCATTCCTCAAGGTTTATTGGCGCATCGTCAGAGACCACGCTTTGAGTGTCAAGGAAGTTTGGATCAAAGTGATACCTTGATCGAGAGCAAACAATCTGGGTGGACACCATTTAAATCATCATTAGAAACGGATGAACAACCTGACGGAAGCACATACATCGGCATCTGCAATGCAACTGTTGAGCAAAATTGGAATGTTGAAGCTCCAAAGGAACACTTACAATAAACGGGTGCCGGAATGGAGACGGACAACGTAGATCGTGCGTAGACGTGACACAGATCGAATGAGAGCCGTTGCAACCTGACGAAAAGCATCAACCCAGTGAAAAGGATATTGGATGAAATAATTATACTCGTCTTTCGTCATATCGTTGTCATCGTGAAGGACAACATAGCGGCTGGACCGAGAGGTGCCAGCCAAGCCTTTGTGGCTTTGGATATAGAAATCCTCGTAAACCGGATGAACGATCCCATTATCCACAACAAGGCCCGCTTTGCAATTTCCGGTTTTATCACCGTAGTCGCTCCTCGCGGGGAAGAAGCGCACATGATGCCTCTTGCTGACGACAATAAAGGTGACTTTGGTGTTCGAGCCAAGCTCAGCCAATACCGCTGCAAGATGTTAATCAGCCAATTCCATCAACTATTCCCAGTGGAACCACCTGCTTTTCACAGCCCCTAACTCGTGATTTAACACTGCCTGGTATTCTCCTTCAGAAACTCCGTCTCTGTAGATAATCACTCGCCGAGGGAGGTAATTAATTTCCGGATGCGGTTTATCAATAGTTGACCTTGTGGACTGGTGGAAACGCTGAAGGGCGTACTGTACATATGTTACCCAGTTAGTAAGGCACAATGATAAGACGGAATTGTACCTGAAAGTGACGGCCAAAACCTTCAATTATTTCCCGACGAGGTTCTTGAAGCTCGTTGAGAGCGAAGTAGTCGGAACAAGATTTAAAATTGTGGCTGAAAACCATCGAACAAACAGACGGCCACCTGGATCCAGGCGCGGCGTGTGAGACATCCGCACCTATCGAGAGACGAAGACTCAGGACTCCAATTCTGTAGCAAACAACGAATACTCACCGATAATCATCGTCGGATACTGATGAAACCATTCATTATTGACGTGGCAGTTTATTCCACCCATTTTTGCATTAATCTTCAAGGCAAGATTATTGCAGTACTGAGATAATACGGTTAAGAAATGAAGACACGAGAAGTAATACACGCACCTGGTTGAGACCCTGAACATTTCCGGGACCCAATCTGAGAACCTTGCTGATAACAACGATCTTGGAGGAAATGAGAAGGAGGGACCTAGCCAATAGGAGTGATTCACCTGAGTTGGAACACCGCGGGTTATGTCGCCCCATCGCTTAAACTGATCTCGTACTTCGTTACAAGGCATCCTCAGCAGGGCAATCACGAGCGTTTCCTCTCTCTCGATAGTGTTTTGGTATTGTTTTGCGGCCTCATTCACCACATGGGCATGGAATGCATCCAGATGCTGCGTGGCGCATTGAGGAACAATGTCAGAGATAGAATGAATAGAATTACTTCGGCGATGTTTCCCTGGATGCTTATCTGGTCCGTGTAGGTGGGAAAGGTATCTATCCCTAAACCCACGCTGAGTTCAATGCAGCCAATGGGGAGTAATGGCACGGCCTACGCATTCCTATTAGAAGTCAGTTGGTCAGTGACGTACTGACATGCCAGGGAACCCGCGAACATACCCAACCTCTGAAGCACATCACGAAGAGGCCCTAGAAATGATCTCTGGAGATGATGGAAACGATTCGCATCCCACGGGATGTTTTCGAAATCGACGATTCCCCATGCTTTAATTCTGCTAGGTCGGTAGAGCCGCTTGTTCAACATGTTCCACGAGCCTCCTGAAGGCACCTGTTCACATTCAACGTCCGCGGATTATTGGATGTATGCAAAAGCGAACAAACCCACCACATTATCCCCTCCCAAACAAATTATTGGTGGTTCAAGCAGTCTCCCCCGAATTTCCTGCAATTGGGATTCCACTGTCATCCCAGTCCTCGCTACGTAATCCTGATCGTATCCCATGAACTAATAGGTCGAAAGGTTAGCGACATGCACAGAATATGCCATCCCATACAACCTTGTGTCCTTCGAGGATAGACTGCTCCCGGTGGGATGGTAATAGCTTAGTGAGCTTAATCATATTGGCGGCTGCCTCGGCAGACAACTTCGACCTGTATATCTGGCCAGGTAGAATATCAAACAACTCGAGAGGCACAATGACATCTCCGTGCTGAGATTTTAATCTCGCACAAACGATGCTTGGATAATGAAGTGCTTTTCCTAACGCTTGGAAATATTGCTGGTTCCATTAATTAGTATGAGGTGACACTTATCGACCGAGATAGATGTCAAATACCCTAACGGAGAGTTCTTCTCCAAGCTCGTTCCGGAAGAAATAATTATCTGCGCTAGTTGGCTCGATTCTCTCGATAACGCTTTCCTTCCTCATCCCGCCCGCAGTGAGCTGGCCGTGCTTGGGATGGTTTCGGTTCATAACTAGACGTTTGCCCTTGAGTAACCTGTTTAACTTCTTTAGTTTGACGTCAGAAATCTGCCTCGGTTCGAGGATTGATCGGATGTTGAGGTTCGGTCCGCGGCCGTCGATTAAAGCATCGACACAAACGTCGACCAAAGAGCCTGATTTAATCCTACATAAAATTACGTCTGCAAGCCCAACTGGGAAATATAGTTGACAGTACATACGCAACAGCGTTGGCGGTGTCGATATTGATGACCATCTTCCCGATTGCCGGGCGAACACTCCTGTTCATCACAGCATGATAGTCAAGGATTTTCTGCATAATCTGAATTGGAGTTCGGCGTACTGGTACCATCCTTGCAAGAGTTCCAATCCCCCTCCAAGGGGTCGATTCTTTTCGTTGATTCTGAAAAAAGATCTTCGAGTTGCTAAAACATCCTTTTGGCTTGGGATCATTCGGACAAGTGTGTTGATCGCAGTCACCGCAATTTCAGACTGGGGTCCAACAACCCCCAGAATTAGATCTTTGAGAACGCTACCAAAACGCTAAGACAGCCCGCGGTAAAGGGTAGTGCAATAAACGGGGAACCCACGAAGTATCGATGAGTCCTGCTCTCTTTAGGGTCACTTTGTACATCCGATTGGTTTCACTGGTCATAGCGAATTCGAACTGATGACGCGTGCTCCTCAGCGAGGACATGACTGGTAAGGGTGCGATCGTACGTACTGTTCGCCCAGTCCCAATTTTGGGATCATACAAAAACAAGTTTCGACGACCATCGTAAGCACCGCGAGGGTTGAAAAGGTCTGGCGCCACCCTCAGCTGAAGGTAGTCGATGATTTTGTGCGCAGTCTTCACAGGTGGATAATCATCCTGTTGTTCCTCCTGAGGGTTTGATGTCGTATTCTTCTTTTTGGCATCACGGCGAAGGGGGCGTCCAAACGCTATTGTTGGGACCCATGAAGGGATATTGGTAGTCAACGCCAGGTGTTGGGTCAAGGCCGAAGTGATCAGAGGGACCCACTTACTGACTATGGGTCAGGGAGAGTAAGTCCGCTAAAGTGGGGGAAGAAAGGCCGCGTCTTCATTGGACAACGTACCGTCGTAGTGCGTGAAAGCCACTGCAGGGACATCAGCTCGAAACATGTTACTCCTAACAATAACACGATTTCCTCGTGATCCTTCATTCGCTGGTGCTCCAGGGGGTCGTTGTTTCAACCGCAGTACCGCAGCGCCTGCTTGACGCGGCATGGTTTGATTGGGATGCGCCATTCGGTTCTAGCTTGAAGAGGAGACTGAAGAATTATCGGTAGCCCCTAACACGTTGAGATATTAGTGCACTCAGAGAACAGATATCGACCAGGAAAGAGAGCAAGAAGGGTATGGTAGATAAAAGCTGAGGTTTGCATGGAAACAAGGCAGTCGCAAAAACGAACGCCTCATCACTTATGTAAATGAGACACTAAATGATATGTTCGGTTCCGAGATCGATAGGCGAAGGATATACCCAGTAATTTTGGTTTCCCGCAAAATGAAGCCAGCTGGGATTTTTGTCCCCCATCAGGGAATAGAAGGGCCGGGAAAGGGAGACCCGGCATGGCCAAACTCGGAGTCCGACCCGTTGTTGGGCGAGTCGCCCTGCCGGCTTTCGCCCTGGTGCATGGTCCGCTAAAGACCAAGCCAGGGAAACGATGCTTCCAAATAGGCCAGCTATCTGCAGGGTCCCAGGCTATAATTACCTCAATAGTCCTATGCGCACAGCCGGAACGCCTCGAAATTTGCGTCTAGATGCGATAATGTCAGGGACACGACAAAGGCCAAAGCGCTGCTCAAGGGCGGTCAAGATCGCGGCTTCTACGGTCTCAGTGGCCTTCGCTTTCTGCGTCGGCCAGTCATTAGACTGATAACTCCGTGTTCAATTTGAATGAGCAGCACACAACAGAGCTAGTTAAGCCTAACGCCCCTTGCGTCGTAGCCCCAGTTCATAACGCCTCCCGCTCAGAGACATCAACTAAGACTCACAACGATCCCATCCATGGAAAGCTAAACGAGCGTTATAACATCCCAAAGGTACGCTGTCGATCTTTCACACCCATGCCAAGCCACCAGCCTCCAATGCCGTGGCTTGTCAAAATAATCTTATCACAACCCGTTTCGTTCATGAACCGTTAATGATCATCGTGGGATCCTTCAACTTAAAGTACTGGCAGGTCCGAATCGCTGAAACTTGGGCCACGCCCGCAGTGCCCGTACTGAAAAAGTTGTCCTTGGTGCAACCGACCGATCGCCTGTACGCGACACTTTCGGCGGATGGACACATCGTAAAGTGTTAGGCAGGATACCAGCCTGTAAAGTGTCCAGTTGAGCTGGTTGGAGCCGGTTCCGACGCGGCACTTTCCGCCAAATCGAAGGTTCTTTCTACCGTCGCGAGACGTGCTTTGCCCCCGGCTGGCTAGTCTGTCCCGTACGAAAACGTGTTTTTATAACCAATCTTTTATTTTGAATCGATGGCCACATCAAAACTGTGTACCGTGACCTTGGAAATTTACATTCGGCGCCACGAAGGCGAATTGGACGTATTGACAAGGATATTTTACAGAGAGGTATTTGTATCACAAGAGATACACCACATTAAGTGGTGAACACTACTGAACGAGCAAGCAGAGACATAGCACAACGAGAATTTGAAACGCACTTGATGAAGAAAGATATTCAAAAGCATTACATGAAGTACATCCGCTAAAAGTCAAGTCCATTAATAATGTGAACCTGCACACAAGATGCCTCAGAGGGGTTGTATGACTCACCTTTTGGAGCGGCTTGGCGACAGGGTTGAAGTGTTGCCTCCATTCTTGGAGGTTTATGGCCACATCGTCGGAGACCACGCTTTGACTATCGAGGAAGTTTGGATCATAGTGATACGTCGATCGAGAGCAAACAATCTGTGGCAGGGAAAGCGTTTTACACTATTGAAGATGGATGACACAGCTCAAAGGAAGCACATACATCGGCATCTGCAATGCAACCGTTGAGCAAAAATTGGAACGTTCAAGTCTTATAAAAGGAAGACTTACAATAAACGGGCGCCGGAATGGAGACGGACAACGTAGATCGCGCGTAGACGTGACACAAATCGAATGAGAGCCGTTGCAACCTGACGAGAAGTCAATATCTAAGCTAGTGAAAGGGATGATTAGATGAAACAATCATACTCGTCTTTCGTCATGTTGTTATCATCGTGAAGAACAACATAGCGGCTGGACCGGGAAGTACCAGCCAAACCTTTTTGACTTTGAATGAAGAAATCCTCGTAAACAGGATGGACAATTCCATTATCCACAACAAGGCCAGCTTTGCAATTTCCCGTTTTATCGCCGTAGTCGCTCCTCGAGGGGAAGAAGCGGACATGGTGCCTCTTGGTGACGATAATGAACGTAACTTTCGCATCCGAACGAAGCTTGGCCAACACCGCTGCAAGAGATGTGGGTCAGCCTCTTCAACTTCCCTTGATGGAACCACTTACTCTTCACTGCCTTTAACTCGTGATTTATCACCGCCTCGTATTCCCCTTCAGAAACTCCGTCTCTGTAGATAATCACTCGCCAAGGGAGATACTTCATCTTCGGATCGGGATTCGAAATGGTCGACATTGCAGACTGGTGGAAACGCTGAAGGGCATACTGCGCGTGTTGCCCGGTTAGCAGGCATTGTGGTGCACAATAATGATGCAAGACTCGTACTTCGAATTGACCACCGAAACCCTCGATCACTTCCTGACGAGTTGCTTGGATATCGCTGACGGCGAAGTAGTCGGAGCAGGACCCAAAATTGTGGCTGAAAACCATCGAGCAGACGGACGGCGACTTGGATCCAGGGGCGGCGTGCGAAACATCCGCACCAATAATCATCGTTGGACGCTCTTGAAACCACCTGTTGTTAACATTACAGTTCAATCCGCCCATTTTTGCATTGATCTTCAGGCTAAGATTGTTGCAGTACTGAGATAATACGTTTTGAGTTTAAAAATAATAAGAATACAAAAAAGGCAACTCCACATACCTGATTGACGGCATTATCATTCCTGAATTTGAAAACCTTGCTGCTAACGATGATCTTGGAAACGGTCAGAAAAGAGCGCCAGCTTGGACAACTGATTTACCTGAGTCGGAACACCACGAAGTATGTCGCCCCATCGTTTGAACTGGTCTCGAATTTCGTTATGTGGCATCCTCAGCAAGGCAACAACGAGAGTTTCCTCTGGTGCAATATTCACGTCTTCGCCTCGTCCCTGCCTCTGGTACTGCGTCATGGCGTGGTTTACTACTTGAGTGTGGAAACTATCTAGTTCCTGTATGACATATTGAGTGACTATTCATGAAATAGAAGTCAGAGGATTACCGAGGAAATATTGCCCTGGATGGATATTTGGTCCGAGTAGTAGGGATCGGTGTCCACTCCTAAATTTTATACTCAGTGTAGTGCAATGCCAGGAAGTAATAACGAGACCTACTCATTCCTGTTGGAAGTTAGTGAGTCGGAGGTTAACCACTACGAATACGCGAAACATACCTAATCTCCGAAGGACGTCCATAAGGGGTACAACTAACGACCTCCGGACAGCTTGAGACCGTCCCGCGTCCTTCCGGGGATTTTGATTTTCGAAATCAACGAAACCCCATGCCTTGATCCTCCCTGGTCGGAAGAGCTTCTTGTTCAACATGTTCCACGAGCCTCCCGAAGGCGTCTGTCCAAATCCAATACTTACTGATGATGGGATGTACGCGAGGCACGAACGAAAACTCACGATATTGTCCTCTCCTAAATAAATCATCGGCGGGTCAAGTACTCGCCCGCGAATCTCCTGCAACTGAGAGTCCACTGTCATCCCAGTCCTCGCTACGTAATCCTGATCGTATCCCATGAACTAATAGGAAACAGGTTAGCAGTGCTTATGGGATGCGCCATTCCATATTACCTTGTGGCCTTCATGAATAAATCTTTCCCGGTCGATTGGTGACAGCTTGGTGAACTTAATCATGTTGGCCGTTGCGTCGGAAGACAGTTTGGACTTGTAGAGCTGGCCAGGCAGGACATCATACAACTCGAGAGGTACAATGACATCTCCATGTTGAGACTTTAATCTCACACAAGCAATGGTTGGATAATCAAGTGCTTTTCCCAACCCTTGAAAATATTGCTGGTTCCACCAATCAGTATGAAAAGACGATTTATGACGGGGATAGATATCAATACCTTAACAGAGAGCTCATCTCCACGCTCGTTCCGGAACAGATATCGATCTGCGCTCGTTTGTTCAATTTTCTCGATAACACTTTCTTTCCTCATCCCACCCGCAGTGAGCTGGCGGTACCCGGGATGGTTTCCGTTTCTAACCAGACGTTTTCCTTTGAGCAGTCTGTTTAATTGCTTTAGTTTTATGTCAGAAAGATGCATTGGATCGAGGATCGATCGGACGTTGACATGGTTTTTTGAGTGTTCGTCGACTAAGAAGTCGACGCATACGTTAAGCAAGGAGCCTGCTTTAATCCTGGACGAAAAACTTCCATGAGCTCAACTTGGAGAAAGTTGCAATGACAAGTACGTACATAACAGCATTCGCGGTATCGATGTTAATGACCATTTTTCCGATTGCCGGACGAACACTCCTATGGGTCACGGTAAGATGATTAGAAAGTATCCACTTGGTCTAAACTGGAGTGGGACGCACTGGTACCATCCCCGCAAGAGTTCCAGGCCGCCCCCAAGGGGTTTGGTGTCTTTATGTATTTGGAAAAAAGATCTTCGAGTTGCCAGAACATCTTTTTGGCTGGGAACCACACGGACAAGCGTGTTGACCGCGGTCACGGCGATGTCAGATTGAGGCCCTTGGGATCCCCGAACCAAGTCTTTAAGAACTCTATCGGGGGGGTCAACGGGATGGGGGTACGGAAGGAACGCGGAACCCACGAGGTATCGATCATCCCTACTCGCTTAAGGCTCACCTTGTACTTTCGATCGCTTCCGGAATTCATACTAAACTCAAACTGTGCCCCTCAATGAGTATCTGGATGGCAAGGACGCGACTGTACGCACTGTTCTTTCACTCCCGACCCGCGAGTCATACATGAATAAATTTCGGCGCCCGTCATAAGCGCCGCGAGGGTTAAACAAGTCTGGAGCATGCCTAAGCTGCAGGTGATCTATGAATTTATGAGCGGCTTTCACAGGGGGGTAGGGATCTTCTTGTTCCTCGGGATTTGACGCCATATTCTTTTTCGAAGCATTGCGACGGAGGGGCAGATCGAACGCTATTGACGGGACCCATGAGTGGGCGAGTATCAATGATCGATGTCAAGTGTTGTATCAATATAGAAGGGATCAGCGATGATCGGAGGAATCCACTTACTGACTATGGGTTTGGGAAGTGTAAGCACACCAGGGAGTGTAGAGAAAATCCACAACTTCATCGACAACGTACCGTCATAATGCGTGAACTGCACTCCAGGAACCTGAGCTTGGAACATGTTACTCTTAACAGAGACGCGATGTCCCTGCGATCCTTCATTTACGGCTCCTCCAGGAGTTCGTCGATGCAGCTGTAGTGCCGCACCCCCCGCTGGATGTGGGATCGGTGCGCCAGAATGTGACATCAAGTTCCAACTCGAGAGGGAAAATGAGGAAAGAAGGGTGGCCCTTGTTAGCGAATTGAGACTCTTATGTACAAGTACCAGAAATGGACAGGTAAAAGAGGAAGATTGGCCTGGTGGGAAAAAGCGGCGATTTTATGTAAGGCGATCGTAGAAACGAAAATGATTATCCCTCAACAAGATAATATCCTCGGGCAGGCAAAGACCAGAAAAAAACAGCCAACGTGACCAGAAACGACTGCAAGGCTAGGGTTTGAGCCGTAGGCACATAGCTAGGCCTCACAATCCGTGCGCGTGCGCCATGCCAGCAATACGGCCATAACGATGTCTAACATTCGGTCGCGGGATTTTCATTGCAGAGCTGAGACCTGAAATAACCTTGGATTCGGCAATGTGCATGTGTTCCCTTCATGAGGAACAGGACGAGTAGATGAATGAAGGTATATTGCGCGACGGGTCTAGCAAAACAGGTACAAAGAAATATCAAGTACGGTAAGAGGATCCTAAGATAAGATATATATATATATACAACAAGTCAGAGTCAAACTTTAGCAGTTCGTGCAAACACTAGTTCAACCTATCAGTGAGCTTATGAGCACGCTTTTCGGATTCACATATGTTCAGTACAATAACTGACCCCAATATTAGGAATAATCATACACCCACTTCAACGCACATCATCGCGTTTGAACAGAAGTCTGAGCCTGCGCTTGCGCCAGCGCAAGTTGGGCCTCAAGTGCCTGCACTTTAGCCTCATAAACTCGACGTTGAGTTTCAATCGCCTCTTGTAAAGCCTCTTGAGGGATCGGAACAGCCGGTTGAGAGAGGGAGAAGAGGTTCGGATCAATGAAGGTCGACTCAGGTAGGGGGGCTATGAAAGGAGTCACAGAAGGGGTGATGTTTTCTGAGGGTGATGTCCAGGAGGCAGAGGACGACCGAGATAGAGATTCGTACACAGAGGCAGGAAGATGATCCTGGTTTATCGGCAACCGGGAAGGACCTGTAGTAGTAGGAGCATCGAACGCAGACTGTTTGGAGACTGCCATTTGCGGCGTCGGCTGGGAGTATCCGTACTCTTCTGGGGGCGGAACAACAGGGATCCCCATACTTGCTAGGTAGGCATGGACTTGTGAGGTTGATATCAGATTGTCTGCACAGGAATCGGCGAGCTGTGGAAATGGAGGATATTGAGCAGGAGAAGACACTGCGCGATTCCATTCATTCTCGAGATGAAACAGAGCAGATGCATTAGGGGCAGAGACAGAGCGTTGTTCGGGGGGAAAGGAAGTTAACGTTGATGGAGAGGATGAGGATGAAATGGATGATGACTCGCGAACGAGGGGATTTGGGCGACGACGCTTGTGCGCTGTTGGGAGACGTCGCTCGCACGTTAAAGCCTCGCCATCTTCATCTGGTGCCTTACGTTTTCTCTTGTCGATCCTCAGAGTCGCGCTGTCAAGCGGGACGGCTTTGGAGGGCTGGGCGGTCTTGAATGTATTCTGAATTGCAAGCTTCCCAGATAAGGGAACATTCTGTCCGATGATGTCTGAACAGAAATTAGTTAGCCAACAATTTGCCTGCGGAGGTAATGGTACTTACGAAGGGCCCCCTTGCGGCGGAGGCGTCTGACAGTACCATCCTCTTTCACGACGAATCGAACATTTGGACCGCCCGATATCGGTGCTTTGATCTGAGCCAATGAACCACGCTTCTTCCTCGGGCGTTCATCATCACCGGGAGGAGTATCTTCTGAGTTGCGCTTGCGCTTGCCGATGGATGGAGCCACCTGAGTGGCCAGCTCCGTGGCGTTGACGATTCCCTCGTGCTTGGTGCCAAGCTTGGCCATTAGTGCTCGCTTCGCTTCCATACGAACACGCCTTATTTGCTTCCGTCGAGCTCGGTAGGCAGCTAATTCCTCGTCATTCATTGGGGGTGCACGGGCCATGTTGAGAAACTCTAGCGAGACAGTGGGGGCCGTAATCTTTTCAAAATAACGTTGAACAGATAGTACAGCTGGTCTTGCAGCATCGGGGACAACAATGTCTTTAGTAGAGGGTCCCAGAAAGACAACAGCATGTACCAATTTTTGCATGGCGGCTTTGTCATTTTGTGCGAAGTCTTTCATGACTCCCATCCAGCCAGAGCGGCGACGATGATTGGTGAACCACTGACTGACAGATGAAACCTCGCACCCTATCTGCTCTGCCATGCGTCTCTTTTCTGCGGCAGAAGGATAAGGGGCGTCCAGATGCGAAAGAAAAAAGTCACGGCAAGGACGGAATTTCGTCATCTCGGCGGTGAGATCATCAAGGTGCTGTTGCTTGGCTGATTTATGAGATTTGGGTGCTGTGCGCGAAGGCGTGCGAGGCGGTATGTGGACCCTTAAGATATGAGCCCACTGATGTCTCGCCTCAAGTCGGAATCGCGAAGAAGCATCGCATCCTTCCACGAATCGTCTGGAAACATCGCGGATGCGCACAAGCACGGACACAACAAGCTTGACGGTTTCCTGCGATAACATTCCTTTGGTGATTGCTTTCTCCGCTCGCGACGCCAAATCATGGAATTCCAGCTGGAAAGTGTTGGCCACTTGATCTTGTTCCCTAACTGCGTTCAGGAAATCGAATTCAAGTTTGGAAAAGGCTGCGCGAAGTTCGTTATCCACGACTGGGTCAACGACAGCCATGACGTGTATGAGATCGTGAGAGGTGAAGGAGGACAAGTGGAACAAAAGGAGAGAATTATATAATCACAATTGGACTCCGACCTTTTGTCCTAAACTCCGACAACAAAACACAATTCAAGTGCCTCAGTAAAGACATTGTCTTCACCACAAAAGTAGTGGGGACCAAGGAAGGGCGAAAGGCTCCCAACTATGTCTGGTTCAACCTTGGAAGACTGTCAACGGTTCTTGGCAGCTGTAAAGAACCTCATTGATGATCCTCATCACAGTGTCCTTCTGAACCCCTCCGGTTGTGCTGGAGAGCAAATCATGCCCTCCCCCACGAACCTCAGCATAACCCCAATGGTAGTTGACATCTCATCCAACCTTCAGTCCTTGGCTTTGGAGCCATTCGAAATCGAAGTTCTCAAGACAGAATTCGACCACTCTCTGGCGATTCTTACCGATAACTGGACGGATGTTCCTGTTCAGCCCTACAATCATCCGCAGGCGCCAGAACGACTGCGCAGTTATTCCTCCGCTATTCAGAGTCTTTATGAGTCAGAAGTGCTCAGCTTGAAGCGCAAATTCTTGGCCCAAATTGAGGCTCTTCAGCACGAAGGTTCTCCTGACTCAGTGATAGCGGCCACGGGCGGACTAGACTGCGATGATTCATCCTCCGTTGTTTCCAGTGACGATCTCACATCCAGTGATCCCGATGACAATTCTGAGCATGAAGAGCAATGTTCAGAACTTGAGGTGGGTGAATCCTTTGGCGTTTGACGACCGGAATTGATGAGATGTTTAATTTTATAGCGATATTATCTTATTCTTGAGAGGATTTTTCTTTCCGGTATCAGACACCCTACTCGAGAGCAGAAGGCCGTGATGGCCGCGAAGTGGAGTGTTTCACCGCGGTCGATCGCAGTTTGGGTAAGCAGATGCTTCATGATGGCTAGCACTAGTGCCCACTATGGTGTGTAGTTCCAGAACCGACGCGACAGGGAGGACGATGACATTATGGCGGAAATCGACTTTGCTGCAAGGCTACATATCGGCGTAGAAGATGAGGGCGATTGGAGTGATGAGGGAGAGGTACCTTGGGATTCCCTTGAAGATTTCAATAACGATGATGATGAAATCCCGGACCTTCCGGTCATCGAATCTGGCGCCGCCCCCTACCGCATTCCATCTCTCTCACACTCAGTGGCAACAGAGTCAGATTCCAGTGCGTCTCGTTTCCCTTCTCCTGTTAACACGCTTGGGGTCCCGTCTCCGCCCTTTAAATCGAATGACTTCCCTGGTGCCTGTCCGACTACTCCTGAGGTCCCACCGCAAACTCCGTCATTACCTTCCATCTCAGCATTCATTCCCTCTACCACTCCGCAATCCCAAAATTCTTCATTGGTTGAAGGACCCGGACATCAATCCCTGGTCCATATCTCCGCCTCATTTGCCTCAAAAGATATGCCATCATCAATAATGGATACTCGACAAGACTGGCTTCCGAAGGCATCACGTTGCTCTCTAACCCACACTCCGCCATCAAACACATGCGAGGCTCCGGGGCAGACTTTATCTTCGGACTTGTGCAGCCCGTTTACTTTTCAACCCTCAAACGCATCGTCCTCCATCTTCCCCCCGTTTCCGTTCAAATTCACTTCTCCTTCCTCATCATCTCCGGTCTTGCGCCCCTCTTTTTCTGCATCCACCCGCGCCTCAACGCCAACGCGCTCAAGTCCTTGCTCCCTTGACGAGATATCTGAGCCACCAGTCGCTCCGACAACTCCAAACGTATTTTCGGACTCACTTCGTGCACCGATCATGCACAGTGCCTCTTCATCTGACCTACCTGTCGGGCCGCCGATCCATGAAGAGATTGATCGTCCAGCGGCCGATACGCTGAGGATTACTACATTCAAATTTGACTTTAGTCCCCCTTGTCTCATTCAGCCGTGCGACACGTATCCTAATGTGTTTGGAACCTCTCACATCGAGCCAACAGAGGCTACGCTCAAGTCCAGAGAGGCAAAGTCCCCTGCCGTCGGTGGAGAGCAACTCTGCGAGGGCGTTGAAGATACTGGAGCAGGACTTTCGAAAGAGCTTGGGTTACCAGCCCCCAAAGACATCACGCGTTCTGTGTCATGCACGGAGATCCATGAATCAGAGATAGGTCGCATCATATTTTTCCCGTCCGCCCAGGACTTGTCAGAAAACGAGATGAACGTTTCAACCACATTCGAACAACCTAGTTTGAACAGACCTCTTGCATCCTTTGAAGACGCTGTCCAGTTGCACTTCTTGGCTACAGCAGCAGCTCTCGTTGACGATCGCCAGCATGCCGGAGCACGACGATGCGGACGTGAACTCATTGATACTGTCGCAGAAGCTTCGCCCAAGACAAACCCGGGTCGCGTTTCGGACGATGATGAGCCATTGATGGGTGTTCTTCCACCCATGGAATCACACACCAGAGTGGAAGGTGCTGCAGCACTGGCAATGGCAATTCCAGAGCACGTGCCGCTTCCTCCGAGTCCGTGCTTACAGCCTTCACATCCGGTCAGTGTCACAGAGCCTGCGGATGGCCACTTTCCAACCTCTCCCCACACTCCCGGGAAGGTCTCCGCACTCCTTCTAGAAAGCTCAACCATCCCGTGCCATAGTCCCAGTGCACGCCACCCCAGCGGCACATTCGGGAACCCCACAGAAATTCCATTACCTCCATCACCACGCCCATCCACTCCATCCCTATCCGAAGATTGTTTCGATGGCCTCAGATTCTCACCGTCTTCCTCCTCAGATGCCAGCAGTCCTCCATGCCCACTTACCCCCCGCGAGATTGACAATACATTGGCCGAAGATGCCAGGCCAATCGTCATCTTTCCCCCCATCAATACCTTCCAATGCTCTGACCCGGCCATTCCGCAGCCACTTTCACTCCAGGAACCATCTCTCCTTGATCTCTCTTGGGGATCTGATCTTCACTCGGCTCTCAGTAATACTCGTGAGCTCTCTCCATTCGAGGAATTTATGTCCTCGTCTCTCATCTTTCAAACCCCACCCCCCAAACCTAACCCGGAAGTACAGAGTTTATTAGATTCTATCCTCCGAAATTGGAGCAGCCCTGGTTTGGGACACCTGTCTTGATTTTCACAATCTCATTCTAGCGCTCGTGGTTTTGCAGGCTTAGATCTCCCATCGGCATCCATTGGACTCACATAGCATTCTCATCCCAGATCTTGCTCGCTTCTACATTCCGCTTGATTTTAGTCATGTAGTACCAACATATTTCGCTTTTACCTCCTGCTTTCAGGATTCGTCATATCGTTATTTCAACTTGTGCTTGCTGTCCACACTGCTATCAATTCGTAAATTCATCGCATTTTCTTAATTCAACTAAAGGGCACAGACGGAGTGAACTGCGTTTTAGCCTGATCAAACAACGTTGACTTGGCGATCAAGTCCTCAGCTAAGGGATGCGATGGGAGGGCAGAAAGTAAATGACTTGGAGATATTAGACAAGTCTGGTGCCAAAGAGTGGAGTATCCAAACACTTACTCAAAGCCCTCATCTGCGTCTTTCTGTTTTGCGTTCAACTGTTTGGTCACTGCTAGCCCAACAAGCGCGTCACCATTCATTTTATCTATTGACAACGACTCGTTGAACATGCTCTCTGCTTCGGCGTAGTGCCCGCGCAGCAAATAGGCCACGCCCTTGGCAGCCAGAATATTTGCATTGGATGAGGACCCAGGTGAAGCAGCCTGCTCGTCATAGACATGGTATGCTGTACTCAGAGTGAGTGGTGGTGTGCCGCCGGAAACGAGCCCAACGGAAGCCTCGATGATTTGGAGTAGCAAGGAGTCGGCGTCATGAGACTTGGCATAAAGGTACTCCTTTCGTGCCAGATCGACGCGGTTCATTGAAAGATATATCTGGATCGTGAGATATGAACTAGAGAGAAGTGAGTTTCGACATAGTAAAACCAAGGCAGCTACGTGCCATTCCATATCCTGTCCACCAGCTCCGGCACCAAGGGTGGTTAAAGCCTCTTCCACTTCGCCTTCCTGTAAAAAGGCGGTGGCAGCGGAAACACGTACTACGCCCGCCCCCGCCCCCTGGACACCTTCATCTTCGCTTTCGACTTCAATTGTTAGGTCCCGTAACTCGTCCAGTATCGGCTCTACTTCCCCTCCGGATGCTTTGGTCTTGACGTATGTCGCCAGTGCTCTCACAGCCCGAACGGCGGGCAGAGTATCGGCAGAGACAAGCAGTAATGCTTCGTCAGGCTGGTTAAGTGCAATTAAGGAGCGGGCAGAATACAGCAACGAAGGAAGATATTCAGGGGTGTCTTTTTGTGGAGGAGGGTTCCTCGCGACACTCTGATATGCACCTTTTGATACAAGTCAACTGTTAAAAAGGATCGTTCCTCCTTGGACACCCAAAAACCGCTCACGCAAATAGAATTGATTTTTAAGGTAAAATAAGGAGTCAGAGTCTGCCATAATCCGAGAGTGTAGCCGCCGTTAGGACTTGAGTAGCAGGGGGATATTAGTGTCTCCGTCAGTGAAACGAGATAGTTATTTGTTGTCGCTTATTGTTGTCGAAGCCGACTTTTGATCGCCAGAACCCTGACTCACAGGGGTTCCATGTGCAATGCGAGGTAGTTCGTGCTGGTGTTAGCGGTGCGTTGGGAATTACGTGTCAGGATCACACGTCACAGATCTCTTGGGTTTGCCGTGCCTTTAGCCTCCAAATCTCATTCAAGAGTCGCCATAATCCTGGCCCGCAGATGTTTATGCCAGCACCTTCTATAGGCGTACCTTTGTTGCGAGAGATTATTGAGTGTCCCCCCCTCTCTCGACACGCGGTAAACTTATTCCGTATGTTCTCCGCAACGGCCCAGAAAAATCCAAACTGTGTTTCTCTCGCGCTCTTCATGCTATCTTTGCCTACGCTTGCACTCAAATAGCGAGGAGAGGTTCTAAACCTATTTTCTTTCCTGACGCCCCTTATGTTGTGTGTGGACACCGCAAGGCGGCAACCTACTCCCTGTCATTAGTCGATCACTCTCTCACCTTCTCCCCTCTTCTCAGGGATTGATCGATCTCGTTCGGCCAGTGGTGCAATGTATTTTAGCCTTTGGCATTTCCGTCTCAGGGGCTAGTGTGATCACCTAGTGTTCTGTTCATTGCGAGCTCCACAATGTCTCGCCTCATGGTAAAGTTGTTGCCATATGCGACCGCGCCACAGCTGAGCTACCGACAACCAATTCGGTGCAGTGGTGGTGAGTTCAGCTTGCGTATCTCTAATGGGCTATGCATCTGAGTACATCAATTGATCGACCGAACTTGATTGTCTTCTCCCTCTTGGGAGTCGAAAAAGGCGGTTCCCGTCGTGTCCAGCGAGTTTTTTCTTCGCAGGCCTTCCATGAATTTCCGGCGTCCGAAGCTCTCTATTCCTCGATCCTTGTGGGAATGTAAGCAATTCGTTGCATCCAGACATCGCCGAAACCGGCAGTTGCGATGTAACCAATGCCTCACGATATCTCTCTGGCGGTACAGGAGCTAAAGACGCTCACTGTTGTCGTTTTCACAGGTTTATCCGCGACTTTGCTCACTCCGAGCTATGCAGCACACTCTCTTACAATCAGAAATGACCATACCGCCACTTTTCTTGTCTCCTTCCGCAAGGTGCTACCTCCTTTGTCACCAGTGCGATTCGTACAACGGTAGAATGGTTTGTTCTGTCGTGCATGGCTCCCTTTGGTCCTGGACAAGTCATTCTCGATGCCTTGCATTGAATCTCTTGCAAACCACGGGGATGGCAAATATTGACGAGATCTGTATCACGTTCCGCTTCACTGGAATGCTTATAACGTTTTTCTCCTGCTTCAAGACCTTTACGCCCATGAAAAACACCCACTTATTGCGATGGATGATGAGCAGTCAGATTGCTCAACAGAATCTCCCTCGACGCGATAGACGCGTGATTTCTTTCATTGTTCCCTTCCCTTTCGTTCGCGGTATTTCCCTTCAACTCCGATTTAACCTCCGCCCGCTGATTTACGAGATACTGGAACTTTCCGCTGCATGTCCCATGTCCCATTTCCTTTTACGAGCGATGTGAACAAGCAGGTTCTTCATCCAATGACCTGTAGCTACGATGCCAGCGCAAGCTGAGACTGTCATATTTTGTGTATATAGTCCTATTGTTAAATTTTCGTCTGTTCGTCAATTTAGGCGCAGAAGTTCACGAACCGGAAGCAACCGAGTCGAGCTGTCGTTCCTCCAGTTGCTCACATTCCGTCCGCCAGCAGGCGTCGCAGTTACACAGGCTCAACTTCCCACAAACTCACATGGACCAGACTACGAATGGACAAGCATCTTCATCATCAGCACCTATTGCTCAGGCTGCAAGTCCTCCGCGTCCATCGGAACGTTGGGAGACAGCATTCGTCTACGCGTTTATTTGCAGATTCACTTCCGTCAAGAAGAAAGTAGAAGGATTTGAGACTATCATGGAGTACGTAGCACTATAGGGTGACTCTACTGCTGATTTGTTGATTTGTGCCGATTGTGGATCGGGTTGGACGTCCTCTATAGTTTTGAACAAGCGCTAATGTTCAGCGGCCGTGACCCTATTATCGAAGCCATACTGGTAGACTTCATAACCAATCTCAAGCCGAATTTAAGGTCGCCAAAGTGTGTTGATACCTTGCTGAGACGAACCTAATACTCAAATCGTTGTAATCGTTACGACACCCAGAGCGAAGTTGGATAAATTAGTGGCGTCCGTGGTGGAGGAATTTTGCCGTAGCCCTACAGAGCGAAGCATCTGGTGGGACTATTCTAGGGGTCGGAATGTAGATCCTTTGGCGGGAACCGAAGGGTTCTTCTCTCTAACTTGGGACACTAGAGTGCGTTTATTCCTCACTCAGTGCGATGTCAAGATCTTTCATCTCCGTGTGAACCACTTTTTTTTTCGCAGCTTACTATTCTTCGACAACTCGTGGAATGGCAATTGACTCACTGTGTCGCCATTCGAGGAATAATTGATACCGCATGGGGTGTCAAGGCAGCTAAGCATACCAAAAAGACCGATAAGCAAGCCGTTGCGCCCCCTCCACCAGATAATCCCAATAGTTACGAAAATCTACGCATGATTCCAATCGGACAAGACTCGGCACGGAAACGATACTGGATTGTTGATGGTGCGTGGTCAACTCAAAAATATTATGTCTCCCGTGCTTCCGCCTGACTGCCGGGATGTGGATTGAACAGATTCACCTCGTATATACATGTCAAAGAATCCTTGGAAATCCCTCTGCCCGTTCAAAGCTATTTCGAGCACCCGAGAGGAGTACATCGCTACCATCGAAACCCTCAAAGCCACTTCCCCGAAGGTTCCGGAGTCCGAAAATGGAGCCAAAGTCAAATTACGAAATAAATTTGAACAAGGTCATTTAGATCTTATCGCGTTCCTTGAGGCAAACCTGCCAAAGGTCGATGCTGAGCTCGCTGTGAGTGCATTCTCTTGGTCCCCTTGCATTTATCCTACCACCTGGCCCATGGAAACGCGCAAAATGCCTCGTTTCCCTGTTGGTGCCGCTCAATGATGAAAAATTTGGGGCTGTTGCTGTCATCACGTGTCTTCAGTGGCGGACTTAACGCCAGAAACTGGTTTCCATTGTTCCGACTTGGCTATTACTAATTTGGACTTTATTGACATAGCGGGTCGAGAAAGCCCGAAAACGCCTTGAGCAGAAGGCAATAGTGGCAGCACAATCTGAAATACGGGCGACTAGAACACGACGGCAAACTCGACGCCCCGACTACGTCTACGATTATGAGGAAGAAGAGGTTAGGGTATATGGATTCCGAGTCCTCTTCCACATTGATACCAACCCTCTTGACAGGAGGATGAGGAGTATGCGCACCCAGATGATAAAGATGACTTCATCGATGATGGGGACTCCGAGGATGACAACGATAACCCGTCGAGGACCCGCACATACCGTTCCTCCCGCCATTCGTTCTCCGTTGAGCCTCGCAGAAGCACGCGGGCAGCGACAGTAAATAGCCGCAAGCGCTCGACCGCGGATAATCCACTTTTGGACCCTGAGACAGGCGTTGAATGGCGTGGCGAACGGAGAAGTACACGGCTAGGCAATGCGCCAAAAATCGCATTCGATGAAGAGGATCAGGCGCTTTTGCCCCCACCTGCAAAGCGCGCCCGATCGTCAGCGCCGTCAGAAACTCCGCAGCCACCCGCTCCCAAGCCTGCCCCTATCGTTATCGCGGCCCCAGCAGGAAAAAAGAAGAGCAAGTTCTGGTATTATACTGTGGAAACAGCCAACGGCGGAGTCCCGCGTGATGCTGTGGAAACGGAGTCGAAAGCCTCCGAACTTACCGCAACCAACGAGACGGCAAGCACGAGGGGGGATTCATCATCTTCACTATCCTCTCTTTCATCTTCCTTGGGCTCATCAACGGAACACGAGGCGACGAACCCTGTTATTGGGATCAATGGCCGCGAGGCACGATTAAATGGGAAAGCTGGCAACATCGATGACATCCAACCGGCAGCTCCGGCTGACAAACCTCCCACAAATGCATGTGCTCTAAAAGAGAACATCAACGGTCATGCGGACGCTGATCTCCACGAGACAGTTTGTATCCCCGCACCGAACCCGGAAAAAGGGATCCTGAACAACCCTGATGCTGGGAGTGACATGAGCTTCAGTGATGACGAGTGAAGGAATTTTTGCTTTTGTGTTACGACAAAACTGCCCATGCGCAACCCCCCCCCCTCCAATGCGGGCGCTTTACGACCTGATCAGTTGCATTGTAGTTACAATTTAGGATTTTTACCTTATTCTCCCCAGGCAAGCTTTTGGGGATTTTGGCGACACCTGTACTGTACATGATTTGTCGATTCGTTTAAGTTAGCATGATGTTCACGGAGGCTGTTTGGGGTGATCGAGCCGAAATGGGCTGTTGCCTAAAGTGGTAATTACTTTCAAACCAGGTGACTCAAGTGGCCTCCCACTCGTCAACGCGCTCTCTGTTGCGCTCCCTTCCGATATATTGAGGAAGGAAAGTTTCCACCCTTTTCATGCAGCCCCATGCGAGAGCTAAGGTGGAAGTGAAGCGTCGGAACTCCGATGAGGGGTCTTGACCTTGTCGAAATAGCGACCTCGAATACCTCATCTATGTCATACTTCACGTCACCAAGGAGGAAAATTGATGCTGAATGCTCCGCTTGATGACTGGTTTAGCTCGGATGTCCGCCAATTGCTACGTGTCATGAGAGGCTTTCTACAGATGTCGAGGGGGAGCGGAAGACTCAGAGTGGAGGAGATCCATTGCCATGCATGGCTTCGTCCCTTGTTTGTGACGATGGGGTTCTCGAGCCACCATCGTTCTCAACAGCAAGGTCAAAGTCATTCAAGACACCATAGATCTTCCCATTTATTTCTCGGTACATAATGTTATCGAGACTTATGTCACGATGGAGAACCTTTCCGATGTCACACACCCAATGATGACCTGAGAGAGAGAGAAAAAAATAGTTTAGTTTGATGAGAAAGAACGAGCCCGTGACAACTTACATCTTAGGATATCCCGGTATAATGCGCTTGCCACCATGATGGATGGTGTCGTTAATTGATGGATAGGATGGAGCTCTGCTTGTACAAGCGCTCTAAGGACACGCCTCTCATGTTTTCGTGAGAGACCAGATGGGAGAACCTCTTGAACAGGTCCTTGAATATCCCGTGCATGGTTCCTAACCCACTCATGTTCACCGACTGCATTCTCCAGGATAGAGTCGACAATGAGCTTCTCGATGCAGGGGGGTGGCTTAATTTGACGATGAGGGGTTGTAGCCATTCCTTGTGAACATTCTGGGAAACACACCGGGCAAGCACGACGATTGTCCCGACCATGATGCCAACACAGAATCTTACTGAGCTCAAGAATCACACCGTTTGAGAGCTTCATCTGCAAGCCACTAGATGGGGCAATGGAAGACGGGTCTTGAGCGGAAAAATGGGGAGGCAGCAGTTCCTGGATGCCATATTCTTGATATGAGAGTCGAGCCAAACAACGCACCATCATTCTTTCACGTACCAAAGTACAAGTCCACAAGTAAATATAGCGCCTCACTGGTTTACTCTCTTCGTGACTCTTGTCTCTCTCGCTGCCAAGGTATGACCAGGGTATGGCACTTGGCAGGGGGTGAAGTGGAAGGCCGCAGCAAGCCGAGTTTTCGTCAAGTTCTCGTCACAACTGGAAGCCGCACGCAGTCTGCACCGCATCGTGACTATACTGTGTCATCTCTGGACCTTTCTGCCCAGTATCTCGCAAACTATCTTTTTTTTGGATATATTGCAACTCGGTCATCGGCCTGTCATTCCTTCACACGTTCTCAAATGAGACTGTAATGTCGAGTGTATCAAAGGATATGCTGCTATGGACAAATTCAATCCAAAAGTGCCGCTGATCATGAACGGTTTTCTAAACGAAATGACTTCGCTTGCTTGCCCGTTTCGGAATATGCCGCCTTCGTCTTATCCAGCCGCAAGGAGCCGAATTTTCAGGTTTTTATTGTTCTTCCCTGATGGTGTTAGTCTCCCCTTCATTTGTCACGGCCATTACTGCGCCTATGCTGCTCATCTGAGTGAAATCCCTGTAGAGCGCTCGCAGTACTGTCCTCGCTTGAGAAAGTATGATTTGGATACGGGTAACATTCGGACTGCATACGCCTTTATATTATGTGATGCGTGGATGGCGGTTCTGCCCATTCTGCATGCAGCCCTCTCATTCAATGACGCGTTCGCCCAGCTAGCCATCCGTTGCCATCCTCAATTCCAACTCAATTCCCACTTCTGCATCGTTGGTGCTGAAGTGGTGCACGACTGGATCATCCCGTCCAGTGGGAACGCAGCAACCCCTGCACTTTTTGGGTTAAGAGTATCGGCATTACCACTAGCTGCAATTTGGTAAGAATCGTCCCCTCGACAATGAGCCTGCGTGAATTAGGAATATGTCGCGAGTTAGCCTCGTTCGGGCCCCGCTAGAGCTCTCATTCGTAGTAACGAGCGGCCATCCTATTGTGTAACTAGTTGCAGCTGTCTAATTCATATTCGGCAGGCTTGCATCTCACCGGCTCCGCAATTGGATCCCTTGCCCTTGACTGGGAGGGCTCGCTCTGGAGCACCCCCGTGGGGAGATGATAGCTGAGCCATATGTGGGTTATTTCTCGGCCAACTCTGCTAGAGTCAAGGTGGTTCGTTCAAGTTGAAAAAAAAAGAATATAACACAAAAGGAGATGAAGCTCCAAAGAACTACAAGATGGGGTCAATGTGCAGCGGATGTTTCCGCATACACCTTGCCTTCAGCAATTTACAGAGTCCTCCCAACCCTTCTTGAACTCTACCTCGCCCCAAGTCCTAGCTCCTACATTCTCGAAGCAGAACCAACGCCAATGGGAGGGTGGGCTTATTCCCAGTAAAGAGGTCAGTCCCGTCCAAAAACTGGTTAAAAACGGAAACGCCCTGGCAAATTCAGTGACTTCACGAGTTCAACAAGTCCGGAGGCTGTAAACGTACCGATTTCCACTTGAATCACAGATGGCAGTCATGCCACTCAAGCAGCCACGGAGCAGAATGTTTGAAAGCGAAAGAAAGGGACTGAGTTGAGTGACACTGAATCTCGGAAAGTGCCCGCGATGTAATTTTCGGAAAAAATGAATTTACTCGAACACCTTCTGCTTCATGCACCGAGGTTGGGCATTCTGCATACTGCTCGGTGATCCTCGATGTTAAGGATTTCGAAGTCTACCATGATCACATTGTCGAACGCTTCAACAGCCACCCAAACGCCATCCTCAACATTAAATATGACCGAACAGCCCGTGGAAAAATCTGCATGCTGCTCGGTCATATTCGATGTTAACAATTTGGATGACTGTTGAAGCGTTCGACAATGCGATCATGGTAGACTTCAAACAAACACTTGTGGGGGAAAGCCCAGAGAACCACCGTACGATAGTTCTTCCACGCATAGGTCCATTGGTAAGTTTTGATGGACGGAACTCCGGTCGAAACTTCAATCCCGTCGCCGAGGAGGATGCTGTCAAAATACTGCATCATTCTTGTGTGTTTCCCCTCAATGAGAGATCCGAAGTCGAGCAGTCGATTAGCGAGGACCTCTTAGAGGGAAGTATGATTGTCCACCTCGCGCCTGATGACTTCGGATAGCACGCTTGATGTTTGCATCGTAGGCGTTTCGGAGTCGATGCGTGTTCTGAGCCATGGAGAGGTAACGTTCTTCTGAACCGACTCAGAGCGGAGCCCCCAGGGAACCCCCAATTCCAAGCGTATTCCCCCCCGATGGTCGTCTTCTTCGTCTGAGACACGGTTGAGAGGGTCTCGTGATTCGAGTCGGCACACTTTGGTATCGCCTCGTCCCGAATCGGGAGACCCAGGCGAATCATCAGGGCTTGATTCTCTGCTGGAGCAGAGACCTCGGCTCGCCTACCTGATTGTTCATCCCGCGATTCTCTGATTGCCACTTCAGTTTGGGTACGAGCCGCAACCTCGGGTCGGTTTCCATACCTCTTTGAAGTTTCCAGGCGCTGCGAGGCTTAGTTCGGCCGCCAACCTCGCGTTGATTGCATTGTGCGCTTCAAATAAGGCCACGTTCTGGAGGTTATAGTCAGCGAGGGTTTGGTTGAGTTCCTGCAAAAGACGCTGCCTCCTGGTGGCTCTGGTAGAGGTTGTTTAGTGTTGTCGGTGAAGGCCCCGGAGTGACTGTTTGGAGGGTTGGTTTGGGCCAGCAGCTTGACTCATCGCAGGGCTCGAAACGCAACCTAACTTTAAGATGGCCTTCGATCCACCGATGGACGAAATGAAAAGCAGGCAAAGCTGAACTGGCAGCAAGCAGTGCGACAGTGGGCACAAAGGTGAGATGAACTCACATGGCAAGCACAACGCGACGCAAAAATAGGAGAAAACTTAAGTGCAGACGAGCATCTGAAGCGCACACGTAAGTTTCCAGCTCTGTTGCAGCCAGGTGAGGACTTACCAGTCCAGCACGAAGGCAAGGAACTTTCACATTGCACATGAACTTGATGAAGACACAAAACGCAATGACTCAGAATATTACATAAACAATGATGAACTTTGGTCCGTTCAAGTTGAAGAAACTGTAAACACAAAAAGGAGATGAAGCTCCAATCCGACTACAAGATGGGGTCAATGTGCCAGGCTCAGTCACGGGCACATGCCAAAAATTGCATCTGGTGGTGTCAATTACACCAGCAGTGTTATCAGGACAATGACGTGTTCCAGCAACCATACAATATTACGGCTGGCCGTTTACATGATTTTGGCGTTTTGGGGAACCCAATAATTCGTCTCTAACTATCCGGTCAGCATGGTGAGGTGAAATGCTGGATCACTTTTAAGGGAACAAAATGTGGATGATCATTCCGGTACTCAAAGCGGGCTATCAAATCAAATCTATGTAAACCCCTCAAATTCATTTTATCGATGCTGCTCCCTTTATGGCAATCGCCATTACGGCGACTTCCGTTGCATTTCTCAACATCCTTCGACCGAAGCTTTTGCTGAGGGCAAGTCTCTGCACCATCAGAGCTAGGCAGACTTTCGTGGGAGTAGTCCACTACTGCATGGCGAACTCGAGATTCGCATTCGCGACTCTTGTAACGTCGGACTCGTATGCAAATGGAGCTCTGGTCGTGGCTTCGGCTTTAAAAGAGCTGCATCTTGCACCCCCAACACCCCCAGAAGTGGCGTTTCAAACCGTCTGTATCGTCACCCCCGAAACGGTGGATGTTGCTATCATCAAAAAGCTCCGTCAAGCTTTCGATATCGTTTTCGGGGTGGAGATCATCGAGGAGAATCAGACCAAAGGACTACAGTTGTTAGGTGTGTGTCCTGCGCCCCAGAAATCATTCGTAAGGATAGCATTGCTCAATTTCTTCTGCTCAGGTCGACCAGATCTGCATCTCGTTCTTACGAAGCTGCATGTCTTCCGATTGACGCAATTTGATAAAATTATATTCCTGGATGCGGATGTGCTTCCGGTCAGGCCGTTGTCCCATCTTTTTACTCTCCCTCATGAATTTAGCGCCGTCCCAGACGTGGGATGGCCTGATATCTTCAATTCCGGCGTCATGGTCTTGACGCCAGGAGAGGATAAGTTCAACGAGATCATGGATGTCATTAAAACACGTGGAAGCTGGGATGGAGGCGATCAAGGGGTTCTCAACGAATGGAGAGGGAACAATTGGAATAGGTTGAGTTTCACATACAATACGACGCCTACGGCTGCGTACACGTGCGTCAGATCTTACGACCGAACCCTATTTCGTCCCCACTGAGCTTTCCGATCCAGATATGCCCCAGCGTACGAGCGATTTGGTTCCCAAATTTCTGCCATACATTTCATTGGACCGAATAAGCCATGGTCATCCGCAGCCTCGCGGACCCCTTTCGCTCATTCGGCGCCACCGCCTTCCAGCCCCCCAACTACCCAACAATCCTATGGGTATAACCAATTGGTAGACCGGTGGTTTGATGTATACGATCGAAATTTCCGGGCCCCTCGGCCGGAAGTTCAGCAATCGGTATTCCACTTTGAGAAATACGAGCCTGCATGGAGTGACAAGGCGCCAGCTGTTACCAGTGGTGGTCTAGGCTTAGAGGAGTTGAAACGTTTGGCTATTGAAGGGATGAGCAAAGTACACACCCAAGTGGGCGAAGGGCAGTATCAGAGTTTACCATTGGAGGGCCGCATCGATTTGATGCGGCCCAGTCCTCCTGTCCCACCCCCGGTTCTACCAACGACTGTCCCTGTGTCTGATTTACCCCCTCATCTGACAACTTCGTTACGGATATCCACGCATCAGCCAGAAGTTCGTCCAGTGGACGTTGTTGAAACGGCACCACTGCACGTACATGCGCCTGCCCCTGAACCTACGCACGTAGAGTCAGTCGAAAACAGTCCTCAGCCGTCATCGCCTCCCTCTCTGCTTCCCCCTCACCACCATGAACCTCCGGAAGTGCAACCACTGACTGTTTCCCTTGAAACAACATCCCTAGTTCTACCTGCATTACCGGGACCAGAATCGCTGCCGGAGCCCGAATCGCTACCTCCCAGGCCTCATTCACCCACTATGTTGGTCTGGAACCCTGCCTTTGACCCTCCACCGACCAACAAGCCAATTACACCGAGTATAGAAACACTTGGTCAAGCGTACGTCAACGCCTGGGATCTTCTGCACACACGTCGTCATCGTCAGGATTCCGTGACACATTCTTCATTCGACAGTGCTTGGGAAACTTCCCCTCCAAGGCCGGCTCACCCTGAAGATTTCTTCGCTATACCACCAACCCATGAGATCCCAGAGCGTCTGGTTAAAGAGGGGACCTACTCGAACGTCACTCATCATGAAGCTGATTACAGCAAAGTCACAAACGTTTTCCCGTGGGAGCAAAGGCAACGTCAAGTCCCGGCTCGTGCTTTCCCGGCCTCCGAAGCTCCGCCTCCAAATATCCAGAGAGCTGAGTCCCCTGAGCCCCCTGCCCCGCTTTTAACTGTAGAAGAGCCTACGCCGGAAAAAACACCTGTATCAATTCGGAACCCCCGAACACACCGCGAACTGTATTATCCAGCCACTCCAACTACCCATGGGATGCCTGGGTCCATTGTATACACGAATGCATGGGATAACATCCCAAGTATTCAAAGATATGCGAACACGCTTGTTAAACCTATCCCCGAGATTGTCTCAACCTCCCCACCTTCATCTAAACGGCGAAAGCAGCCCCAAGAGCCTGCTCCGCTCCAACCAATAGAAGATGATCATGACGGAGATGATGAGGACACTAGCGAAGGCTCATCTTCAGGAGACGAAAAGCCGAAGAGCGCGTCTTCCTCCCGTCGTAGCAGTGTGCCATCCCGGGGATCGCATAGAGGGTCGGCCGCAAGTCCTGAGCACAAGAGGCCCCGCACAAGAACTGGTTCCATACTTTCGGCCAGTTCCAAGGAATATAAATCGGAAGGCATGCAGACTGTTCCTAAGAGTAGGAAACACCAGTCTACCCAGACTGAGGAAGTTGGGATATTCTATGCTGACTCGCCGCGAGCAGATGCATTGCCTGCTGCTGCACCTCCAGAGACCACGCCCCCTCCGCGCTTGAACATCAATCGACTGTTAAAGGCTGGTGGATACTCCCCAGCTGGACCGCTGTCTCCGCGAATGGCAGATTCTACGTCGGCATCACCACCTGGTGCTGGCGAACGACCCATCCCATCGATTGACGGACAAATCAAAAAGCCATCTACACCCACTCGTGACCCCCAATCACCTGTCGCACTCGGATCTCCCTTCCAACAGACACGTTTCAAGTTATCGCCAACCCAATCACCGAGAGAGATAGTGCCGTCGTCTCCCAGCATGGCTTCCACTGCCACGCTGCGCGACCAATCCACTCTAACTGGAGAAAGTAACCGCCTGAGCTGGATGAGCACCACGAGCGGAACGTCTGATGCTACCATTGCTTCTCCCATCTCTACCACGGTGTCTCCCGACCTTGCTCATCTGGCAAAGAAGGTTTCTGCTGGTCGGAAATGGGATCCTGCCAGAGGAGTGGATGTGTTCAAACGGGATAGTCAAGAGGTACTTGCAAAATTCTTAAAAATGGGTCAATGGAGCTCTAGCAGCGAGACCACTCAGGTGTAAACGCTCCGCCCAAATATCTTCACGACTGTGCAATAAATTAACTGGAAAATGTTGTTTTTGCGTAGTTGCTTGTGTTTTATCTTCACGGTCAAGTCTGGTGTTGTATATATTTCCAACTGTTTTCACATTTTCACATTTCTCCTTCCTGCTGATGACTCCCCACTCGATTCCTCCGTAACCCCTTGCCTTCCTCTTGTCTGTCTGATTCCTAACGTCCCCGCATATTTATCTTTGTTGAACATCAAACATTTGTCTTCTCCCCGCGTCACCTACCTCGCCACTTGTGATCTGTTACCACCCCAACCTATATCATTCACGGTCCGCTTCGCTTCGCTGCATTGTTTAGATACCCTTTTTGCAGTTACACAACAGTCAACCGATCCGACCATTCACCTGTTTACGTACATTTTTCTCCGCATGTCCATATGACTCCCGAATAGACGTTGAGTTCTTCTGTGTTACATGCAACCTGTTAGGAGTTGCAGCCCAATGCCACAGGTGGTCAAGGACCCTACTGCCGACGTGGCGTGTCCGAACCACACAACTGTGCAGCTTGGTGAGCTTTGCTAGCTTTGTTTTACAACCTTTCATCGTTCACTTTTGTTAGTACAGAGCGCCAGTAGCGCGCGCCACTTAGATATCGTGCACGAGACAAGGTTGATGCAATGTGGGGAAGGACTTATGCAGCGCGCGAGGAAGACAAAAAAACAACATTACAGCTGGCGAGGTTCGAACTCGCGTCAACTCGTGATACCCAATGGGAACGAGCTATACTGAACCACTATACTACAGCTGTCTGCAACTGCGGCCCGTCAACTACAAATAATTAGGAGTCCTACTATAATCAATTTAACAACCTCCGACTTCGTTACCCCCAACCATCATCTCGATATTATTCCACGCCGCAATTTATTACATAACAGTGCCCCGAACGTCCAGGTAAACATTTTCCTTTTATGGCACAGGCAGCTATTTTGAATATACTTATATAGCAATAATCAAACAGGCGTGCCACTCAATAGATCTAAACTTGGGAGGTAGTTTATGAGTGACTTACTGTCGAATTCAATTGGTCAATCAACCTTGAAAAGCAAGCTTTCACAGGTAAGTTAATACGCCGGCTTGTCGTCCACATCATAATGCGGTCCGCGATCAGGGATGTCATAGCCCTGTTTATTACCACAACCAGAAAGGAATGAGCTTGACAGGAGACGCTTCGCTTGGAAATAATGTCACGGGCATTGCGGATACCACACGCACGGGTCGGACACAACGACACTGCCAATGTCTGGTATGCCCAGGCCCACAAGTAACCCCTTTTCTCTATCTTATAAGCATCACAAGCACAATTTGGCAATGGGAAGAGTGAATGCACTCTACCCTGCTCTGTTCCTTTGCTTTTTGTTAATATAAACATCTTTCGTTTTGGGTAGTAGATCGATATTCATGGTGAGCCAGCTTTATCATGGGTAGATCTGCGGTCACAACTCCAGCCATAAATGGGCACAACACAGACAGATACTTTACAGAACTGGAGAATTTCAATGCCTAATTATTGAAGCAAAGGAAGCAAAATGAAAAGGGTAGAACTGGGGATCAATATCCCATTTCCAGAGCGAGTCTAGGCTCAATTCATTAAGTGGGGTGATTCAGGGGAATTAGGATAAACCTCACTGACTTAGCTGCCTTATCCCTGGCGTATGCTTTACGTGCCCCATCCCCAGTGGCCACAGGGACACCGTTTACTGTAAAGAGGTCATATACCAAGGGAGAGGCAGCATTCTGTCGGGATAACCCACTTATAACGGTTGACTGCCATGTCGTCGAGTTGTTGAACCCAAAAATTTCATTGTCGTCCTACGAAGCAAGTCTTTACAAGGTGGTCTCGGTCAGTGAAACGCACATACCCATTCCAACACGAATTTTTCGCGTTCGGATTTGTTCTGCAGCAGTTTAATGTGATCAGCTGGAAGAAAGGCGTTAGGCTCGACTGCTGGTCGGTGGCGGGAACGCACGCATGATGATGCACAAGGGGACAAGTGGTATCAGAAAAGTGAGGAAGGGCACCCTTCCTAGCGCAACTTTTATAGTGCGAAAAGCATTCTTGTTCGCCACAATAGGCGCGCCCGCGAGACCGGTGCCGCAGTAGGTCAGAAAAAGGAGGCCAAACAGCGGCGTTGCTTCTCGTAGCGCGGGCGGAAGACCAGACACCGCAATGAAAGGACTTCCACGACGGAATTCAAAACCAGAGTTGCACTGTTATAGAAGGGAAATGGCACCGAAAGCCCGGTCCGTAACGAAAACAAGCGCCCAAGCGTGCTCACGATGAGACGAATAACTAGACAACCCAAACAATAGCAACACGCGGGAAATTAATTCATTGTGAGATCTCAGATGAGCGCCCATCAGTCTGAAAGCGTCCCCCCTACCCCCTATCTCACGCCGGCCAAGAATGTATGCCCTTCGATAAGGCGATCGCCACCCACGTGAAGATCGTTTGGGACCCAGCGTAGTGATGGCGGAGCATTCCCGGAAGCCGAGCGACGCCAGTTGACGGTATGTTTCCTCATGGGAGGAGGGAGGTAGAGTTACTATATATTCACCCAAATGAGAATGAGAAACGGGGGCGAATGTGGGACGAAAGACAAGGTTAATTGTGACAATTTAGTCAATTCGAGTCACAAGTCGCGGTCAGCAATCATTGATATTTATGCCAATGAACTGGTAGGGGCGATCTTACCGTAGCGTGTGAATGATGAAAGGACTCAGAGGGCTTTCAGAATGCTCAAAATGTCAACCGCAGAAGGTGGCTGCGCCGCCAAGTTAGGAAATAGACGAAACGAGATTTAGACACGCATGACAAGTGCCATTCGGGAACCGCACCGCCACACCAGATTCTACTTATTGAAAAAATCCTCCAAGGTCCAAGACGATAATTAATCTCAGTTCACTCGTTGCATACCAGTAATAGGGAGGATGTCCGAAAATCTGTTTCAATTACGTTACGGTTACACTGACACGGTGATGTCCGAACTAAGGAAACAAAAAAATGCAGGACAAAGCGGGACGTGATGGTTGAAAGGTCGAAGAGATGCAAAATTTGGCCTGGATAGTGGTCCCCCCAGCCCCAAAACCAGAACTCCCGCACCGGCTACTCCCCAGATATGCTACCGTTGTTCTGCGCGAAGGATCTCGAGTGTCAAGAATGCGGCATCGTCGGAGGCATGCTGCCGGCTTGTATTGGTGGAGCATGCATACAATGTGTCATTCACTAGAAGAGTTAAGATGAATAATTTAAAAAGACACAATGAACAGGAGTTCACCATAACATTCCACTTCCCATCTACCATTCACTCGCCTCTCTACCTATGCGCATATCTTGCATCAGGCATTGTCTGAGAATGTACTGGTAAAGGACATGTCTTACCTGGCGTAACTGAATGTTATGCTCCCTAGCGTACTGCATTAATTTCGTTATGCTGTCTCCTACGACAGGAAGAGGAATCAGACAGGTAAGCTACAACTCGGCCAAAGGAAATGCTTACGTTGTTGGTTCATGGTGAGCTTTGGGATGAAAGCCATTGCTGAAGGATCATGATCATTTTATACACCATCGGCCTCCGAGCGGTAGCCGATGATTCTAGGGGGTTAGATACCGCTCAAACCGAGCGGTACGTCGCCAGACGTAAGTCATTGGTGTAAACCCCTAAAAAAATCCTTAGAGTGCGGAAAAGTAGTAAAGAAAAGTCGAATGAGATAACACATTCCATTTGGTAAGAGATATTATAATCCTTTGAATGCAGGCGTTCCCGGGAGATCAGCTATGCATAATGCAGCAGGAGCATGTCGCAACGCGAGAATTCGAAAGCGAGTCCTCACTGTGTGCGGACTTCTAATGGCTGTAATACACCACAGTACAGAAGTAGCGACAACACCAAATGGCAGTAATGATTGCAAGAGTATTCATTATAGCTTCTACCAACTCATCGGAACATGTCATACAGCAAGCAATTCGAGCTCAGCGGGCACGGCACCCGCGCCTATCCACCGCACGGAGACGTACTTAGCCAAAGGCACTGTCTCCTGAGAAACCCCTGGGAGGGGGCGAGCACAGCAGAGTTGGCGTTGAACTCTGTATTGAGTGGGTGGCCCAATGAGTCATTGACTCCATCAGTTGCAAACAGGCGCGCGCAAAATGCGAGTTAGGTCATAAAAGTATACTAAGACTGCGCTCTTCATAAGTGAATCTGTCGGAAAAAGAAACAACCATCCACTGGCGCCCGAAACCTTATAAGCGAGCGCCAGAAATTCATGTTGAGCGTTGCTGGGGAGGAGGAAAGGAATCGAGCGTGATTATTTGCCGTACAGCCCGAAGGGAAATGATCTTTCCAACGAAGCGCGCGCCCACTATGTGGCTCAGAGCTGTACGCACAGAAAGCGGCGAACGGCCGTCGGAATAAGTCGCAACAAATATGAGTCAGATTCATTGATTCCGCCGACTCCGCGGCTTCATCGAGGGATTATTCTCACTCAACAGATGATTACGCATTGTTTCGAGCGATTATAAGTACACTGAGAATTTGACTGTATTATAATGAAAATGTCCGACGAAGCTATACTACGGAAGTACTGCGATGAAAAGGGGAGCACATGTATCTAGTTAAAATGTTCCTCGTGCTTGTGGGGGAAGTACGATATTGTGGGTGATCAGAGCCAAAGAATAAGACGGAGTGGTGCTGGTTTAGGATTGCTGGGATTAACCACCGATGGCGTAGTTTGGGCCTGTCAGGCGCAACAAGGCCTGGTACGCAGCCTGGTCTCGGGCGACGCCCTTCTTGCTTGCTTGACCAGTCCCACTTAGAACATCGTCAACTGAGAAATAGTCTGAGCATGTGGACTAAAGGATGAAGAGCAACACGCACTGTAAACACTCGAGTACCATACAGTCTTTCCATCCATTTCTTTGGACGAATGGTCCTCCTGTGGAGATAGGAATAAGAAGAATTCGATGATATTGGGTGTAATTTGGCTCACCCATCGAAGCCCGAAATTCAACTTTTGCCGTGCATTGTCAAGCCTTATGGCATTTTGGCCCTCTTGTGGGACTACCGTAGAACTTAGCTGGACGCTCTGCACAGATTAGCTGGAGAACTTACGAGGAATAGAATGTGGAGCTGTCCGAGGGATATTCTGGGGCTGGGGGTATGCCATCATGTACGGGTCCGAATATGGTACTGGATATTGGGGATACACGTATTGAGGGTACCCGTACTGAGGGTAATAGTATGAAGACATAGAGGGGGGTGAGTTGCACGGGACGATTGGTTGCTGAAAAACCATCTTTAAGTCGTAGGGGGGCTGAATAACTTAAAGCAAGGGGCAGTTTGCATCACAGAGGCAAGCCGTCGCAGTGAAGAAATAGTGAGTACAGAATTTCAAACGCGCCTATGCGGTGGACATATGGAGGCGCTTTCTACCAAAGGCGCGTTGAGGCGTAATAGGCATAGCCAGCATGTGATTGCATCCATGGATCTTCCTCATTCTAGGGGATATGCAATGGCTGATGCCATAGCTTTCAAGACGCCCAATATCAGATAGAACGAAGCCACCCGCAAGAGGTCCGGTTGTCATATCAATACGCCACAAGATGAAGAGTGATTAGCACCGTTAAGAAAGGAGATCATCGAATAAGTATGCTGGTGTCGAATCAGCACACGGGACCAGCTATTACTAGGCGATGCTACTACGCCAAAGGAGCCACAGGTTCGCGCGACACCAACAATGCGTGAGTCATTGCCGGAAATCCGTTTCGTGCAGTGGGGAAGGATGCGGTGCTGCTAGCTGTGTCAACCCTTGCCCACACCATGAAAGGATGATATCACGTGGACGCGCTTTTTTGTCTTGGACTGAATTGACTCAGCCAATTGCGCTTGTGACACTCAAATTTCTGGACAATGGAAAGGACCACGACCACGAGTGCTCCTCTGCGCATACAGTCTATATTCATCAAAGAGTTTGAGACGAGGGGCGGATCGAAGCCGTACATTGTCTACAAAATTACTGTACAAGCAGCCGTCCGCACATGGAATGTATGGCATCGCTACTCCGAGTTTGTAACTCTGCATCAAGATCTCACAACTGAAATGTCGTCCCCCCCTCCTGCCTCTCTTCCGCCAAAGAACACATTTTCTGTCCTCTCGTTTGGTCGAACAAAGGATGGGATGTTGGAGGAAAGAAGAGCCGGCCTCGAAACCTATTTGCGTGCCATATTGTCGAGCAAGGATCCCAAGTGGAGGGATACCTTGCAGTTTCGAGATTTTATTGGCGCACCGACAACAAAGATCGAATCGTCTTTCTCCACATCTGGCAGTCACTTCACGAGTTCGTCCTGGCTAGACGAACACGCGGAACTCCAGACACTTGTCAGAGACATCCGTGCCGATCTCAATAAAAGGGATGCGCTTGCTTTGCATAATGAGGTGGCCGCCTCGCACACTTCGAATGTCCAGGGGAAGAAAAAGCTTGCCACTTTGGTGTCACGTTTGGATGTCCTTTCAAAAGGGATAGATGGGCTTGCCTTAGGGGGCCTCGCGGAAGGAGAGGTACTTCGGCGTAGAGACATGGTGGCGCGCCTCCAGGATGATGCAGCGAGTTTGGGGAAAATGGTAGTAGCCGCTCGACAGCCTGGAGCCTTGGCCGGAGCAGCAAATGCTCCACGGCCATGGGAGCAAGGCGCTGCGGATCTCAACCCGGCATCGCAATCAGACAGGAATGCCCTTCTCTCGATGCCGGGTGCCTTCGGCGAGCCATCTTCTGCACGGCCAGTCGGAAGGGTGTTTGGCAAGAGAACGCCACCCCAGGAAACGGACCAGACACGACCGTTTGATAACACAGGTCTCATGCAACTCCAACAAGTGCAAATGGAACAACAAGATCAACAGATCAGCCAATTGTTCGCCGCTGTCCATCGCCAAAAGCATTTAGGATTGACAATCAATGAAGAGATCGCATACCAAAACGAACTGCTCGATCAATTAGCTGCAGACGTTGATAATACTGGAGTACGACTGACGACAGCTAAGAAGCAAATGGGGAAACTCGGTTGATCTGAAGACCTTTGGATTTCTAATTTATTGTTATTCCAATAGTGCACGCATTTCTTGGCTATATTCAGACATCCCATACCCGAATGCACTGACAATTCTTTGACTAAGCTTAAAGGCAAATGTAATCAGACTGAATTATGACTTGTCTCCGGGAACGATGAGTTCGTGTGGTTGCTAAAAAGTCAAGATGAATTGATCAATTCAATCAAGCGGATCATCGCGCTTGACACCGAAATTACAATGCAAAGAGCTCGGTGTGGAGATCAACGCCGCCTGCAGAAGCCATTTCCGGGGAACCTAATCCCGCCACGGCGTTCTGAGCCGCGCAAGTGAGACTTTCGGGTCCACTGGCAGCGACCCCCACGCCGCCTCCTTTCGTAACGCCAATCAGAGGGGTTAGGAGACTAGACACTGAAGGCTTAGCGATTTCAATCGCGGAATTCGGGATGGGTGGAATCGCCTCAGGGTTACACAGGCACGTAACATAGAATCTAAAGGAAAGCTCCACCGATGAGTTTTCAGCAACCCTCCCTAGGTGATTCATCACCGAGGCGAACCACAAAATCGTTCCTGATCATGGGAATAATAAGTAAGAAGAGTTGAGGCCTTGGATATGGGCAACTCACCGAAAGAGCGGATGCACCACACAAACTCAATACGCTCAGTCCTCTCGCCATGAGGCCGCCCTAGTTTGACGATCCTCCCTATCAGGTCATCAAGGACGCCCAACGCAAAAGTGACGCCAGCACCGCCTGAGATAAGTAACACACTTTCATACTCTCCAAAATCCAGCCCTGAGCCCCCATATGGACCATCCAACATCACAATAGCACTCTCCGTCCCACTACCATCTTGGCCTGATTGCGCAAATTCATTGAGAGACTTGCTCCAATCACCGCAGACTCTAGCAGCGAGAGTTATCCCTCCGGAGTATGTTCCAGAACTAACTTCTCCATCCGAAGACGAAGAAATAGCCGAGATAGACTGGGGAGCATTTAAAATGGTAAGAGAGTGCGATTCGTAAAAGCGGGCGCCAAAAAAGACGCGACATTGGACGTGCTGACCAGCAATCCAACCGCCCGACACGTCAGGGACGTGGATGAGCGTCATTTGATCACCTCTGGACTCGAGAACGGCATCCTTGATACGGTAGCGGAATAGTCGAAGAGTAAGATCGGTAGCGTAGAATGCGATTGGGGGATATACCCAGGGCCGAGCGTACGGAGTATGATAGCAAACTATGATGAAGAACGTGATGAACGTTATCACACTGAGAAGAAGAATGAATCAGCGGTTGGGGGTCATGCCATAACCGCTCTGTATGATACCTACTGCAAAACAAAAAAGCCTTGGTAGAATGTTTGGCGTATTGGTCGTAAACTTAGTAGAACAAGTACACACAAAGTCCCGTAAGCCGCTAACCCTAGCGAAGGCTTGGATGTTTTCAGGAAATGGCTCTGTCCGGTTCGCAAATATTGATTGATCCATAACGAGCCATGAATTGTTGCCATTAACCAAACCCCGCGGCCCGACCATCGGTGTAACACGTTCAGTTTCTCATAACCAACTCCCAGTAGGAATGATAGCGGATTATTCTTAGTGCCGAAAGCAAACACAGCAGGAAGCTGGGCCAGAGCCATGAAGCCTGTGTGAAGGATGCAAGATTAACGGATGGAATCTCTTCCAGACTGGCCACGCACCGCCTCGGTTCGAATTTACCCGTAGATCAGACTGCAGAAAAAGGCAGAGCAGAAGGATGCCGTAATAAATCGTGATGATCAACGCTAAGAGGTCATCAGTATGGAGCCGACACCGCGTTCGTTCGCGCCCACCTTCGCCAAGGGTGATCCGTGATTTAGGCGCCGAAAATAGGAATTTACTGAGGAAAAATGAGCTCAAAGCCCTCACCCCTTTGCGGAAAGGACGCGGATCTGAGGCATATTCTGATGATGGCTTCTCTGGGAGTGATTGATAGCCACTTGAACTCTCGCGGAGACCGAGCGCTTGCCCAGCACGGCCACTCCGAATCGAGCGGTAGAGTCGAGGAACAGAGGCGGCGATAAAGACGCCACTTAGTCCAACCCAGAAGGCAGTAAAACGGCGGCCATATAATGGATCGATGAGATAGGAGCTATGATGCAAGACTCAGTAGCCCATCAACAGCGCCAAACTGACACTCTCACTTAGCCAAGGGTCCATTGCCATTCGGTGATCCTGGATTGTCTAGGGACATGGTTGCTGCAAGGACGAGGCGCAGTTCATTGCGTCCTTTTCTACATCAATCGTGTCCTGAGAACATCGCACTGATGAAAAAACTTTTTTACTTCGCATCTGAGTCATTCTATTTAAGGATGGTACATCGGCACACACACAATCGCCAATCCCTGCGGCGACGTTGACTCAGATGATAAGCAGAATCCCAGCCTCTGTTCAAGTCCTTAGAACACTTAATGCGGCGGGTGTACGTGCTTCTGCGAGTTGTAAGCCTCTTCTTCTGCTCATTCGCTAGTGTTGCTGATTCTGGGGAAGCACTGAGGGTATCACAACTTCATAGCTCTCCTCCGTCTCGTTTTACGGTCGTAAGCTATGCCGAGTTGAAGCCGTTAACACAACAGCCTACCTTGGTACATCATACACGACTTCTCAATAGTTAGAGGCTCTCATCACCTATTCTGACAGGATCGAATTCTTATCGATGTGCGTGAGGTTAACGAAGTCCAGCAGGGGTCTATACCCTCAGCTGTGAATCTTCCACTTTCTGTACTGCCTCAGGCCATGGAGCAGCACCCAGACGCGTTCCGCAACCAGCATGGTTTCCAGCGACCCGAAAAGGGACAAGAAGTGATCTTGTACTGTCGGAGTGGAGCCCGTAGCACTACAGCAGCAGAGCACTTGGAGAAAATTGGATACAAAAAGTAATATTGAACGTGGTTGGTTTCTCATAATTCCCACCTAACATCCATGTTTCAGCGTTAAAAACTATACCGGCTCATGGTTAGATTGGTATGACACGCGACGCAGTTTCCGCATATTGCCCTACTAATGATTCTGCCCAGGACTGCAAAGGAACAAGGAACGAAGAACGCGACGTAATACCATTAATCAATGCGCGGAAAGGGGGCTCAATAACGATGTTGTCTTCTCTTCTACCTACCCATCTTGGCATGTTGGTGTGTAATTATAGTTTCGAAGTAATGCTGGGCAGGAATTCGACGTCGAGATGCGAGCTTGCTTGACTTCTAGTGTTGTTTACAATCTTTTTTCGGTTTCGTGAAATGTTGGTCGGATTACCCCGTTTCGTCCCACTAGCCTGCCACGAATGCGAGTGATAATGTCGAAGCCGGACCGGAGTATTGTCTGAAGATGTACTTTCTCTCAAATGTGTTGCTACCGGGTGCGTACCACTGCAGGGTAAGGTAGTCCATTAGGTGCAGGCAGCCTCTCTTTAACGGGAAGTGGTGATGGCGGATTTGTTTGATTACCCCACGGCCTCGGTGCTACGTGGCAGAGCGGCTATCGGATCGTCAATCCATGGTGGTGGTGTCGGGGTTGTGGTCGTCGGGCATGTATCTATGTGGTCTGAATAATAACTCAATGATGTGCTGTTGATATTTATTTGTTCGGTAATCCGGGACCGGGAATTGCATTGGGGCGTCGAGTGTTCGCCCATGGCAACCTCGCTGACGGACGATGAGCTCGAGTTCGAAGAGCTCGACTCGTTTGCTCTACGCGAACTAGATGCGATAGAGGCCGCCGCGACGCCTCCAGTTCAACAACCCTCAAACGTTCCCTCAAAGTTTTCGCGAGTTCGTGCTGCGCGAATCGCTCAGCTCGAACAAATCCTGCAATCCGACGAAACCAGCGTCCCCTCCGCTTCTCCTCCAGCGACATCCACTCCGGGGACTTCTTCTAATTCCGGAGCGCCCGGCGGCACTTATGACACAGCGATATTTGTCGCAGAAGAAGACCCAGCGCCACCTAAATCTCATGACCCAACCTCCCCTATTGAATGTTTCTCGGACTACTTTGAAGAAGATTATTTTGAGCTTGACCCGGACGCGCTTCGTGAGGTTGACATCCAAAATGCCGCATTTAATCAGCCTTCAGCTCCACCCAAGCTAACGAGACAAACCACACTGACCGGCGGGATTCTTCCTGATCCGCCTAGGCGAACCTTTGCGCGTACAAAATCAAAAAATATACTTCCCGACTCCAAACCGCCAGCAAAGACTAAGACGTGGGACTATGCAGGATTTGCCAAGTCAGGTCTTAAACCTACGGACAGAAAGCAAAAGGAAAGCGTAACGCTGGAAATGACGAGGACGAAGAAGGGCTGGTATCGATGAAGAGGGACTGCTGGCTTCTGCGGTCCTTTGTTAGTAGCAACAATGTCACTCAATTATGATTGCTGACTCCGCTTCCCTAGCTGGGTATGTTTCTAATTTCCAGCGTGTTCGTCAACAATGACATGGTTCCCGTCGAATGGTTCTCCCCGTTAGACCCGTATGCATCTTCTTGGTATCTAGCGCGGAATGCTGACTAATTTCGCGTTTCCAGCCCCCACCCATGCGTGTGCAACCTGATCAGTCCGCTTGCCAGGAATGGATATACCCTCTAAATCGTCCGAAACGAGATTATCAGTTCAACATTGTTCGAAAATGTCTATTTGACAATACACTCGTCGCGTTACCGACAGGTCTTGGGAAGACATTTGTTGCAGGTTGCGTCATGCTTAATTGTCCGAAAATGCCTTTTCTTGTCTCTTTCATTCCTGAAGCCTGTTGCACCATAGATTATCGGTGGTTTCCCAGCGGAAAGATCCTCTTCTTGGCTCCCACGAAGCCTCTAGTATCTCAGCAAGTTAGTGCTTCGCACGAACAATGTGGTATTCCTGGCTCAGCCGCTGCAGAGCTAACTGGGAGTTTGAGGCCAGAAGCTCGAAAGCCATATGTATGTGTATAGTTCACTGAATGTCCCAAGATGTGACTGATCTCTCCTGTCATCGCGACCAGTGGCAAAGCAAGAGGGTCTTTTATATGACGCCACAAGCTTTTGTTCGTGATCTTCACAACGGGAACGCTGACCCGTTGGATATCATCCTTATTGTTGTGGACGAAGCACATCGTGCGACGGGAGATTACGCCTACTGCACTGCGATTCGTTACATGATGGTCAAGAACCCACATTTCAGGGTATTGGCTCTAACTGCGACACCTGGTTCTAATGCCGAAGCTGTGCAGAGCATAGTGGATAACATGCACATAAGCCACATTGAGATACGAGATGAGAACGCGCTCGACTTGCGAGATTACGTACACCGAAAGGTTTGTCGTCATGAGCGTTGTCCAAGCACCGGTGTATTAACTTTACTCTCTAGCACATGGTGCAGCATGTAGTTCCGTTGACACCGGAGCTGGTAAATATATTTGATCAAATAATCAAGCTGATGCAGGTTTGTTTGTTTCAGTTCTCAACAAGTTGCGGGTCCTGATGTTGCCGATTCAGAAAATTTACAGTCCCATTGGACAATTCCTTCCCGGGGCTGATATGGCAACCATGGGCGATTACCGACCAACGGCGGTTTCACACCAGCTCACTTCTGCAAACAGATGGGCGACGCCGGCTTTGTTAAATCTCGGAGTACTTGCACGAGCGCGTACTTATCTGGTAAGCGGTATATTCGTAAATCAATCCATGATCAAATTTGCCTCACCAGGTCTGCAGGTCACTGAGAGTTTTGAAATGTGTCATCAGAGACTCATGGAGCTGATGGCTGCGGACGCCGCTAAGCAATCCGCTAGGAGTGGAAAAAAGAAGCTGGCAGCTGATCCGCTTTTCCAATCCCTCATCATGTCGATAAGCGAGTTAAAGCATGCCAACGGCTTTATCGTGCATCCAAAAATGGACAAGCTTAAAACTCTGCTGCTTCAACATTTCTCATCGGTTTTGGAGGGTCAGACTGCTTCAAAAGTCATGGTGTTTGCATCATACCGGCCCGTTGTGGAGCAGATTGTGGAACATCTCAATGAACAGAAGCCCCTAATCCGCGCACATCGGTTCATCGGTCAAGCTGCATCAAAGGAGGGCGTGAAAGGCTTGACACAAAAAGAGCAACTCCAGGTATGTGGGCTTAACTACTCTCCGTCTTCTCCGCTAACGATGAGTATGTGAGGTCATTGAAAGTTTCAAGAAAAATGAGTTCAACACTCTTGTCTGCACTTCTATCGGCGAGGAAGGTTTGGACATCGGTGAGGTTGACCTAATCGTTTGCTACGATTCTCACAAGGCCCCCATAAAAATGGTACGTAGAACGGTTGATAGCGTCTCTTATTATGTTCTCACCAGCAGCAGCTCCAACGGGTAGGAAGAACTGGGCGGAAACAGGACGGTCACATTATTGTCTTGGTGGCGGAGGGCAAAGAAGAGGAGAACTTTGCAAAGGCAAAAGCCGCATACGCAGACGTCCAGAAGGCAATCGTCGATGGTGATCAGCTGGTGCTCTATAATGATATTGAGCATCTCATCCCTGATACCATTCGGCCAGAGGTCTGCGAAAAGGTAATGCCTATCGAACCGTATGTCCCCCTATCGGGAGCGTTGAAGAAGCGGAACGGTGGACTGCCTCGCAGTATGCCTGCTGGCGGAATCGAGGGCTTTGTGACGGCCAAGACTTTGGTCAATGGATCGGTTGCGTCGAAACCGAAGTCGACTTCAAAACGAGTTAAGTCCACTCTTGATATGAATGCTGTCACCGACAGCGGAGACGATGAAAGCGATATGGACCTTGATGCCGCTCTTGCCGCTAGAGTTCACTCTCCAGTATTGAAGAGGATAAATTCGGACCATGAGTCTGAAGAGCCTCCCAAGAAAAAGAGAAAGCCAAAAAAGAAGTCGGATGAATCTTCAGACCCAGTCAGACCAAAACCAAGGCCAAACTTCCAAGAATTCTAGAGTTTTCTCAGGCTTTACAAGTGCCAACGCGGTGGCGCGACTCCGGGTGGTAAGAGCGACAATCCCTCGAGTGCTTCGGGATTACCGTCGAGGGAAAGCTCCGGAACGCTACAATCAGATTCGGACATCGAAATCCTTTCTAATGATCCCAACTGTTCGTCCCCCACCACCTCCCTTATATCTGACCATCTACAGGCCGGCGAACAGGCAATGGGGCCCCACTCCCCCTTGCGTCCCCCCACCTCACAGCTCCTTCGACCTCTTGCAAATCCACACCATCTCGAATAGAGCGCGAGCCTTCGATGGAATGGGAACTGGGTACCCCATCCCCTATTCCTAGGAAGGAAAAGCACTGGCTGCTTGACTCTGATTCGGACGATGGACAACTTCAGTCAACGAAGGCTCCCCGGCAACCGTCGCATACAAAGTCCAAACTGTCCCCTGACGCCATCAGTCTTTCGTCGCACAGCGCTCTCTCACCTATCAAGTCAGCAAGGCTAGCACAGCAAACTGATCCATTCATGAACCGGATTCTCAAAGACACGCAACCGCCCTGCTCTGTAGCTGTCCAAAATGTACCGGAACTGATCGATATCAGCACGACGGTCGAGGATATAAATGTCGACACATCACAGCCTATTCGGCGGATGGGTGCGAGGGGTCCAGCTTATGGGACCACAACTCCCGGTACACCCCACTCTTCTCCAGACCCCTTGGGAATGGATTCATTACTGGATTTGTCGCAGCCTCTTAGCGGGAACCAAAAGAAACGTGCCTTGCTCAGGGGTAGGAGACAAACCCCATCGCCAAGTCCCTCTCTTCACTTTCAGCTAAATGACCCCGATTTATCCCCCGGGACCAGTAATCCTCCCCAGCACCAGCATCTCGCCGACGTAAAACGAAGAACCCGGAGCGTTTCAGACGGCGCGAGCGACCACCGCTTTGGGATCACCAGAACGGCATGGTTGAAATGGAAGCTGTTCATTCCGGAGACGATATTTCTGAGGGTTGCTCTGGTTCCGATGGACAACGTGAAGATGAATACGATCGGGAATTCATCGCGGATGACAGCCACGTCACACAAGTGAACAGTAGCTACGACCAAAGCGCGATCTACCGGCAAGGGCTTCTCACACAAGCTCCAAGGCATCTCTCGCGTTTCACGGCCAGCCTCTGAGGAGAGGTGCATTCGGACCATCTGATCGGAGTGTTGGCGGGAGGTGGGCGGCCTCTGATTCTTCGCCGAGTGCGGCAATGAATCTGAGCGAGGATCAGTACTCCATTGGGAGCTTTGTGGCGGCGGATGATGAACCGGTATCGTATTTCAGCGATGAATAGACGCTTCAGCGCTTTAATGCCTCGAACGTCATTTTGATTGTAATTTTGGACGGTCTCTTTAATTCTGTACAGTACATACCTTTCGTCTTCGACTTTACTGAACATGATGCAGCAGCGCCATGCAAAGATGTGCGTTTCTTCTGGGTCGGAGCTAGTGTCTAGTCCTCAACGGGCCCAGTCATGAAGCGGAGCTTGAACCCGTGGATTCCCTGTTCCGGAACTCGGGTGGTCCCGAATAGTCGGGATATAACTTGCTTATGACGATTGCGCAACTCAGTTTCCGACAGCTCCCATTCCCAAAGGCGAGCGTTCACTAGCTGCGAAACTTGCTTCAAACAGAAAAGATGTCGCATCACCCACCTTCTCCGCCAGTGCTGCACTCGTTTGCAACGAATGAAGAGCTTGTGAACGCTCTCGCAAATTACATTCTGATTGCTCAAGCCGAGGCGATCGAAAAGAAGGGAAGGTTCTCTGTCGCGATCAGTGGTGGATCACTCCCCAACAGCTGAGCGGACTGATCGGCTCGAATGCCAGATGGGACAAATGGTGAGCAGCGTTGGTGACTTCTGCCTCAAGGCCCCTTTTCCCGTTTACTAAGCTGACCGTGATTCATTCTAACAAATTATAGGCACATCTACTTCTCTGATGAGCGTCTTGTCTCACTCGATTCTCCCGACTCCAATTATAAGCTTGTGGTGGACGAGGTCGTTTCGAAGACGCCTATTCCAAGGAGCAATGTTCACCCCATCGACGCTTCCCTCCTGGACGATATCGAGGAACTCACAGACGACTACGAGCAACAGCTCGTCGAATTCTTTGTATCGAAGGATTCGGCGCGTTTCCCCGTTTTCGATCTCATTCTGCTCGGTATGGGGCCGGACGGACATACTGCTTCTCTGTTCCCTGGTCACGACCTTCTAAGTGAATCTTCAAGATGGGTTGCATATATTGAAGATTCTCCCAAGCCTCCACCGAAACGGATCACTCTCACGTTGCCTGTTATTAATCATGCGGCTAGAGTGGTCTTTGTCGCTGCAGGAGAATCGAAACAAGATGTGCTCGCTACGGTTTTGGATCAGCCTGAGGCAGGACTGCCCAGCAGCCGTGTGAGACCCGCACATCCCGGGACGTTGCATTGGTTCGTGGACGATGCCGCCGCCAGGAAAGTAAAATATCCGAGGACACCGTACATACACGGAAAGTTGTGATGACGACTGGCGCCGGGGGGCTAGGATGAATTGTCGAAGCGAGCATCAAGTGACCCCAGTTGATGACTTGATGGAGTAAGGATGCTAGAGCTTGCCCTGCTTGTATTATACAGCCTCAAACCTCGAGCTTCAGTTCCGTGAATAGCGTATGACCGTCTGTGTCTCTGATTCCCTATTGTACCCGTCCTTGATCCTTCTACACTACCATCTATGGCATTTTGTCGACTTTTGCCATCGCTGAAACAGCTTCGACATGACGCCAATAGCCGAATTCAATGACGTTTTCCTGATAGAATTCGACAGCATCGTTATGCACAACCTCACATCCCTGTTCTGTGCGAGAGGCAAGACACGAGTCCACTGGCAGTCCTGAATTGTAAGTGCAACCAAGACGAAATTATTGTGTGCGAAAAATACAGCGCGCTGTCTCACAAACCAGCAAAAAATTCAGCTGTGGGCTAGCTATCAAACTCCGTCTATAGGTTAATCGATATACCGCAGCGTTCAGCATCCTATATTCGCTGAGAGGTGGCACGAAGGCAAATGAGCGACAAGCGAGAGATCAGGTGTCAGGTGCAGGGTACAGCTACCTGAATCAATGGGCGCTCCGAACGACGCTATTTTGCCTCGGCACCAACTCACATGGAATGACCCTGACCTCAATTAGCTGACAGTTGACATTCCGCAATGGTCAATTTAATTCTGGAACTGGGCAGACGGTGCGAGGGTATGCAATTAGTGGGAAAGGCGAGGCCAATATGATTTGGCAGTCTATTGGGGTAGGCGGGAATCACAACCGGGGCTGAGAAGCCTTGCATTCGACAAAATTAGTCATGATTCTTTTCACTAGATATAAAAATTGGCATGTTCCAATTTAGTGATTTGGGGTGTGTTTGTTTAACCAATGACAAGGATTGAGGACATGAAAGGAGTTTAGATGATGAGGACCTCAATAGTATTCATCGGCTCCAGAAAGTAATCAAGAATACAGGGATTAGACCCTCAAACAAATAAACCAATTAGAACGACTCACATTCACGATTAATATCCTCTCTGCGTCTATCATGAGCGACGGCCAGCCCTGGAATGGTTCGTCACTCATGACATAGCGATACGGGAGTCCACTAACGACCCTATGAGCAAAGAGGCGTCCATGTAGTGGTACCGTTCGTTCGGGGTGAGACACCATCCGGCCTGAAATCCTATGATCCTTGGAGACCCTTGATGGCTTACTGGAGTGTGATGCCGAGAGCTTCTTGTCGCCACTGCATTGAGAGCCATTCATGTCTGCGCTCCCGGTACTTTTATCGGACATATTCTCATCAGCCAACTCGCCCAAGTCATATTCGCTCCTTTCAGCAAGTGATCCAGCGCCGACGGAATAAGGGTTAAAATCTAGCAAGTGAAGATGGAAGCAAGACTCCCGACACTCTGGTCGGTACCCGCGTACGCTAAAGATAAATCGGTTCATGAAGATATGGCATGAGCTAGCGGAGATCTGCACCAGGCGCGCAGAACGGCATCCCCAGTCATCCCATGAGACATGGACAGGAAGCATGTGGGCAGCGGCGGCACAAGAATTATCGGATGTCTCCCTACTTGTCCGAACATCACGCTCGAAACGTTTGGTCATGCGATAAATATCGGAAGGAGCAACGAATATCTTGTCATCAAACGGCACGAGCGAATACCCTAGACGAAGCGAGACAATAGCCACTCTGAATCATCTGCTAGGACGGACGGGTGGCCCGTTGGTGGGCCAGGCTTGTTTCGGTGGGTTGGAGGAATTCGTGGCTGGAACTGATGAAATAGGTGGAAAGAATGCATTTGGAACGGATTTGTCCGTCTGTGTTTCTTTTGTGGATAAGATTTCGTATTCTGGCGCTTCGAAGATGGGATTAGGCTCGCAGCGCAACGGAAGGTCATAAATTTTCGAGGACGACTGGGGCAATTGAAAGGTCGCGACATGCTGAGATGGAAGGCAAGGTTTGGTAGGGAGTCCTTCGTAGAAGCAGGGTCTAAATGCATAAACTTCCAGCGAGGCGGTGGACCCTTCGCATCTGGAGAAGATGAAATGCCGTGGTGATAAGAAAAGAAAAGATTTCATCCCGACATCTGACAATTCCTGCGTTTGTAAGAATTAGTGTAACTTGGAACTGCATCCGCTGTGCAAAGCGAAGAATTCAAGCAAAAATACACATACACACTGGCATATCCCTGTCTTCCAGTTCCAGATCCAAAAGCCCCCATCCGGAGTGAGACAGCACTCCATGACGCCGATAAAGTCACCAAATATGCTGACTTGATACGAACCTGTGTCATTGGGTTGGAAGGGAGTGTTAAGGGCCTCGAACCGGGCCATCGGGTGCGGGGCATTATCGAACATTTGTCTTAGTCTGATAATACCACGTTTAGGGCCCCTACAAATGTACACAGCCAAATTCTGCTCTGGGTCGATATCGAACACTCGAAATCCAAAACCGAGATGAATCAGAATAGGCGGTTGAGGTGGATCTATTTCGACATCACCATCTGTAAATTCTTCAGGACGCCCAGAACTGGTGGACTCGAATGCAGATGGTGGTTCACGACCCCCTGAACCTGAAGGTCGGTCTGAGACTCTCGGAAGAGGCTGAAGCCATAAACAATTGTCGAACCGCGAACTTTGTGACCCGCCCCGGCCACACGCGAGGAATCCATGCTGCAACCTGTATGCAGCCTGCAAAGCACCTGGTTGGCTGGGGATGATATATGTTTGAGAGTGCCATTTCAGATTCGCCCAACCGGCCTCGCGCCTGCGAAGTCTGGCAAGTTCCGTGCTAATTGCAGTAGGAGTGGTACTGGTAGTGCCAGCAAGGAGGCTGATTTCACGTTCAATGTGGTATTGGAGAACCAACGACTCCTCGATAACATGCAGAAATAGTTTTGCTGCCTGTAAGCGTTCATATTAGTCCAATGGATAACATCTCTTGAGCTCTACACGTAGGGTGACCGAAGGGGAATGGAGTCAACCACTTGCCTGTTTACACCTGATCAGATCGCGCAGTGGAAGGTATTGAAAAATATCGCCTAAAATCTCCACTGGCAAGGCTGTAGAAGCGAGCAGCGGTTCATCATGGTAGCCAGTGGAATGGGCGGCCTGAATGGACATCCTCAGCTTTGAGACAATGAGATAATGATTTCGGCCAACTTCGAGTGTATATGTAGTTGTCCGACTATGATTAGGTAATTGTCAAATGTCCAGGAGATGATGCATATGGATAGGCAGGTTACCAGCTCTATTGAGCATATGGACAGATTCGCATCGAATGAGACTAGTACTGTGTTCGACATTATTTTGACCGCGGCTCGCTCCTAGTGGGAATGCCTTCCGCTAGCCGATCTGGTACAAACAAGCAAGTAGTTTGGTTGACTTTGGTCACCCTACATGTACTAGAGCCCATAGTAGTCCAAACTGTTCTACGTGTTATCGAGCTCAGGAGCCGAGTCGTCAATTCTTCAATATCGCATTGCACGTGAAATCAGCCTCCTTGCTTGCCGGCACACAGATGGGGCAAGGATGCTAGAACCCAGCTTCTTCAAACCTCAAACCTTGAGCTTCAGTTCCGCGAATAGCGTATGATCGACCGTGTGCACTCTAATCCTCTTGTACCACTATCCTTCCTTTTTGCGTCTTTGATCAGGTTCTTGGTTCTTCTGCACTATCTTCTATGACATTTATTGGGCCATCGCTGAAATTACTTTGACATGACGCCAACAGCCGAATTCAATGACATTTTCCTGATAAGCAGATTTTTTTGCTGGTTTCGCTGAGACCGTGCTCCGTATCTTTCACATATGATAATTTCATCTTGGTTGCACTTACAATTCAGGACTGCAGTGCCCAAACGTGAACTCGTGTCTTGCCTCTCGCACAGGTAACAAAGGGTCGTGAGGTAGTGCATAACGGTTGTTTTTGTTGCGGTTGAAGTTCTGTGATACGTCGTCTATAGGTTAGGTAATATACCACAGCGTTCGACATCCTGTATTCGCAGAGTGGCACGAAGGCAAATGAGCGACAAAGCGGGGAGATCAGGTGAGCCGCCAGTCTGCAGGGTGGTATAGCTACCAGAATCGATGGGAAAGGCGAGGCAAATATGATCTGGCAGTCTATTGGGGCAGGCGCAACCAAGGATGAGAAGCCTTGCATTCGACAACGTTAGTCGTGATTTTTTTCACTGGATATAAAAAATGCCATGTTCCAATCCAGTGATTTGGGGTGTATTCGTCTAACAATGATTGAGGACATGAAAGGACTTTAGATGATGAGAATTTGGATAGTATTTTTCGTGTCCTGTGGCCAGAACGTAATCAAGAACACAGGTATTAGACCCTCAAATAAACTGACTCACATCCGAGATTAATATCCTCTCTGCATCTATCATGGGCAACGAGCAGCCTGGAATGTTTCGCCACTCATGACATGGCGATACGGGAGTCCACTAACGACTCTACGGACAAAGCGGCAGTCATTTAATAGTACGGTTCGTTCGAGGTGAGATATCATCCGGCCTGAAATCCTGTGATCCTTCGAGACCCTTGATGGCTTACTGGAGTGTGATGCCAAGAGCTTCTTATCGCCGCTGCCTGGACAGCCATTCATGTCTGCGCTCCCAGTACTTTTATCGGACAGATCTTCATCAGCCAATCGTCCACATATTCGCTCCTTCCGGCAAGTGATCCAGCGCCGACAGAATAAGGGTTGAAATCTAGCAAGTGGAGACGGACGCAATGCTCTGGTTGGTGCTCGAGCGTGGTAAAGATATATCGGTTCATGAAGTAGCATGCCCATGGTTGCTTGGTTCGAGGATCTTCATCAGGCGCGCAGAACGGCACCCCCAGTCATTCCATGAGACATGGACAGGAAGCGTGGGGACAGCGGCGGCACAAGAATTATCGGCGGCCTCCTTACTTGTCCGAGCATCATGCTCGAAACGTTTGGTCATGCGATAGATATCGGAAAGAGCAATGAATATCTTGTAACCATGTGGTGAGTACTGAGCCCTGCTCTAAGCGTGACAATGGCCACTCTGAAATCATCCTGTCTAGGACGGACAAATGGTCCATTGGTGGGCCAGGCTTGTTTCGGTGGATTGGAGGAATGAGTGGCTGGACCTGGTGAAATAGGTGGGAAGGATGCATTTGGAACGGAACTATCTGTCTGTGTTTCTTCCGTGGATAAGATTTCGTATTCTGGAGCTTCGAAGATAGGATTAGGCTCGCAGTGCAACGAAGCACCATCAGCTCCCCAGAACAACTGAGGCAATTGAAAAGTCGCCACATGCTGAGATGGAAGGCAAGGTTTGGTAGGGAGTCCTTCGTAGAAACAGGGTCTAAATGCATAAACTTCCAGCGAGGTGGTGGACCTTTCGCATCTGGAAAAGATGAAATGCTGTGGTGATAAGAAAAGAAAAGACTTCATCCCGACATTTAACAGTTCCTGCGTTTGTAAGAATTAGTGTAACTTGGAACTGGGAGCGAAGGATTCAAGCAAAAATACACATACACACTGGCATATCCCTGTCTTCCAGTTCCAAATCCAAAAGCCCCCATCCGGAGTGAAGGAGCACTCCATGACGCCGATAAAGTCACCGAATATGCTGACTTGATATGAACCGTCATTAGGTTGGAAGGGAGTGTTAAGGGCCTCGAACCGGGCCATCGGGTGCGGGGCATTATCGAACATTTGTCTTAGTCTGATAATACCACATTCAGGGCCCCTACAAATGTACACAGCCAAATTCTGCTCTGGGTCGATATCGAACACTCGAAATTCAAAACCGAGATGAATCAGAATAGGCAGTTGAGGTGGATCTATTTCGGTATCACCATCTGTGAATTCTTCAGAACGGCCAGGACTGGTGGAATCGAATGCAGATGGTGGCTCACGACCCCATGAACCGAAGGTCGGTCTGAGACTCTCGGGAGAGGCTGAAGCCATAAACAATTAGCGAAGTACCTGCCCTGGCCGCACGCGAGGAATCCATGCCGTAATTTGTATACAGCTGGCCAAGGCCTGATTGGCTGGATGTTTGAGAGTGCCATTTCAGATTTGCCCAACCGGCCTCACGCCTGCGAAGTCTGGCAAGTTTTTCTGCAACAGGAACTCGAGTCTGAGATTTGCATCAAATGAAGGATCGATAGGGGTGTCCGCAAAAACTTTACCGCACTAGTGCTAGCAGGAGTAATACTGGTAGTGCCAGCAAGGAGGCTGATTTCACGTTCAATGTGGTATTGGAGAACTAACGACTCCTCGATAACTTGTAGAAACAGTTTGGTCGTCTATAAGCGTTAACACGGATTCATATTAGTCCAATGGCTAACATCTCTTGAACTCTGCACGTAGGATGACCGAAGGGGAATGGAGTCGACCAAACAATCTACTTACCCGTTTACACCTGATCACATCGCGTAACGGAAGGTATTGAAAAATATTGGCTAAAATCTCCACTGGTAAGGCTGTAGAGAGCCGCGGCTCATTATGGTAGCCAGTAGTGACCTGAATGGACATCGTTGAGACAACACTTCGGGTTTGAAATATTTTAGTAAATCCTTGACAACACGTGGTCGAACGACATTTCAGACCTGATGTCCGTTCAGGCCCACTTCACTAGTAGCTACCATGATGAACCGCGGCTCGCCCCTATGGCCTTCCCAGTGGAGATTTTAGTCAATGTGTTTCAATACCTTTCTCTGGCTGATTTGATGAGGTGTAAACAGGCAAGTAGTTGCAAATCATTTTGGTCGACTCCATTCCCCTAAGTGTAGGGCTCAAGGGATGCTAGCCATCGAACTAATATGAGTGCCCTCTAACGCTTATAGACAACCAAACTGTTTCTACGTGTTATCGAGGAGTCTTTAATTCTTCAATATCACATTGAACGTGAAACCAGCCTCCTTGCTGGCACTACGACTATCACTCCTACTGCTACCGGTACGACGAAGGTTTTTTCGCATAATAACCCACTGTCTCCACTACTGAACCTTCCGCTATATCTCAGATTCTAGTTCGTTCACTGTTGCAGTGAAACTTGCCAGACTGCGCAGGCGTGAGGCTGGTTGGGCAAATCTGAAATGGCGCTTTCCCCCGTGTTTCATCCCGATCGGCCGATCAGTGGAAACTGTATACGAATTACAGCATGGATTCTTCGCGCGTGGCTTGAACCACGCATCCATTTTGGAATACCCTGATTGTTTATGGCTTCAGCCCCTTCCGAGAGTCTCAGACTCCTCCCGTTCTTCAGGTTTAGGTGCTGCCGAAATGAATGCATGTCTGATTTATCTGGGTTTTGAATTTCGAGAGTTCAATATCGACCCAGAGCAGAACTTGGCTGTGTACGTTTGTTGGGAACCTGGACCTGTTGGGCTACCTGATATAGAGGTTATCAGACTGAGAAAAATGTTTGATAATGCTCCACACCCGATGGCCCGGTTCGAGACGCTTAGCACTCGCTCCATACCTGACGGCCCATGTGCATATCAAGTCAGCATATTCGGTGACTTTATTGGCGTCATGATGCGGAACCTTCACGTTGCGAATGGGGGCTTTTGGATTTGGAACTGGAAAACAGGGATATGCCAATGTGTATGTATATATATATATATTGCTTGAATTCTTCGTTTCGTACACTAACACTTAATATGTAGGAATTGTTAGATCTTAGGATAGATTTCTTATCACCACGACATTTCATCTTTTCCCGGAGCGAAGGATCCGCTGCCTCGCTAGAAGTTTATGCATTTAGACCCTGCTATTACGAAGGACTCCCAACCAGACCATGCCTTCCATCTCAGCATGTCGCAACCTTCCAATTGCCTCAGTTATCCTCGTCGACTTATCATGGCCGCACTCTGTTGCGTTGCGAACCCAATCCCGTTTTTGAAGCGCCAGAATACGAGATCTTATCCCCACAGACAGACGGATCCGTTCCAAATGCATCCTCTCCGTCCTCCATTTCACCGGGTCCAGCCCCGAATTCTCCCAATCCGCCGAAACAAGCCTGGCCCACTAATGGGCCATTCGTCCGTCCTAGACAAGACGATTTCAGAGTGGCTGTTGTCACACTTACTTTAGGCTCTGGGCGTTCCCCAGATGATTACAAAATGTTTGTTGCTTTTTCCGATATCTATCGCATGACCAAACGGTTCGAGCATGATGCTTGGACGAGTAAGGAGACATCAGATGATGATTCCCGTGCCCACGCCCTTCCTGTCCATGTCTCTTGGGATGACTGGGGATGCCGTTCTGCGCGCTTATTGCAGATCTCAACCGAGAGACTGTGGATGTGCTGCATTTTCATGAACCGATATATCTTTCGCACACTCGAGTACCAAACGTGGATCAAAACAAAGGGGGGCGAATTTCTAGCCTCTCGCTACCGTCTTCAGTTGCTAGATTTTAACCCTTATTCTGTCAGCGCTGGGTCCCTCGCTGGGAGGAGCGAATTGCCGTGTCCATGGGATGGTTTGAGCGAGTTGGCTATGCCAACTTTTTCCGATAAACGAACCGGGAACGCAGACATGAGTGGGCGTCCAGGTGATGGTGATGAGAGGCTCTCGGAATCACATTCCAGTAAGCCATCGAGGATCTCGAAGGATCACAGGATTTCGGGTCGGATGGTATGTCACCTCGAACGAACGGTACTGCATGGGGTCGTTAGTGGACTTCCGTACCGCCATGTCACGAGTGGTAAAACAATTCGAGAGCAGTTGTCGCCCATGATAGACGCAGAGAGGATATTACTCATGGGTGTAAGTCAATCTGCATAATTGATTTATTTGAATCTAATCTCAGTATTCTTCATTACGTTCTGGCCACAGAGCTGGAATATGGAAGACACTATTGAAGTCCTCATCATCTGAACTCCTGACGGGGGCCTTTCACGCCCTCGATCCATTGGTTTAGATCCCAAAATCGCAGGATTTGGACTAACACACCAAACTTTGAAATGAACTGTGACAACTCTATCAAATAAAAAAACTTTTCAGCCTCGGTTGCGATGCCCACTAGACAGCTAGAACATGATCTCCCTGTTTTTCCGAATTAATTGCATTCCCCCACCCCATCTGCTCAGTTCCAGGATCAAACTCATCGCTTCGAAACGTCGGTTGTCAGCCCGCTGTGGCGCCGGTCAGGATGATGTTTCAATAGTCATTTCATGCCCATCAGTGTCGAGGCAAAAGGCTAGTCCGTCTGCTCAAAGCGCCGACTGATTCGGGTGGCTGCGCCACCCCCCCCCCCCGGTAGCTCACTTAATTTGCCATCGGGAGGAACTTCGAACAAGGACGATTCAACATGAAAAGAAGATAAGAATTTTTGCACCCAATGGCTGTTTGTACACTTTAGAAAAAGTACAAGATCAAAGAGAGATAAGGTAAGCGTTACGTATAAGGATCAGCGGTAAAAAAAAAAATCAAATTTTGTGGCTGTCGCTTCCCCCTGGCCGCTAACCGTGAAATGGGTGCACACACACACACACACACACACACACACACGCTTTTAGAAAGTGCACGTTTACTTGGATAGGAAAGGAATTCAACAGGGGCGCGATTATATATGTATACGGAACGTTGCATGCGCGGTTTCGAGGAGCATGCATGCTTATAGTCCTGACGTTTCCACTAGGGAACAAGGTGACATTAATACGAAGAGGGGGGGGGGAGGGCGGGAAGAAAGGAATCTGGCGCGGCGTTCTCTTTGAAACTAGGGTCGAAGCTTTTTTGTGACAGATCCAATAGCAAGATGCTCATTCCCCGGATCTCAAGATCAAGATCGCGCCAACGAGGGCAACTTGACCACGAGGTGTATGTACACCAAAGAAAGGAATGCGTCCCAGTCACTACACGGATCGTATTATTCAATGCATGCATTCATTATACACATGCACTTGCTGCGGCTTTGATGAAAAAAGAAGACATTAGTCAACATCCACACACGCAGTACAATGCATGCATGGCAATCAGAGACGAACAACAAACATACGAAGAAGCTCGCAAGAGAGAAGTCGAAGCGTCCGGACAAAAAAACGCAGCCAACCTTGGGAATGAAAGGAATGACGAGAAAGATGATCGACAGATGAGCCACCATCTGCGACCCGCCCGAAAAATGTACTAAGAAAGCCCACCAACATCACCACAACCCCAAGCTGTTCAAGTCGTACCACAAGACTCATCTCTTTATAGCAAAAACGGCTTTTTGGAACGTGCCAATTAGGTCCCTAACGAGGAAAAGGAAAAGGCGAAGATAAGCATTCATTCCAACCTGGAAGGAGCCGAACTTACCTAATACAGAGTTACATAATGAATTTGACTTGATTGATTTGCAGCCACAATAAAAAAATGCACAGCCACAGCCATCATCCAGGCCGTGGACTTTGTGCGCAATCTCAGCCCTATCCCTGAGAGCCAATAGAATGAGCGTGGTTGGAAAGAAAAAGAAAAAAAAAGTTGTAAATTCTCGCGATGGGCCGGCCTTTTATGTATAACCGGCATTCGTTCTAAAACCGGTTGGGGAGAATTCGACTCCGAACGAAAGTGATGCATTTGGAGGGGATTGCACACAGGGACCCCAACAGCGCGAGGTTGAGGGGGAGAAGGGGGGGGGGGAAAGAGCAGCAGCGGAATATGGGTGCAGAAGCCCTATGTAGTGAATTCGGAATCGTTCAAATACAACGAGCGCGAGGCGTTCAATCGCCAACTTGAAGCGTGGGAGGAGGTACATTTGTGAATGATGCTGCGGAGATCGTTTATCACATTCCTGTGCGTTCAATTCAGAAAAGAACGAGGAACGGAATTACCAATGATGGACGCCAAGCCAAGCCAAAAAACCGCGCGCGCCGCTCTGCCAGGGAGGCGATGCAAAAACAAACGTAAATCCCCGTTGATCTAGATCATGCAAGCAGCAAGGTTGACAACAATGCTTGGCGACGGACGATAATATGAGAGAGAGAGAGAGAAGAACGTTCGAACGAAGTTTTGGCAAAGAGCCATACATGTAAGGGACCCCTAGGCAGCAAGCGCGCCAATGTTTAGCGCTCTTGCCGCTCGTCAGGTATTCTGACAGGCTCCTCAATGGGCATAGCCATCATCTCCGACGATCCTTCCAATTCCGTCCTTATTGTCCCACCGCCTCCCATCATTCCTGTGCTGTCAGCAACCGGACCTGAATCGAGAAGGGTCGTACTTCCTGCACTCCTTCGCCATGCCGAGGGCGCTTTGTTGTCATAACGTAAACACCAGAGTGTGAGAAAAACCCCCGTTTTTTTTTTTGGTTCCCCGTTCATGTTGTTTGCACAGATCAGAGAAATGCGTGCGTCATCGAGAGTCATAGAATCAATCAAAAATGTCAGTCATCAAGTCCCATTCGTAATGAAGAAAGAAAAGGAAGTGGGGAATGGCGGGAAGGAAAGTTATCCAAAACCACCCGAGTAGAAAAATGCCAAACGTACGCCAAGTGCCAAAGCGCCCAGAGTCCATGAAACCCAAGCAAAGAACAAGAAAAAAATAAGTGAGAACCAGACTAACCGGTACTGGTCGACCCCCTCCATCCACCATTTTCATCACCCCAACTCCCCCTCTCCCCTTCCCCCGTCCCCGCCCCACTCTCATCCAAGCTTCTCCTTCCCAACTTCACAATCCCCGCGATCCCTCCACTGCCACCGACCTCTAAACTACGCCTCCTCGAGCCTCCACTACCACTACCAGCATGGCCAGCAGTCCCACCTGGACCATACTGTTGTGCAGCCCCAGGGAACCACGGACTGGTAGGACTCGGTGGACTTGGCGGACTCGTCGAACGAGACGTAGTCGGACCTCCAAGATTCAAATAGCGAATCGAACCCGATTGAGACTGAGTAGATCCCTTAGACCCCGTTCGTCTATGACCGCCACCACCACCTCTTTCGCCAGTCCCTTGTTCTGCTTGACTGTCATTCCCCCCTTGTAAATAAGGCAATTGTAAAGAATCGTGCCTCCATTCCCGTTCTTCAACATCGCCGGCTCCGAGTCTGTCAGTAAGCGGCGGCGGTGGAGGAATACCAAATCCAGTTTCAGGTCCACTCCACCCACTTTGTCGTACAGTTGGACCAAAATTATTGTGATCAGGATCGGGATAGGGACCACCTTGAACAGTCTGTTGTTGTTGTGCCTCGGGAGCATAACCACCACTTACGGGCACTTGCTGCTGCTGGTATTGTTGTTGATGATAATATTGCGGTTGAGGATGTTGGACTTGAACTTGATGATGGTAAGAGGGACTGGCAGGAGGGAACGAAGGTCTAGTAGGACTTTGCCGCTGTTGAACAAGAGGACTTGACGATCCCTCTTTCACTGACCCCATTCGGGCACGACGACGAGGTGAGGGAACCGGAACTGGCGACGCACGATCACCAAGATTACCACCACTACCTCCCACATCACCTTCACCTTCAACACTACCACCAACACCACTCACGTTATACCCAGTACCAATCCCAACACCAGTCCCATGCATAGACGTTCGACGACCCGACACGCTCACACCCCAACTCCCATATTGCTGTCCTTGGCCTTGTCCTCCCGCTCCTTGTTGTTGCACCGCCTGCCCAACTCCATTCGAGCCACCAGCCAAAGGTCTAGGCAGAACAATTTCAACCTGAGGTCTGATATGCGGCAAATGCGGTGCACCCCTCCAAGTCGTACTAGGAACTCGACTAGGGGCGCTACCTCCTCCACCGCCGCCGCTACTTCCACCGCTTCCGCTCGGTGTTCCTCCATGCACAGAGGAGCGAGTAGAATACCCATTCAACCGAGGACTCTCGCGCCGCGATCCCACAGTCGCACTAGCCTCCCGTCTCCGTGGACTTCCGTTCGCATTCACGTTCATGCCCACGCCCACGCCCACGTTCATATCCGCACCCGGCCCGCTGTTCGAATACAGGTTCGCACTCGCATTCGTATCGGGATAGGTCGGTTGAGTGTTGATGGGAGTGATGTTAGCCAGAGGGGACGTCGTCGAGGAAGATGGATTGACGGATGTGGAAGAAGCTTTACGCCGAAGAGACGCCGGTTTAGCACTAGCACTAGTGGCTTCAGCTATCGGCGTCGTTGGCGCTGGCGCTGGCCCAATTGGTCCAGGCGGCACGTGTGTAGATGCTGCGGCTGAAGAAGGTTGAGGGTGTACTGCCGTCCGAGTTCGCGAAAGAGAATGCCGTCGATGATGTTGTTGGTGGCTTTGGTACAGTAGCGTTTGATATTGCTGAGGAGATGACGACGGAAGATCTCTTCGTTCATAAAGTTGACGAGCGAATTCTGACACGGCAGCCTCTTCATTAATGGAAAAATGGTCGTTGTTGTTGTTGCCAGCATCGTTATTATTGCTGTGATCGTCGCTGTGAAAGTTTTGGGGTGTGAGTGTGAATGTTGTAGTGTCGGATACAGGTGATGACGGTGATAGAAGTGATGATGACGGAGGAAGAGGAGCAGGGGGAGGAGTTGGAACTGATGCTGAGGACGTCGTGGGCGTTGGTGAATGAGAAGATGGTAAAGGGGGTAAAGAATTCAGCGAAGCTTGTCCGCGAAGTCTTCCTCCATCTCGTGATAACTCTATCGAACTGCCACCGGGCGCTACCCCTACCGCACTTGCTATCACTAGTGGATGATCAGGAGTGGGAACGATGTAAGGAACAGGTCCGACTTGGGTGCCAGGAATGGGAATGCCAGAGCTGAAGGCGGGATTTTCGTGAAGAACAGACGTCGAACTATTGCCGGCGCTACTGTTACTACCTGAATTGGCAGCGAAAGGCATTGGAGGCAGCAATGGAGTAGCTGTGACGATATGAGGGCTCCTTTCATCGTAGTATGGACTAGGTGAAGATGATGCTGGGGAACCATCAGCAGTGGGAGCGTTTGGGGACGGCGGTGTTGCAATAAATCCTCGCTCTCCACCACCACCACCGGTAGCGCTCTGTCTTCCAAACAGAGGCGAAGGAAAGTAATGCGTTGAATAGTCCCGTTTCTCCAACATCTCCGGCGGTTCGAATGGATTTGCCCCACCAACACCAACCACGGCGTTTAAGGAACTGTTGGAGTACATTCTCGAATGGCGGGATACTTGATGCGGTAGTGGTTGAAGTGATGCTGGTATAGGAGTTGGCAATGAAGCACTCGGATAATGTCTCTCATCCACGTAACTCGTTCGACTTGCACTCGGACTAGACGACAGACGCCCACCAGGCGCGCCAACAAAGAGATCTCTCATAGAAGGGAGACCAGGTGAGTCTTCGTCGCCGTCATTAGAAGTCGTACCAGTCGTCGTAGCAGTAGCAGCACCCGTATCACCTTTTCTCCGGAATATACTCCACTGTGTCTTTCTCCGTCGAGGAGGACCTCGACGTGAAAGCCAAACAGAAATGATGCGCCAAAGTATTGCTATGAAGACGAGAGAGGAAACGACAGCGACTGCAGCGATGATCGGAGTTTTACTGCTGTGTCTCCCACCACCGCTGGGAATTGAGACGGTTGGAGCTGGAGTCCGGGTCTGCGAGGTGGTCGATATTCGCCTACTTCTACTTCCTCTACCGCCGCCACCCTCTTGTGTTTTGCTAGGATAAGAAACAGTGGAAGATGAGATGGGTTGCGTAGTCGTCGCCGTCGTCGTCGTCGGAGGGCGGGATGATGAAGCTTGGGATATTGATGATATCGGGTGATGAGAAGATCTGGCATGACCGGAGGAAGATGCAGGTGGAAACTGCTGCGTTCGAGGCGATGAGGAGCCGGGAGCCGGAGCGCTGTTTCTCGTTGTCGTCCTCGGTGAACGCGTGGTAGACATTAGGGGGTTGGGACGTGGTTGATGGTGGGGAGGACAGAAGAGAGGAACGGAAGCGAGCTAGGAAGAGATAAAATGGAAAGAGGGAATATTAAGTGGAAAAAAGGAAAAAACAAAAAAAAAGCTGATGATCAGCCAAATGAACGTTGGGAGAAGTGAGGGGGGGTTGGACAAGCAACCTATTACATATCAATTTGGAGGCGCCCACATTAATGGAGATTGGATAAAGATAACAGTGAACACGTGGGAATGCTTACGTGAGTATATGCAGAGAGAAGTGCAACGACGGAACGTCGAGAGATGCGATGAGGAGGTGGTTGGTTGAGGTTGAGGTTGGACTTTGACCCAACTGGTATCATTGACGGAAGGGTCAATGAGCAAATAAATCACCATTCCGATATTTCCCAATTTTATTTTGTTGGAGCCAAGCGTTTCCATTTAGGGAAATGAGTATTATCGCGAAAAATGGTGATTGGTTGTTACCCTCAAATTTACTATTTTTGGCACCTGACCCGTCTATTTACGTCATTCCATTCGGGAATTGCCCATCCTGTCAAGTCATTTCCCCTTCCATATCCGAGTTAGGGCACAGCCCCCCACTTAGCGGCTCTTTGCCGAGTCAACAGGACCTAATTCAACTCTCCTGACGACCTTTGACGTATTACAATGTAAAATACAAGAAAACAGAACACGACCTCTCCTGTTGGCAATCCGGGTTCAACACCATGCAGGGCCTTTCACATGCCGTCGCCCACTCCTCTCATCATTCCATCCACAGCACCGCAACTGCTTCTAACACTAACAAATCCAATATACCCCTCGCACAGCGTCTTCTCCATCCTTCCAATCCATCTATTCCTCTTCCCCCTATCCTCCTCTCGAACCCATCCAATTACCAAGAGGTCATTTCACAACTCAACAACGAACTCTACGACCTCATCGCTCTCTCTTTACGCGCATACATCTCCTCTTTATGGTGGCACACTTACATCTCACCAAGAGACAAATCTTTCTTACCTGAAATAAACCTCACCATCACCCACATCTTACAAGCCCTCGAACAACGTCTCCTCGACGTCGCAAACCTTCCAAATCTCTTCTTTCATACTTTACCCATTCTACTCATACAGCATTACAAAGATTATCGTTCAGCTCTTTCTAAACTTTCTACGAGTTACTATGCGCCCAGTCCTCTACAAGGATCGACGACTCGGAGCAACAGCACAAGTACCAATGACCTCGCTCATATCTTCCACTCAACACAGCCTCATCTCGGAGTAGACGAGTTCGGTTCCTTCAACGATACCTACCTTCGTCAAATCATCGATCACATTCTCAAAGCGACTCTACCCCCAGATGACTACCAAAGCGATCTCGAAAGGTCCATCATTCGAGAAATCTTGGTCAAACCCCTCCTTGGATCAGCTGTCTTGCCTACTTTATCACAACCTTGGTTCTTACATTCTATTGCCTTGTCCTTCTTAGGCGTTCCTTTACCAATACAAGTAAGTAACATATATCCCCTTGGTGCCTACTCGCGCGCTCACCTAATTGATGCATTTCGTGCTACATTAGCCACACTCCCCGCCACCCCCTCCGCCACTCGAATCGGAATCAACCTCAAACTCCACATCCATATCCTCCATCCTCCTCCCGCACAACATCCTCATCTCCCTTCTCACCTGCATCCAATCCATCTCAACCACCTGTCTAACCATCATTTCTTTCTTCCAAACCACATTTACCTTGATATATACCATCAACACTTTACCATCCCCATCTTCAACGACGGAAGACAACAATGGCGGCGGCAGAAGGCTCAATAAGGGTAATATGAACTTTGAAGCAGACCGCAAGGCAGTAGAATGGGAAGAGGAATCGTCGTCGTCGTCATCGTCACCATCCAGGGGAATTATTACTACTGGGAATGACGACACCGATATCGACATCGTTCAACCTATCGTCGAGCTAACCGCTCAAGTGTTCAAGATGAGAGAAAGGACCGCAAGTACTGCTTTGCTGATCTTTATCAAAGCCATTACGATCTATTTTAAATCTTTCTTTAACAAGTAAGCTCCTTTCCGCCCCCTTGCGGGGTTGGCTGCCGATTCCCCGCCAAAAGAATTATCTAACTTTTCCCCCCCACCCCCCCAACGTCAGACTTCTCCTTTACACACTCAAAACCAACCTACTCACCCCACCCCGAATCGTTCAACTCGTTCAACTCTCGAAAAAGACTCTTTTCCCCCTCGAAGGAGGTTGGCCTGGTCCTTCACCTGAGGATCCGTCACTTGAACAACAATTATTGATGAAGGACGCTTTGGAGGATAAGATCCTCGAGATGATTCCGAGTACGTGCTTACGTTGTTATGTCTCTGTCCCCATGGGAAGTCAATTTTTTGAGCAATAGGTTCACTACGACCTTACCTACTTGGTCCACCATCACCGGCGACGAGGACGACGCAACGAAAGCATAAAGAAGCGATTAGAGACATGCTAGAACCATTAAGTGGGTCGAAGGAGTGTAATGCTCATCTAGTCATGTTGGTCTTCGAAGCGGTCGTGTTGGCACTGTTCCCTGAGATGGGAGTAGTAGGAGGAAGTGGAGGAGGAAGTGGAAGAAGTGGTCGAGGAGGACGTGGCGCTGATGATGATGATAGCGATGGGCTTGGAGGCGGAGTGGATGTGGATGTGGATGTGAATGGAGATGGGAGGTTGGGGGCCAGAAGCCAAACAGGAGATGATACGAAACCGCCATCGGCTTCTGCCAGTGGTGACAGGTTGTCTGAGTACGCCATTGCCAAATCACCACTTGCGACTTAATCGTAATCCATAATATGTTGGAAAGGGGGAATTGGGAAACGCAAAAAATGCAACTGCCAGGATCTTACTTAGCTAGGCTTCTTTAACGGCTTCCCCATCACAGCATGCCTCCCGTTGAAACTTGCTAGGCGATAAAGCGCCCCCACCGATGACCATTAGTTCGTCAAGTTGGATTGTTATGGATGTATGTGGAAAGGTGATTTTCTATGTAAACACAGAGGTGCAACCTTGCATGGGGTCGCTTGCTTCCGCACATGTGTGCTGATGAAGAATTTTTTTCTTTCGGTCAACGCTAGTGTGGGATTCAAGTCTGCAATTTTATATCGAGCCGCAGTTGGGGCCAGAAAAATGGACCACTACACGCACACCACCGAGAGGCGTACAGCCCGTCAATTGGAACCGTGATAGGCTCAAGGACTCTGACCGAGTTATCGAGACTTGGGCAGACGAGTTAATAGGTCATCCACCTTCGAAAGTGAGGAGCCGTTTACCCTGTGTGCCTTGGCCAAACTTGCACTGTGGCCGGAATAAGATGAGATCTAAGAGTGCTATATTCAAGCCCTTCGGGAGCGTGGGAGGGGGCAAATTCAGCCAAGTACTTGAACGGGATATGTAGTGTATGACGGAAAGAGACCAGTTGACAACTGGGCCTGCGCGCCTACCGCACCATCCTAGTGGACGCAGAGAAAGACAAAGTCCAATATCCGCACGCCCATAAAGATTAGGAATAAGTGCCCCCCCAGGAGACAACACATGAAGTAGCAGCCAGAAGGGAAAAGTGGCAAAGTGAACTAAGAACAAACCGCAAGTGAACAAGACCCACTTGCTTCATTCTGTTGAGTAAGGCAAGGCCCGTAGGCTGGCAGTTGTCACTGTTGTTGCCTCTGAAAATTCATAGCCTGGAATCGACGGTTCGACCAGGAGAGGGCTGCATATGCGGGGGCAAAGTCCGATTGCGGATGCAAAACCACTCCTGGTCACGAAATATCAACGGCGTATGTGTCGCATGTGTCGCACAGGGTTATTCTCCGCGACGTCACCGACAACTTGACACCGACAGTTCTCACACTTGGAAAGTGCTGCCGTCTATTGCGCAGCATCAGCAGGCCCGGCTGCTCATTTAGCCCATTGAAACGCAACGTGACTTTGGAAGTAGATGCCCCCCCGCGGCTATGAAATTGATTCCCTGAGTCTGGCTGGTTCCAGGTCAGACTTGTAAGGGAGTTGAGCAAGCGAAAGGTTTAAGACAGTAGATGTCGTGTCAGCGACGTTAACGATCGAAAGCAAGCAGTGAAAGAAGGGTGTGATGAGTCGACTTGGGGAGCGAACCAGACTCTTACAGGGACACAAGGTAAAAGACCAAGTAGCAGACTAAGGGTTCTCATGTGTATCCATGGAAGTAGCATCTATAGAGGCTGGTACCTATCGTCCAACAATGAACTCGCGTTGCCTCTCGCACCAATTTTCTGTCGATAGTGAGGGAAAACCACTTGACTAGACCGAGTTGGTGTTCACCATTTTGGCTAAGATTTTCGTTTGGAACGAGCGCACGCGTGCACGGTCCGAGAGATGGTTACCACGTGGGCGTGGGAAATTATGGTAAGTTTTTTCCCAGAGCCCCCTTTGTCCTGTTCGCTCTGAACGATCAGAATTACGAGATTACGCGAGCCATATGCTCTGGCGGGCTCTCGTTATACGTGGTCGGTGGCTTTCTGCCTTGTCAGGGAAACCCTTGAGGTGATATGCTTCTACTTTTCTCTTCGTGCTCATCGCACGGCAACTGGGTGTGTCACTAATGAGTGTGCTAAATGGTTAGCACGTAATGCTCGACTACTGGTCGGGTCTCAATCTCTCGGGACACTCGCCACTATAAGGCCGTCAAATGCTACTGAAGTGCCCGGTGCACCATTCGCACTTATGGAGTACTTCCATGCTATTCGACTGGCTCACCAGCTCTCATCCTCGTTGACATCTCACAGAGTGCCACCAATATATGGGCCTCACCGACACATGCCACTACATTCACCATCCAGGCACCCTTATCACTATCACCAGTATCAAAGCCCCGTATAGCACTCATCGGTTCAGTCAGTGCTGTGGGACCATACAATGATCTCGACAGCCTGGAAGAATGTTATATTGACAGACACCCAGATGCCACCTCGTGGTTGCCAGGGAAGTCACCATTTCAAGTAAGCCCATGTCCAATGGGCTCGATTTGATCCTTCCGTTATATATTATGTTGGCGCGCAAGTTATCTCCTTAACAATGGCCCCGAGTGCCTTTGTGTGACCACGAAACGAAGCTTTCACACCGCAGAGGGAGGATGGGGATCCCTACCCATACTTCCTATTAGAGTAACGATAGCTCGAGCCCGAGAACGCAACGGCACGGAGCTCTGACATGAACCAAGTGGTTCTCGTCGCCACAGCCACAAACCAATGACCCCAACCCACAGCCCAGGACTTTGAAATTTCTCACATGGACAAACACCGTGAAATTGAATGTCACGTCACTCGATCTCAAAAGGCGACTCACGAGCTGAATTAACCGCCTTGAAGCAATGAACGAGGCGATTATAAATTCTTGTCTTAATGTCCACACCACCTAAAATTAATTCTACCAAGAGGCTTGGGTCATATGGGTCGCGTTGTGTCTCCCTAGCTGGCTCTTAGCTGTGGGTGAGATGGTCGAGTTAATCCAAGGCGCCAGATTAAGGATCCCTATATCTCTGGTCCGTTCGCGGGCGTGGGTTCGGATCCCACTCTCATCACGGGGGATATTTTTATTGGCGCCAATCAAGATCCACTGTTTTTCTACCTTCAGCCTAAGAGACTCATTCCTCTGGTTTTTAACATCACAATTGGTTGCACTGTTGCTCTAAATGCTTGACTTTGCTTGCTATTGGCGCTGTGCGGCGCTATTTGTGTAGTGGGTTCGACAACTGATACGTGGCACACAGCTGGATAGAGGTCGTTTTCTCGAAATAGCAGGGTTTGTCGCATCGAAATTGTTCACCCGAAGAACAATTTTCCCACAAGTTGCACTAGCGACTCTGAACCCTTGCTCTAATGACTCCTATTTTTGAGTCACCGCATAGATGAGACTTGAGCCTTAACTTCTGTGTACTACCAGCCCTCGAGGTGCCAAAGAAGCACTGGGATCATTGATCAATGTTCAGCACCCCGGGACGATGAGCAAGCCGATGCCCGTGGATCAAAGACAAGCTAAATCCAATGGCTCGGCTCGGCCACCACTTCACGGCATTTCCGATTCAGTATCGGAGGTGGAAGTTGAATCGGCAACGCAGTATCCCTTCCTGACAACGCTCGTCGCACCTGGCAAAGCTTTCTGTCAGGCGGTTAGGGATGTGTGACCGAGGTCCACATCAGCTCTCATCTCGGTGTTCTGTCAAGACGACATATACTTCTAAGTCTGCTTCCAAGTATGACGCAACCATCCAAACATGATTATAACATCAGATATGTAGCAGCATCAGCTAGACACTGAGCTTCGATGTAGTCCGAGGCCGTTATCGAGAATCAAAGAAACCTCCTTGATAGCATATGTCCCGCGATCCTTTGCGCACCCGTAATAATGCTCTCTGCAGTAATTATGTCATCTCGCACGTAGGTACTTGATTTCTCGCCTACAACATCTGCCCATAGTTACGGCAGGCAATGATCAATATTACAGCAACAGGAATGGGGCCAAATGACTAGAACGGGAACCCTAGAATCGGAGCCCGATACAGTATATTTTGGATTGAACCGAATTAAACGAAGGTATCATTATGTGCGGAATAGTTGGCAGAGAACGAGGGGCAGAAAGAATAAGGCTACACTAGTGCGATGAGCGGATCAATCACGCACAATGTCGGCTTGTGAGCAATAATAAGCAAGATATACTGTGACTGTTAAGGTGTTAGGTGTTGGGTGTGCTCGTTTTTATTGAGAGTCGTCTAGTCTTTGAGGTGGTACATCTCAGCGAACAGTTGCGAGAGTGGGCAAGGAAGGCTCACGTACTTCGCAACACTCTCCGACATTTCTCTTACTAAGGCGACTGTCTCTATTGCAGTACTGCAAAGCTTGGCTAGGACATGCTCCGACGACGGCAGCTTTTCAGCGCGATGTCCCAAGATCTCCATGATTTCATCCTCTGAGTCAACATATGTCGAGGTGGGGGACAATTTGCCTGATCCCTCCCTCGAGTCGTGGGCCACCCTGTCGTCATCGAATACTGAAGTCATCGTGGAGGAAAGTACCCGCTCAGCAGATAATGTCTCTTGAAGACGGGTCAGTGCGTGCTCAAGAGTGCTCGCATTAGCATCCAAGCGAGACGACACGGACTTCAGGCGTAGAGTAGCTAGAAGCCAGACGAGTTGGTAAAAGCAATGGTTCAGACAAATATGCTGACCAGAACCAGATTCGGTTGCCTCGAGCGATGAACACGCTCCTTGACCAGTTTGGAAGGCTGAATGGGCAAAAGGTAAGGAATGTACAGGGATCAAGAGTGGGGTAAGTAGCTCATTCCGTCACACAATTGGATCCTGAAATTTACCTTGTGGTGCGGTGTACCTCCTTGTGAAATCCTCCAGCGTTGTTTCTGCGCATATCGTTAGCCTTGTTACGTGGTGGATTAGCATCCTACCTACTCCAAGGATTGAACGCCTCCTCAAAGGGGTTCCCCTTTAATAAACCGTCCTCGCGAGACTCGAATGTTGCACCCCCTTCAGAGCAAGGAATGCGGGGCCCGGCCCACTGCCATTGAATGTGATTCTCATGCTCTAAAGCAGGGGCTGGCTCGGCCATGTTCATGAGCCGCTCTATCTCAGCTTCGGAGAAGTCAAGCTCCAAGTCCGTCTGATTTATGGCACCATTCGGTAATGAAGTTACAATTGTGATATATGAGGAACGACGCGTGAAAGTGGGTCGAGAAACTGTTCAGCAATGATTAGCAATATATACGAGTGTTCAGTGACCAAAACCCGCCTTCTTCGCGCTCCCTGGCTTCCTGGGAGGAGTATGCCACGTACAGGTTGCCTATTCGTCTGTCTCAGTAAAACTGCTTGTTCACACATGGTGAAACATTGGTACGCTGTTGGTTGTAAGGTAAGTCGGCGAACGAGCTCGAACGCTTGCGACCCGAGCGTTTGCGCCCAAGACGTGTAGTTGGTGGTACATTTTCGTTCCCACGGACGCGAGATCGGCGAGCTGAGGAGCGCGCTCTCTGCATTACGGGCATCTTCTTGGAATTATATTTGACGGACGGTTAGAAGGAATGATTCAAGTAAGGCTAGAGGCCGATGTGAGCGTCAAGAAAGTGAAAAGAGGGGTATGAGGTTGCAGCCGTATCAGAGGACCTGCTCCGTTAAGCACACAGTCGACACGCGTTGAAAGAGGGAGGTAGTGGGAGGAAGATAAAGTAGCAGCGCTCTAACGATCCAGTGCTCTTAAGCTGGGGATTCAAGAGCCATACTATTTCCATGACGGCCAAAGGTGGCAGCAAAACAATGTATGAGTCAAGCGCAGTTTGAGCGGCCTCTTGCAGATGCTCCTAATTCCTGAGCCTCGTCTGCGTGGCTTACGACACATTTGGTAAGCCATCCCTAATTTGGACGGAACATACTTGCAATTGTGGAACAAGGAATTAGAAGACAAATAATAGGGCTGCTTGACCCCGCGGTCAACAGAATGAGTAAATCCAGATTTCACACTAAATGTACAGTCATATCCAACACACCCAGAAAATGCAGTAGTATAGGGAATATGGGCCTATTCGCACCCCGGCGCCATGGCGATTGGGCGCGTGTACATCCATTGTGCATACCAAACACGGCATCACGCAATACTTGTTCTCTCGTCGGTACAACCATCTTCGTCCGCTGCATGAATAGCCAATTGGATCGGTCTAGGTTGCCTAGTACCACACGCACATTAGTGCCGCGGATCCAGGGACATATTGATGATCACGGAGGAGTTGCGGTAATTCCTCCGCAACCAATCGACAGCTCCCACACTCTCAGCTCATCGCCCCGCTGTACAAGTGGAGCTAACAACTTGGTGTTGACCATCCTCCTATTTAGGGACCAATTTCAGGAGTCGCGATCATTTCACTCAGACATGCTGTCAAGGTGGAGTGCAAGTTCGAAAGAATCCGTCAGTGCGAATTATTTGCCAAGTTGGTGACAAAGGAAAAGGAGTGCGGATATACGAGTCACGGCCTGCCTCCTTTCTGATCAGCAAAAATTTGAAAGATTAATCATCCAGCGTAAATGAGGATATGCCTTGGGATGCACGCAAGCATTTACATCCTTCCGTCAGGAAGCTGGGATCGACCCGGATGGTTGACCAAGAAAAGATGGATTTTGCGCCGGATCTGGGGGCAAGTAGCTGGATAGATCGTGATTGTTGTAATCGAATACTCAACTAGCATCAATGGTGCAAACACGAAGGGAAGTGTAAGGAATATGTAATTGTGCTTGTTTAAGCACTCCGTCGAGAAGCTACATTATCAACGGGGGAATTAAGGCCAATAGCAATATTCCCACGCTACCATTGTGTGGCGTTTGGTGCAATATACAATGAGGAATAAGGGATGAGGCAAGTATGTTGCTACCATTCCTCAAAATGGGAGTTGGACGAATTGACTGAGGAAAAATCACATCGCTGGCGAGCAGCGGAGGGAGCATCGTAACTCAGCGGCAGAGTGCTGGGCTCATATGAAGGAACCCAGAGGTCACTGGATCGAAACCAGTCGATGCTAACACTTTTTCCAATTGAAAATGTTGGGTTCCTTCAACGATCTGTAAAGGATTGACCTTACTTCACTATAATTTTGATCATAGTGATATTTGTTTCGCTATAGCGAGATGTTTGTTTATTTGTACATGTAATCGATCGCCTGACGCGCCACTTCCCCCCCTTGGATCATCCATTACTTTTATTTGGCCAGCCGATTGCACCTCCTCTGTTCTGTAATTTGGGAACGCACTTCTCCTGCTTAAGAACACAGGGAACGGAGCTCAAGATGTGTATCATTGTGAAGAACACCAAAACCCTGACTATTTTTTTTCAGCAGACGAACTTTGTCTCTCCACGTCCTCTCCGCGTCACAAAAATCGGACAGTCTATGAGCAAGGTCCCCCCCTCTAGAGTGCTCTAGAACATTTGAGAGCATTTGAGAACCCGTGAGAGCACCTGCATCAGGAAAACTGAACAAGTGCTCTAGAGCACTCTAGGGGACCTTGCTCATAGACTGTCCGATTTTCGTGACGCGCAGCGACCCCTTGCGGCTGTAATCGAGATGCGAAATCGGCTGTGGCCTGTTCACTGTGAATCGCCAACCATAACCATAGTTAGAGCAGAGCGGGACGATCAACAACAGCACGGGGGCGGATGGAGACAGGACGGAAATCCAGAAATACGGCTTAGTCCCGAACTCGTTGCTGTAGGTGAGGGTTCGAATATTTGGAAGTGAAAACGGTTATGGCACGGCTGCGTAGGCTAAGGGCGATCAACCTTACAAACCACCAATGATAGTTATTAGTGGGAAACCCCGCGACCTTGAGTCTCTTCAAAAACGCGCAACGTTTGGGCAGCGGTGGTTCAAGCAGCCAGATCTTTAGGGCCTCCTAAATGACGCCCAACGGCTGTTGGTCCGAGGGAGAATGGAAGGTTATAGGAGAGTTAGGGGGCCACCCGCGCGCCAGGCACCTGAGCCACTTGAGTTCTGTAACCCCCTGACTTCATTTGACCTGAAAGCGAAAATACCAATTATTAAAGTACGTTAGAAACGAGTGAATCACTAGCCTGAATGCCGGTGCGGAGACAGCAAGGTTGCTGTGTGAGTCGGGGCATCTGTCATGCACGCGGGACACTTGAGTTGCGCAATTCCCTTGGATGAACCCTTCCCCCTCGTTTTCCGAGGACCAAATTTCAGCTGATCGGCGGATCTTCATGCGTTGGAATCGAGTGCTCAGATAGAGAGGCAAATATAGTCCCCAGACATTCAGGGGCCAATGACGATCCATGAAACTCCTCCGAAACGCATTTTTTGCTGGCAGAGCCGATGACGACGGGCTCTTCGTGTATCGCGTTAGTTTGACCGACGATCTGCATCACGGTTTGGTGGGGTTGAAACGATCGAATTTTCCTTCTCGCCGTATTTCGAGCCCGGGTGCTAGGGGGACGGGAACTTGACATTTATCCTTAAACAACAGTTTGATTCCGTCGCGGGGCACATCTACCCCTTCGTCGTGGAGGTCAACCTGGAACTTAACTCCTTCTGCACAGTAGGTGAAGGAAGCGCACGGCGAAATTGACCCTCTGGGTCCCATTGGGGGTTTGAAAATACGGAATGAAAGCGTCGTTGTTGCTTTAAAGCAGCGAAAGTAGCAGTACAGGCCTGGCTTTCCAAAAACATTGGGTGAAGGTTTCATTGCATGGTGGGAATTATGTGACTATTGCAAATTCCACTTTATTTCACATCAGATGTTTTAATTAGACCTCGATCGGATCGGTCTATGGCGACTTTAGCTGTATTGTAGCGGAGTTGTCCGAATTTATTGTCTTTGCACTGCCATTCAGTCTAAACCCACAGGACCCGCTACAGAGTAGCGGGAATACAGCTCATCAAAGCGTGATACTTAGACGGACACTCAAGGCACGAGGCGAACGGGGGAACGGAACGACACCGTCCCCAAATAGTAAGCACTTCACTGCCAGCGATCTTTCAACCAGCATAATACCTTAATCCGTTCCATCAGTACCGTGTACGTAGGCCCAACTTTTCCTTCCAGCGAGGAAGCGTGAGCTCCAGGAAGAATTCATCCATCCATCCACGTCCCCTCCTGGCTCATATTCTGCTATGAGCGATTTGTTGAGATCAACAATGAGTGCAAGACTGGCCAAATTGCCCCCAGTCCCACCGTATGATAATGAGGAAGCAGAAGAAGAGGAAGGAAAGGATAGCCTAGGGTCATTATCCCTCAATCCTCCGGCACTCGACTCTCGAGAACGCTCCACCAAGCCAAATCCAGTTCTATCACCTCTCTCGGCCTCCACACATTTCGATCAAGCCATTCAGGTTGCTGTCCCAGCTTCTGATCTGGATTTTCGTGTGTATATCACGCCTCCCGTACCTCCTAAAAACCCAAACGATGGGAAAAGTAGCATAATATGTGCGCATCACGGAGCTGGTTACTCGGCGCTTAGCTTTGCTTGTCTAGCAAAAGCTGTGACTGAAATGACTGACGGGGAACTTGGATTCATGGCTTTCGATGCACGGGCTCATGGTGAGTGAGTGCAGAATAATAATTCATATCACTTGCCCAATGCGTACCCTCGAAGGAAAGACATACTCGTTGTCAAATCCTCCGTCCGATCCAGCGTTGCTTGATTTGTCCTTGACTAGGCTAGTTGACGATTTTGTTAATCTCACAACAACAATGTATCCTGAGCCTCTTGAAGCGCCTACGTTCGTCGTATGTCCATCCGACTGTGCGCGACGCTCTTCATCTGACTCCGGCCCCAGTTAGTAGGGCATAGTATGGGAGGCGCAGTTTTTACAAATGCAACACCACGTCTTCTCGAGAAGAAATATTCGATAGGGGGAGTGACGGTCCTGGACGTTGTAGAAGGTGGGTTCTCCTGATGTTGGGAGAATGTGAGTCTGATCGACCATCAGGTTCTGCGATGGAGGCCCTTCCTCACATGCATCAGCTTTTGGCTTCTCGACCGGAAGGTTTCCCAAGTGTAGAGAGAGCCATTGAATGGCAGTATGTCCGATGTTCTGTTTATAAAGACATGAACTTACCGATTGACAGCATCACCGGTAGCACCGGATCGGTGATACATAATACACTTTCTGCAAGACTATCCGTCCCATCATTGTTCATCGCCCCAAAGGACGGTGAGGAAGGGTCCATTGCATGGAAATGGAGAACCCCGCTCAAGTCAACTGCACCATTCTGGGAAAGTACGCCAATCCCCTTAGTGTTTCTTTGTTGTAATTAAGGCCCGACTCCCTGTGATAGGCTGGTTTGCAGGGTTGTCAAAGTCATTCCTCGCTGCACGGACTGCACGCTTGCTCATTCTAGCAGGTACTGACCGCCTGGATCGCGAGCTCATGATCGGGCAAATGCAGGGGAAATTTCAGATGGCTGTAATCCCAGACGTGGGTCATATGCTACACGAAGTGAGTGTCGAATTATCGCTCGTTGAAGGTTGACACTAAGCCGCCTTCAAGGATAACCCGGAGAAAGTTTCCCAAATCCTGGTTGACTTTTGGAAACGGAACGAGAGGATCACACTACCTGGTATCAAGAAGGTTGGAGAAAGGTAGAAAGGCGACTCCGAGTCTTTGGGTGAATCTCTGCTCTGGTATCTGTGTGTAGGTTATGTGATACGCAGTGTGGAAGAATGTCTTAGAAAAGCAGATAATCCCCTCTGGCGAATCACTTTCATTGCTGTCTGGCATTTTTCTACCCGATCTCTCTGTAGGCGAACTCAAACAAACCGCAATATATGCAGCACGCCTCCAACGCAACTGGGCGTCTGGAGATCCAAGAGTGTTTACCTATACTGAATTCTCCGTAGCAGTACCCTCTGCTTACGTCCAGATTGCCTGGTCAGGGCGGGAAGTATTTATTGACTATTCGTGGTGGCAATGTTGTGTCAATATGGCATCTGGAACCGAATCTAAGGAGATCGCGTCTGGGGGGCATCAGGGGCAATCGCCGAAGCGGTCCCCAACAGTGACAGTGGAGACCAGTATGTCCTCGTATTAGTCATCCATAGATTTATGCTGAATGTCTCCAGGCGTCAATATACGACTCTGTACAATCCAACCCTTGCTAAGAACGACATATTACGGAAAAATATTCGAAGAGGCATTTGTTTAATTACCAACGCCAAATGTTGATAGAACTGAAGGGTGCTCAGCTAATAACCCAGTTTGTCAGTGGGATGTCTCGCCACTCTACGTGCTTTAAATTTATACGTTCTTCCCTCCCTTGACAGCGCGGCACACTTGGATTCTCGGCTATAGAAGCCCTCAGCGACTGCATAATAATTCAACCTTGGAGCGTCGATATCTTCACACTTCCTGATATCGCATGGAATACGGAGCCTCACAACTTCCGGGAACAACTACTGTGTTCCAAGCCTTCCGACCCGAAATTTCGGATTGGCAATCTAGGATCATCATTCCGCATGGTGCGGGGAGGACGAGGAAAGTACGTTTAGCGCGGGTGGAGGGACGGATATGGGCGGGTCAGTTGAATGGCTGAATCAATCTCCAAGTCACTCACAGTTCATTGTGGTGCTGCGGAAGAGGTAGCGTCAAGATGATCACCCTAGTCGGTGAGAGGGATTATTATGGTGTCCTAGATCTGACGCCGGTTGCTCAAGTCCCCATTCGCGCTTAGGGAGGACCGTTCCGCCACTCTCTCCTTCTATTGCTGCGGGATCATCCCAAAGACCCGACTTGGTGCCTATGAGGACGATTGACGTCCGAGGTGCCATGGTACGAGATCTCCGGCTCCACCACTTAGAGTGAAAAGTAAGGATCTCGTTTTTAGCCAACTCGCGCAGTCTTATTGCAAAACAAAAGCTAGTAAACCTACCTTCGTTCGAACGTGTTCGAAGCTGGGGAGGGGGAAACGAGCGAAAAAAGCAGATTAAGAAAACGTCTGTTTGACAGTGGTTTCGCAAACGGTCGCAACTTTCGTCACCAGAAACATCCCAGAGTCCGAGAGATATGACCTTTCCATCTACCTATATTCGCTGGATAAGCCAATGATCATGTGTCCCCCCTCTTTGGTATGAGTCTCAAAGGTGTAATCCCCGGCGGGAGGGGGGGGGAGGCTGAGCGAACTCGTAGGAGTGCATTCGTCCTGAAAGCCCAGGACCATATAAGATTCATAGGCCACACGAACGGTGAAATTGCCGTGCAGGTGGTTCACTGGAACGTATTGTTGATGTAAGAGATGGGAAGATCACCGGAGGGGAGTGTTGAGCAAGTCATGAAACAATCCCGGAACTGAGAAGAGACTAAGCTGGTAAATGCCAGTAATGCCAGGCAAAAAGTTCGAATCCAATTAAATGATGATGCACGTAGGACTCTTCCTAGTAGGTCGACGTCGGGCATCAAAGGGAATCATGGAGTAGCATTCGCATAAACGGTGTGACGAGTACTTACGGGGCCGCTAGTATAACATCATCAAATAGATCCTCCAAACTCCTCTGCGAAAGGGCAGAGCATTTGAGGTACTTCACAGCACCTTTTGCCTCGCAATACCAGCTTGATAAAAAATGGAAGCCATTCCACTACGATTTGCAAGACAATTGTAGATGCATGACACAGAGCGGCTGAACGTTCACCGTTCTCGGGTACTTCTATCGTTTCGGGATCATCCCGAAGATCCAACTTGGTGCCTACGAGAACGATTGGCGTCTGAGGTGCGTGATGCAAGATAACATAAAACTAACCCACGTTCGTTCGAACGTTTTCGAAGCTAGGAGGGGAAACGATAGGCAGGTGACCAGCCTCTCTTTAGGGGAAGAGGAAAAGCAGATCAAGAAAACGTGGGTTTGAGGGTATGATAACGATCGTAAACGGTCGTAATACCCCTGGCCAACAGTATCCCAGAGTGCGAGTTCGAGAGATCTGGGCTCCTCATACCATTACACTAGCAGCCATCGCATAATTATCACACTAATGATCATGTGTCCCCCACCCTTTAGTCATGAGTCTGTCCCCGGTGGGGGTCGAGCGAACCTGTAGGAATGTGTTCTCCCTGAAAGCCCATATTCATACTAGGACAGTGCACGAACGCCATGCAAATGGCTCACTGGAAACTTATTGTTGATGTAAGACATCAAAAGGCACCTCTGCAGAGAACACAACTTGGTCAGAAAAAAAAACCTCTTTGTCTGCGAAAGCACCTTGCCAACGCCTCTGTCACCCATCTATACTAATAGAGGCTGGTAACCTGCCTATGTCACCCACAACTACCACTTCATAATTGACAAACGACACAGCCACTTCCTGGACCTGTCAATTCCACTTTAGGCTGGGATCCTGCCGTCATTCTGTCATGCGCGCTATTTCTCGAACACTTAGTTTTCCGACAGAATACCTGTTCGCAACATCTTTAAAGTCCTTAGCGCTCCCCATCATTCCTCTGACTTCTGACCCAGAACTTCATTCCCTTACGTACTCAAAACCCACCTCACCCCACCACGAATTGCCCAATTCATTCAACTCTCGCAAAAGACTCTCTCCCCTCGAAGGAGGATCGCTTGAGAAACTGTAGATGAGGGATACTTTGGGGTTGATTTCGATGAATTCACTACTGCTTGCGCTACAAAAAGTATTAGAGACATGCTGAAGCCGTTGAGTTGGTCGGGGAATATAATGCTCATCTAGTGATGATGGTTTTCCCCGAAAAGGGTAATTGGAGTACTAGCACAAAGGTGATAACCCCGGTCGGTGAGTAATGGCCTGAGGGATTTTTATGGTGTCCTGTCCTAAGTCTGACGCTGGTCCCGAGTCGAGCTCAGGGAAGACTGTTCCGCCCCCGCCCCCTTTCCATATTTGTTCACTCCATGGTAAATGTTCAGATGTCCAGGGTACCTGTTTTTTTTTTTAATTGTATTTATTATGCTTGGTTATTTGCGACATATGTATTTATCATATGCGCCTGCATGAAGCCCAGGACCTAGAAGGTTTGGCTCCTCACGAAGAAGACTTGCCACAACGTAGGCATGCCCCAGCCAGCGCCTCAAGAAACGGCACCCCTCCGAGTACCGTTTGCGAGGTTTGCAAGTTCAAGTCCAGCGGGTTCCGCTTTTGTGACTCAAACAATGTGCCTTGAAGCTACCAGCATACTTTCCAAGTTTCCCGCTTCCCATCCCATCCAAGCATATAGAGACCATTCTTAATACCAAGCCCGCAATTCAGAGGTTCAAAAGCCGGAATTTAGGACAGCCCCGTTCAAAAAGCTCCTAAACAAAGTACAAAGGAAAAAAATAAATTTGCCAAACCACATTGGATCAACCGGCTAGTAACAGATGCTCTGTTGCGTTGCCTGTATAATGTCGGAGGCAGGAGTGGAAATATCTTCGCCTGTTGCGATGTATCGCGGAGATGGGAAGATCCCCAAGAGGAATGTTAAGCAGATGATTGAGTCAGGAAATAAGTATATGTACCCAGAACCGAGAAGAGATAGCTGAACTAGTAAATGCCAGTAATGCCAATGGGAAGTAGCATAAATTCGACTCCTATTACATGATAACGCACATAGGGTCCTTCCTAGTGGGTCGTTTTGACGGTGGATTGACTATTGTCAAAGGGAAGCATTTTATTATCGACATAAGGTGTGATGTGTACTTACGGACCGCTCGTATAGCTTCATCAAATAAATTCTTCAAACCCTTCTGTGTAAGGGCAGAACATTCGAGGTACTTCACAGCGCCTATGGCCTTTTGCATCGTAACACCAGCTTGATAGGATATGGGAGCCATTCGACTGCGGTTTGCAAAACATTGGTCACTTGGTTAATTCATTGTATCCAAACGGCTGTCGTTTACCGTTCTCGGAGTCTTTCTACTGTTACGGGGTCATCCCGAAGATCCAACTTGGTGCCTACGAGGACAATTGGCGTCGCAGGTGCGTGGTGCGAGATTTCCGGCCACCACTAGAAGGCAAAGTAAGGATCCGATTTCAAATGTAAGTCGCGCAGTCTTAATGCACACCCACCTTCGTTCGAACATTTTCGAAGCTCGGAGGGGAAACGAGCGAAAAGCAAATCAAGAAAACGTCAGTTTGGGGGTATGACAATGGTCGCAAACGGTCGTAATCTTCCTGACCAGAAGTATCCCAGAGTCCGAGAGTTATGACCTTGTCATCTACCATTACAGACACCACATAATTGTCAAAAACTAATGATCATGTGTCCCCCCTTTGAGTCATGAGTCCTAAAGATGAAGTGGTCCCCGGTGCGAACCTGTAGGAATGTATTCGCCCTGAAGCCCAAATTCATATGAGATAGGATGCACGAACGGCGAAACTGACAAGCAGGTGGCTCACTGGAAACGCATTGTTGATATAGGATATCAGAAGGCAGGTCTGCAGCAATGCAGCTTAATCAGAAAAACACTTCACACAAGCCCGAGGTCTGCAAAAGTACCCTTCCAACGTCTCCATCGCCCACTACTACGCACTTAACGGGCTGCGTGTTCTTAAGGCGGGTCCTCTCCCATCCGATTGGAAACATCCTTGGAATAGCGATGCAACGTTGAATAAGTAAGTATAAGGAGGAACAGTTATGCCTGCTCACGCGTCCACACCGCTTTCGTTGGAAGGAGAAACGAACGATCCTGTTTGAGATGTGAATGTTGGCGGACTCAATGGTTTCCCGAGGGACGGGGAGGAAGTTTGGCTAGCCGCATTGACAGGCTCGAGTTGAACGAAAGAAAGAGCCATATCCATATCATAGTCCTTTTGCCTCCGCTTTTGTTTCAGTATGTCAGCTACATCCGCCTGACCAATGAATTGATCCCCGACAGTGACATCCCGGACTTCAGCGGGCGGCAGCTCCGCTGTGGCGGGAGGGGATGAAGGGGTCAGGACTGGGGCAACGGCCATATCGTAGTCTCGAGTCTCCATCTTCTTCTGCTTGTGTTGTACTTCCTCATCTCTACCAGCTTGACCAAAATGTAGATCTATCTTCGGTACATTACTCAGCGGCGGCTCCGTTGCGGTGACAGGAGAGGACGAGGGTATTACTAGTGGGAAGTAAGAATCAGTATGAACTATGGAAGGGCCTGGGGCAATGGCTTGGGGCGTGGCTGGCGGCTGAGGGTGCGGGAGTGCGTGGGTGCCACGGAGTGGATCGTTGCCTGCACTGTCTGGTGGTAATAAACGGGACGGAGGTGTTGAGGAGGGACTGCCAGAAGGGGCACTGGCAGTAGCGAACGCTCGGTTCCCCCCGCATATTCCATCACAGCTTTCAAGGATCGAGGCGAAGTCAGGTCGACCTTCGGGATTCTGGGCCCAGCAGCGCTCTATCAGTCCCCACAATTCATTAGTTAGATAGGGAAAACTTTGTTTGGGCCGTTTTGGCCGCATCCCTTCGCGAACTGTGCGGACGACCTGACTTTCGTTCATAAAACCAAACGGCACTTCATCTGTTATGATCTATAAAATGGCTCAGCCATTTTGCCGCAATGTTGGCTATTAAAATCTACCTCCTGAAATGGAGTCGTCAGCATTATGTATGGCACGAGGGTGCATTATACTCACAAAGCATGTCATTGCATAGGCGTACACATCTACCTGTAGAGAGTTCGGAAATTCGGTATGATCCCAGAAAAGCATCATCCTACCTCACGGGTAAGATCCCCATTATTTAATCTCTCAGGTGCCTGGAATAGCCGCAATCAGCTATCTAGCTACGGGAGGGTATCCTCAGACCACATACCATCCATCGAAGCGTCCCTTCATACTTCTCGCTTTGACGCACAGTCATGGTGCGGCTGAATTCCATTTTGATGGAAGCCATGCCAAAATCGCTGGAATAAATGCAGAATCTGTTTCGAATGCGACACCAACAGAAGGTAAATACCTTATACATGCACCTCCCCGATCGTCTATTAGTATATTAAGCGCCTAGATCGACAGCCGTGTAAGCACATGTCTAGAAATCAAACGATGCAGCGGTATAACTCACTTTCAGATCTCCATGTAATACGCCTTCGGAATGCAGATATTTCATTCCAGATGCAATACCCCGGATCTATCCCTAATTGATTAGAGATTTCACTTGTCGAGGGATATGCAACCTACCAGTTCTGCCCGATTTGCGTCGGGATGGTTTAACAAGTAGTTCAGTGCATCCCCATTGGGATAATACGCCGACACCAATATTGGCCTGTTAGGGTTGACGCAAGCTCGATAGAAACGGTGGATACGGGGGTGGTCAAGCCGACTCCAAGTTTCCGCCTCTTTCATCAGCGTCTGGGGTGAGTGCGTCAATGGCCGAAAACCAGACTATCCGTATCGAACACTCGCCTTCTCCGAAGTGCCTTCACAGAGGACCTTCACCGCAACCTCTTCGCCGTTCCATTTCCCCTTGTGGACCCTGCTAAACCCCCCAGACCCAATCTCTGCGGAACAATTTGAGCAAAGTCTGGTTATAATCCTAAAATATTCGCACCTTCCTCGATGTCGACTTCAACATAGCTGATTATCCAGGGTCGTGTTTGTTCAGAGCCTCTTCCGGACAAAGAAACCATCTTCCGATGGGCTACCTTGTAGAACTTGGCCTCCACCGAGCCGGGGGCAGCGGCACGGCCCAGCCTCGATATCAAGTGCGTGAGTTCCCTCACTTCACCAAGATCAGGCATACCACGAGTATCCTTCTGGATGAGATTCGCCAACGCTTGTTGGTTAGAAGCTATTTCCATGAGTAGTTCATTCATATTTTGGGCATCAGCTTGTCGTGCTTTGCGATCTCGGTCCGCCCACACAGCGACATCGATCTCTGCTTCAAGCTGTGCGCAGTCATAAGCCGACATCGAACATCAACAATAAGGATCCACAAACCTGGAAGATCTGGAGATAAACCATCACTGACTGTTGGTGTCGAGTGAGAGCAGCGGCCATCCAGTCCTTTTTGAGTAAGCGCTTCCAGAAGTTCTTTTGAGTGAGATTATTAAACTCTTCCTGAATATCCATTAGAGTTCTGAAATCGGTATCATTAGATGGGAAAGTTGTTAAGCGCGCAGGAGACGGACTGTTCTAGCCTACTGATATTCTCCTGCATCAACTCTGGGACCTCTAACTCGAGTTCCTCTAGCTTGGACAGCTTCTTGTTCACAGCAAGTAACACCATCGCCATTAGATCAACTATCGCAACTGCTTGCTCCTTTTGAGCCTGTATAAACTGTATTTGTTCAATGGTTGCCTTGAAGATGGAGGCAGCGAAAGAAATAAGGGGCACTTGTGTTAGACTGCACGCCTGGACGGCCAAAACGCTGACACTGTGCGCAATGCTGAGAACATTATCCACTTGAGGCATGACTGAGGCTGTTGGAACATTGCAAGTTTTCAAATGGGCCACTTATGGGCATGTGGGAGGTACGCGCCTAATTTAGCCGAGCCGGGGTGAGATGTAGTTATGTAATTCCTTCATAGGAACAAACTATATCTGTCCAATGGTTTCCTTGAAGATGGAAGCAGCAAATGACAGAAGGGGCGCTTGAGATAGACTGCATGTCTGGACGGTCGCAACGTGCACAATGCTTCGGACATTGTCTGCATGAGGCATGCGCTGGAGAGGTCAAGTTGTGGGTGATATTGAGTCATCATGTCAGGGTACAGGGACAGGCGTCTCCGGTCCGATCTGGGTATATATCTCTGGACTTGTTGTGTTCCCCGATCATCAGACTAAGCCAATTGCCCCACACCCGATGGCTCGGTACGACACGCTTGACACACCCTTTATACTCGACGACCCCTGTGCATCTCGGGTCAGCATACTTGGTGATTTTATTGGCATCATGATACGGAGCCTTTTCATTGAGAATGAGCACTTTTGGATTTAGAACTGAAAGACAGGGATATGCCAATGTGTATGTACGTTTTCGCTTGAATTCTTCGCGCAGCGGATGTAGCTTCAAGTACGCTAATACTTATGAACGTCTGATCCTAGGATGGATTCTTTCTTTTCTTATCAACATGGCATTCCACTGATTTTTTCTCGCAGCGAAGAGTCTGCCGCCTCGCTAGAATTTTACGTAGTTACTACGAAGGGCCCCTATCAACCCTCGCCTTCATGACGCTGCGACCTCTCAATTCCCTCTGTCGTCCTCAGATCCTTATTTGAGTCACACTCTGTCGCGCTGCAAACCTAATCCCATTTTTGGAGCATCAGAATACGAAATTCTTATCCCCAGAGGAAATACCAGTGACGAGCAGACCTGTTCAAATGCATCATTCTCACCCTCTCTTTCACCAGGTCCAGCCTCGAATTCCCTCAACCTGCCTGAACAAGCCCTGTCTACCAGTGGGTCATTCTTGTCCTAGGCAGGGCGAGCTTGCTCTAGGGTCTAGGCTCTCGCCAGGTGATTGCAAAATACTTGTTACTCTCCCCGATATTTATCGCATGATCAAACGTTTCGAGCATGATGCTCGGACAAGGAGAGGTTGGATGGTGACCCCTTTGCCACCGCTGCCCGCGCCATGTCTCGTGGCTTAACTGGGGATGCTGTTCTGCGCGCTTAGTCCAGATTTCAACTGCGGAACTGTGCAATATGCCACATCTTCATGAATCCTCGAGCGCCGACCGTTGCAACGGGGACCAGATCTGGCCTCCTGCTCCCCTCTTCACTGGCTGGATTTTAACCCTTATTCTGTTGATGCCGGATCTCTTGCTGAAATGAACGAGTTTGCTGGCATCTGTGTTTGTGTTCAGTGACAAGACTGGGAACGCAGACATGAATGACCGTCCAGGCACTGATGATAGGAAGCTCTCGGCATCGTGCCCCAGTAAGCCATTAATTGTCTCGAAGGATTTGAGGCTGGATGGTGTCTCCCCTCGAATGAACAATACTGTGCATCTTTCGCCCATGGGTCGTCAGTGGACTTCCGTACGTGTGACGGAACATCCCAGGGCAACTTGTTGCCCATGATAGACGCAGAGAGGATATTACTCGTTGATACGAGTCTGACAGATTTACTTGATCTCAATATTCTTGGGCCCCAGAACCAGAAAGGCGCTATCCAAGTTCTTATCGTCTGAACTCCTGGCTGGATCCCCCACACCCTCAATCTTCGACATTGGCTTAGATGAATACGCCCCAAATCACTGGATTGGACCTATACCGATTTATATATCCTGTGAAATAAACCGTGACTGACTCTGTCGAATGCAAAACTTTTCATCCCCGGTTGCGATTCTCCCTTAGTACTCTATTCCAATGGGACCTGCCTACCTTAGTACCCACCAGATCATATTCGACCTGCATTTTCCACTAATTGCATACTCTCAACCCATCTGCTCAGTCCCAGCACCAAATTCATCGCTTCGGAACGTCAGTTGTCAGCTAGCTATGGGCCGGTCAGGATGATGTTCAATAGTCGTTCCATACCCGCTGGTGTTGAGTCGAAATGGCTCGTCTGCTTAAAACGCCCAGTTCTTCGGGTGGCGCAGCCACCCTATCTCCCCGCTTTGCGGCTGCTTTGCCTCTCTGCCGCCTCTCTGCGGAGTTAAACGCTGCGGTACATCGTTAAACATATAGAACACGTATCACAGTTTAGTGGTCATTTTTTGCAAATTTTTCTGAGACTGTTTGTTGAATTTTTGCAATTGGTCATTGATAGTTTGTCTTGGTTGTAGGACCGGAGGTCCAAGCATTGAAGGTTGGACTCGTATCGTATGTGACACGTTGGAGAATACCACGATCGGTTCCGTCATTCGACTGTCAATAACATGATCATTGACATTATTGACAGCGATGGACATTGCAGTTATTCTAGTATCTTCTCAATTATTGGGGGTTCAACCCTCATTCTCTTTATTAGCGCAATTTAACGCGCCAGCAATTTACAGATCTCTTGTACGAGCCCGAGTTTGACGCTCCATAGCCCTTAAATAACAGTGGGTTATTGATGTGATCCGATGAATCAGACGAGTAGGTCAGCCATTCCATAGCCCGCTCAGCTAGCAAAGCAGCGGCAACGACGGGTCACGGAAACCATCTTGCACGGAACATCAAAAGTGAAAGGTGTACATAGTGGAACATCCATTATCATATACGTCACAAGTGTTCAATGAACTGGCATTGACAGAAGGGTACATTACAGGTCATATTTGTAACAATGATGTTCAAGAATATGGCTTCATAGGAAGGGTTTTAACATATACGGTCAACTCGAAGACCGGAAGCGGGATGAAGAGCGAGATGTGAAAGTCCAATGTACGGCAGGCGACGAATGCTGCGAATAGAACGAGATAATATGGCAAGTTCAAAGTCGACGAAAGAGCGAAGTTATCATAAATAAATGCGGAGAGGGTCTAATCGGAGTCACTCGAGTCACTCCCGCTGTCGCTCTCCGAATCTGAACCACTGTCATGAGCAGCGACAGCAGCGGAGGTATGATGCTTCTGAGCACCGTTCGCCGCAACCCCGTTCTTTAAGTCCGCATTGTTGAACATGTTGATTCGGGCCTCTAACTCCCGCATTTTCTGAGCCTCCGCATGTTCGTCCATGCTCTTACGCTTGACTCCGCCAGTGGCGGGATGGTTCTTCCCGCTTTTACTAGGCTTCGCGGCCGCCGCGGCGGGTTTGGGCTTTATGACAGTGTTCCAAAGTTGGCGGAGCACAGCCGGCGGGAGAGCATCGATCTCGATTTCAATTTCGTCAGCATTCTGAAAATGGCGGTCATGAATATCAACTGGAGAAAAATTGAACCAAATCAAACGCACGTCACCAATCTCAGGGACACCGTCATGGATAATCTGAATCACTTCCTCAAGTGCCGAACCTTCTAAACTTTGGATGGTCTCAGAGAGCTCCTTCTTCTCCTCGAAACTAAGGACGGCATCAGCCTCGAGTTTCCTGGAGCCAGTCTTTTTCGTCGACGAAGATGCCTTCTTGGAGGTAGATGAACGGGGGCGGGACGACGCCGACGTGACCTTCGGGGCCGATGAAGCGGGGCGCTTAGCTTCCTTTTTCTTTTGGCTCTTCAAAGCATCGATCGTATCACGGAGAGAATTGAGCTGGCTTTCAAGATTTTCAATCATCGCTGAAGATACAGAAACTGAGTACGAGTTGATAGCAAGACAGGAGAAGCACTCACAAGATTGAACAGTTGGTTCATCTTCCTCATCTGACGAAGGGGGTGGGGTGTGAAGCGGTGGTAAGCCTTTCCATTTCTCATCGAACACCCGCTGCATGTCTTGACCGGCAACGTACACCATAGTGCCAACAGGATTGAAAGCGACGCAGTTCTTCATCATCAATTTCCAATCGGCTAGGAAAGTGTTGGCATTCGGGTATTCTTTCTGCTCGAGCTTCCTCTTCAGAGTAGAAAGATCCATCGGAGACTTGATAACCTTGTAGTAATTAGGCACTTGTCTGACATCAACAGGATCGTAAAAGAAGTTCGCGTAAGTCGCATGCTGCTTCTTGTACAAATCGTTGACGATTTTCAAACAATATCGCAACTGCTCGAGAGTTCCATCATCCTTCCGCTTTGCATTTCTGCTCGACTTGGTGAGTTTGGGACGCTTCATAGCAGTGGGCTCGGCATAATCAATATCCTTAGGCGGAGGTGGGTGGATCTCTCGACGGGGCCGAGAGGCAGCAAATTCAGTTGCCGTGGCTTCATCCGAGCGACGGATTGTTGGAACGGCTGTCGAGGAGCGGCGAATGGGTTTCTTGGGTTCAGGTGGTGGTGGCGGCGGTGCGGGTGTGGGAACGGGGGTTGGAGCTTTGAAGAGTGGAGCAGGCTGAATAGAGTAATGAATGGAAGATCAAGGAAAAACCCGGGTAACAGCTCACCGCCTGGGGAGGAGGCATATTTTTTAACGAGCGTTCAAATACGGCCTGAAGCCGCTTTGCACACTGAGAGACGACATGATTGAGGCCGTTGAAGAGGTAACAATTATCGAACACGAGTTTCATATCTGCTATGAATCCCTGAATAGAAGAATATCTTGGGGCGTTATGGTTAGGGTCAGGTTTTGTAGGGTTGGATGCATTAAGTTTGGTGTCGATGGTAGAAAGGTCCATTGGTCGCTTAATGACAGTAAGATAGTGGGGGATGCCAAGGACAACAGGGTCAACGGGCTGATTAAAGGGCCCAGCATCTTTATTTTTTCGTAGTGAGCGGAGGGTGGATAATGCGAACTTGAACTGAGCAGGTGATATGGTGGTGTGAGTTGGGGGAGGAGTAGGCGGTGTGGTGGGTGCTTGTTGGATCGCCGCAGGCTAATAAACGATGCAGTGCATTTCAAAAGGCCGCGAGGACATGGAATTTTGAAAACATGAACAAATTTGAGTAGAATTGGGAATCAAGTCGTCAGAGCGAGCATAAATACAGATCATTGTATAAAAATGAAAAAGTATGTACGCTTACCGATGCGACATCTGCAGTCCTAGCTCGTTTGGCTGGCCGTTGCTCGTCGGTCGTCACGTCCAAGTCATTGACCGGACGCTCGCGGTGCGGCGCGGAGGGTGCGAGATGCCCATTCGGGGCGGGGGGAGTAGTACTAGCAGGACGTGGGGAAATTGGGGCAGAATAGGAAGGTGATGAACGAGAAACATCATTTAGAGAAAGTTCGCGAATAGGCTGCGAGACGCCCGACGGGGCTGGGGAAGGAGGAGAAACAATGGAAAGACTATTGCTTTCCGCCATGTCGACGTCAGATTTGACGGATAGATCTTTGGATGGGACGTCGACCATAGGCTCATCGGCAGGAGTTGGGATTGTTTCAGAGTCTTGAGGTGAAGACCCTGCAACATCAGAACCGTCGTAACTACTGTTGCCATTGACATGAGTGTCAATGGCGATGCCTGAGACTGAGTGCTGTGGAGATTCAAGAGTGCTCATATGATGGTCTTCATCATTAATGGAAGAATTTGGGGAGAGGATGAGATCATTTGGGCGTGTTTGCACCGAGTCAATCATGAGAACGGAAATAAGCGGAGATAAGCGCGGGAGTCACGACACGGGTTCAGCAGAAGGGGGCACGCAAAACCCTCTTCCCTCAGTTATATAACTGCGTCGGAGCTCCAATCGGAGTTTGAAAAAATTGCCACAGCCCCTAAAAAATTATCAATCCTCCCTGACGTCGTCCTACTCGTTCTCTTCCTCCTCCTCCTCCTCGGCAAAGACAGGTTTTGGCTGATTTTGCTGCCAGGCTATGGGCGGCACGTATCCCGAGCGTTAGGCCACACACCATCAGAGAAAATAGGGAAAAGCCAGATCGAGTCATCAGCACGGTCCCACACCTACACATGGGCAAGCACAAAGGCTTCCTTTCACCAACGCACCTTTTGTCCACATCGGATTCTTTTCTGTGTCTGCATACTTGAGTAGCGCTTCGCGAGGCTGTGAGAATAGAGAAAAGGCGGCAGTGTTAGCAATGTCCAAGACCCCGGATCAGGACCAAGATGAACCCCTGACACCTCCACGTCATCGTCACAACCAGCAACCGCTTTGTGACACCCGTGAGCATCGTCCCCCTATCGCGACGGCAACCCATCCCCAACAATGTCTGCAGGCAGATAGGAGGAAAGCACAAACGTAGTTCTGCTGTGGTAAATGGCGCGTCGCTATTCAAAGCCCAACACTTGGGCCCTGATTGCGGGCGTCTCGGGCAATGGAAAATCCAATTTAGAGTTGACAATGAAACACTTACATCCTGGTCTCGTGTTGAATCTCTGACCAAGTGCTGGACGATGTGCTGAGTTGCCGACGCGCCGACTCTGCCACCCCGTCCAGGTCCATTGAGCGGTGCTTCTGGTCTCTTTGTCTTTCGTTTGTCCATTCGTTCCTTTTCTCGCTTTCGTTTCCCGCCTGCACCTCCGGCGCGAATTTCTCCATCATCTCGGAAGCCTGGAAGGGCATGAGGTGTAAGAATTGGCCCCATTAACCCCCTCTGCATCACGTCCTCTACGGAAAGCTTCTTTGCCGATTTAGTGAGAACAAGTTTGGCTCCATTGAGGGAGGTCCTTGGAGAGTAGAGTACTTTGATTTCACCATTCGACAACCCGGCGACAATCTTGGAAAGATTTTTGATCAGTGCTCAGGAGCATTAATGAAAAGTTCCCTCACCTGATTGATCTTCGAATGCCAGAACACCCGAACCACACTAACACCAGGGTCGCAATCTACGCGTTGTTGTTCATCCAACCCCTCTCTAGAAAGGATGACAAGTCCGCCTTTGTCCGTCCGGCTTGTGGCTGAGCGACCTAAGATAACATTCCGTTCATCGGGACTGAACATCGCGTTCCCTTCCGAATAAAGAAGCGGCAGATTTCCACGTTCAAACAATGGGGTCTTGAACTTTCTTACGTCCCATACTACAAGTCAACGTGCTTGTAGCCATGCCCGGAATGAGAAAAATCCAGCACTCACGCTTGATTGTCCCATCACCGCCTCGGGACAGTACGCAATTCCCATCACGGGAGAACAATACCGACCCTGTTTCAGACCCTTTTGCATGAGCGTTCTCAATAGATGATGACGGTCTGGCGTATGTCCCCGACGTTGCCCAGAGATGAAGGGTTCCATCGAGACCGGCTGTATTACAATGTGACAACAGACCCCAAACTTGGAAAGCAGACACCCACCGTTCACGACTAGTTTCCCATCGTAAGAGTAATTACAAGCTGTTATCTTTGTCCGGGTCCCTCGTTCTTTGCTCTTGACAACTATCACCGTCTTCTGTTTCATCCTATTCTCGACATCCCATATTCTGAGGGAAAAAATTCAAAACGGCTATCAATGCGGCGTGTATATCTCTTACCTAACCGTGGAATCGTTGGAGGATGTGATAAACGTATTCGCATCTTTAGGATGCCAGGCGCCGGACGTCAGTTCTCCTACGTGGCCGCTAATCCCACGCAACTTTCATGTGAGCTTAATTCCAGGCAGAAAGAAACAGGAAAGCACCGACTCTGTGCGCTTCATATCGCGTATATACTGGTCTCCCTTTGGGTATGTGTCACTGCAACGGTCATAGGAAGTGGACATGGTGTTACTCGTTCACACGGAAGACAATGACGCACTGGTTTTCAGCGTTCTTGTCAAAAACAAGGGGCTGAAGCGTCCCCGATATGACAAGTAAATAATTCCCATCATTAGAATACTTCAGATCATGCACCTAAACCACGGATATCAATGCTTCGTCAGTCCACACAGATGGAAATGACGAGTGCTCACTACTCACGTAGTAGGTACCCGCTGGTTCCCAACTCTTGAATGGTTTTAGCCCAGCGTTCATACCACCAAAGTCCCATAGCTTGCAATCGTAATCATGGGACCCGGAAGCGATTCGTGCACCGGAAGGATCGAGAGCAATGGCTGAGACGACCTTGTTGTGGTCCTTGAGAGTCAGTTCATGCGAAACGGGAAATCTCGAGCCGCCATCGTCGGATTCGTCATCATCATTATATGCGTCCTCTCCATCCTCATCGTCCTCAACTTCTTCCGAACGTGGTCCTTCGTTCTTGTTCTCTGGTCTCGTGTCTGGCACAAGAGGCAACTTAGTTTTGGAGGGACCTGGGGCTAGGGGAGGAAAATCGGTCGCCTTGGGAGAGGGAAAAAATGACACCTCAGGAGTCTGTTCTTTAGGCTTTGGCTGGTTGAGATACGCATGAGAATAGGGGATTCTGATATTACTCACCTTGTCCTGTCGCTTCGCTTTCTCCAATCGCTCTGCCAAGTTTACCTGCCTCCTCTCGACCTTTTTCCCAAAGGACATTGGCATGCCCATCTGGGCCATCATTTCGGCGTCGTCCATATCAAGAGGTGAGTTTCTGGGACGTCAACACTGTCGCCGTGGGTACTTTATTGCACAGCCACTTCCAGGTCTTGTATTCACGTCCTATCATGCTACGCAAGCGCGTCAGAGACGACGAAGAAGACGGGAGGCAACCCCTCACACCTTCAACGACACCCCCAGGATCCACTCATTCTTTATCCAAGCGTCGGCGTGTGGCTCCTCCAAATGCTCGGGCTGCAGGCTCTCCCGTAACTGCTGCTCTTCATCCAGGACTGGACAATCTTCACCACCCCCTTGGAGACCAAGTTTTATCCGAAGAGGATGAATGCTTAGACCAGATCGAGCTGCATGCTTCTAGGTCGGGGTCGCAGCTTTCGATTATTGATCGCAGCACTGGGCAGCGAGACTTGCAGAACCGATTCGCCAACATATCACCCGATGAGTTCACAAGAGAACGCTCTCTCAGTGAAGAGGAAGATAACTATGACCCAGAAGATGTTGACGCCTTTGAAGGCGAGAGCTCTGACGACGATGATACCTTTCACACTTTCTCGCACTCTCGTGCGAAACCCACCTTTGTCCACCGTGACTCGTCGCCAACATCAGCTCCTCTCGCTCCTATCAATGCTCTTCTTCATGACCTCCATGAACAGCGACAGCTTGTATGTCAGCAGCGGGAAGTTACTAAAAGCGCCGCTCTTACCACGGGAGCCAGACTCACGGTCGAAACTCCAACTAGCCGAACCCCCACACCACCCAGGCCTGCACACCTAACTTGTACGAAAACTTCTACAAACTCTGAGTCTGTGGAGGCCGAGAAAGCCACTGTCACTGCACGGTACGAAGAAACCAATCGGTGCGCCCTTTCCTTGACTATTTCCAGAACTATCCTCAACGGCCTGCCGCGCATCCAGTCTTCTCGGAGCCCTATTTCTGAACCGGAGACGCCTTCCCAATCGCGTTGACAGTGAAGATAACTAGTATTCACGCCGCGCTGCCGTTCCCTCGGCCATCCTTCTTCCAGGTGACTTTGTGGGTCCTGATCGGCCAGATATGCGGCTATCAGCTTCTTTGACCACTTTGCACACATTCCATCTTGTCATCCGACAAACATCCGCGGTGATTACTCAACTCACATGATAATATGCACTAATCGATGGACTGCTGCACCACCCTTTGCACACTTTGCTTAGCTCGCTGCGGGCATCATACTTTATCACACCTGTATGCACCACATAGAGTTTAGTGTGCAGCATCTAGTTCTGTTTTGCAATCAGTTGATTCTGGTATGCTTTTACATCTTCAATCCTGTCTCCTAAATCGTGTTTCCTTGTTGCGAGTCCCATACGCAAGAAATAGTACGGCACTGATCTCCGCTTCGTGAATTGAAGTAATATTGTCGGGGAGAAGTTGCGCAATCCGTCCACATCGATTTTGGTCATGATTATGCCAGAGGTAAAACAATGAGGTCAGGATCTCGGCGAAGAATACGAGATAGCTCTTCTCGCAAAAGTGTCCCAAGCGTTCTCTGATCCCGATGATAGAACCATACTCCCTTCCGCACATCGAAGTCGTATCTCTTGGGACCGCTATACAAGATTTGACAATGAAAATAGTGGGGAATGCGTATGCGCAGAGTAACCGTCGGGATAGCCATGCTCACCTCATAGGAGATGAAAGCCAGATCTGTTTATTTGGTGGTTGCTTGTTGAGCACGTAGATCCCATGCTTTTTCCCGAAGTTAACCGTTAGAACCCCTGACTGCGGCGAAGAAGGACTCTCAAGCACTATTCGCCGACACGATCCTGCAACGCCAAATTATCTGCAGGATTACCTACGTTGTAATCCACATCCCAACCATCCCCCGCTTCGCTTTCAAATTCAAAAGCATCCTCGAAAAATAGTAGAAGATCGTCGAGAGCTTTATCCGAGAGTTTATGGTACTCATCCATGGTCAAATCACTGCTCAATTGAATCGGGGGGTTGGATAGTCGGTTCAGCTGCATAGCGTATACTGGTAATGAGCCGCACCTCGCTTGGAATAGCGCCGTTGTTGGCGGGCTCCCATTATTCCTGATAGCAGTAGTGTGAATAGACCTCTGCAATGTCCGAACTGAAGCTGGACAATTCGTCGGGCGATGCTGGGCGACCTGGGCAAAGGCTGGCTGTGACAAAGGAATACTTCCATGTGGAAAATACCTCAAGGAAACGGTCGAGTGAGGAGTGCTAAGGATTTTAGGACGCTGCGAACAGCACTTTGTCGGAGAACCAAATGCTTGGGAAATAGCGCGCATGAAGGTCAATATGTAGTGTGCCGTTTATGCATGTGGTGGTTCATGCAATAAGTAATCCCTTGATAAGCAGGTGACCAGCCTCTATTAATAGTCCAAGTACTACAGAATTCCTTGATTGATGGACTGAAATACAAATTTGTGCAAAAGATAGATATCGCACAGACACGAATGAAGTTATGATCCTCTCTCTACTATCCCTTTCTTTAATGCCTCACAAGTTGTCTTCGCATCTCCAAAGAGCATGCGAGTATTGGGCATATAGAACATAGGATTAGGAACGTCAGCTAGAAGGAGACTCATCAATACGTTGCAAAAGTATGGCACGAATGGCTTACCATAGCCACTGGCCATTCCGCGTTTCATTACGAAAACTTGCTTGCTGTTCCACGCATGCAAAACCGGCATTCCCGATATCAGCGAGCCTGGCTTTAGAGCAATGGGGTTTACTGTGTCATTTGCGCCTGGAAAGTACTGCTGATCAGCAAACCTCAAATAGATGTTATCCTTCCGTGACTGACCGATTACCAAAGTGACATCCGTATCGCCAAAATCATCGTTAATCTCGTCCATCTCAAGAACAACTATGCCAGAACAAATTCAACAAGTCATACCGAGGCATGATACAGCACTGACCATCATACGGTACGGACGCTTCGGCAAGCAGGACATTGAGTTGTCCTGGCATGCGTCCTATCACGCAGCGTCAGTGTTTACGCTTTTAAGCCCCCACGATACTCGCCTGCCACGGGGTGCACACCAAAGCGAACTTGTACGCCCCGCTTCCTCAACAACCGGGCTATCTCAGAAACGTCATATTGCGCTTTCGCCACAGCTAATCCATAACCGGGAGTAATGATGACGGAGTTGGCATTAACCAACGCATCAACTGCGTCATCTACGGTCGCTTTCGTAACAGTTCCTTCCATTTTGTGCTCTGATCCCTCGGTACCACCAGCTGGAGCGCCAATACCCCCAAAGAGAACATTCACCAGTGAACGGTTCATTGCAACGCACTAAAGTTAAGGGTCATCGGTAAGTGTAGTTCCCTAACAGATAAAAGTAACATGCCATGATGTAGGATAGGATCGAGCCGCTAACGCCTATGAGGCTTCCAACCTAACATAGCCATTCAGCGAAATATACCTAAAAACAGATGTTATATATACCGTCGTAAGAAGCGGATTGTTGAGCATGAAACCTAGAAATAGGAGTGGTATGTTAATAAGGCTAGTGATAATACAGTGTTCAGCCTACCCTCAGCCACAAGAGCAAAACCCTGACCAGAAAGACGCTCAGTCGGGCCCAACTCTGAAGTGTTCAATGACTCACGGAGTAAGCATTGAGCACAGTAATCACCACGGCTACAATATAAAAATCATCATCCGAAGGCCCTGGGGAGAAATATCCGAACTCACGCATATCAGCCCCGCCGATGGCAGCCGTCAACGTGTAGCCTTTGATGAACGAGAGAGCGGTATTTCCTAGAAGGCACATGGCCCCAATCGCAGGGACCCCCGGCGCCATCGTTAGGAAAGCACCCATAGTAGCCGCATTGGCTCCAAGAAGACCAGCATTAATGGCATGACGACCTGGAAGCCGCAGTGGCTTCGAGGACATTCTTGCCGCTAACTTCAAGAATGCGACGATAGAACCAGTGAAAGTAACACCACCTAAAGTGAAAACAGTGTTGTCAGCTGAAGCTAGTTTGGCAACATATAGAACAGTAATTACCAATAAGTACACCAAGGTAGGCAGCTACGTAATGCAAGCTGCTCGTGTCTTCAAGGTGAGCAAAGACACTGGCGACACTAGTAAAAACAGCAGCTAAACCGACAACGGAGTGCAATGCGGCAACCATCTGGGGGAGCTCTACAGCAGTAATACGGCGTCCGATCACAGCCCCAACCCCACCGCCGACAGTAGCGACAGCAGCAGCCTGTGCAAGTGTTTCGGGCTCAAAGCCAGCGGCAAGTAAGGACGCCAGCAATCCAATTCCAACTCCAAGCATTCCAAGAGCATTGCCTTGTCTGGCAGTTACCTGGGAGGCGAGGCCCGAAATTGAGCCTGTACATGGGCTTAGCATCGTCTTTGTGAGAGAGGACGAAACCGAACTAACTAATACAGAGTATGCTGCTGGTGAGGTAGCCAGCTTCGACCAAGCTTCCGATTCCTTCATTCGCAGCCCAGATGAAGCCACCAGTGAAGAGGAGCCCTGGAATAGCGTACAGCCAGATATATTCCGGGGGATCACTGGGTCCTTGATGCGCAGAATGAGATACCCAGTTCGACACAATCAACACAAGGCTCACTCTTGAACATGTCCAGCATTCGCCTGGTGATAATGAAACCACCTGATACATTGACTGATGCCAGGAGCACGGAGAGTGCGCCTAGCGCTTGCGGAATGGTCTGTGGCACGTAGCCACCACCCATGAGGAACAGGCCCCCGATACCCACCATCCCTACAAAACCATTTCAGAATGACACGAAGCACTCATTCAACTAATATATATACCCGAAATGGCATTCGTCACTGACATGAGTGGGCTGTGGAGTGCAGGCGCGACACCCCAAACCACCCGGTATCCGATCAGACCAGCCAAACCGAACGTGTAGAACTGGCTCATGAATTGAGCGCTTGTTGTGCTGTGGCAATTGATCAGCACAATCCGCACAGAGAAAACTACTCCACGCACGCTCCAAGGGCAAGCATACCAGTCATTCCGCCTCCAAGTAATGAAACTTCACGAACTGCCTTCTCCCATGGTGTAATTGGTTTTGGCTCTTCCTTGGCGATGGTCTTCGCATCGGGCGCTGGCTGTGATGCTGGGGGAGCTTGGGCTGGTGCAGGTGGTGGAAAAAGTAGTTCTCCATCCTTGATCACAACTGAGCCTCTAACTACCTCGTCCTCGAGGCTGAACGCGAGGGCCTTCAAGTCAGGTGCACCTGGGTCAGTCATTGACAAGAGGAATTTGGTGATATTGTTGGAATACAAGGTAGAAGATTGCGTAGGCAAACGCGAGGGTAAGTCAGTGTAACCTAACAAAGGTACAATAGTAAGTTCAAGCCCCCTTCATAGGTTCATGAAAACCCACCGATGACGGTCACACCCTTATGTACATATAGCTCGCCGGGTTTAGTAGCTACACAGTTGCCCCCTGCTTCCGCTGCAAGGTCAACGATGACTGAACCTTGTTTCATAACATTAATCATCTGTTAACAGAACTTTCGGTCATATCCCAGTCTCCAACCGGCCAAAACACATCATACCTCCTCTGTAATGAGTTTTGGCGCAGGCTTCCCAGGAATCAGAGCCTGACAATGGGTGTGACGATGAGAATACTTCTATGCGAAGATACCAAGCGCATACTGAGCTAATAACAATATCCACTTCCTTGCATTGCTCCAGGAACAAAGCCATTTCTGCTTCGATGAATTCTTTGGACATAACCTGCGCTCGAGTCCGTCAGATTGATTCTTCGCGAAAATCACCGCGAAATGACAAACTTTAGCGTATCCTCCGACCCCACTTCCATCCTCCTTGATCCCTTGGACCTCTAAAAATTCTGCACCAAGGCTTTCCACTTGCTCCCGAACCGCAGGACGTGGGTCGAAGCCTCGCACAATAGCACCCATCCGGCGAGCCGTCGCTATTGCGGACAGGCCCGCCACTCCACCTCCGATGACTAGCATCTTAGCGGGAGGGATCTGGACGAGGGGTCTTCCGGTAAATCGGTGATGTTAAGGGGGGTTGCAAAATGATACGAACCTTGCCAGCAGCGGTAGCTTGACCAGTGAAGAAGCGGCCTATAGGAAACCAAATAGCTCCATGTTTATGAGAGGCAGATAATGGCTTAAGGGGCGTACCAAAATGATTTGAAGCCTCCAATACGGCCTTATACCCAGCAATATTTGCCATTGAGCTGATACCTGTACGTGAGATCCAGCCTGCGGATGAACTAAGTGTATCACCTTAGCGCATCAAAAGCCTGGGCCCGGGATATTCTAGGGATGAGATCCATCGCGAAGACGTTCAAATCTTTCTTTGAATCTTGGAAAGCCTTCACGAGAGCCTCGTTCTGCTTGGGATACACAAACGAAATGACGGTCGCACCGGTTTTAAGAGCAACGACTTCATTGCTACTCTCCTTGATACTTGGAGGTCGAACCTTGAGCACGATATCCGAGCACCTAATAAGTCAGTCCCTGTAGCCACGATCTCAGCGCCAGCATTTTCATACTCGGAGTTGCTGAATTGGGCGAGGTCCCCTGCCCCAGATTCAACTAAGATTCGTGAGAAACCCTTCTTCTTGAGCAATGTGACGTTTTGGGGAGTGATGGCAACCCGTCGCTCGGGCTCGAAAGATCGCGATTCGCGTGGGACGCCGATAGTGAGGGAGGAGTAGGGGATGGCTACGGAAATTCGCCAATGTCAGGCTATTGTCATTACCATACACAGCAAGGGCCACGGGTGTACCTTTGATCGAAGGGGGTTCTTTCCTGATGCTCTCACTTTTGACTACATGATGATCATCGAGTAAGTGGGATGAGGTTCGAAAAGCTCGAAAGCCTACACAGGGTGTCAGCAATACTGGATTGATGTCATATTGATTGAGGTTCATACCATAGGCACTACAACCCCTGATTGCGCTGCTAGCACACAGGTAGCCAGTGGTATACGCCAAGACAGTTGGACGGGCGAAGTCCGCAAGGCGACCCAATCTCCTAGTTGCTACTTTCATTACGAATCCCGGCGCCTGGGAACGTCTATAGTCTACAGTCTAAGGCTTCCAGATGCAGGAATGCTCTCTAACTGTGAAAGTAGAATTCGTTACCCCGCAATGGGCGTTGTGGAGGCTTGCTGCTTCACACTGTTGTCGAATGGCCTAACGTAACGCGGTAATGGCTGCCAGCTGTTTCTGCACTAGCCAGAGGTGCTAGCGCTAGAGCGCGAGGGAACAGAGGTATCCTTCCAGGAAAGATGTTCACGGGCCAGGGCGGGTTAAATGAGCAATTTCCCATCAACTCGGGTAGAACTATTCAATTTCATTGAAATGACCGATATGCGGCACAACTCGTATGTGAATGGAGTCCGCAAGAATACACGAAGTGATAATTATGTAAGTACAAAGGGTGGTTGGTTCAGGAGGAAATGTGATGGCTAAAATCTGCGGGCATACGAGAGCTCAGAGGTCCAGCAGAATGGTAAACATCGTTGTTGCTTACCTTGTAATGAACGTACCAATGATTCCGTAGATCTCTCTAGGCTCAGGGTCGCTTCCGAAGAAGGCCCCTCATCTGGAGGTGGGTCATACGAGAAAGAACCATCGGAGGATACAATCAATTTGTTCAGTAGTTGACTTGTCGGCATATAATCCTCAGACGCCTTGGCACGCTTCGAGAGATGGTCATCCGTGGTTATCTCGTTTTGTTCGTTTTGCTTGCGTTTCCGGGCAAGGAAAGCAAGGTATTCCAGGCTATATCTCGGTCTATATGCCGAAGGGTCCGGAGCCACAATGGGAGCACCGGAGAACCAAAGAAGGTTCCCAGTTTTTGGATCACGATCAAACTTCTCCACTGAACGTAATGGGATTGAGAATTGTGCCAGTAAAGTACAACACACAACATACCAGTCTCTTTGGGAAGTGCAACAATCTTCGCATCTTTGAGATAGGCAGCACCACCACCAGCTGCAATGACAGACCGATCATCTATCTTACGTTTGTGATGATGATGGGTTGCTTGCTTGCTGGAAACCCCTCGAGTCCTGGGAATATATCTGACGATGACCTCAGTAGGTCCCGCTGTTTTGTTACCGTGATCTACTTCAGGGTCTTCTTTTCCCAGCCCAGTAGTGAGAAGGGGAGGGAGCCCATTTGAGAGCGCCCCTGGACCAATGCCCGTCCTGCTCAAACCCTTTCCTGCACCGATAACGAACGGACTAAGAACGTTCTCCGGATGGACAGTGGAGTCAAGCAAAATGCTATCATATGGAAGAATAGGCATGATAGAGTTGCGATCCTTCGCGGCCTCTTGCACCTTCTGTGGTATGCACTTTACCCAGTCTTCAATCTTGGAGAAGGATCGCTCTTGTTCATTATACCATGATTCGCATACGTATAAAGGCCATCCGGGATACCAGGAAGGTCGGAGCGGCCGTCCACGGACATATCTTTCATGAAACTGAAGGCCAATTTTTTCTATTATATCTTCGGCTGAGTGTTCACTAAAGAAGTCTACCGAAGAGGACGGTGAGCACACATAGATATACTCGGGACTGGACGAATCAAACCAGTTGCAAACACCTCGCTTTCGTAAAATCTACGATCCCTAGGGTGAATAGTCTGCTCCGGCCGAAGATACCAGCGAACATGTACATATTGTCTGTTGGGGTCTCTTGAGAAAGAATTCAATAGGTAAGCATACAAACACAATGTGACTCAAGTTTGCTCACCTTTTCAGCGAGTAGGTGCGGAAGATTTGGCCAACGATAGGCTTTCTTGCATCATCGGGATTCATGAGGTGTACGTAGTCACCACACTGATATGTTTGTCCCTTGTGCGTCACGCGCTCGATGGGATCCTCGTCTTGGATGAAGGGGTGGGCTTTGGATTTTCCCTTCTTCCGACCAGGCCCGGAGTCTGTTGAGGAAAAATTGTATGCGGCACGAGTCATGGCGGGAACCCGAGATGCTATTGAAGACGTGAGATGATGGTACATCCTCTGGGAGCATGATGAGCTCGTGAAGGGACTAGTGTAAATCGGGACAACTTGCCTGTAATAGAAGGACGCGCCCGTAATTATCCTCATCAACCTTATAATACACTCGTCGGCCCTTCTCGAACAGGCGATATAGGTCTTGATCAAATGCTTGGGCCGTAGTGTAGTGCCCCCCAAGCGCTCGATCCTCAATCAAAATGAACGATATGGGATCCTTTGACAAGGCGTGTTTACCAAATCATGAGCAGGAAATACACTAGCTCCGTACCTTGTGATACAAATGAGGGATATTTGTTGACTCAGCTAATCGTTCGAGGGAATCCGCTGGCCGATCACCGGATCTACCAAAGGTTCGGAAAAGACGGTTTCCTAAGGATCCGTGAAAAACGTACGTCGCTTCTCGGTAATTTTTCAGCAGAAGGATTATCTCGACATATTTGGTATGTGGATCCTTGAAGCACACAATAAGCACTATTCAGCATCGTTAATACTGACCTCTTACCCCTTTTACTGGAGCCATCCATCCATTATCAACTCCTCCACTCGTGCTTGGCCCAGGCCAGTTCCCGAGTCTTGCTTCTATTCGGCGAACAAGCCCCTCCGAAGTAGTGTCACTGTCTTCCTCATCTCGATGTTCACATTTTCAATCACCGTGTCATCCCTAGAAGAGCTGGCACCGGATGCACGAGGAGGAACAACCGGATTGGGGGCACTAGAGTTGACCCTTGGAATCTCGGCATGCGACAAGGTAGGCGTTACGACTGGAGATGATTTTCCTTTTATGCTAGGAGCTGATGGGGGGGCAGGAGTCGGGGATGAAGCCGGGCCAACGGAAGTCTTAGATCGAGATCGAGGCTGAAGGGATGGTTTTGAAGCCCATTCTTGCTCCAAGACGCTCTGGAAGCATCGATCTATCACACCGCTTATCGGAGCAAAAAAAATCACAAGCCACGTACCTGCAACGTCCTCGCATCCAGCGTGATGGCAGAGCCTTCCTCATTGAAGTGTAAGCTAGATGGATATGGTCAAAGCATGTAACGAGCCAACCATTTAAATAGTTAGCTCACGCATTCTTAAATATCAGGTCCAAATCTGTACGAGTCTGCTCGACATTTGACAATTTATTTTTCTCCACATCGGCCTAATGGACCAAACGCTCAGCAGTTCGAAGGTGAGCAGCCTGCAGTAAGCAATGCACCTTGACAGACTCTAGACTTCTTGGCTGAGGGATTACGTCGTAGTAGGCCTTCCAGGCGACAGGGTCTGGTAAGGTACGGAACATTTGGGAGACAAGCCGTCTCCCAGATGTGTGGTTCCAGAGCTTATCAATAATTTGCAAGACATCTTGTTTTTGTGCAGAAGTCAAGCCCATTGTCTCGTCTATCGAATGAAGATGATGATCATCAACGACATGAACAAGTCAGGTGACTTGTGTCTTGTGGTCGTTGACCCCTTCCCCACATAACCCCAAGCGGTCGGGCGTACGCTATTTCCCCTTTCCGGCGTTCCCTACATTCCTTCATACGCTAGGCGGCTTCCTTTTGTTAAAACAGATTACCCCAATGCTCGCACGCTCGGTCCCCTTCTCATTAATGTCTCGGTCCTTGTTCCCTTTTGGACGGATTAGTGCTGTCCCGATCTATGGAGGCTGGAGACTGCTGCATTCCTCGCTTTTGTGGCACGCGAAAACCCTCAGACCATTCCTCTTGGCGGATATTGGAGAGGGCATCACTGGTGAGCTGTCATCCGACGTTGCCGCGAAATTATGCCGGTATGTTGACCTCCAATGATTCTATGTAGAATGTGAAGTATTGAAGTGGTGGGTGATTAGTTCTCTAGGCACTTCAGCTTCCTCCGCCAATAATTATCATCTCCTTGGTGCTCTCGTGTGTATTCCCGGCATCGTTTGCTCTGCCCATCAGGTCCATCAGACCCAACGCGAAGGTTGAGGCCTTCGATGCATTGTGCGAGGTCCAATCAGACAAGGCCTCGGTGGAAATCACATCCCCATTCTCTGGCACGGTGAAGCAATTGCTTGTTCAGGAAGGTGAAATTGCCAAAGTAGGTCAAGGACTGTGCATCATTGAAGTTGACGAAGATGGTGTGGACGATAGCACATCGAGTGACCCTGTCGCTAGGGAGCATGTCGATACTATTTCAGTGACTACCGATACCAATGACGCGTCCCCATCCTCAGACTACAGCCAGCCGTCCCCCGCCATCGAGGAACCTCTGGTGCGGCCTCGCAGACACCATCCTCTAGATCCTTCAAAACCGCCGTCCTCACCGTCCAAATTATCATCACATCCTCAGATCATCTCGTCCTTATCGACTCACTTCGCTCCAGCCCCAAACACACTCGCGGCCCCGTCAGTCCGCCACCTTGCTCGTAAGAGTGGAATTGAGGATATTTCCGTGATCAAAGGCACGGGAAGGAACGGACGCATAGAGAAAGTGGATGTGGAACGGTATCTTTCCCAGGGAATCGAGAAGGTTAACGCGTTTCCAACTGCCGGCGCTTCCCCTGCATCGGGCCAAGTACAGATGCTGGAGTTAGGGCGTACGAGATGGGCAATGTATAAGGCTATGACAAAGGCGAGTCCTTCGGTGGTTCTACTGGCTGTTCGTCTCTTCTCACTTGCAAATGCAGAGCCTTGAGATCCCTCACTTTGGTTACTCGAGTATTCTTGACCTAACAGAAATTCACAACTCCCTCCCAATCTTGAATGCCCACATTCCGCTAGCCTTCAACCCGCCACCACCCTCCAAGCATGCCCCTCTAGTCTCGCCTGACGCCATCTTCCCCCCCTCCCAGCCCATCCAGCAACAATCATCCTCACACGATGCCACGCTTTGGCAATTCAACAAACTCACCTATCTCCCCTTTCTCCTCAAGACCCTTTCCCGCGCAATGCTCGAATGGCCCATCTTCCGGACCACAATTTCTCACACACAATCGTCGTCGGCCTCTTCCTCGTCACCCGCCTCGCCACCAAAACCAATGCTCGCGCTTCGCCCTCACGCCGACATTAGCCTGGCGCTCTCGACCCCTACAGGACTCTACACCCCCACGATCCAAGCCGTTGAGAGGCTCTCGACGTACGAGATTGCAGGAGAGATCAAACGACTTACCGAGCTTGGGCGGCGCATACCCAGCGCTTTAAGCAGGAATGAAATGCCACCCAATGGTGGTACAATTACCGTTAGTAATGTTGGGGCCGTAGGGAGAGGAGGCAAGTAATTTCGAGTCCCATATATTGCATTTATATCTAAGTCCCACATATGACTTCCAGAATTCGCCTCGCCGGTGCTGGTTCCAGGAGGTGGTGTGGCCATTGTGGCCATAGGTCGTGCCAAATGGGTAATGCGCGAAGGCGAGCAACCAGGACAAGCCCAACGCAGGCTCCAAGTCGGTATCAGCTGGAGTGCAGATCATCGTGTCGTTGAAGGTTCGTCTCTTCTATTGGTCTGTTCCACCACAGTAAGTGAGACTTCATCGCTTCAGGTGCAGAAATGGCTGCTTTCGTCGAGACATGGAGATCCTGGGTCGAGAATCCTCAGCGGCTCATTGCGGAGGCCCGTTGAAGCAGATCCCGCACGTCGGTGCCACCAAAGTTTCTTCACTGACAAAATATCATGTTCACTGCAGTCCCATTCATGTACATGTCGAGAGATTATACTAGATTGTTCAACAACAATGTCCATAACTCAACAAGATGCCAAAAAAATTGTACCAACGGAATAAGAGGTGTTGTAAAGTGCGGGTCACAGCGAATGCTACTTTGAAATTCCAGTAATAGATCGGGGTGGTACACGAGCCACAGCAGGCGAAAGAGCACCAAACTCATTCTAAAAACAGGAATAAGCACCAGGCTGAGGCGAAGCAATGAAAGTGACGCACATCATCAGTGAATGCCGGAGCCATGAACGTGCTTCCAAGTCCACCCCCAACTTTCGTTTTTTCTTGGGAATGACCGGAGCTTTCAGCTCAGGCTCAGCTCGATCTGCCTTGCGTTTCTTCGCATTCTTGGGTGCCGCAGGTTGTTGAACTTCCCGTTCGCTATCATCTGTTGCAACATCTTGAGCTTCCGGCGATTTACGTCTGACAGGCCGCCGCGGGCGTGATTTGGGTTGTGACTGAGGAGGTGGGGTCGGAGTGGGCTCTTGTTCTTTTCCACCTAGCTCTGGTGATGCTGCTGTAGCAAGTATTGTTTCCCTCGCTTCTTCCAGCTGAGCCTGGGGAACAACACCTGGTAAGCAGCACGAAAAGACAAGTCAACAAATCAACCAAACCTCGAGTTGACTGATCCTCTTTTCGAGGGCCTTCTTCTCCTTCTTTACCTTAGCCTCGATCCTTTCTCGCTCAACCCGCGCCTCTTGCTCGCCCTGCTTCACACTGTCCTCCATCTCCTGTAATCGGAGACCCACATCGACCCTCTCCCTCCGCAATTCGTCCAATTCACGGGCGTCCTTCTTCTCCATACGATGCCAGGTCTGAATTTCACGGTCCTTCGCTGAAAGTTCGTTCTGAGCCGAAGTTAGCTGTAACTGCGTGCGTCCCAGTCTCCCCTCCAAATCACCAAATTTGGCCTTCACATCCTCGAGAGCTTCTCTTTCGTGCTTCAATTTGGCCTGTCACAAGAATTAGGTGTTAGGTTAGGGGTGATAGAGACAAATGAATGAACGGACTTCGAGATTTTCTTTCTGTCGGCGTAGAGTAGTGTGTGCAGTGTCCAGTTCTTGATGATTCTGTTCAAGCCGCTGAACCTCGGCGTCACGCTCCAGTGCGTTTTCCTCTCGTTCATCCTCAATCCCCTGCACCAGCTCCACGATCCGTTCCTCCCTCTCCTTCAACTCCTCCTAGAGAACTAACTTAGTATCGATTCCAAAGTCGCAGAAGAGTACATTAGGAACAGAAAAGGAATGTCCCACATACCTCCAACTCTCGCTTATCATGCAGTAGCCAAAACTCCGCGCTTTGAAACTGATGTATTTTATGATCCCTCATTAAAATATCAATCTTAGACTGACGGACGAACGACCCATGCTCATCGTAATATCGCAGCCTCTCCTCGTCAAGCTCAAGCTGGGCCCGACCATGCGCAAAATTATGCACCGTCTGAAGCTAGAAACACAAACCATAAAATCAATTATACACCGACATACCCGGGAAAAGAAAACAAGGAGAAATGGAACGCACCGCATCACATATATCCATCCATTGTTTCTTCTCAACGCCGAACGCCTCTTTGACCTCCTTCAGAGCAATAATCTTTGACTGCTCTACTTCCTTCGCAAATTTCAGCACCTTGTCCCTCTCCGCGATGACTTCCCTAATCCGTTCATCATAATACGCAATACGGGCCTCAGTAGGATCAGAAGCAGGAGAACGGAATGTCTCCAATCCGTTGAACCGCGGTTTGCTGTTGCCATTGGCGGCAGGAGATTGGCCCCGTTTAGTCGTGGATAATGGAATAGGCTGAGGCAACTCTACAGGACCAACAGAACGCGCTCGTGAAGATTCGCGCAGCGTTGAGTCAGATACAATACTTGTTCTCCCCTTTCCAAAGCCGTTCTGAGACGCGTGATGAAGCTCGTGGATGCCATTGGGAATTTGGTCAGTTCTTGGCGTTTGTAAGCTCCCAGATGCGCCATTATTGCTAGTTACGACTGCAGCAGCCCGCCGCTTCGGTGGAGGAGATCGCAAAATCATGATGTAGAAGCGCGAAACCTTGCGTGAAACGTCGGTCCAGGAGCGACAGGACTCACGTGAGCGACGTGGGGCAATTCAGACCAAATCAATTGAGCACTTAAACAATTTACGCAAGCTCGGCCAATAGTTTCCCCAATCGTATCCTGCCTACTACGTAACCGTCACGGAGTAGACCTATATGCATATCCTCTAACATACACGGACATAAGAAGAGAAGAGAGACTGCACGCAGTGCCAGCCCGCTGAAAGTGAAAGTCATAGACCAAACAGGCGGACTAAAAAGCCTGTAGGAAAGGGAAAGCTGCACGGTGGAAATGAAAAAAAAAATTGAAGAACCTCCGTGGATGTTCTAGTAGATGTCAGCGTGAGGCTGGCCCACCGATCGACAATGGCTGCGCACCCGCTGAGGTGCAAATGGTTGACAACTGGCAAGTTTAAAGGTTGAAGTGAGCCCAAAGAGAGATGCTATGTAATGAAGGTGTGTGGAGAAAGAACTCATAGTAGCCCGCAAATCTTGAGGGTCAAGCGAAGGCCGAGCTTGATGAATATCGACAAATCAGTGAGACTGGTTAGCGGCAATATATCAGCGCACACGACCGAGAGAATTTCACGTTTACTTACGAATTTCCGAAGAGCTTCGCTATGCCGTTGATGTACACGTTCAAAGCGATGAACAGATTACAGAGGCAAATGTCCAGCTTAGTCAGGATCCCTATGCTGACGGTAAGGCTGTATTTGGACAAGCCCACAACAAGTTTCTGTGCAAGAACTAAGAGCGAGAAACAAGCACGAGGAGGATACCTACCACTACAAGATCGATGAGGAGACCAATAATGTCGTTACATTTGTTCCCATGGTCATGAGTCAGGTCAATCTTGATGTCTGCTAAAAGGGCAATGGCGGAGTCAATCTCGGAAATGATTTTGAGGCAAGGTTCGTGAGGGTCGTTCTTTCCATCTAACAGCGGATATCATCACTGAGCCCAGCGACGGAGAGCAAGGGAAACGTACCTAGAAGGTCAATGTAGACGATAACCTTGGCATAGAGGTCATTCAACCAAACCCAAATGTCGATTTCGTTGCATCCTAATGTCTCGACAGTGACGAAGACAGAAGACAGAATTAGCAGGTAGAGGTAAGTGGGAACGCTGAGGCATCATACCAGCCGTATTGCATGAGGAGTGAGTTGGAGTCGGCGTTGATGTCGATGTTGATGTGTGCGAAGAAGTGGTCGGGGAAGGAGATGTGTGGTGCTCATGGCCGCAACCTGTGCCACCGATGACAAGGCAGAGGCGGGCATCAACATTGAGCTTGTCAAGAGTGGCGTCGAGGTTGGTGGTGGACGTGATGCCTCCAGTCGAGCCGACAACTCCATCCACAGCAGCCTTGACGTTAGTATCAGAAGTGAGGCCAACGACGGAGCTGGGATGGCAGTCTTGAAGATGGAGGTGAGGAAACACGCGTCGAAAGACTGAATCAACGCGTAAAACACGTACCTGAGCACTTCCTAGCGTGCGGTGGGATCCTGACAGGAGATGCAATAGCGGAGAGCGGAGAGTACGCGACGAAAGCGAGGAAAGGGAGGTAAGAGAAGGAACGCATGATTAAGGATTGTAGGGAGGGTAAGTTGGATGGGAGGATGAACTGTGGCCAAGGTCTCTTCAGAACGTGAAGGAATGTCTGAGTTCTCTCGATATGAGGGGGCTCTTGAGGAAGGGAAAACAGGTGGGGGATCATCCCCGCTGATACTTATACATTTTCTTTGGAGGACCCCCCTGAATAGGTGGGAGATGCATCCGAGACAATTGCCCAAGATCCAGAATGACAGCTACAGCAAGATCGTGCTGAATAGATTCAAAGCACTATGGCACATCCCGTAGGCTTAACAAACTTGTCGCATTTCCGAACGACTACCACATCAGAAATGGCGAAAGCCATGCAACGTGAAGTGTGTCCGAGAACGGTATGAGCATGATACATGTGACCAACAGCAAATTTCACAGATGGAAGACAGGTCCGTTGCACTCCAAGTTGTTCAAGTCTTGTCAAAATGTCGAAATGAGAGCCCGGGGTCCCCTATGTCGGCTAGCTTTCCAAAGGCACAGCACTCCATCGCTTGAATCCTGAGAGCCCAGTCCATCACACTTGGCTTGCCCTCCCCAAGCCGCCACTTGTTTGCGGAAAAGCCATTCATTCAGTGGGATGCCTAAAATTCATAACTTCCCACGGCCTGAATCCCCCCACATGTCTTCAATTGGGCGTTCCGTGCTCAAACAGCGTGCTACTTCGACTCTCCGCCAGAATTTCGTATTGTTTCCTCAGAAGGACGTCGCGGGCATGGAGATACGCTGCGCTTATATGAGCCTCGCCTCTGCGAAATACCGTCATGTCATACCTTCCTAATCAGTCTCGTTCCTGCTTTTCCCGAACTAAGTAGTCTCAATCCCTCGATCAAATAGGCTCCCTCATCTGGGGGATCTGGAATGTCTCAAGTCCAGCCTAACAGAGACTGGTACGTCCCCTCAAATACCTCTCAATCTCTTATCGCGTTAATTATCCATCCATAAGGTGGAAAGAAGTCAATGTATATCAAATATACCCCATGTCCTTCAAGGACTCGAATGGCGATGGCATCGGCGACATCCAAGGGATCATATCGAAACTAGATTATTTGAAAGAACTTGGAATAGACGTTATCTGGCTCAGTCCTATATATCGGAGCCCAAATTTTGATATGGGCTACGATATCTCTGATTACTGTTCCCTCGATCCCCGCTATGGCAGCATAGACGATATGCACCAGTTATTGAAGGCGATGAAGGAAAGGGGGATAAAGCTTCTAATGGACCTCGTCGTTAATCATACCTCACACCTGGTGCGCTGTTCAACAAAGTATACCTATTCGAATTTCGAACTCTGACAACCGCATAGCATCCTTGGTTTCTCCAATCTAGCAGTTCGAAATTGAGCCCTAAGCGAGACTGGTACATTTGGCGCCCGCCCCGTATAGATGAGTCTGGGAACCGTCATCCTCCCAATAACTGGGATGCAATATGGGGAGGTATGGCATTTCGGTTTTACTTTACTACTCCACCCTGACATGCATTTTCAGGCTCCGCTTGGGAGTGGGACGAGAACACACAGGAATATTATCTTCATCTTTACTTGAAAGAGCAACCAGACTTAAACTGGGAAAACATCGAAGTCCGCCGTGCCGTGCACGAACTCATGCGCTGGTGGCTCGATAAAGGAGTCTCAGGATTCCGTGTGCGTTTCTCACTGTCGCCCAATTCAACGGGGTCTAAAGCTGAGACACTTATTTGTAGATGGACGTCATCAATCTTATTTCCAAACCCGAAGGCTTACCTGACGAGCCGCTTGAGAACGCTGGATTTACCGTTTTCCCCGTCAGCATCCCGAATGGCCCCCGAGTACATGAATTCCTTCGTGAAATGAACGAGGAAGTCATATCAAGTACGTTAAACACACCATCCATCCATTCCCCGGCACGCTCAACCTGTTTCTGTCCTCTAGAATACGATGCAATGACGGTCGGAGAAACCCCCTGGACACACGACCCCGCCATCCTCGCCCGATACGTAAAACCATCCTCAAAAGAGCTCAACATGGTCTTCACCTTTCACCACGTAGACATAGATGGAGGTGTCGAAAATTCTTGGAAACCCATCCCCTGGAAGCTCTCCTCTTACAAACAAATCATCAACAAATGGCAAACATACATGCATGAACACGAAGGATGGAATTCAATTTTCATTGAGAATCACGATCAAGGGAGATCACTGTCGCGTTTTGGCAATGATTCGGCCGAGTATAGAAGTATTTCTGCGAAGATGCTGGCTGTGGGTCAGATATGTCAGGGCGGAACGATCTATGTTTATCAGGGGGAGGAGTTGGGTATGGCCAACGTGCCGCCTTCATGGGGGATCGAGGAATATAAAGATGTGGCGACTCAATCATACTGGAAAGCGTAAGATAACTTACTCGTCCCACCCCTGTTTCAGCTTCATTTATTATTTCACTCCCATACCAGGATTCTCGAGAAACGTCGCGAAAATTCAGAGAATCCAGACATGTCCGATATCCTCAAAGACCTCCGAAAGAAAGCCAGAGACAACGCCCGGACTCCAGTCCAAGTGAGAACAGACCTTCCGATCAAATTCGATGCACAAATATCACTAACTAGTCTACTTTCCGATTTAGTGGGACGATTCGCCGCACGCTGGGTTCACATCAGAGAATGCAACCCCCTGGATGAGGGTCAACGATGACTACACTCAATGGAATGCTACCCAACAGATGAACGATCCAAACAGCGTACGATTCTTCTGGAAACGAGCGCTAGCATTCAGGAAAGCTCATCCAGTCCTGGTACGTGGGAATTTTGTTTCACCTCGACAAGAGCATCTTACAAGACGAACTGATCTTCAGATCCATGGAAGTTTCCGCCTCATATCCCCCTCGGATGAAAGAGTTTTCGCAATCGAGCGTCAACACGGCGATGTAACCGCTATTATAGTGATCAACTTCAGCGGCATCAATGTGAACTTCTCCTTCCCCCAAGACAGCAAGATTCCTAAAGGATTAAAGCTTCAATTGTCAAATTACGAGAACACGGACGAAACACTGGAAAACATATCTCCAACTTTGGTCAATCTCAGACCATACGAGGCACGAGTATATCTCTAACGAGGTTGTAACGATTTCCCGCACCCCACTTAGTGAATGCCTCAGCTTAGGGCTTTGTGTAACTACCAATCGGCGTCATCGATTCCTGAAGGGTTCTATAGATGCAATGCCTCCCTTTCATCCCCTTAGATGCAGAATGACGACAGCCTGTTGAACATTGGGAAATGAATATGACGAGACTTTGCAAAACTGTCCCATGCACCTAGGCCGTACATAATATCCGAAAGGTATTGCAACATCAAAAGAGTTACCGAGTAAACGACATTCTATAGCAGAAATTCACGGAACCACTAAACAACTTGGCTGATGTCAATGACGATTGGTGCTTTCATCCCACCTTGGATCACGAATCGAGTTCCATCCCTCCCAGCCTGAGGGCAGTAAGGCCCATCGTACCTCGGCATCCGATCGCCGTTCTAGGCTGCTTCACCATCAATACAACCCGGACTTTGAATGGTAGGACACTTCTTTTTATCTCCCAAGGGACGCTCAGTGGGGATGTTGAGTTCGTTCTGCTCAATGATGCCATTCACAATATAGGCGCGATGAAGGATTTGCAGATACTCGGAGTTGGGATCTGCCGGCGCATTAGTGAGATTGCACAAAGAACTCCGATTGGAGTGTACGGTCATGCCGAGTCTGAAGCTGGACATCCTAAATCCGGATCGAGGCCACGATGGGTAATCCACGACAAGCAAAAGCAAAAGCGTTGAGATCTTTCTCTGGTGGTTTCCACTACGATGCATTGAGACTCTGATCCTAAGATTCGCCCCAAGCCGAAACCACCAGCCTCTCAGGACTACAGCTAACCAGTACGGTGAACATTGGTGGGAGCATAAGTACGAGCTTCACCAAGGATTCAAGTACCTCTAGATCACCACATTCATGGAGCCCATCCAAGACGATGACGGAGCGATGCTTCCCTGAAGACAACACATCCTTGAGTTCACGCATGGGGTCAATGACCCAAACCTTCATCTGCCTCTCTGGAACGGAACCCGTAACACTCTCCAAAGCGTTCAATGGAGTCCAGTCCAGTGCCTTTTCGATTCTTATCCCAAAAGAACGGCGCCGCCAAAGCACCGCGGCTTTTAAGGGTGGAAGCAATACCGCGGTCTTCCCTGTTCCAGAACCACGTAACTAGACAAATCGATTCTTGGGTTCCATCAGATTGAATTCCGGATTTTGTTGCGTGTGGTTGACATTCTGGTTTGCTTTTTAACGTAGTATTCGGCATTCGCTTTTGGGAGTTTCGAGAGTTCACCTGAAAATGTTACTGAGCTAACAGGTTTGGAATAAAGCAAATGAGACAAACATTCAATTGATACTTGAATCGTATGAAGGAGGTTCAAGGTTGTTGCTGCTGTCTAGGGCGGGAAGGGTTAGTTGAACATCTTGCTTGGATTGCAGGCTTAACGAACAGCGAAACGGGAGAGAGCATTACTGATACAGGCCCTCACGTCGTTTATTTTCTGGGCTATCTCGCTCGCTAACACCGCTCTCTTTGTGACCTTTTGGGGCTCGAGTCTGAGCGACTCGATCTGCCCTTCCAGGTCCCTGCCAGCAGGATTAGAGATAAAATACGTACCCAAGGAAACTCGTACATATACGTACAAGCAGAATCCATTGATCAGAGAAATTCTGTCAGGAGGTATTTCTCCGGCTTGGCCAGTCCACATTTCGAGTGGCTGTAAGATAACGTTGTAAGCTCTTTTGACCTCGTCGCTCAATCCTCTAAGATCTTCGTCATTTCCATCGGCAGTCTACGTGGATTGGAAATCCACAGCAGGAAAGTGAGCAAGTATCACCCACCACAATTATCATCATCGCAAACCTCGTATATCTGGAGCTAAGTCAGAAGAAGAGGAGAAAATCTGAGCGCAGAACCGGCAGTTTGGAGAACCAGCTTTCTGGCACTGATGATGATTTTCTTTCGGCGACGGGTGATGGTGTGGTCTTGAGTTCTGACAAAGGACGCATATTGAAGCCTTCACCTCTTAGTTGCGTGTAACCGTTCACATCGCCATCGCGAACGGCATTTGGAGATGCAATATGCGGTGGGTTGAGAGTTATCGGCCGAGATGTCAAAGGGCACAGTCACCTCCAATCTGTCGCGGTTGGGGCCGGAGCCACCGAGCCGCGCGATCCAAGCGAGATGGGCGTTTATCCAAAACATAGGAGCCAGCAGGAAATGTCCGAGCAGCCGCCAGAGGGCCCATGTCATACCCAGGCTGTCTATTGCGATGAGTAATCTGAGGACTTGCAAGAAGGATTTGAGTTCAAGGGGCTGAAGAAAGCAGCCGTTGAGGATCGCCGGATGAGGATCCAGGAGCAGGGACCTTTTCAAAGTCGACCTGCTAGGATTTGCGTAAGGATTATGCAATTCATTGGACGATGCCAAGTAAAGCAGTTTCCAAAAATGCCTTCGTTGAGCATTTGAAACGCTCTGCGAAGCTCGGCGCGGTTCGCCACATCTTTATTGTTATGATGTCGCAATGAGCTAGAAATTCAACCAATGCTCATTTACAATTTGGATGAAGTCTGCAACGCCACGATATGCCAACTGTTCAAAGTATACCAAGCGAAGAATACCTCGACTCGCCTGCAGGGCCGCAATGAACGAGTCCCGCAACTGCGAAAGCCTCCCCCACCAATCACCCAGAACAGGGAGCATCCCAGCGGCAATCGGAGCATATGTTTGGGAAGCTTCCGTGAAGCGCTCGACCAGAAGGCCAACCACTCGGGCATCACGTTCCTTACTTCGTAAGCCATCACGCCAAAGATCTTCATCCGGGGTATGACCTTTTTCGATATTCCAGAAGGTCGCCCACAACGCAACATAGAAGAACGAAAACATCTCATCCAATGGACTGTGGAGGTACGGAGTTTTTTTTTCTATGGCCAAATGGACACCAGGGGACATGAACTCATAGGTTCCCTGCAAGAAAATCCAGTACATGTACCGTTGGCTCAATATAGTAACTTACTGATATTGATTCCGCAGTGACTGTTCTAGTCAAGTAGGTGGGGATGTACGATGCGAGATCGCCATCTGAAATTATTGCCCAGCACTCGGTCGCATCGACAGACAGCCCTAGTTCCGCAATTCCCCCCTGCAGAGCCTCGGCAGCGGACATCACCTTCCTGACCTCATCCTTTGCCTCCTGAGCTGTTTTTGAATCATGGATCCCTCCCTCCAAGTCCAATGCCATGACTTTGTCCCGCACCGCATCACTGAGTTCGCCCACACTCTTATTGTCACGCATAATGGCGTCGTGAAACTCGTGTAACTTGTTGATATTGAATGGTGCCGTTTTGATGGGTTGCGTCAGCTTGAGAACATTCCCGATACTAACATCTCGTTGCATATACCCGCATTGATATGTCGAAAGCCATCCTACGAAGGTTGACCGGGTCTTCGGGAGAGGAGAGCGAATTGCAATGCATACCGAGCATAGCATGCGCAAGACAAATGCACAAATCCCAAGCGGTATCGCAGTATTCGAGGCTGCAGCCTTGATCCCGAAGAAGGGTCACCGCCAAAGTACGGTAATCCGGTTCTTCCGGACAGATGGAACCGATATCCTTGAGATGAAAATCGCTGAACTTCAAATTGGGACCTGGAAGGAAGTATGAATTGTATGAATTGGTCGATTTACAACCTCTGGAATTGAGCGGCTCATGCGACGAGAGGAGAGTCGCGGTTCCGAATTCGCCCTTTGAAGCCTGGTACATGTTGTGCTCCACATCTTTCTTCGCACGGGGAGGCCAAGAGCCTTTCATGATGAAGGATTCGGACACTTTTTCGTATACCCTTTTCTTCCTAATCGCTCGGTGGTCACGGAATCGGATATTGAATGAACCATTGAAGTTGTATGGCGATGGAGATACTAAAATTGTGCTTGTCATATTTCACCAAGTATAACCGGCCTTTCACTTACTTATATCGTATTCATCGCTGTCGTCATCCTTCGTGGAGATTTGCTCCAATTTAAGTTTCTTCGGCGCCACCGCTGACAACGATAGGCCGCCATTCACAGAAGATATAAGCTGACTTACCTGGCAGGGATTCTGCCTCGAGCTTCCGCTTTGGTAGTTGCGATTGTTCCATCGGTGGACGAGTATCAGTGGAAACATGCGTCGACGTTTTACCGGTGGACGGCTTGGCCGTTCCTGAGGCCAAAAGAGTTGGGGAAATTGCTTCGTTGTCCAACGAGGAGAAAGGCTGCATCAATGCCACGAAGGTATTACGGCCACAGGATGATTGGCGGTTGTGGAGCACTTCCTTTTGAATCCCTTGGACGATGTTATCCTCTCCAGAAGGGAACACAAATTTCTCCGTATCCGTGAACTCTGGATACCCAGCGTCGCCAGGCGTCTGCCAGAGCAAAATACTCAGCAAGACCTTTATGAACTGAGGGATGCTGTGGGCTTTCCAGTCTTTCGTTGTCAACCTCAATTCCTTGCTCGCGGAGAGGCCACCGCGGTGGAAGATGAGAACACGGAGGGCTTCGGCAGCATGATTGATGGCGACGATTACGGTGAATGTACGCAATGGAGTGTCATTACATTGCGCACGTCCATAAGTAGTGCTCTGGAGCAGCATGTCCTTCCAGTCAGCTTTTACTTCCACCGCTATGGCGATCTTCCGAGGCTCCCGTTTGCTTTGTTTGGGCAATTTGCTCCAGCAAGCAACGAAGTTATTGGGTGGCGCGTCTGTGACGGCTACCCCAACAATGTCTGGCTTCAAAGGTGCGGCATTTTTGACCTTGTCCCCAGTCGGCCTATCATACTTTGTGAATAGGAGAGCAGGCCAAAAGGCTGCACCAAAAGGCTGCAATTCCCATGCTTGGAGATCCGGAGTCATAGGTGTCTCGAGAATCGAATCATACGCGTCAAGGCAACGCCGAACGCACTCGTTGAGAAAATGGCTAATATTATCATAGTCTGCTTTGGAAAATGGGTTGGGATGTGGCACGTCCCCGAACGCGTGTGTCATGGCGTAGATGACTTGAGGGTGATCAATGAGTATGTCAAAGTGACCGAGCTCCAGCAAATCTTGATCTTCGTGCTCCTTTTTGAGAATCTTGGGAGACAACACATCAACTGCATCAAACTCCCATGCGTGACCGGCAAGCTCGTCTTCGACGTGTTTCTTCAGGTCACGTTGAAGGACCTCTTCTGGATCTGTTGCCGTCGTTTCAGATGTAGGGTAGCTCCTCTTCTGCGGATTTGACCCGCTTGCCGACATCAGTAGAACGAGAGACAAAACGTCGAGGAGGCAGATTGTTTAACGGGACGGGTTCACGCCGTTGTTGCATCTTACTGTGGAGATACCCGCTCGGAGCCGACGTTCGAGTTCCAGCTCGTGATCCCCGCTCTGTAGCAGGTCCTGGTTGAATCATAATGGGAAAAATGACAAGGTCCTCTGAAAATGCATTGAACGGCAACCCAGGGTCCTTTACCGGCCTCTCCCCAGCAATCATGCCTACTACTTGAACAGTCTTGGATGTAATATCCATACGGAACCGAATGAATTTTCAGCGCTGTTGAGTAGCGGGTTCTGCCGCGTCCACGGTTTAACGTTCAACGGATAAATCAGTCAAAACAACAGTAAAAGGCTGGAAGAGTTCTCAGTCAGGCGAAAGGTTTTCTCCGTCTCCCATCCGCGGAATCCATATTGCTGGGCAAAGTTGACTTCGTCTTCAACCTTTAAGCTTAAACTCCGAGCTAGGAAGTGCAGTTGCCACCTTGACGTCGCCTACGGACGTTCCAACCCTCGCCTCACTTCTCCTTGGGGGCTTCATATACAAAGCGTGTGACAGCGCCGTGCGAGGGATAACGCCCGTGTTCTTTGGTTCTGCCCTGTGGAGCCTTTTATAATACCCTTGTTGCAAGATTCGTTCGAACAACTGTATCAATATCAATAATCGCCTATAGCTGTCGATTTCTTCCCAAGGAGTTTTTTCTTTGTGGCTTTTGCGGATGTGTTTACCGCCAGCTGATATTCGTGGCGTGTGGCTCGCACGTCACACTTGAACGGAATATTGCTCACATGAGACACACCACTTGCGTTCTCATTCGGCGGCTCTGTTCTGTTGTATCTCCATTTCCTGTTGCCACTGCCCAAGCAGCCAGGGCCCTGGCCCCACTTGTCTCTAGTCCTACTGCTGCTACTGCCAAAGTCCTCGGACGTCGTGGTCTCCGTAATTCCGTCATCGCAGTACCTCGATCGCACTCTTAGACGCAATCGCATCCTGGATCGAGAACCCCAATCCCTCCTTCCATCCAACTCTCGCTTGAAAGCGATGCTTTAGCCATCCAATTTAGTCCTACCAAAAGAGTCCATCGATTCCCATATACATGGCTCCGAGATTCGGATCCTCAGCTTATTCATTCCGCTTCGAGACAAAAGCTTCATTGGCCGAGCTTGCGAGGCGTTTGTTTACAGAGGGGGTTCGTTTTTTTTTCCCGTGGGAAAGCGCGTTGTGAATTGCGCATCGTCACCCCGTGAGAAATCGTCACCCCGTGGGACATCGGATCCAAATGCACATCTCAACCGTGCACTGTGTGTGTGTAATGGTGCAACACTGGACAAAACATACAATATACACAAAAATACAGAAAAATCACAATTATAATTAAAGCCTTATATCTGTTAAATTAGTGTGAAATTTAGGTTTATGTAGTGATTAGCCTGATCAAGGCAAGGGAAAATGGCACTTCCGCGAGGATGTGGCTGTGCTGCAAACATGCGTACTGCTTGCTGCTCTCTCTCTCTGCAACTCCTTGCACACAAAAATACAAAAAAAATCATTATTATTATTCAAGCTTCATATCTGTTAAACTGGTGTGAAATTTAAGCTTTATGTAGTGATTGGCTTTATCAACACAAGAGGAGATGGCACTCCGCGAAAATGTGGCTGTGCTGAAAACACGCGCACTTACTGCAGCTCTCTCTCTCACTCTGTGCAACTCCTTGCTACCCCATCCCATCCCATCCTGTGAAGTCTTGAGTGCCCTGGGCTTAGGACTTTGTGTGAATAGTACTATCTGAAGTAGATCTATAGGGTTCAAAGGTCTCTGAAGTGCGACCCCTGCCCCTCAGCCCCTGTGTTAGCCCGCACAGACTGGGATCAGTTCGGCAGTTAAGACCAGTACCGCTCAGAGCCTGCAAGTTGCCAGGATTCCTGGCCCCTTTTTCCCTTTGGGAAATGCGCCAGCCTTGCTCCATTTGGTCAACTTGTGCAGCGAGCCTGTTCCCTGCTTCACGATAGGAAATTTATTCAATTTGCCTGTAATAGGGTATTTTGCCTTTACAGTGACCTTTTCTGTTTATTTGGTGTGCACATTGAAACTGTGGGTGCAGCAATATTTATAATTGACATCTTAAGACTTACATAACTTGAATAAATTTTAGATGCCCACTGAGGATGAGGTGCTCCTTGCAGAGAAGAAGAAGAGAAGAAATGAGAGGAGGAGGTTGAATTATGCAGCTAGCCAGGGTTCACCACACTCAACTGAGTCTCCCACTCCAAATCATTCCCAATCTACTTTTGCTGTACCACAATCCCCTGCCGAGCTGTCCCAACAACCACCCACTCTTCTGGGCCATCTCAACAGAGACCCAACATAACCGAAATCCATCTATTGGGACACAACTTGCTCTTGGGCTTCAAGAACTGAATGTTCAGTCTCAAGTTGGGTCCAAAGCCCCAGAAACACCTAGGAGTACACCACGTATGTTGTGTTCTGTTGTCAGCAGGATATGAAGAATGACTTTTCTGTGTAGAAATCACTCCACCAAACTCTACTGGCCCTAGACTTCATTCTGAATGTCTCTCACACACTCCTGAAGAGACACGTAGACAGCACCAGAGGACTCGTGTTGGGTCTCCAGCTCAAGGTGGGGCTGATGATGGCATGTATGCGCTCCCTGGGCGTCTTGAACCCCTCTCTCTTCCTGGACTCCCATCTCTGCCTCAAAGTCACTATCAGGAGCCATCTCAAGATCCCTTTCAAGATCCTAATCCTCCAGAGCCAATGCGAAAATGCAATCGTGGCCACAATGCACCTGTCTCTGCATTTGATGGGGATAGGAACAGGTGTCAGAGGTGTATTGATGAAGATCATCGCAGGAGGGCCCACCAGAGGGCAGTCCAGGAGCAAATGGCAGTTCAATCTTCACCTCCCCCTTCATCTCCTGTGCCCAATCCTCCGGAGCCAATGCGAAAATGCAATCGTGGCCACAATGCACCTGTCTCTGCATTTGATGGGGATAGGAACAGGTGTCGGAGGTGTGTTGATGAGGATCATCACAGGAGGGCTCGCCAGAGGGCAGTCCAGGAGCAAATGGCAGATCGATCTTCACCTCCCCCTCCATCTCCAGTTTCATCACCAGAACAGTCCTCTCCTAAACCTTCTCCCCTGACTCCATCCCCACCACCATCCCTATCAGACTCACAGTGGGATCAAGGGCTCAATGATGAGGATTTGAGGAGGGGATTTTGATCTGCGGTATCTCCAGGAGATCAGGCTCTGTTGGCAAAGTTCCGGGAAGAGCTGATGAAGATTCAGATGGAGCACTGCAATAACTGCCATGAGACATGGTTTGACTTGAAAGTCAAGAATGGTTGTTGTGTGAGGTGTAAAAAGGACACCAAGTACACAGCAGAAAATTCCATGGACCCTGGCCCCAAGCCACAGTTTGTCTTGGATGATCCTTCCTTGGAGCTTACACAAATTGAGGAGATGCTGATTGCCCCTATCCATGTTGTCATGCAAGCCCACACTGTGTATGGTGGACAGATGAAATATTCTGGACATATTTGCAACTTTGTCCGTGATACATCTGAAGTTCGCCAGTTGCTTCCCATCCTGCCTGAGGAGTGAGGTCATACAGATCCAACGGGAAGGCCCAGACCATGTCCTTGGCCATGATGTTCAGCATCTTTACTATGTCCGGCGCCAAGTTGTTCAGCAGTGGTTAGAATGGCTTGTTGAGCACCACCCAGCATATCACCAAGTCATAATTAGTCAGGAGAATCTTTCCCAACTCCCAGAGAGTGGCAGTGTCCATGGACATTTGCAGTCCATTAGGATCAGTGAAGTGGGTGATGAAGGAGGGGGTGATGATATTGTAGGGCCATCAAATGGGGATGAAACTGATGGTACAATGGGGGGAGGGCACTTTTCACATCAGGGTTTGTCCCAAATGTGAATGAGGAGCGAGTCTCTGAGTTCCAAAACTTGCGCTTGGCAGCACAAGTGGGACAAGAACCTATTCTCATGCCACACATTGAGTCTCAGCCAGTGAGTGAATGGCATAACAACCCTATTGCCTCAAGGGCTTTCCCCAGTCTCTTTCCTTCTGGCCAGGCAGACTTTCACACTCCCCATCAAAAACCAGTCTCATTCTCTGAATGGGCTTCACACCTAATGCGCTATGAAGATGGTCGTTTTGCAAGGCACCCTCGCTTTCGCTATTGGGCATTAAACACCATCATGCGCACTCAGGCCAAAAAGGACTC